GGGGGGGGGGGGGGAGCCACAATGGAACCGGTTCAGCGGGTAAGAAAAAGAAAAAGAAACAAGGATTACCGGGAAAGATGGAAGCTGGATGGAATATCTGTAGTCACTGCAAAACTAGTCATTGCCAAGTATTCGTGAGGTCAGTTTGGGACTCCAAAGATTTTCAGAAGACGAACGAACATGGCTCAAACAGAGTTGTCGCCATCAAAGTACAGTAGCGGCAATCTTGAACCGATCGAGGCTGTCTTGCTTGTCTCAGGTAGCCGACATGAGTCGACATGACGGGCGCGAAATGACTGGTTCCTGCTGTTCCCTCTGTTTTCTTTTTTTTTTTTTTTGCCCCAGCCATCATCAATCCATGCTGCAAGTTATTGGCGTTGACAGCCCATCCATCATGTCTGTTTGTTGTTGTATGTATGTACATGGTTAGCGGGGGGAGGACGAACTCGCTGGCGTTCTTGGCGGCATGACAACGTCGGCCATCTACCGGCAACTATCTGCAAGGCGGCCAATTCAAGGGGAAAAGTTCAAATTGGCAGAATGGTGCGTAAAAGGTGCAAACCTGGTCCTCCAACGCTCGGTTTTGGCGGTCGGGTTGATAGGCGACGTTTTAGATGGAGAGCTGGAAGCGTTTGTTAGTCGTGGGACAGCTGTGAGGGCTTTATGCTCTTGTCCGGGAAACTCTTCCTATTAGAATGTTTTTTTTTTATTCATTCATTTTCAGTTTCATGGCTGTGACTTTTTTTTTTCGTTATACTGCATGGATTGCTGGCGAGTTCAAGGTCATGCCTGTAGAAACTCCAAGATCCTCCGCATGGCTGCCAGTCAAGTTGAGCCGTCGTTTGTAAAGGGGTCAAGTATTGGCCAGGATTCATGTGCCACGTACATATGAGCCAAAGCATCGCAAAAGAAAACGAGTGCTATAGCGATAGAGCACTACGGAGAGCGCCATAACTATGTATGTACATACCTACAGGGTACCCAGCACTGAGGGGTACTGGAGAGTAAATAAAGGAGAGAGTAAAGTGCCCTTTCAAAAGTATTTTTTTTTAGAGGCAAGGTGGAAAAGAGAAAAGAAGCTTAGATGCTACTGGTATTATCTAATTATATACTGATTTCTATTTTAATATCAGACACCGTTTCTCACATTATACGTCACCAACTACACCATCAACGGCTTGCCGCATCTGTACTACTAGGCAAGGCTTGTATGTTGGTTACACTATTCTGTTGTACATAGGTAAAGACCACTTGTTGCATCTTAACGCGACTCTCTGCCTATGAAACCGTGTAACGAGCTATGTACATAAAAAAGACTCCTTTGTCTCCTTCAATGCCCTAAGCAACTGCAATCGTCCTTTGTCTCCTACACCTTTCTTCATTGCCTGCTGCGATTTTTCCAAGTATCCAGCGCGGGGTTATGCTGTGTGTCGATGGACGATACTTGGAACCAATGTCGCATGTATGCTTCAACATTGCTTTGATGTCTTTACTTTATCGCTACTTTGTCGACCTCCATCCATGTCATGGTAGCACCAGCGCTATCATCATGAAGCCCCGTCCACATAAGAAGACGAGTCGTCCCTCTTTCATATGCGATCCCACGGGCACTGTACTCAATCCAAGTTGAAGATCAAGTATCTTTAGTCAAAATCTACGGCTCCCGCTGCCTACCATGCGCGTCACCCGGTCCATGACGCTCAACGAGCGCCACAACTCCAACCGCGGCCTCCTACTGCTCTCCAACGACCTCCTCCTCCTCATCTACCTGCAAGCCGGCAGCCTCGACGCCGTCCGCGCGCTCATGCGCGCCTCCCGCCGCCTCTGGGCCACCTTCAACACCAACCCGGTGCTCATCTTCGAGTCCGCCCTCGCCAAGTCCACGCCCGACCGCGTCGCCGCCGTCGTCCGCGCCGTCTGGAACCTGCGCTGCCGCGCGCACACGCCCACCATCACCCTCCGCGCCATGCGCTCCATCGACGACCCCGCGCACCTCCCGACGTGGACGCCGCCGCCGCCGCTCCACCCGCAGGTGCCGGCCGCCTTCGTCCGCGACTTCATGGCCCTGGCTAGCCGGATCCATGGGCTGGCGCACCTCATCCTCGACGACTGCCTGGCCAGCCTCGTCTCCGTCCAAGAAGAAGACAAGCTGTCCCCGTTCCCGATGCTGTACCCGGAGATGCAGCCGTCGTACCCGTACAAGCACGGCCGCGCGCCCTGGGTGGACGCGACGCCGTTCCTGGCGCCGCCGTCCTGGGCGGAGGAGCTGCGCATGATCCACGGCCTGTGGCTGTGCGAGTTTCACAACGCGCTGCTGGAAGCGTGCGCGAGGGGGTACGGCTGGGTCTGCACGGAACTGGGCGGCCTGGCCGCCGGCGACCGCCGGCTGGAGCGCTTCTTCCTCAACAACTGGACCGGCACCTTTTGGACGATCCACCACGGCCTGGACGCGCTGCACCGCCGCCACCAAGCGGCGGCACCCACCGCCGCCGCTGAGCTGCCGTTGTCCATGCCGATTCCTTGGAGGCTGCGGCCGGCCGACGCGGAGCGCGCGCGCAAGGGGGCGCGCGGCTGCTGGGGCGCGCCCCCGATCGCCCCCGGGGCGATGTCGTGGGAGGAGATGCTGGAGAGCGGGCCGGAGACGGATGGATACAGGTTCCTGGTGGGCCTATCGGCGGGGACAGCGGCGGCGCCCGTCTTCGCGCACCTCGGCGTGCTGCACTGGTGCCGGTCACGGATGCACAGCCTAGGCCTCGTTCACGGCGGCGATGACCGGATCCCCCGCATCTGGTACCCGCGGCTGCTCGACCACTGGCTCTCGCTGCTGCTGCCGCAGGTGCGCGAATGCGGACTCGCTCTGCTGCCACCGTTCTGGTGGAAGATGACGAGCGAGCAAGTGCAGGAGCTGGAATGGCGCGTATAGGAAGGGTACGGGAAACAGCGGGATTTGGGTGGAGATTTACTCGGGAAGACTAATACTTTTAATAGAGGAAAGGAAACAGGATTCAGTCTTACAAAGGGTTGTTAATAACTCGTGACTGTTTCGATCGTTAGCTATACGGACTACTACCATTTTAACTCCCTGTAAATTGATCCACGGTAAGGCACACGAGACATACCGAACTTCTTGTTATTGTATTTCCACCGTCCTAAATGAGAAAATATCGGTTGTACCGCCTCACTGTTCTGTACCACACGCTCTGACATTGCTGGTGACATGCTCGTTAAACCAGAGCGGAGGTACCGGCGGGGAGTTCGATGCCGCAGAGAAGAACTTCCCGAGGACGTGCCTTGATTCACAGCACAAATTAGTAAGGCGGCATTACGCCTCCTGTTATGCTTCTCTGCTGTTCGTATCACGATGCACAACCTCACGAGAACATACATGTAACATGAAGCAGTGGTGCGCCTTGTTTGTTGTCCGCCACTCTTACTTACCCCTCGCGCTTCTCGTATTAAGAGAGATGGACAGGCTCTTCGTTATTTGGAATCGAAATCACCTCTTCGTTCTTCACCGTGATTGCTCTAAGAATGGATTCTCAGATCAACGAGCTTCTCGAATATTTCCCGGGGATGCCGCCTCGGGTAGTATGGATCCGACCACCGGCCAAGCGCAACAACTGGCTCCTGATGCCCTCGGAGATTATCCTGCACGTCTTTGAGGAGCTCATCACCGTGGAGGACATGTGGGCGATGGCGTGCACGTGTCGCCGCTTCTGGGCCGTGTTCCGCACGCACGGCCCTTTGATCCTCGAGATGGTCCTCGAGGACGACACGCACCCGTGGGTGCGCAACGTGATGCACGCGACCTTCAACGTGCTGGCCTACGACTCGGCGCACTGGACCTACGAGCAGCTGCGGCACCTGGACTCGCACGTGCCGCGCGAGCCGCTGTCGGGCCTGGCAAGTCCGGAACTCGTCCGGCGCTTCGTGACGCGCGCGCGGCAGATCCACGCCATGGCGCACGTCATCCTCGAGCGCTGCATGGCCGAGCTCTGGACCCTCGAGGACCGGCTGCGGCCCGGGGACCCGCTCGACGAGTGCCCCGAGCTGGCCTGGTACCTGGACCGCGAGGCAAACCCGGTCGAGGAGACGCGCGCCGTCATGGGCCTCTGGCTCTGCGAGCTGCACTTCGTGCTGACGGACGCCGCCCGGGATCCGCGACAGGCGTGGGTGGCGCGCATGTTCCAGTCGGCGCCGCTGGCCAACCGCGGCGTCTTCTCCTTCTTCCGGCGGACCTGGCTCGGCACGCTGCTGACCCTGTGGCACGGCATGATGTCCGCGCGGCACGCACCCGGGGAGCTCGACCGGATGCTCCTGCTCAACGGCGACGCGCCGCTCCCGGCGCGCATGTGCGTGCTGCGGCTGCCCCGGGGCAGCCTCGACAAGGGCTTCCGCTGCGAGGCGGAGCTGCCCAACTACAGCACCTGGGACGTGCGGGCCATGTTCGCCATGTCGGAGATGTCGAGGGCGATGCGGGCGCGGCCGCTGATGAACCTATTCTTCGAGAGCCTGCGGGCGGTGGCGCCGCGCCGCGACGACCCGCTGCACGCCCTGCCGCTCCAAGCGTACATCAAGTTCGGCGTCTTCCACTGGGACCACGACAAGCTGGACAGCATCAGCCTGCTTCCCGATGGCGAGGTCAGCCGCGAAGAGCTGTTCAAGTACTGGAGGAGCTTCCTGCGGCCGGAGCTGATTGTGGCGTACGCTGCGCGGCAGGCCGCCGCCAAGGCCACATACTGGGCAAATGTCGAACTAATGGTGGCGCGCGGCGAGCCCGTGCCGGAGCCGCAGGATGATGCAGTCTACAGGCTGCACACGGAGGATCCCCCAACGGAGGGTGAGGGCGAGGATGAGGCCGAGCCGGATGACATGGAGGAGGAGGAGGAGGAGGAGGAGGAGGAGGGTTTCTAGGATTGCTGCTGCTGCCGGTAGATCAGTACGAGTTTTACAGCCGCACCAAGTCCCTGAACACTCTTGAAGTGGCGCCGAGGATGCGAGTTGCTACATAATGCGCGTAATGTCAATATTACTGTATTGTTGATCAGCCTGTGCGGTTGTTTGTCGCGTTAGTGACAAGGGTAACTGCTTATGTACATAACATTCAGGTGTAGCTTGGCGCTTGCACCTTCCAGAAAATCTGCCAGCCAGCACCGCTTTTTTTTCTCCCGCCGACTTCAAGCACCCCAATCCAAGTCGCACGCCACCAAAAAGGACAATGGGCGGCAAGCGGCGCAAGCTACTGATGAAGCAGCAGGCCAATGGCAAGGCGCCCGCTGCAGGCAAATCCTCCGCGCGCGCCTTCATCCCCAACCGACACTCGGACAAGCCTCTCGCCGCCGCCGGTCCCTCGAGCGGCGGGCGGACCGGACGCCAGCAGCAGCAGCAACCCAACAAGCCCAGCAGCAAGAAGGGAGAGGAGCAGCGCCAGCGCCAGCTGCAGCACAACATCGAGAACCCGACGATCCCGTTCGACGCCGACGACCGCATCCTGCTCGTGGGCGAGGGCGACTTGAGCTTCGCGGCGTCGCTGGTCCGCCACCACCGTTGCCGACACGTCACGGCCACGGTACTGGAGAAGGACCACGCCGAGCTCGTCGCCAAGTACCCTTCCGCGGAGGCCAACATTGCCGCCTTCCACGGCGTGAAGCCGCCCGGGGCGAGCAAGAAGAGCGTGGAGCAGGAAGCTGAAGGAAGAGGCACCGACGACGAGAATCCAAGGGACGACGAGGACGACGGCGAGAATACAAGGGACGACGAGCATGACGAAGACAACGACAATGATGATGCTGCGCCCGCAAACATCCTGCCGCCACCACCACCCCAAGACAGCGACAGCGACAGCGACGCCGACTACGACGCCGACGGCAACCACCGGCCCCGACCCCCCAAGACCAACCGCCTTCTCTACGCCATCGACGCCACCAAGCTCCCGCCCTCCCTCGCCCGCGCCACCCCGCGCTTCGACCGCATCCTCTTCAACTTCCCGCACGTCGGCGGCAAGTCCACCGACGTCAACCGGCAGGTACGGTACAACCAGGAGCTGCTCGTCGGCTTCTTCCGGAGCGCGCTGCCCGCGCTCGCCCCTGGCGGCTCCGTCGTCGTCACCGTCTTCGAGGGCGAGCCCTACACCCTCTGGAACGTGCGCGACCTCGCCCGCCACGTCGGCCTGCAGGCCGAGGCCAGCTTCCGCTTCCGCGCCGCCGCCTACCCGGGGTACCGCCACGCGCGGACCCTGGGGGTCGTGAGGAGGGCCAAGGGCAAGGGGGGAGAGGGGGAGGAGGCGAGGGGGGCCTGGAGGGGGGAGGAGAGGCCGGCGAGGAGCTTCGTGTTCGTGCGCAGGGGGGACGTGCTGAGGAAGCCGAGGAGGAGTCAGGAGGAGGGGAAGAAGAAGAAGAAGAAGAAGCGCAAGAGGGGGAGTGATGACGAGGACGAGTCGAGCGAGGATGACTTGGACGATTAGGCGCACTCGAGCAAATGGAAAGCACCAAGAGGGTTGTTCGGCGTTTTGGGCGATCAGGTTCATATCAACAACAGCGATTATTCTTCCTACTGGTGGTACAAAATCATCTCCGCTACATCGACACTGGTTTGCCCTTTCTGTAAATTCGCGGCTTCGTTTCATTACTACATGACTTATATATTGCCGCAGACCATGACGATGATGAATCGAAACGTATATCAGAGACTACCTAATAGGATATTGGCATCTGGCATCCCATCACTAATGATATCCAATTCCCCACCCAAGCTCATCCATCCCGCTAGGAATAGAGAGGATGCAAGCAAATCAACCAACGCCGGATTTTGAGTCGAGGAGAAAGGGGGTGCAAGCAATGGAAATATAAATAATAATAATAACAGAAACAAAATGCCACAATAAAAACAACCATTTCGCCCGCCGTCACCCATCTCCTTCTTCCCACTTGCTCTACCTTTCTCCCACTGATTATACTTCTTTTTTGATTCGAAAATACCCGTCCCTGTAAAATGTCGAAAGAGGAAAAAGCGAAACTTGAACTCCCAATTAGAGCCCCCCCCCCCCAGACCAATGATAACAATAATAAATCTAGAAATCAAGGTAGGCACGGGCTCAGTGACTCAGAACCTCCTGTTTTCGGGTCTGCTCCTGCTCTCCGTTCGTCCGATGCGCCTCCTCGTCCGCCAGTCGCTGTGCCTCCTCGTTCTCGCGCTCCAGGGCCCTCTCCTGTTCCCGCAACGCCTCTTGCTCCGCCGTTAGCGCCGCGTCCTCCTCGTCTTGAGGTGGCGGCGAGGGCGGTGGCGGCGGCGGGCTAGGAGTTGACGCACCCACCTCCGCTTCCTTGAGGCGCTTCATCTCCGGGCCGTCCGCGGCGGGAGTCACGTCTAGCATGTCTGCGTCGGCCACGTCGTCGTGCTTGCGCTTGCGACTACCCGGCGAGTCGTCCGCTTCCACGTCACTCAGCCCAGGGCCGTCGCCCTTGTCCATGTCGACAGGGCCGCCGGAGAGCTCAATTGCGCTGCTCTGCGCGGAGACACTGCCCTCGCCCGGGCCTTGTTGCTTGACTTGCGCCGCGTATTTCTGAACGGCCCGATCTAAGAAGTCCTTTACGTAGGTCTTGATCTTGCGTGCCTGCCTCTCGTTCAACTTGGCCGTTGGGTCCACGACGCGGCTATTCTTGTAATCAGAGGCCACCAGCTTCTTAGCAAGTTCTTTGCCTAAACGTTTCAAGTCATCCTTGGGCAATTTGTGCCGAAATTTATCCAGAACATATTTGATGTGAGGGAAAACCTGGTACGAATGTCAGTAACAAGCTTAATAGACGCTGGTTTCCTATCGGCAAGGATCGTACAGTGTTTTCGTAAATCTTCATTTGCTTGTCTTGTGACAATGCTCGCCACTTTTCTGATCGAGAGTCTTTGCTCGGGGTGTCTGAAGACTGCGATTGCGACTGTTGTGGCGGTGTTGATTTCGGTGTGCCCTCCTTGGTCACCCTGGCGATGATGTTTTGAATCATCTGCTGTTCTTGTTGAGCCTTGGACGGCACCTTTGGTGTCTGATCCGCCGGAAGTGTAGGACGCTGCCATGTCGTCGTGCCTTGTTTATCATAGTAGTACATATTGCCACTGGCGTCCTTGGCAGAGAACCAACCTTGTGGCAGCGGTCCTTGGTTGTTGAAGCGTTGCCGTTGGCGAGGGCCGTTTCCGGCATGAAAGTTGTTATTCCTTTGTGGAATGTTGCTGCGAGGGCCCTTCGGGGCGTTAATGGGCTGGTGGGAAGCGGCTTTGTTCTGCGAGGTTTGCGTAGATGCAGCTGCTTCTCCCTCCCTTGCCGCGCCCCGGCGGTCCTCATATATACTTTGCGTCTGCATGCCAGGCTCGAATTTGCGTCTGCGGATGCGGTACGCCATCTCAAGTTTGCTCCAGTCGTCCAGGAGTTTCTTCGACTTGGATGAGACGTCCTCATGTTCCGATGTAGCAAGTTCCTCGACCGTGGCCTCGATGTTGGAGTCTTGAATCTTGTTCCTCGTGAGACGCGGAAAGGCGTCCAATATCGACAACACCTGCAAGACCACGTTGTGGTCGTCACTAAACGTATGTAGTGTTGTCTTGAGGATCTGGTATGCGTGCATGCGCATGACACTGTGAATTACACGCTCATCCTCGGACTGTTGAATACGATCAAGAAGCTTGACAGCGATCCATTTCTCCTTGCATTGCATGAGGGTGGCCATGACTTTGCGGGAATCCTCCTCATCAAGGGGACGCGCCTGCAAGCTGCTGACATAGTCCTCGTCATCCTCGTCGGCACGCTTCTTGCGCGCCTTCTTCGCAACTGTCGTGTCCCATCCATCGCCAAGATCGATACCAAGTGCTTCAATAGTAGCTTGAGGCAGCTTAGTGGCGCGCTCCGTCTGAGTCTTGCCGCCGATGAAGCCAACGCAGTTGAGCTCATTACAGTAACACGGTTGCGGGTCGGCACCGTACCGATCGACGTTGTAGTTGAACACGAGCTCCTCGCCAGCGCGAATTGTGCGCAGCGCAAAGATACCCATGCGCAACTTGTCACCGACCACCCACTTGTCGACGTAGCAGTTGGGGACGCACGAGTGGTTGCAAAAACGGCCCAGGTTGCCCTTCCTTGTCGCGTCGACAAACTCGTTTTTGTTCAGTGACATGAAGTAAAAGTGTTTGATGCCTTCACGGTCGTACTGGAGCATGCGCCGTCGAAACGTGGCTTCGTTGATGACCTCGCCAATGTACTCGAAAATAAAGTCGTGGGCGACCAGATCCGCGTCGGTGCGAAGGCCATATCCCTTCTTCTCCGTCTTGATGACGGACACCTCGGCATATTGTTTTCGCTGGAAGCGTTGATTCTGGCAGCCGCCTCCGCAGTTGCCCGCTGTTTCGCTGCACTCCATCTTTGTCGCGCGGTTGATGCAGTCCGAGTCTTCGCCGCACGCCATGTTGACGCCATCATCTACAAGGGTTCAAAATAAAAAATGTCAGCAAACCACGCCCGCAGAGCCGCACGGCTTCTACGTATCCTATAGTTCTACGGCAAAGCCGGGTTAGGGGTGTAAGGTGGGCCGACTTACGCCACTCTTCTCGACAATCGCAGTCAAACGCGTCGTTCTCGGTCGAGCCCAAGTGCTTGGAGCCGTAGAGGCAGTCGGTGATGACCTGGAAGGAGCTGCAGGCCTCGGCGGTCATGTTGGGGAGGCTGTCGAAGAGGGTCGGTTCCCGGGTCGGTGTGGCCTTGCGCGATGACTTGCGCGACAGGCGCGGGCGCGACGTCGAGTTGGGGGTTGCGTTACCATCGGTTCGCGACTTGCCGCCCTCAGTGGACGGCGACGGTGAGCCCTCGAGCCTGACGAGCCTTGTCGCGTCTGCAACGGCGGTGGCGGCCGAGTCGGCTTGCTGCGATGCGGCATCGCCGTTGATTCCGTCCTCCAGCTTTACTTTCTGCATCCTGGCCGTCGCGTTCTCGTCATCCTTCATCACCACATTGACGGGGGGGTCGAGGCGGCAAAGACAGTAGGGCGATTGCAATGGGATTGAGGTGGAATCCGCTGGAGTCGTCGCGTCGATGCGGACAAGGAATCGATGCCGCACCAAAATGAGTCTTGTTGTGCGGGTGGCGGAGAGGTGGATCGTGAGGGCGTTGCAGGAGGCGATGAATTAATGGGTGCAGTTTTGGAGTTTAGGAGGGGATTCAAAACTCGCTATTTGGGTTAGTACCTGAGTAGTTCCAGACGGCGCTCACTTGCTACTAACCTTGTACCGTAATGCGGAGCAAGCAGCCAGCAGGCGCTTTCTTTGCAGAGCTTGCCTACCTATTCAACCGAGTCGACAGAGTCAATGGCTCGCCCCGTTTTGTCGCGGCACGGTCCGGGGAGGCTGTGATTGAAAATGGACGAGTAAACACGAAATTAGCCGAAGGGGAGGCGCGTTTTTCAATATGAGGTCAGCCAAAAAGCTGGGGTAGGTTCGTCGTGTTCTGTGCTGGCGACTCAGTGCAACGGAAATTCGTAAGGCCGTCCTGCCGATCTACAATCGACTTGTGCACATCCAGGCATCGCATCATCAAGAATAATAAGAGTAGACCGTTGAATAGTTCAATGTTCGAGTCATCTCTCTAAAAGAAATTTCAACTGAACTACCAGTTTCCCAGGCATCACATCCTGTCTACCCTGTGTGTGCAGTGTAACGCCCCAACATGTAGGCCAAACGCTCAATCCCTGCTCATCCGCTATAACTGAAAACAATAAGCACCTGTAAGCAGTCTGGTATAAGTTCTACCGTAGGTACAGACTTGTTAAGCACGACACAATTCTGTAAAAATGCAGGAGCAAAAATTTCTCCGCCCATCGTCCGCCATTGGTCGATCGAAATAGAAGGGACGATGGATCATCAAATCAGATTCGGGATTAATACAGAGCCGGCAACTTGGACCTACAGTACCTACACCTTCATTCTCCCGCGATGATCCAGCGGTCCGGGCCAGCACCCAATGCCCACCCTCTAAGGTTTGACCGCCAATGATCCGGAACTTTAATTACCAGAACCTTGACCCTATCTGCCATTCATGTCTTTGCTGCCCGTTCAAGCAAGTCACCAACGGCCGAAGTCACCAATAGATCACATCATACAGAGGCTACGCCAAGGATCAGCATATGCGAGCAGCCCTCAGAGTCAGAAGTCTATCGGCGGGAGCAGAGGCGCATCACACAAAAGGCAGGCGCAGCGAGCAGGATGCCAACCCAGATGCGACACACACACACCGGTTGAACACAACAAATGGGGACCCGGTCAGCCAGCCTGCGCACCAGCCGATGCGAATCTGCGTGCTGCATCTCTCTTCTCTCCACCAGCCTGTGCGTGTCACCTGTTTGCCAACCCGCCGCCACTTTCCACGCTTCGTCCTCGTCATCTTCCGCCGTTGCTCAAACCAAGTCCCAGAGACCGCCAGGCCGCATCTGTTGATTGGGTAGGTAGCTGCCGGCGGCGTGGTCACAGAGCGGGAGTCATCCCAAGCCGGCAGCAGACAGACAGAAACTATTGCGAGCACGAGGTGGCATTCCCCAGCAAGGATGCCACACTGCACCACCACTTTGTCAACCAAGGCACTCCCTGTCACGCGGACTGTGCTGACCGGCCATCTTGCCTTGTTGCCGCCCTACAACAGTAGACTTGTCTGCCTATTGGATGAGGAAAACGTATTAGTGGCTGTACATCTTTTTTTTTTTGTTTATTCCGTATCCCGAGTCAGCAAGTTTATTGAGCTCCAAAACTTGGGTAGAGCGCAGACTTGTAAGCAAAGTTACCCTGTTGTGCAAGACGGAGGGCGGTATTTTGTATAAAACTGTTACATGTGGAAGGGCTTGTTCTTGCGTGCTGGTATGCCTGGGATGATATGAGGAGACCCTGTCGGATAGTTATGTACTGTAGGTAGGGTACGGTACTCGCTGGGTACTTGGCTGCACGTCAACGCTTATCTGGTGCGACTGTGCAGGCCACCAACAAGCATCAATGGATCAAACAAGGAGGGAGGGTGTGCGGCACATCCTCTCTAGGCGGTCAATCTTCATGCACTCATTCATTCGGTGATATTCTCCGGCGCAAAGAATATATACCTGCCCAAGGCCGTTTGCCGAGTCAGAATCTCTGGACGGCAGCTGTGATGGATGCACCACTGCCGGAGTCGAGAAAAAGCACTGGCAGACTGGTGGCAAGGCCACGCGGACATCTATCTATCCAGAAAGAGAAAATGACAGCGCCCCTTCTCACTTGCCTTCCTTCTCTGCTTGCGCGACCGGGCGGGCCACTACCTAGTTAGCCACATCCTGTTGCATCCTGTGCCAAAGCCCCCCCGCACTTTTACGAGGCAGTGGGTGGTAGCCCGTTGCGGCGTCTCCGTGCATAACAAGTATGTACCGGGTCGTCGATCTGTCTTTTTAGAGGGCCAAGATCCTCCCGTCTCACCGAAATAGCCTGGCTGGCGCGTTTCGTTCGCCCCAACTAATGGGATGCCGCACCGGAATCTGGAACCGGGCAGCATAGCCCTTTGACAGGGAGGTGGCACGCGCTGTATGCCTGTCTCGCGCAAGCGCCAACGAAATAGGCCTCCCGACGCCTTGTGCCGCCTTCGAGATGACTTGCGTGCTTGTTTATCAACAAATGACTATGTGAGAGAGACAGAAGAGAAAGAGACAGCGGCTGTGGAGGGGGCGTGTGCGTCCCAAAGTCATAGGTAGGCATTGCGCTAACAAACGGGCATCATCGCGTTGCTGTACCTTGCAGAGCCAGAATACGCCCACGCACCACGCAGAGACAAAGCGCCCAGCTCGACAAGGGCACTTCGCTTCTTGTTGGGGGTCTTGGTTCCAACTCCTCTGTAGCGTTCGCTGCCTCCACAAAAAAAGGGAGAGCTAGAGCAAGCGTTCAGCTGATCCGGCTCGATGCATCAGCGAAGAAGGCAGTCGTTCTTTGGTGGACAAAGCGCCGCCCAACCACTCAGACGAGACCTTGACGGGAACCACCCCCCATCCCATGTGACGCGGACGGCTCGCCAACCAACCACCGGAACAAGGCCCGATGCCGCGGGCGAACAGGCTAACAAGGGAACGACTCGGACGACTGGGCGGGTGAGAAGAGAAAACGGGGAGTGGGAGGGGGGGCTGTTTTCTGGGCGCACTGCACCCAGCGGGCGGGACGAGGTGGGCTGCCGTCATCATCGCCATCATGTGCTGCTTGTCCCGTACTGCCTGGGTGTGGTGTCTGTCTATGCCGATGTACACACATACCTACCTATCGAGGCGGGTAGGCGGCCTGTCAATGGATCGAAGCAAGCTCTGCGTGATGCGGCAGGCAGACAGACAACTGCAGGCAAGTCAGTCGGTCAGTCAGTCAGTCAGTCAGTCGGTCATCAGTCCGGGTGGCCATGGACGGGAGGGAGGAGTGGCCTATTTGAGTAGGAAGTACCATCCCACTCAGACACAAACGACTCCAGTGTAGATGGTTCGCTGCTCTGTCAGCATCCTTCTTCCATACTCATTTTCCCTTTCTCGCCATTTGCTGCCGATTGTCTTGGATGCTGATGCGCAGGTAGCGCCGCTTCGGTGCATGTCTCATATTGCTTCTTTCTCGTCCGCTTTTTTATTATTAACTCTCGGTAGCGAACCGCCGCCGCCGCCGCCGCTGTCGATAAGCCACTCCCCCCAAGTCTTTATTTTTGGTTCTTCCCGGGAAGACGGACAGGCGGCGAGGGTGCTCGCAAAAAGCCTTGATTGTTATTGGCACCGCAAAGTGACGGGGGGTCGGTCTGTGGCCGGCCATCCAGGGCGGCTAAGCGCAAACCGGTCCCGTTCCTACCTACTTGGCACCTCTTCTTCTTTCCTTCTCCTCTTCCATATCAAGTCCTCGATAACGGAACTACATATCTGCTCGCCGAAAAACCAATACCCGTCGCGATATTGTCAGTCGAAAAGGCCGGCCGCGACTTCTGTGCCAGGCTATCATCGCTAACAAACGACGACAAAGTTCGAACAAACCCCAAAGAGCAGCCGCAGCCAGGCAACACAAAGCGCGGCGCAACTCGGAAGGTTTGGTTTACCGCCTGATTTTCGAAAAAGGAAAACAAATCGAGAGCACGAGACCGTTGCGGGGTACCTTTATTACTTCCACAAAGCTTGCGCCAAGGTTGTCGTTTGCTCACAGTTCCAGGCTTTGGGACAGATACAGCCAAAGTTGCGCGCCGCTCAGCCCGCGCCGCGGCCGGCAAGCATCTGACTCGAGCCACCGCAGCCGGCTTCGTCAAAGTCAGCATATGAGCACGACGTTTTGGCGATAGAAAAACTCGTTTTCTTTTCAGCTTCTTCTTCTTCTTCGGTTCTGCTGCCGTTCCAGCGCCTTCGGCACGGCGCCCACACGCGCTCTGCTCCGAACACGCCCGAATCGCCTCCTCCAATTTGCCATTCTTCCCGGCTCCCGATGCCTCGCTACCGACAAAGCCACGTCGTTTCTCCCGGGTTATTTTTCTGTCGCTGTTGGAGTATTTCTGTCCAGTCACAGAAACCCCTCTAGCGGAGATGGACAACCCATTCACGAGCAAGGAGCATGTAAGCCGCGCCCCAGGTGTCTTGTCTCAAAATAGCCCTTTCTTCATGAACAGAGCTAATACCTGTCACTTGCAGAGATTTGTCCTCGCGGAGATGATAAAGACTAGCTCGGTAGATGTCTATCAGCTAGAGAATTTTGTCAAAACTCATGCCATCCAACCGGATTGGCTGAACATGCAGCTTCCTCGAGGTAAAGTGCTACACTGACTGCCGTTTGCTATCTCACTTGCCTCGTGTCGCTGATTTTTTTTTATGTAGGCCGTAATATGAATGAATGCATGCTCGCGACGAAACAACTCTCCGCCCCTTATAACAGCAGAGAGCGCAACTCCTCCAGCAGCAGTCACGGCGACTACTCATCCTTCAGCCAGGCGATGCGGTCACCGCCCACCCTGCAGCCGTCCATCCAACCACCCCAACCGCCGTCCTACCAGGGATCCTCCTCCATACTGCCGCGCCCGATGCCAAACGGCATCATGCCGGGGGCGACCGCGACGACCGCGACGCTCATGGCCGTGCCGACAACAAGTCCGCGCGCCAAGCCCGTGCAGGAAACCGCCGAGATATCCAAGCCGCCGCCTAAGAAGCGCGGACGTCCGTCCAGAGCAGACCGGGCCAAGAAAGAACTGCGACCCCTGCTGCCGCAGCATCTGATGCCGCGGCCGCCACCCATGGACTACCACTCGCAACAGCAGCACCAGCATCAGCACCAAAGCATATACCAGTCTGGGATGTACTACCCCCCGCCTCCTTTGACGCCGGCCCTGGCGATGCAGGACGCTCGTCCCACCACCCATCATAGACTGTCGCCGGAGCCGGGCAGATCGACCAAGAAGCAGCGGAGAGGCAGCACGCCCGACAGGCTGCCCCCGGTGGGCGACATCATCGGAACTCCCAAGTCTAGAGAGGAGGATTGAAACATTCTTAAACGCGGTCGCTGTGCTTTCTGACGATATGATAATGTTCTCGGCGTGTTTTAATTACCAATAGGCATTGGGCGGCGTCACGGTTGCTTTTATGCAGGCGGGCTATGAAGCATCCCTGTGACTTTTTTGTTGCTTTTGGACGGGGAAGCTTGTTCAGCATATATAAATAGATAGACGATATAAACTGCTTTCAACTTGGATACCGGCATTTGCAGCTCAACAATTTTTTAGTCATTAGTTCATGCGTCCGTTTTTCTCATCTGCATTAAATGAAGGGCAAGGCTTTCTGTTCCCATACTCGCACAATGCCACAAACCAAAACTCCAACACAAAAGCAAAAGTTCGCAAATACGAGTTCCATACTCGAGAGAGAGCTTCCCTGCTTGCATCTATATTTACAGAGCCTTGACAATCTTCTCCATGCCGTCGACCAGGATGTCACAGTGGTGCTCCTGGAGGGTCAGCATGGGACGGAGGCGGACGGCAGAGGCGCCGGAGCCGCCGATGTTGATGCCAAACTCCTTGGCCTTTGCGAGGAACTGGTCGCGCTTGGGGCTGTCGAAGGCGATGAAGGTGCCCTGTCCCTTGCCGCGGAGGTTCTTGAAGTGCTCGGGGTACTTTTCAGCGAGCGCCTCCATCTTGGCGTAAAGGTAGTCGCCGACGCGGGCGGTGTGGTTGACGAGGTCGAGGCGCTCAATCTCCTCGATGATGGCGCGGAAGATCATGGCGCGTGCAGGGTCGCCCATCCAGGTGTTGAACTGGCGGTAGGCCTTGTTGGGACGCAGGGCGTGGGAGGCGTAGTAGTAGCCGGCCGTCTGGGCCTTCTTGGAGAAGGTGACCATGTCGGGGGGGTCCTGGAGGTTCCAGTGCTCGTGGGCCCAGAACTTACCTGTGGCGCCGATGCCCGTCTGGACCTCGTCGGCGATGAGCAAGACGTTGTGTTTGCGGGTGAGGGCGCGCAGCTTCTGGAAAAACTCCGGGCTCGCATGGTTGTCGCCGCCCTCAGACTGAATGGGCTCGACCATGACGGCGGCGGGCGGCAGGTGCCAGTTTTGGATAAGGTGTTCGACCTCATCGAGAGAAGCCTGCTCGGCCTTGCGATTCTCCTCAACATGCTCCCCGAGCGGGTACTTGAGCTGGGGGAAGGTGGCCTGGGGCCAGTCAAACGCAGGGATATCGAGCTTGTGGATGGGCTTGGAGCGCGTAGTAGACAGGGAGCCAAAGAGGCGTCCGTGGAAGGCTGTCTTGAAGGACAGGATAGACAGCTGTGCGGCGCCAGGTGCCTGGTTATTCATACACGAGGCAATCTCCTCCTCAGTAAACTCCACGTTGGGCCCGCCACGCTCGAGCTGGCGGCGATAGATGAAGGCGGCCTTGTAGGCGAGCTCGTTGGCGTCAGAGCCGGCAAGCGCGGTGAAGACGTTGCTGAGGCCCTTGGGGGCGACCTTTAGAATACCCGTCTTGAGAATCTCGCCCCAGTCGCTGGAGGGAAAGTTACCCAGAGCAGGGCGGTTGATAAGCGCGTTGATCATCTGTGGACTGGAGGCGGCTTTGGCGAGGTGGGGGTTGTTGTAACCAACGGGGATAGAAGCAATCTGGGCATATCTGTACGTCGTGTATGTTAGCGATTGGTATTTTTTTAAGCTTCTGTGATATATATGTCGTCAAGTCAGCGGGGCCAACATACACGTCAAGCATCATGTTGCCATCAGGGTCCGCAATATAGTTGCCAATGCTCTTGCTGTAATCGGAAAGAAAGTTGACGCTGCGCGTGTCAAAGACCTGCTCGAGCTCCGAGATGGCTTTCTTGCCGCTGGGACCGGGAATCGCTGTCTTTACGACGGGAGCCTCGGGCTCATTAGGGAAGAAGCTCTTGGTCGAGGCATAGCGCACCGAGGCCGGGACAGCGACGGCCCCACGGCTAACAGCGGATCTGATGGCAGCGGCCATGATGAAAAACGGGAGAGTGTCTTTAGTTGGATGAGCAACTATAATTGAAAGAAACAGGATCGACGTTAGTGGACTGCTTGTACAGCTGTGGAAGCGGTGTGTGGTGAGGTCTGGCCCAAGCAGGGTGGCAACAGGAAGGAGGGCGTCGGTGCCGAGCGTACCTAAACTGTAGCTCCAAATGCCGTGAATTCTTCGCGCCTAACTACCAACGATAGACCGCGTGTCCCCTTTTCAAGATTTAAAGAGGCACTAAAAGGTAGTATACGAAAAAAAAAAGTTGGCAAGGAACGAGGAGAGACACGACGAAGAGGGTGGAGGTTGGGGTAGGAGTGTCTTTTAAAGAACCAAGACCCTGCCTGCTTGTTTCAACGGAACGGATTCCAACGGCTCACCAGGTGTACTTTTGTGTGGGGTAAGTATGGAGGTAAGACAAGTTCTGGAAAGCCACTCTTACAGTGGGCTTGTAGTGCTTGCTGGTTTTAGAGGACGCCTTCTCTTGGATTGGAATTACTAAAAAAAAGTAGCCAGAGTGAGAGATGGCCAAGCTCATCAACCAAGGCGGTCGGTCGGCAGGCTGCCGGAGGGTGCCCGGCGTTTGGTGGGGAGAAGCAACCCCGCGCTGCAGGCCCACGCAGGAGGCTTTTTGTGGGCTCCCAGGCTCTGGATTGGGGAACACAGCACCATCGAGGTTCCATCAGATCCATCACGCGGTCCACGGCCCCCGAGGCCGCCACGACTACGCCGAAGATTAAATATTATGAGCCAAACCATTGCAGCTAATTTCCGCTTGTACTCGTCTTGCACGACTTACCTCTACGTGAAAAGGGGACTTGACTCACTCTGAAAGTCTGTATTCACGTCAATGTGTTTGCATTTTTCTTTCTCTCTCCCTATTTCTCTATAATGTTCTATCACCTTCCCAGCTTTATCATTTGCACCCCGCTACGCCGTTCGGAGTCACCAACTTTACTCCGTTCTTATTAGCGCAAGATGACTAGCAACAAGCCCCAACAGCCAGATGCCTGCCGCAAGGCCAAACTTCACTGGGGCATGGGTGTGCTCGTTTACATCCACCCTCATACCCGATGTCGGATAGAATCTCAATTTCAGCCGATCAGCTAGGTGGGTGATCAAACGACTTGCGACAGGGAAGATTCATAAATCAGTTAGCAGGTCGGTGCCTCTATGTCCGCCTCACCAATTCCTATCTACCTGGTACGAACAATGTCACCGCCATCACGACTTCGGCCTCGGTCAACTGGTTAACCGGCACCACCTTAGATGCACCAAAACGCCGCTTTGTGGATAAAAGTGATTCGAGTCAATCTCAAAATGCTTATCTCAGCCCATGCAATGCAATGCTAGAATAGAAATACTCCCAATAAGTGATACCGGTCCTCATGCCACAATTTTAACGCTCACGTAGTCCTCCCCTGGACCCTGGATGCTAGCTTTGCTCCTCCTCTTTCTCACGCATATGTCTTACGAACGTCTTCTTGTGAATCATCCCAGCATACCGTCCGTCCTTGGTAGCGCAAATGTATCGCAGACCAAGCTTCACGAAACATTCGTAAACAAGATCTGTCGGAGAGCGCAAGTCAAGCGCCACCGGAGCCTAGTCCAAGGTCAGTAGCAATTCAAGCAGAGTGATAGCATCAAGTAACATACCGGATCAATATACGGCGTAAAGTCCGTAGGGTCCACAGAGTCGTCCTCATCCTCGTCAATACTCGGCACTCGATCCATGAGGCACAAACTAGTTGCCTCATCCTCAAGTTGATCGAGTGCAAACTCCAAGTCTGGCGCCGGGATCAACCCCACCAGGATATCGTGACGCAGAATTGGCAGACCACCATCAAGTTCTCCAGCACGGTGCAGAATCTCCAGCTTTGATCTAAGCTTGGTCGCCGCAACGAGCGGGGAGTTTGTAATGTCTATGATTCTCTCCCGTCGGAAGCGTGTAATGATATCGGCGAGGTCGCCTGTAAAAACAGGCTTATGCTTATTGTCCAGGAAAGGGTAGGCATTCATAGAAGTCAAAAGGTCCTGTGGGCAGTTAGCAGACTGTCACTCACGTTAGACATAACAAACAAACGTCCACTTACATAGATACTGTTTGGTTCAATGGCGTCTGCTGTCCATTTAGCCACCAAAATGGTCAGTGAGAACGGCAAGACATAGTCCAGACTGCCAGTCAATTCAAACAGGATGACGGCCAGCGTGACTGACAGACGTGTGACTCCACACATTGTCGCGCCAGCTGCAATCAGCCCATATACACCAGGCTGAATGCAAGTACCGTCGGCTGCCGTTGCGCAGTTTCCCCAAATAGCCCAATTCGGTGCCGCCAAGACGAGCCACTGGACGAGGTGACCAACCATGCGGCCCATTAGACCACCGACAACCATGGACGGGATGTAAATACCAGCAGGTACTTTGATACCGAATGTGATGACAGTCAGAAATCCCTTGATCAAGAATGCGACTACCAGAGTCTTAAGAATCCCTGGGATGTCATCAATAGAGTCGGGGCACAAGCCGAGCTCATCCCGATTCGCATCCGTCGAATCGTCGCAGGGTGAAGCGAGGTTCAGGAGCAGCTTTGCCACGGGTAGCTTGGTCAATGCGTTCCAATAGCTCAATAGTCCGGTTATTAATGCGACGAGAAAGACCTCAAACATTGGATATTTTTTGATCACCTTGAGCCGACGAAAGGTGTGTGCCCAGTGCTTGGATGCTTTGATGAATAACGCACCCAGTGCACCGCCAAGAACGCCCACCAGAATGAAACTGCCAAGCTCAAAGAATTCCCAGTCGACTAAGTACCGAACTTGAAACATGACAATTTTGTGTGTTCCGTATGGATTTAGGAATTTGAGGGACAAGGCGGCGACGATGCAGCAAAAAAATGTTCTGAAGAGCGTTTTTGCAGGGAAGAAGTATGATACTTCCTCTAATCCAAACAAGACTCCCCCAAGAGGGGCGCCAAAGGCAACGGCAACACCGGCTGCCGCGGCCGCGGAGAGAACCTCGCGTCTCTTGGCATCGTTCCGGTCGTACTTTGAAAAGAGACGACAGGCGATATTTCCAACACACGCAGCCATGTGCACGTAGGGGCCCTCTTTGCCGAGACTGAGCCCGGAAGAAACCGAGAAGACCAATGCAACCATCTTGATAACGAGCGTTTTTAGACCAAGGAAGCCGTGCAAGACAAAACCGCTTAGAATGACTCGGACTTCGGCAACGCCACTTCCTGCAGCGGTGTAGTATATCATTGGGGGGTTTGGATCCGGCACATCGTCTTCGGGAGCCGGACTGGAGCTATCGTCGGTGTGAGGGTCGGTCGCCGGCTGCGGCATTTGCTCTGCTGCTAGATTTTCATCCAAAGTAGTAAGCTGAACAGACGAGGCGACCACCGTTCTGGTCCAGAGCGCAATCCAGCAGGAAAATGTAGCAAGAGTGATAACAAGGAATAAATAGACCAGATAGTCTGTCCAGCCTGCGGCAAGTGAATGGATCTGGAAAGCCTGCGACCAGCTTTTCCAGTCTTCACAGGCTCCTTTCGGACAGCATTTCTGCCACACTGTTAGCTCGAACAGCAGTTACGACACCGTGGGGAACGTTACCTTTTCATCTAGATACCAGGCTCTTGCACAAAAGCCATCTTTAAAATCGAAGACTGTAGACTCTGTGACATCGACGGCATATGCGATCAGCGCGATGATAACGCCACACAGAGCGCTAAGAAACCATCCTTGTGCGCCGTCCAAAAGGTTCAAGATGCGACCACGCAAATCCTTTCGGGCACGAAGGGCTTTGACGCGATGAGAATCGGCAATAGTGTCGTGAACCCAGTCAGTGCTTGTGAATTGATCGTACCAGACACGCTCTTCGGGGAAGATGGAGCCTTTCGATTCAGCCAGGCTGCTTCTGCCCTCGCCAAGAGCAGAAATGAGGCGTTGACCCCACGATGGCTGGCGACTATGGTGTCTCGTACCGCGAAGACTGCCTTAAAGTAGTGAAATATTGGTTAGCAGGGAGTTCTGGAACCACATAAGGGTGACAATGACGAACCCGTGTGGCTCTGGTGACGTGAGAGGCGCGCGACCGGTCTAGGGGAGCGACCGCCGTTATCTATACGGATGCGTGATCTAGAGGTATTCAACAAGGGAGAGAGTTCACTAGGCTCAGCGGTCGAGTGATGTCGTCGATGGTAGGGTCGACGCGAAGCTCGAGGGGAATCGGGTGGCTGTTGCTGGCCGCTATAGTCGTCGCTCTGTTGGGAATCCATCTTGCTAGAGACGGGAGTTTTGGAATATATAGTAGCGAGACGCCGTATGAGTGGCAATTGCTCGACTGCGTCAGACGAGCTGCCGCAAAGCACAGCTCGAGGCGAGTCGAGGAGTTTGGAGCGATCTCGGCCAGGTTGTCGAAGCTGCAAACAGGGCGGGCAGGAGCAGAAGGTCAGGGAGCGCAGAAGGTGGTCAAGGAGGATGGTATTAATATCGTAGGGCCGGGGCGGATCGGAAATGACTGGTAAGTATTGGGTCGCGTCACGGCTTCCCGTGCTTTGCGGATGCAACAGACCTTAAGGATGGAGGTGTGGCCCGGTCACCATCCCATGTTTTCGTATAGACAGACGAGGTTCACGTGGACTTTGAAGTGCGTCTCGAGTCTCTCCACACCAGTCCCTTTGAACCAGTTGAAACGGGTCCGCCAGTGATCAGTGGACCGCGATTGGGCTGGGGAAGCGGGAGAGCATGGCGAAGTGTGCAATGTTTCTCTTACATGTGAAACAAATATAGGCAGAGCTACACAGGATATTGAATAGCTAGAAATATATAGCAAAGCTCTTTGGTGACAACCAAATGTGCCTCGAAACTGACGCAGCTGCAGGCAAAGAGGTACTACACCTCCAAGGTAAGCCCGACAGCAGCCACAGTTACCTGCCGTTGACAGGTGCGGGTCGCACAGCAGGTTAGGTACAAAGGTACAGCGGGACACAACGTGACGCAGTGCTGGGACCTGATGGTGCCATGCTTAAAATTTTAGCGGCTTCAGCGAGGCAACAATGCTGAATTCCGTGCAAAGCGAACGCCAAGAGATGGCGAAGTCACTTGGCCTGAGTACACACCCCCAACCAGCCAGCCAGCCAGTTTTCTAAGGCATCGAAGCCAAGGTGACCACGCAACCCTTCAGTATTGTATTGCAAAGCTTAGGGTTCATGGCTGTATTTAATTTCATTTTATCAACGTGACATGCAGGGCATTACAATGCAGATCTGGCATCATTCCTGCAGGCAATTAATACCTATGTAGGCAAGTACCTACATAGGTACTCAGTGTAGCTTGGCCGACGGGTGGAGACCTCTGTGCTAAAAATGCCAGCCCATTTATCTCTGGCCTTATCTTATCAGCTCCTAAAAATTTCCAACTTCTCTGTCGCAAGAAACTCCATTGTTCGCTTCTCTTCCCAAACCCAGTCACAACTGCGATACTACAAACCCGTCAAGATGGGCAAAAAGAGAAAGGCATCCGGCCGCAATGCCGAGTCTAGTGGTCCGCGAGACTTTGATCCAGCCGACGCCCGCCTGGGCCCTATTTCCACCTACGAGGACGTCGCAAATTCGGAAGATGAGCACTTCCTCAACCAAGATACGATAATGCTCGATGAAGAGCCTGGTAACAAGCGTCGCCGCCAAGAGGATGATATGGAGCTCTCCGACGAAGAGATTCTTGGCTATGAAGACTCAGATTCCGAGGCTGAATTAAACGACGCCGCCCACCCATCCGCGAAGAACACCAAGTCAGGTCTAAGGAAAAAGGCAGATGATAACGAAGACGACCAGGAAGAAGAGGAAGACGCTGGGTGGTGGGGATCTTCCAGGAAAGAATACTACGATGCCGATAAAATCGAAACGGAAGCCGACGCTCAAGAAGAAGAGGTCGAAGCAAAGCGAATTCAGAAAAAGAAGCTAGCAAAGATGCAGGAGGAGGACTTCATCTTTGACAGCCATGAGTGGCTTGCGGCCGACGGTGATGCAGAAGACGGCGGCGAAACTGTAACGGAAGTTCTAAAGGAAGTCGAAATTACTGACGACATGACACCAAAGGACCGACACCAGCTCCTCGTCACACGATACCCAGAGTTCGAGTACTTAGTCACTGAACTCGAGGCCCTGCATCCAATGCTAGCTAAACTCAAAGCGGCCGCCAAGTCAGCATCGGCACAATCGCTGGAGTCCGTCAAGTACTGGGTCCTTGGATGCTATGTTGCTACCCTGGCCAGTTACTTTGCCATCCTCACAGCACCTGCTAGAGACGCCGAGAAAGCCCAGAAGACAACCGACCCATCTGAGTTACGTGAGCACGAAGTCATGGAGACACTTATCCAATGCCGCAATGCCTGGACCAAGATACAAAGTCTGCAGTCTATACAAATCGCTGCTGATAATGACGACGAAAGCGTCCACGATGTCACTGCCAGCGGAGAAATTGTTGTTGAGAAGCCCAGCAAGAAGAAGTCGGCCACCTCCAAGGCTGATGCGGCGAAGAAGAAGGCTGAGCTAGCTCGAGCAAAGGAGATCGAGGCATCCGTTGCCGATCTGTACAACCTTCCGTTATCCAATGGCAAGCCCAATAGAATATCAAGGAAAGTAGTTGCGCCTGTGGAAGATGAGAACTCCGACTTCGGCGAAGAAGATACACTCGACGTCCGAACTGCGGCTCAAAAGGCTGCTCGCAAGAAGAGTCTGAAGTTCTACACATCGCAGATTGTGCAGAAGGCGAACCGCAGAGCCGGCGCTGGACGCGACGCGGGCGGTGACGAGGATATCCCTCACCGCGAGCGTCTCCGTGACCGCCAAGCCCGACTGCTCGCCGCCGCTGAGAAGCGAGGCAAGCGGGACTCCAAGCACGGCGCCGCCCTGGGCGAGGACAGCGACGAGGGCGACGACGTCGCGGCCAAGGCGGTGCGCGGGGAGGAGGACGACTACTACGACATGGTCGCCCACAAGGCGCGGGAGAAGAAGGAGGACAAGGCGGCGCGCTACGCGGCGTACGCGGCGGCCAGCAAGGCCGACCGGGTGGTCGAGATGGAGCAGATCGGCGAGGACGGCAAGCGCAAGATTAACTACACCATCGAGAAGAACAAGGGCCTGACGCCGCGGAGGAGCAAGGACGTGCGCAACCCCAGGGTCAAGAAGAGGAAGCAGTACGAGGCCAAGCAGAAGAAGCTGAAGAGCATGAAGCCGGTCTGGCAAGGTGGCGAGCCAAAGGGCGGATACAAGGGCGAGCAGTCCGGTATCAACGTGGCGGTTGTCAAGAGCACGAGGTTATAAAAGCGTTCATGTCTATAATAAACCCTCATTGTTTCATTTCGGCAACCCGTTTATGATCGATACATTTATCAACGTAGCTGTCACTTTTCAAGTCTGTGCGCCTGACATGGTACCTTTTCGATCGCGCAAAGGATTAGATGCTGGGACACGTGTACTACAATTTTCAGCTGATAGCTCTCTCGATACTCGAAATGCCCATCACAAGCCTGCTCCCTGTTTGCTCATGATGTCTGGCATTCGCGAGTGGCAAAGATCGAGGACGAAATGGGTTCTGACGACGAAGATCACACCGACTTAGGTCACAGTAGCGAGGATAAAGTTGTTCGAGCGGAATACGCCCAGAGATTGGTTTGCCAAGTAGAGTGAGAAGTATTGAATCCCGAGATGACATGGAATAGGACGACTATGTGGCTCATAGGAGTAGATTAGAACATGTATTGCTATTCAATACGATACTTCCTCCCGCCGCGGGCTAGGTTCCCATCTCATGAGCCGGAACCTGCTGCGGCGTCGTCCCCAGCTCCACCAACGGCCGCCGATACGAACCAGGAGTTGCATCGCCGCGCCCCGGCCCGTCCGCCGCGTCTTGACCCTGCGCCGCGCCGCCGACCATCCGCTCCGCGCCGCGCCGCGTCCGGCGGAACAGCAGCACGAACCACGAGGCCACGCCGACAAGCACCACGCCCGCGACGCAGCCGACCACGATCCCGGCGACGCCGCCCTTTCCCAGAGTCGATGCGCGCTGCTGAGTCGAGGTCGAGGCCGTCGGAGACGGCGAGCCAGTGGCCGTGGGGGTGGGAAGGTTGGTCGCCAGTGCTCCGGTGCACCCCCATGACGGCCGCGTCGCTTTGGCTTGGAAGTAGCCCGCCGTGACGGGCGCCAGGGGCCGGTCGGAGGGAGCGCAGGCCGCGGCGAGGAAGGTACCCTGGCTGTTGAAGACGGCGACGCCAAAGTGTGTCCTGTCGCAGCACCACGAGTCTGCGGGGAGGGTCTCTCCAAAGTGCCATAGATCGGAAGCTTGGTCGGCGCACTACACTTCACACGAAGCCAGTTTGTTAACACGCAAGTCTCGGTTCCAGTCTGCTTGTCGTCAGCGGGGAGGGGTCGAAGCGAAAACAGTACTTTTGGGGCATCAACAACCCGTGAGGCGCAATCCTCTCCGTCTGAGCAGCAATAGGCATTGCCGCCACTTATATCGCACCTCGAGTTCGAGGGGCAGCATCTGGTGTTTGCGTAGCCGTCCAGGGTACCGTCGCAGGCGGTCGGAGTGCCGCTGCCGCATGGTCCCGGTAATCTGTTGGCGAAACCACCCGTAAAATTGCAAAATGCAGCCAGACTCGGCTGCAGGATGGCAAGCATCGCCAAGGTCGAGGCATGAGGCTGCATGTCTTGGTCTGAATGGGGTCCTAGCGAAAGCAGGGAGTTGCAGCTGGGATCTAGAAACTGATGATCCATACAACTACGCCGCGACCCTAGCTTATGGGAAAGTATTGGCATCGTGAGATAGATGACTATGGATGGGCTTTTGTACGAGGATTAAGACCAGGATCTATGAGGGTTGTCGCACCGAGCGCTGACAGGCTGCTCGGGCGATAGTCAGCTCCTAGCATGCATAGCAGGCAGCAGTCGCAAATTACTTCCGAGTATAGCCAATATGCAAGAAATCCCGCTCGACAAGAGATCGACTCATGAATTTCTCTTCCGCGATGTGTTTGGCTCTGGTCGTAGGAACGGCCTCGCCCGCCCTAAAAGAGACGATGGATAGTCTCGACAAGTTACGACCAAACAGAGAAAGGATGCGGCGAAAGCCATTTTGGTTGATTGCTAACAAACTACTAACAAACTACTAACAAACTACTAACAAACTCAGAAGATGGTTCTTCTTGCCAGCCATAGCTGCGCTCTACTCGCCCTCTTCCACCGGTACCTCTTCCTCGTATTCCTCCTCATCGTCGGCAGTTGCATCCTGGTACTGCTGATATTCAGAGATGAGATCCTTCATATTAGATTCAGCCTCAGTGAACTCCATCTCATCCATGCCTTCGCCAGTATACCAATGCAAGAATGCCTTGCGGCGAAACATGACGGAGAACTGGGCGTCAACGCGCTTAAAGATGTCCTGAATAGAGGTGGAATTGCCGATAAAGGTGGAGGACATCTTGAGGCCCTTGGGGGGCACAGTACACAGGGCATTCTGGATGTTGTTGGAAATCCAGTCGACGAAGTAGCTTGAGTTTTTGTTTTGGACCTTGCGCATCTGGTCTTCAACCTCCTTCATCGCAACTTTGCCACGGCTAACAGACAGTCAGTCAGTCAGTCAAGCACAGGGTTTCATAGCACTCTAATATTAAAAACGTACAAGATGGCGCAGCAGGTCAGGAAACGGCCGTTGCGAAAGTCGGACGCGGCCATCATGTTCTTCGGGTCAAACATTTGCTGCGTGAGCTCGGGGACGGAAACGGCCCGGAACGAATGCGAGCCGCGGCCGGTCAAGGGAGCGAAGCCGACGGTAAAGAAATGGAGGCGAGGAAATGGCACCAAGTTGACAGCCATTTTTCGCAGATCCGAATTCAGCTGGCCGGGAAAGCGAAGGCAAGTCGTGATGCCAGACATGACCACGGACACTAAGTGGTTGAGGTCGCCATAGGACGGGTTGGCAAGCTTGAGAGTTCGGGAGCAAATGTCGTAGAGAGCCTGGTTATCGATGCAGAACGTCGCGTCCGAGTTTTCGACGAGCTGATGTATCGACAAGGTGGTATTGTACGGCTCGACAACCGTGTCAGAATTGCCTGGAGATGGGACGACTGAGTACGTCGCCATCATACGATCGGGGAACTCCTCGCGAATCTTGGCGATCAGTAGCGTGCCCATGCCAGAGCCAGTGCCTCCGCCGAGGGAGTGCGTGATCTGGAAGCCTTGGAGGCAGTCGCAGCCTTCGGCTTCGCGGCGGACGACGTCGAGGACCTGGTCGACGAGCTCGGCGCCTTCCGTGTAGTGGCCCTTGGCCCAGTTGTTGCCGGCGCCGGACTCGCCGTGGACCATGTTATCCGGACGGAAGAGCTGGCCGAGGGGGCCGGCGCGAATGGCGTCCATGGTGCCGGGCTCGAGGTCGATGAGGACGGCCCGGGGAACGTAGCGATCGGAGGCCTGACGAAGGAGAAGGTTATCAGCAACAACGACGAATAGCAGGATCTCCGATGGGATTTTTTTAAACCCTTCTCCCCTGGCTTACCTCATTGAAATAGACGTCCATGCGCTCAAGCTGGAGGTCAGAGGAGCCATGATATGCACCTTGGCTGTCAAGGCCATGTTCAGCCGAGATGGTCTGCCAAAAGGCACTTCCAATTTGGTTGCCCTGCACGCGCAATGTTAGATTTGCACTTGCCCACAGTCATTCAAGGATGCTTGTAATATTGTACATACACACTGGCCGGTTTGCAAGTGGACCTATCAATATCATCGAGGCAATTGTTAGCAACGTGTAGAAGTGAGTGCCCAGCTACATCGGTGACTTCGCTTGACTTACGATCTCACGCATTGCGGCGACGGAGTTTACTCAAGGTATCGAGTAATATAAAAGGGTCCAAACGGGATGTTTTGGTCGGTCACGGAAGAAAACAACAGAAAGGGGATTGGAAGAAGTACCACGGGCTCTGGTGTGTGTGACTTTGAGGATGCGGATGATGTTTTCTCCTTGGAAAAGTCAGCTGACTTTTCATCTCTTTCCTACAGGCCTCTGAGAGACATTTCGCGGCGTGCCTCAAGAACCCGCGTTCCGGCTGCTGCCTTGGCCAGCCGCCGCCAATATTGACACGAGCGCGCCGCGGGTTGCCAGACAAGGACGACATGGTATCTGCATCCATCCGCAAAATAACTATAGATGGTTCCACCATCTCTTGTCAGGCAGCCACGCGTTTGCAGGCCGGGAACTGAAGGATCGGTTCCTCCCGGCGGGCTGCTGCAAGGCCACACGAAAACCATCGCCTGACTGCTCTGTGCGTGTGGATCATCAATATAGGCCGACGAACAGCCCGTCGCGTGTGAACAGAGCCATTTGTACGACATGATAGGACTGGTTAGGCAGCAATGTTCCAAAAAATGCTGACCGGGGAAAACAGGATCCGGCAAAGACCAGTCGACCCGGCCAGATACAACTTTGAGTCTTCCAGCCGCAACAGTACACAAGTCTCTAGAGCAAGACACTGCGATGCGAGAGTAGTCCGCAGAGAAGGCATGCCGGCGACAAAGCGACAAATATCGAACCAGACGGATGATTCAACGTTCACGTCATTGTGGTCTTGATGTTGCTGCCTAGAATTAATATTTACTATATCGGCGGGAAGTTAGTTGGTATAGGTAGGATAACGCCTCCGGCGTGCATGATATTTCTTAGGTACAAAGGCTTCGGTTTCTTCTAGCGGCATATTTTTGTTTCTCCTGCTCAATAATGTAAAGCTCCAGAAATACAAGCCTCTCATCAAGCCGGGCGGCATAAACTACGATCATGTCTGTAGTGAATTGCATAAATTAAATAAATAAACTCTCTTTTGCCAGAAATTCAAGTACCTACAGTACCTCTGTGCCTGTGAGATCCAATGGAAGATGGAAGTGCAGACGCATTATCTATGCCCCACCAAACAGCGATGGGCAGTGGCTAGTACAATTCCCCACTGTACCTATTAGTTACAGTGCAGATTATAGTGGCTTGCTACATACATGACAGGTCTGTACGGTTTGCTTCCAGGGCAATTTTTTATCTGGCAACGCCTAGGTACGGATAATAGCTCCACGTCAACACCTTACATCCGACAACGCCAGACAACAAATCCATACAACAGCAGCCGTCCCACGGTCACTTTCAAGCCATCATGCCGAATCTATAGCTCATTCTCCAGGTCTAACAATACAAACACATGCCATCACAAATCCAATTCATCCGCTCACGACCGACAGCCTCCCATAATGGCATCCCGCGACCCCTCGACCTACCAGAGCTCAGAGGAGATCTTCTCTTCGACGCTGACGCTCCCTCAAATCCGCTCTCTTCATAAATCGCTCCATCTTCAGATTGATGAAAAGTCCAGCCGACTCCGAAGCCAAGTTGGCGGCTCGTACAGAGAACTGCTGGGCACAGCCGATGCCATTGTCCGCATGCGACAGGACAACGACGAGGTACAGCATGTCCTAGCCACCATGGGCGGCCGTTGCGGGCGCACAGTTGTCACATCCAAAGCTGCCAACCTGAGCAAGTTCGTATACAAGCAAGAGAGCCCTTTTGCGTCGGTAGCGACAAGGCTGCGTCTTCTCGAGGCATGTGCGCTGGTGTCGGAGCGCATCCTCAAGGGCGGCAGCGGGCCCGGCGACGGCGCAACGAGAGGCGATCGGTTGATCCTTGCAGCAAAGATTCTCGCCCTGAGCAGACTTGTCATCAAGAGCTTCGGCGACGGCGCCGCCGACGCTGATGCCCAAGCCGCCGCAGACGCACTCAAGAAGACGCTGGATACGCTCCGCAGACGTCTGAGGAGACGCGTGGAAAAGACTCTCGAGAAACCTGGCGATGACTCACACCGGCCCGATATATTGAAGGCTCTTTGTGTTCCCAGTCTCACGTCAAGCTCCGGTGCAAAGGACGCCTTGCGATTCTTCCTCGAGGCCCGCAAGAATGCCATGACGAGGGCATTTGACATCGCAGATGGTGAACGATTGCGAACGCTAGAAAACGTCGTGCATGCCCTGCGCGTCTACACGCGAACACTGCTGGACGTACAAGCGTTATTACCCACCAAACTTCCCGAAGCCTTGTCCGACCTCAAGAAGCATCCGCTCGTCCAAGATTCTGCCTTGCAACGCATCGAAAACTTGCGACTAGATGTATATGGACGATGGTGTACGGAAGAACTTCAGTATTTTACGCCATTCATCCGGCACGACGACCTCGATGGCAAGCAAGCGCGTGAAATGCTAGCTAGCTGGGCAGAGCATGGGTCCCAGTGCTTACTTGATGGTCTGAAGCAGACGTTGGAAGAAATGACAGACTACAAGCATATCATGGAGCTCCGCACAAAGGTGCTTCAGCTCTGGATACGAGATGGCGGCAAGGCTAGGGGCTTTGACCCCCAGGAGATGCAAGACGATCTACGCCAAGTCATCAATGCTCGCATGCATGCTGTGCTCGAGAGCAAGGTATCCAAGCTTCGAATAGTCGGCTCCGAAGTCACGGCTACGCTTCAGGGTTGGGAAGTTGGAGTCACCGATAAGCAACCCGAGCTCTGGGATCAGCCTGGGTATGACGATGCCCTAGCTATTGGTGCGGCGCCTTTCCTCCAGGAAGTTGCGTCTCGCTTATACGGAAGAAACAATGCTGTCTCCAAAGCTGTCCACAGCTACATGTCGTGGTACAAAGTCATCGATGACATCACGGATGTTGTTGACGCGCTCAAGAAGCAGCGCTGGGATAATGACTACGACGAAGTGGAAGACGAAGAGACCATTGAAGCAAGGCAGCAAGTGCTAGGCAAGAAGGATCCTAAGCAGCTACAAGACAAACTCGACGCCGCATTGGACAAGACATACAAGGAGCTAGAAGCTCACCTCACAGAGCTATGGGAGAAGGAGAGGCATCAAAAACACGGCGGCGGCATTGCGGCGTATTTCTTGCGTATCATTCGTGACATCCGGAGCAAGCTGCCCGACCGCGCTGCAGTACAGAGGTTCGGGCTTGACATGGTGCCGTCCTTGCACGACAGGGTCGCCCAAGATGTGGCAGATGCAGCCATCAAAGAGTTCGCCGTATCGGGACTGTCCGTCCGGGTCGTCACCGGCAAATCACTTTGGGAGGGTGACCCATCCATCCCCAATCAGCCCTCCCCTGAGCTGTTCAACTTTCTGCATAATCTCTCAACCACCATGTCGGAACTCGGTATCGACCTGTGGACCCCGGGAGCTGTCAAGGCATTGAAACAGAGGCTTGGTACTGGGCTACGTGCCGCGTGGGCAAAGGAGCTGGAAAGTCTTACCGCCAAGGGTTCGACGGATGTCGAGAGTAACAAAAAGTCGTCAAAGAAGAAGAAAAGGATGGGCAATACGTCTCTAGATGAAGCGGATGAAACTGAAAAGGTGGAAACCGCCAGTGAAAAATCAGCTGAGGAGAGAGTCGGTGATGACGAAGAGAAGAGCAGGCATTACGAAAAAGGTGACCCAGAACTGGTCAAGGACATATGCACGCAATGGCTATTCGACATTTCTGTATTGCAGAACTGTATGGGAAGCGGCGGAACTGCTAAAGAGGAGCTGCTGCGCGTCGCAGAACAGGTATTCAAGCTCACAGGCATCGAAGATGAGTCGGCGCGCAAGGGCATAGTTAAGCAGGCCGGCGAGTTCTGGCAGCGCATTAGCCTATTGTTTGCTTTGTTGGCATAGACACTACATAGATAAAATCACCCATGCAATAGACGAGACAACAACATGGTTCAACCATTATTTACATCATTCGACGTGGGTCTCATGCCACTCTGCCTACAGCTTATGCCGCTTCTCCCCCGAGGCGAGCTTGCGAAACTCCTCCTGCGGGATACCCTTGACGAAGCGCTGCAAGCCAGCCATGACCTCCTTCGAGTTCTGCGCCTCGAGTATCGCCCTCTCCGGCGCCTTCAGCAGCGCCTTGATCCCCGTCATGCTCTCCCCGTTCAAGTGCTCCCCCATCGTCTCCTCCACCTCCTTCAGGACCCGCGCGTGAAACGCCTCCCAGCTCGGCTCGTCAAACACCGCATTCGCGAACCCGCACGCCAGCAGCGCCTCGCCGGCCCCAGCCGCAGCGCCAGCGCGCGCGACGCGCCCCCCTCCGCGACCAGGCCGAGCGACGAGAAGGGTGTGAGCAGGAAGGTGTGCGGCGCGCAGTAGACGAAGTCGGCGTGGCCGACGAGCGCGGCGGAGAGCCCGACGGCGGGCCCGTTGAGGCCGAAGACGAGCACCTTGGGGTGTTCGGCGAGGGCGAGGGTGGTGTTGAGGTTGAAGGCGGAGAAGTTTTGCAGCCAGTAGGCGTGCGCCTCCTGGGGGTCGGTGGGCGTGGCCCGGGTGATGCTGACGTCTGCGCCGCTGTTCAGGGTCAGAGAGGGCGGGGGGAGGCGACCGGAGGGAGGAAAAGAAGAAAAAAGGGGACGTACGCGGAGAAGAAGCGGCCCTTGCCCATGATGACGGTCACGAAGACTTCGTCGTGCTTTTCAATCTCGCGCAGAGACTGGGCAATCTGAAAGTAGTACTGCTGCGTCAGGGCGTTGAGCTTGCTCTGGTTGTCGATGGTGATGAGGGCCACGCGACCGCGGTACTCGAGGTTGATGACCTTGTCCGCCATGGTAATTGGTCGTCGCAGAAGTGAACTTCGTGAAATGACAGGCAGGGGGATGTCGAGATGCAGATCCTGTGGAAACGAAAGACGTCCACGCACGGCCGAATTGGTGGTATACAACCAGTAATTATAATCTACAAATTTCAAATTGGTTGGTCCAGCGGGACTTCAAGTCAATGAGAGCGATGCGAATGAACTTTGACAAGGGGGATGTTTTATATCTTGCCGACAGAACCGCCTTCCCCCACGGAATGAGTTCCCCAGAGCCGAGGCTACCTTGCCTCCCAGGCGTACAAGGTGGGCCCGGAGACGGCGCCGTCATCTTAGCTCGGTGGCTTTCCCGCCGTCAGTTTACTTGTCCATGGAAAATGGACAAATCATGGTCATGGTCATCACTGTTGATGAGGAGAAAGTTAGTAGCCGAAAGGCGACATGGTGGCGGCTGTAAGCTTGCGCAGCACCAGCAGCGCCACCTACCTGTACCCCAGTCCCGCTCTCGAGGGAATCATCACCAGCATTGACGTGGAAACAGAAGTCAGTTGGGTGTTCAATATAATCATCATTCCGACAGGTCCCAAGGTAAAAGAGCAAGTCTATAAACGCCGTGAAGCAGTGCTTTTCCCTTTCTGCTGTACAAATGCCATTTTCCCTTTTTACAAGCATTCTGCACATATAACTCAAAACAGCAATTCTCTCAAACGCCGTGGAGCAGTAGTCTCCCCGTTCTGCAATGCAAATGCAATTTTTCCCCCTTCACAAGCGTCCTCCCTCTCTGCATATACGCACACGTCGCCTGCAGCCGCTTTCATCTGCGCTGCTTCTGCTTCATCTTTCTCTGCTTCGGGAACTCGAGCGGCAGGGTCATTCGCGCAACCGACGTCGCGCGGCCTCCGTGCTCCCTGCCCGAGACGGGCTTGATGCGCGCACCAATCTCGCGGAAGTACTGGTTCATGGTTTTGTCGTCGATGCCCAGGTCCAGCTGCAGCTCATGCGTGGCTACCTCAAAGTTGTCCACGATGCACGCAAACGCGCAAATGTGCGTGATGAGCAGTTCCGTGTGGAACTTGCGTATTTGACCGCGGTCCGAGAACTTGCGGCGGAGGTTCTCGATGACGGCCTCGGGGGCCGGCGCGAGCGACTCGCGCAGCTTCTCGCGCGTCGGGACACTCGCCTCCCGCTTCTTGCTGGACTTGGTCTCGCGATAAAAGGCGAGGGCGAATGAGAGGTAGCGCAGCACCCGCAGGCGCTCCTCGGCGGCGTCGTTGGCGGCGAGAGCGCTGATGCGCGCGGCGACGTATCGTGATGTCGTCTGGATGTTCTCCTTGCGGCGTGCCTTTTCTTGCCACTCGCGGATGGGCAGCATCTGGAGGATGTCGTCGCCAATGATCGCACCGGGGGCGTAGACGTCCTGAATGTCGTCCGCATCCACGTTGGCAATCGGCCGAGGCTTTGCTTCGTCGACAACAGCCTGCAGCTGCTGTTGGGTGGACATGTCCGCAACATTCTCGCCAACTGATTGGAGAATGGCGCGAGATGCGTCGTCCATCTCGATTGTTTGGCCGTTGGCCTTCTTTTGTGATGGGATGGCGTTGAGTACGCGCTGCTCGATGGCCTTCTTGGCTTTTTTCGTTCCGAAAGTTTGACTGAGGTCCGCCTTGAGATCCAGCATGCTCTTACTGGCGCCCTTCTCCTCCGTGGCTTCTGCGGGCCTGTCTCTAGCACGTACAACAGTAGTCAACTCCGCCCTCTTCGAACGGATGAGCTCGACCTCTCCAGTCTTTGGGTCGACAATGCCGAGCCAGTATGTCAGACCTGGTTCTTCTACCTCGCGAAGGGTATAATTCATGACGGGATGGGAGCGCGCGGTCCATACTCTTTCCCTCTCAAACACTTGCTTGGCTCGCTCGTCGCTTTTCGGATCGCGTTCGTGAAAGACTAGGTCGGCTGGCACTTCGAGTTCAGGTGCGTCGTCTATGCAAGTTAGCTTCCAAGGCCGTGGTTGTAAGGCTTGCAATGGTATCATACAGAATAAGGGGACCTGAGACCCGGACTCTATCACCTTGGTGACCTTGAGTTTTGTTGGACGACCATCAACGGCGACCCTTTTGGTCGACTTTACAGCTGAGTCCGCTGGCGCTTTGCGCTTCTTGCCGTCTGCTCGAGCCATGGCGAACAAATCGTTGATATGAGCTTGATGCGGATGAGCTGGTGAGGGCTTCCAACTTTTTTTTTCTAGATCCCAGCCTTTGGAGGAAAATTGACGGGCCGCACTGGTCAGGCCGGTGAGCGCCCCACAGAACTAAACTTGGTACCCCACTACCTACCTAGCTTATGAGTTACCAGGGTCCTGTGATGGCAGGGAGAAAATTTACAGAAATTGAAGATGAAGAAGTAGGACAAGATGGATGTGTGGCTTAATAAGAGCTGTAGATACGAAGATCACATTCAAGTTGGCCGTCTGGTCAATGTCGCACCAGGTTACCCCTGCCCTGCAGCGCGGGGGTCAGATCATCAATTTGCAGGTCACGAGAGCACCAAGGTCAACGATGTTTGTTTCAAGAGCAAATCTGGAATTGTTGTCGAGCTACGCGATGCGTTCAAAACGTGCGGTGTATGGCAGCTTGCTCATATCTCGAGGCGATCTCAAAACGCCGACTGGTACCCGACTGTTTTCTTGTCCATTACCCATCCGTCGCACCATTGGGCGAAACTCCGAGGCTACCTGTAACGCCGTCGTGCCATTCCCCGTGTGAATTTCCTGATTAAAAAAAATCCTCGCGAGGATTTGTGGTCGCGGCAGAGACAGTTCCTGAACCGTCGTAACATATGCCCATGGGAGCGTGTCGTAAACTCATGAAAGATGCGTCAAGTCAGGTAGAAGTGCGAGTCGTTTATTTCCTTTGAGCAGTTAGCGTCGAGCGCAAGGTCGCCGACAACGGTTGCAAGCACTTACGATCTGGCCCTCATCTTTCTTCTCTTGCGCTTAAGGCGCCTGACGCGCTTCTTTCTCCATTTGGCTCTCATCTTGAACGACGAATCTGCGGAATGTTAGCTCGGCTTCGCATGATTGATTTAGTCGCAACAAGAGTTTGCATTGCACAGAGAGCCACTTCCAATTGGCTCTCCAACGCAAGCTTCCTCGTTGTCGTCGCCTCGAATTGGTAGCACTCACTTGTCCTGGGATGAGAATCGTTGTTGGATAAGGAACAACTCAGAAGGAGGGGGGGGCGAAGTTTCCGGCGATTAAGCTACTTTCAGTAGGGCACAAAACCCCCAAGCGTCACGTGTGGGTGCTCGCCTGTTTTTGGCTTACCCCCTCGTCCGTTCATTGGCTAGCGGGGCTGTTATGACGCAGAGATGGTGCTCCACCCACACAAACGCGAGTGCCACTGGAAGCCTGAGGTTGAAGAGCTGCGACGAGAGACGTTTGCGTGTGGCAGCTGGCGGTGCGGTCGACTGTCCGCTGCCAGTCTGCTGCGTTTGCTCTTGTTATTTCGATTCCAAATGTAATTCCATTCTGTCGTTTCCTTTCACTGGTAGCTGTGCATGTTTTAAGGAATTTCTACATGGTGCCGCTTCAAGAGCACTAAAGAACATTGCGCACCGACTTACACGCCATTGGATTGGCATCAGGCGACAAAAAATGCAGCTTGTAGATCGAGGCGACGCCCCAGCTTCGATAGGGCATTCCAAGCACATAGCAGGACGCCTCTACCACACGGATTCTCGAATTCAGCCTCACATTAGCCGTCAGTCACTTCCGAAGCACAATCTGCAAACACTCGAGGGCTCGCAGTGTGTGGATCTCGCTTACCAGGGCACAGAAGAAATTGTGCTGAGCAACAGAACAATACTCAAGATTGGGCGAGACGAGCGGGCGAAGTGAGCATCCTAGACGAGGAAGTGGTATCTATCTAATATATTGCAGTTCGTTTTTAATTGGTCAAGACGCTGAGAACTACGTATCGAGAAAGCACTGCGAAGTCTACGTCGTCCTCTACGAACTCGGTATAAGTCATGTGTACGTTCGAGATCGCAAGTCCTGCAACGGGACCTACGTAAATGGTCTCTGCATTGGAGACTCTTGGCAAGTTTCGTCGGGCCATCTCTTGGCCGATGGCGACGTAATCACAATCCAGCCGTACTGGCAGTTCCTGTTCAAGCAGGAAGCGCTCGCGCCAGAAGAGCCACTCAGCACCCTACAGGCGCAGGAGTCACAGGTGCGCAGGTAACTTTGGCGGCCATGGAATTATTAACCACGTATGAGTTTCGCTGACTGTAAAAGCTCTTCCAAGAGAAATACACCATTCTGCCCCGGGTGCTCGGTGCAGGGAGCCAAGGGTGCGTCCACCTCGCCGTCAAGACAGCGTCCAGGAAGCAGCTGGTATGCAAGATTATAAATTTGAAGCAGGCAGGTGTCCGCGGGCGGCAGCAGTCGCCTCAAAAGATGCTACAAGAGTCCGAAATATTGCGTCGACTGAAACATGTGCGTTTGTTGGGACTTGTTCTTCACATTTACTAACTATTGCGGCAGCCCAACATCCTAACCTACGTCGACGCGCTGTGGTCCCCGCATACCCTGTAAGAGCCAACAGTATGTCATGGCGACGATTTATTAACGTCACAGGTACATTTTCACGGAGTTGGCATCCGGAGGTGACTTATTATCGTATATTAACCAACATGACATAATTCCGGAGTTTGACACACGTATTTTGATGCGACAAATTACTCGAGCCCTACTTTGGCTTCACAAACGCAATATCATACACAGAGATCTCAAGCCTGAGAATATACTTCTCGCATGCTCCCCAAAAGTTGCCTACCAGCGTGTTATGCTATCCGACTTTGGATCCTGCGCACTGCCCCTCAGTAACAAACTCAAGACGAACGTTGGGACGCAAAACTTTCAAGCACCGTAAGCTGGCGTCGTCTCGCCCACCGCAGCTACTGACTGTTACCGTACAGCGAGGTCTTGAGAGGAGAGGAGCAAACCGCCGCTGCTGACATCTGGTCGCTTGGTGTTATTTCAATGCTGCTAGTGTCCGGCTGCGGACTCCCTGGGATCGATGGTCTGGCCCGACTTGACCAAAGCTCTCTTGGAAAAACGCTGGACGCCGTAAGCGCCGACTGCGAGCAGGCGTCCGCCAACGCCAAGGACTTCATCCTGCGCTGCATGAAGATCAAGGCCAGCGACAGAATCACCTCCACCGACGCGTACTGCCACGACTGGTTCCACACACCGACCAGCCACCTCGAATTCTTCCAGAGGCTCGACGCGCGGACGACCGCCCTGTAGGACGAGGGCGAGCGGCCTCTGCCGACGCAGCTGCCGGACGTGCTGGAGCAGAGCCGGCCGCAGCGACTCTCCAGCATCATCGACTATCATCCGCTGGCCGTCGAAAGCTATGCACAGATTGGCAGGGCCAATTTGGTGCAACGCGTGGCGGCGACGACGTCCAGAAAGAGGCAGCGCATAGTCAAGATTCATCGCCGGGGCAAGCAACCGTGTACACACGGGGACGATTCACCGGCAACCGGCGCCCGAGACGGCCGCGTTCAGGTTCTGGCGGAGCTGAAGAACACAAGTAGCAAATTTTTGAACGTATAATCTGGATGGGATGGGGCGAGCAAACAATTGCAAGAACAACCGATGCACTTTTCAGCAACATGCATTTGTAGCTACATTTCATTACGCATAACCTAATCTTAGCACATTGCTTGCTCTCCTGTCTCCGTCCTTTTGCGCAAAATCCAACGGTTCTAGAGCAGGATACGTCTCATCCTGCGCACGCTCTCTCATCAGCGGCTCCAGAAGCACCTTGACCTGCTCCAGCTGCTCCTTGGCGTCCTCGTGAGCTTCCAAGACGCTCACATCCTCCAGCGCCGTCCTCCTCTCCTCCTCCGTCAGCCGTCGTCCGCGCTCCCTCTCAACCGCCCTCGCAATCCCCGGCGCCCCCCCCTGCTCCCAGCCATACGCTACCAGCCCCCCCCTACGCACCACCAGCACCTGGTCCGCCTTGCCCTGCTCGTCCAGAAACGCCGCCGCGCTCAGCAAGCCGGCGTACGAGTCGTCATGCACGCGCACCGGCGTCAGCCGCGGCGGCATCCCCCCCCTCGGGCGCGCCTCCGGCCTCGCGCCGTAGAAGCGACTCAGCACGCCGAGCCGCGACAGCGCCGCCGGCACGGCCAGCACCACCCCAGCGGCGGGCGTCCGGGCCGGTGGCGGGGGAGGCGTGCGCGGGCGGGAGGTGCGAGTAGGACGGGTGGTACGTCTTGAAGGTGTCGGCGATGAGGTGCGCCGGGGCCGGGGCGGTGGAGGAGAGGAGGAGGGCACGGAGGATGGCGGGCGCGAGGAGGGTCTTGCCGGCGCCGGTCTGGCCGACGGTGAGCACGGCGAGGGGGACGCGGCGCGTCGAAGCGGAGGCGGAGGAGGAGGAGGCGGAGGCGGAGGCGGGGAAGGTGGCCGGGAGGATCTGCTCTTGGAATATGCGCTGGGAATCGGCGTCGCTGAGGCGATAGGAAGAGAGGTCTGGTGGAGGAGGCATGATTCTTGTGGTCTTTTCCCCGCTTCTGTACGGATTTTGATGACAGAGCGATGCGTTAGTTCATGGATGGGTGAGGTGATGATGTGTCTGAGCGGGTGGGGTGGGTGGTTTTCACTTCAGTTTCGAAAGTGCACAGAGGTTGGCTGAACTGCTCTATCGTACACAATTAAATTGACAGAAATGATTTTAGAAGCAGTTTGGGTGTCAAATTTCTGAAGATGCTTCTGAATCAGTCCGGAACCTGGATGTGCTTCTTCTTTCCCTTCTTCTTCTTCTCCAGCGTCCTCTAACGCGGCATCCCACATCGGAGGGTTGTAGCTTTCCGCCCGTGTCATGCCGCATCTGTAACCGGGAGACGGCATATTAGACCCATCGCTCTTGACATGGTGTGTCTTTTCTCCAGGATACCGGGCCTCTTATCCACTTGTGATTACAACAGTCCTGTGGGCTTGCTCCTCTTGCCTCCCGCCCCGTCATCAAGTCGTTCGTTGAAGATCCCCAGGACGTTGCACAACTGTAGAAACGTCTTTGACACGATGTACCAAGGTCTCTCGAGAGGCAGGCAATCTTGCCAGATAATCGCTTTGCCCTAGTTTCATCCGACGGCTTATACTGCTAATTTCGAGGAGGGACTCGTGGCAAAGGACTATGCCAATCCTAGTACTAGACATGCGCAATTAGCAGATTACACTGTCGTTCTCAGGGGTTGCTTCCTTCATCCCATATTGCCGACCTGTATGGTCAGCCGCAAGCACTATTTTAGTAACAAGCTAGCGCATAAAACGAAAAAGAGTACCCTGACGACATCTGAATGCACAAAGGCGGTGCATGAAAAGGAATCCCTACTTTTCAGTGCATGCAGCTAGGCTGTATTTACCAACCCTGAAACCTGACGTGATAACAAGAGCGTATACTGACGATTAATTCTCTATAAAATTTGTCATGTGATTCTTGCCAAGACGGCACCGTGGAAGCTCACGGGAGGTACAAATGTATCACTTTGCTGACTTACGACATGTTCCATGTGGTCAAAGGCGCTGGCTAGTGTCTGAGAAGAATAAATTCAGGGAGGCAGCAGACATTAAATCATCTGCCATCTGCTATAAATTAAGGCTTCTCACAGTGCGCTGGCCGGGCTTTTCTCCGGCGCCAGGTCGTCCCCCAGGGAACCCTTCGATACACAGTGTGTGGCAAAGACGAGGCTAATCTCGGAAGCGTCTTGCCAAAATTCCGAGCCCTGTACCAGCCAAGAAGACGAGGATGTAATTTCAGTTGCTGAGTTTCTTATGATGAGTTTCTTATGCTGAGTGTCTTATGCTGAGTTTCTTATGCTGAGTTCCTTACTCGCTCTGAGTCAGTCTGCGGATACATAAATTCACAACTCGAGAAAATTACATTGACTTGACTAGGCCCCCCTAATAAGTTATAATAAAGTACCACGCTAGTAGGGGTACTGCTAAGGCCGTTTTTGTGCCTATAAATTCCCTTTCTACACATGTATGTCGCAACTTAGAAAAAGGTACTCGCCTAGAGCTGGTAGAGGAATTTTACTGGCTTATAATATGTCCTTCTGACTCGAATACAGATCATTGGTCTTGAATCGGAGAGTACATTGTTAGGCTAACCTATAGAGCACTCCGCAGGCGTTTATTCCGCCCCCGTCGAGTCAGCAGAACGAGTAAGAAAGAAACTCAGCATCAGGGCCTTGGGAGCAGTCCGACTCGGCCGCTTCCGGTCGGAACTGGGCGTCTGTCACCATTTCTTGACCCGGCCGGGCAACACTTCCGTCGATGCTCTCGTCACCACTCTCATCCCCTGGCCATTTACCACCATTGCGCAGACGTATCACGGAAGGTGTTGCTCATGCAGTGCAGGTCGCCAGCCTTGGTGTGAATCCTCCACTCCTCCAGGAAATCGACAGTGGTGAAGCCGGCCTTCCTGTAGGCGGCGGCGGCGGCCTCCTCGAATATGTCCTTGCCGTCGATGACGGGGCCGAAGGGCTTGGGGGCCAGGTAGTGCGAGTCGGACAGGGGCACGCCGTTGACGAGGCTGGGCAGGACCGAGTTGTAGCGCGGGGGCTTCTTGCCGCCGGCGGCCTGACGGCGCTGCTCGGTGGAGGTCTCGGCCTCGGGCTCGTCGTCGTAGTCGCCGTCGTCGGAGACGTGCGAGGGGAACTTGTCGAAGAACTCCTTGTCGAGGGCGGCTTCGGAGGCCTCGTCGCGGGCGCCGATGCCGCGGCGGCGGAGGCCGGACCACTCGTGGTAGGTCTTGGTCATCTCGTAGCGGCTGATGAGGGAGGGGACGCGGTGGATCTCGGCGTCGGTGATGCCCGTCTCCCGCTTGAGGATCTCGAGGTTGGCCTCCATGGCCTTGGCGGCGACCTCGGTGGCGACCATGTTGGAGTCCTTCTTGAGGAAGTTGTCAATGGTCGGGCCGGCGCGGGCCGGCGCGGGCCGGCTGATGACGCGGGCGCTGGCGTGGCCGGCGGCCTGGGCGTCGCGGAGCATCTGGAGGCCCATCGCGGGGTCGATGGCGATGATGGCCCAGCCGCGCTCCGTCTTGGCCGGCACGGCCTGCACCATCTCGTCGACGTGCTTGACGGTGAGCCAGGTCGAGTCGAGCACGAGCGGCGCCTGCATCTCCTGGGCCGCGAAGTAGTCCATGCTGTTGGGCAGGTGGTCACGGTCGCCGCCGACGATGATGCGGCCGGCGGGGAACCTCTTGCCGTTGAGCTCGTACGGCGGGATGGCCTCGAGGTTGCCGCCGGCGTTAAAGTCGGGGCCGCGCCTGTACAGGTCGGTCGGGCGGTTCGGGGCGACGGCGCCGACGCCGTCGCCGCGGAGGGTGGTGTAGAGGACGGCGGTGGAGTAGGTTGAGGGGTCGTGAAGGGCCTCGAGGAGGACGCGGATCGCGACGGCGGTGCCGTTGGGCCCGGGCATGCTGGCGTACGTGGGCTCGAAGAAGTCCTGCGCCCAGGCCTCTTTGGTGGCGAGGCGGGTGAGCCCGCCGGCGATGCCGGCGGCCTTGACGCTCGCCTGGATGCCATCGAGGATGGTGTCGAGGTAGGTCTTCATCTGGCCCTTGAAGCTGTTAAAGTCGGACGTGAAGACCTGGCTGACGGCCTGGCGGTGGTGGTGCATCAGCACGGGCGCGACGCGCAGCATGACGCTGTCCTTGGACTCGGCCTGGCCGTCGCGGACGCTGAAGTCGATCTTGACCCGGCCGTCCCACTCGGGGCGGCGAGTGTCACGCGCGTCCACGCCGAGGGTCAGGCCCTGCTTGAGGTCCTGGGCCTTGAAGACGGTGTCGTTGTTGACAATCTCCCACTTGCTGCCGTCCTTGCGGAAGACGCGGACGAGGGCACGCGACTTCTCGTCCGCGACTGTGATGGTGCCGGTGGCGTCGTCGCTCAGGCCCGCGATGGGCACGGTGAGCATCGGTGCCAGGTTCTGCGGCGCGCGCTGCGTGTCGTCGCTCGCGTCGTGACACGTGCCGAGCGTGTCGTAGAGCTTGCCGAGGTCAAACGGGAGGTCGAAGCCGGTATGCAGTTTCTTGCAGCGGTCGCCCGAGTCGCCGATGTTGGGCAGGAAGATGGCACCGGAGGCGTCGCTCCAGGTGTCCTTGCCGGCCTGGTCCGAGGTGCCGTCGACGTCGACGATGCCGTCCCGGTTGGTGTCGACACGGATATCGGCCTTGGACGCCGTGGGGCCGGCGGCAGCGAGGGCGGCAAGGCCGGTCAAGACAATCGCGTTTGACTTCATTGCGGCTACGGGTTGGATGCTTGGGCTGTTCAGGTCGTGATGGCTGGGGCAAATGAATGGATATGGCTCAATTGGGCCACACAGAAAAGAGTGTCTAAGTTGGTTGGGGTTGGACAAGGAAGGAGAAGGGCTTCTGGAGTTCTCTATAAATAAAAACGGCTGATGTAGCAACCAAGGTTGACAAATCTATTCGTTACACGACTGGCACAAGTTAAAGGCACGAGTCGTTCAAATTACCTGGCCCGTAATTCGAGCCTGGATTCGATGCGTACGACTCGGTTCCTTGCTCAACAATCCTGCATAAGTAGACTCAATTTGGGTTATGCATTCAATATATTAAAACGTACAAATTGTCTGTAGCTAGCATCCACGACAGCGTGATACTAATTTGCATACCAACTATGTAAATGCAAGTAATCATCGTTAACTAATAACTACTAAGCTTATCCCTTTCGCTGACCACATTGCGGTTCGAAACCTAAAGCGACTAGGCAGGATACAGTACAATAAGATTAGCTATGCTCTAATTATTATAATAGACCCTCTGTCTATGGTCAAGGAACGGCTTAGTCATGTTAAGAATTTCCAGTGGCCAGCTCATACTATCTATAATAACCCTCTTACTATCTTTAATATTAAGGTTCACCATCCCACGCTTCAATCAGGCAATGGCAAGGGTACGGCCGCGATGTAGCGCGATTACCAAGTCGTGCCTTCTCTTTTGAGCCTTGGCGGACGAGTCTGGTAGCGTTCCAGCGTCAGTTGACGCCAGATCAATAGCAGCACTTTGTCTACCACGGACCTATGCGTATATCTTAGATGCTATGGATGTTTAGCCACGGGTTGCCATTACTGCATATCTTAATCTCTTTAGTCGAGTGGTTGCCTAGGTCTATCGGTCCCCATGCTGACATAGGATACCCAGGCCTGGGAAGAAGGATCCCCAGACTAAACACTGAGCTATAGCGATCAGAAAGATTGAGCAAGGGCATCCCACTAGTCATCCCTCATAACAGCCATGTACCTTCAAGGTTCATGACAAGATTCGATTCATGACAAGACTCGGTTCATTACAAGACTCGGTTCAAGACAAGACTTGGTTTATGACAAGTCCCGGCTTGGCGTTGGAATTCTTGACGCCCTAAAGCGACCCCCTCGGGTCGATATCGAGGCCACAAAGAGTCAAAGTCTGACTATACCTGTGGCTGTGCCTAGGAAAGCTCCATGTGCTCGGAAGTCCTCGTCACATAAACCCATGGCGCGTAGATGAGAACCCGCACTTCCAAGAAAAAAGGCTCATTTTATGTTCTCATGAGGGACAAAGGCTAAAGAGAAGCTTTTTACATTCTAATTATGGGCAAAATGCTGGTATTTGTTACTTGGTAACTTGCTTTAATACATAGGGTTAACCTTGGCGTTGAATCTTGGACGTATTTATGACCCTCCAGTAACCCCTTTCAGACCACTTCCATCCTCACAATCTTCTTGGACACTTACAACACCACACTCATTCCACTATCCTATTGAATACACTCGTTATGACCCGTCTTTACCTCTTATCGGCCTTGTTGCCGATCTTCGCCAAAGCCTTGGCCATCGGTGCCACAAACCAGGCAGCAGGAGCAACCCAGAACGAGGCCAACCTTGTTGAGGGCGCTTTCATCGTCGAGTGCAACAGCCTCAGCGATGTCAAGTCTCTGAAACAAGAGATCCAGAGCCTGGGCGGCACTGTTCGCCATAACTACACTTCCGACACCTTTTTCGGCCTCTCCGCGCAGCTGCCTGGTGGGAGTGATGGCAAGGCTAGCAACTTCTCTTCTGAGATGAAGACCAAGAGCGGCGTCAAGAACGTGTGGCCGGTCGAGACTGTGACGCTCCCCACAGAGGCGACAGAAGAGATCAAGGAAGTGCAGGAGAAGTTGCAGAGGCGTGGCAGTCGCCGCGCTACCGATGGCAAGGCGCCGTGGAACCATCTCATGACGCAGGTCGACAAGCTTCACGCGGAGGGATACTCTGGCAAAGGAATCAAGGTCGGCGTTGTTGACACTGGTGTGAGTTTTATCTTCTTCATCATTACGCGTATTAGCATGATCGTGTCTGCGTCTGGGAAACTCACATCTGCTCTAGGTCAACTACAAAAATCAAGGCCCTCGGTGGTTGCTTCGGCCCCAACTGTCGGGTAGCTTTCGGAGGCTACTTTGACGGAAACACCGTCCAGCCTGAGCCCATCGTTACTCATAGCTACGGCACCATCGTTGCTAGCATCTTGGCCGGATATAGCGAAGAAGACGGCTTTGTCGGCGCGGCGCCCAACGCGACGATCGGAGCCTACAGCATCGGCGGCGGGGCTACCCACGCCGAGGACAGCATCATTGCTGCCTGGCTCCAGGCCGAAAAAGACGGCATGCAAGTCATCGTATCCTCGTTCGGCTACCAGGGCGGCAACTGGGCACAGCGGCCGACAGCTATGGTCGTCTCTCGTCTGGTCGCCAAAGGCATCCCCTGCGTTGTTGGGATCGGTAACGAGAAAAGCAACGGCTTGTTCAACGTCATGAACCCGTCGTCCGGCCGGGGCGTCATCAGTGTCAACTCCTTCACGGAACAAGGTTATATTGCGAGCCTTTCGGCGTCCGGGCCGACGGCGGAGCTGGACATCAAGCCGCAGGTCGGTGCGCCAGGCGAGCAAGTGCCGGTTGCGTACGCGGACGGTAGCTACGGCAAGAACAGCGGCACGTCCTTCGCGGGACCGCTTGTCGCGGGCATCATCGCCCTCGTCGCCGAGGCCAGAGGCACCTTTGACCCGGCACTGATTGAATCCCTTCTCGTGTCCACGGCTGAGCCGCGAGGCGAGCCCAATTACTCGGTCGCTCTCCAGGGCGGCGGCCTCATCCAAGCCTGGGACGCCGCGCACGCCACGACTCTTGTGCAGCCTGCCAGCCTCGCCTTCAATGACACCGATCACCGGGTGCCCAAGCTGAGTCTGAAAATCACCAACACGGCCAAGTCGGATGTGAAATACCAGCTCTCCAGCATTGCCTCCGATTCGATTTACACTTTAGGCGATTGGGGTATAAAGCAGGACGAAACCATCCAGAGTTCGGCTCAGATAAAGCTGAGCCAGAGCAGCTTTACCCTGACTCCCGGCCAGTCGACTTCCGTCGATGTCTCGGCTTCGGACCCCGAGGGAGCTGACCCCAACCGCTTGCCAGTGTGGTCTGGCTATATCAAGATCCAGGAGACCGGTTCGTCTAGCAAAGCGCTGACGGTCCCGTACCTTGGCGTGGCGGGCTCACTTCGCTCAATGCGTGTCATCCCTTTCGCCGGCCACGTTTCGGTTCGAAACTGGGATCGGCCGGCTAAGATGAGGTACAACAAGATTGGTGATACTCCAGTCGTTGTGGCAGACCCTCCGTCCATGGGTAAGGAAGGGCTCGGCCGCATTGAGAATTTCCAGTGGCCCGCCGATACCATCCATAACAACCCCGTTGCCATCTTCGACATCAAGGTTGGAACGCCGCGAATCGAAGTCCACGTCGTGCCTCTGGACATTTGCCCGAAGCAGACCGACGAGAAGCTCAGCATCGGCAAGGCTTGCGTTCCTGAGTCGAGCCTGGTTGACGTTGCAGGCATCAAGTCTATCGGAGTGATCGCCGACTACGAGCATAACTACAAGGGTCGTGGGGATGAAGAGAACGTCTTTGTGTTCAAGGGCCTGCTTGAGTCTGGCGAGTATGCTCCTCCGGGTAGATACAAGTTTGTCGCTCGCGCCCTGGCTCTTTTTGGGGATGCGGATAATGAGGCCCACTGGCAGGTGCAGGAGACGCACAAGTTTACCTTTGGGTATGAATCGAACCTGATTGAAGTCGCGTAGGACGTGTGCAGGTAGAAATTCGAGGACTACTTGTCGGCGTACGGCCTTGAGCCGGGTTTCCGCGCACGGCTGATTGCGTTCGCCACAAGGATGACTCTTCTCCCTAGACTACATTAGAAGTCATCCACCACATACTTGAAGAGAGAATTCAAGCGCGATATGCCGTCGTTGATGCATCTCCTCTCCAATGCAGCCGGTGATGACGGTTGTCCATGATAGATTCTGTAACCAATCATCGGGTAAGACAAGCGGAATTCTCATGATCCGCTGGATATTATTTCCATCAGGGCTCTGCATTTATGTTAACTTTGAGAATTGCTAAAGGTGGGTGGGCTCTCGTCAGTTTCACCCTCCTCCCTCCGGTCGCTTGTAAGCTGGAGTCGGGATGCTGAAATGAGGAACAACGGTGTCCGGGGCGTTGGACAGAAAGAAGGCGGATAGAATGAAACAACGGCAACGACTCGGACGTGGGGAAAGGGTGGCCTGCCAAGACGCGCCGCCAAGACGCGTCAGCCGAATTGAGGCGTTTCGCGGCGGCGACCAGGAAGGCGAGCAACGTGCCAGCATCCGCGATTGTGGATGGCTTGTCAACAAATATGGCGACGGTTGAAGATTTCCGGCTTTGAAGGATGAGTTGGTGGGCAGACTCCTTCTGAGGCTTGTCGCGGGACGCGCTACGCGAATTTCTCGGCTGTTCGTGACAACGGACGATCCGCAAACGTGAGCGTATTATTCCCGTGAGAAGAGGGATTGTTCTTGAAGAAAAAAGGTTCAGACGGGGAGGGGGGGGAGACCAAGGAAAAACTGAGAGGGAAATACAAAGATGGTGCAGCAAGCTGCCGAAAAGCAGCTTATTTTGTCGGAAAGGCTGTCGAAAGAGACCAGTTGCCAAACAGGGACGCACGTGTAGATGTCTTCGGACATGATTGGCCAGCCAAGAGGAGGAAGATCTGGATAGACCTATTGATGTGGCTTTTCGAAAGAAGCGTGAAGTTAAATTGAATGGCCGTCTGGTCACCTTGGCGGGTTCCAGCTTTTGCAGTTGGAGATGGGAAGCCTCGCAGGCGACCAGTTATGGCGCGCGATGGTGGCTTGGCATTAGCGCCAACGTAAAAGATAGAGTTAATGGGTGCGATGCGCTAATATTTCGGTCTCTTTCTTTCAGATGCTTCTTTTTTGGTTGATTTCGTCCGTGTCGAGTCTCAGGTGCCTTGATTCCGTTGTTGGAAGCAAATACCTGTTTCTTGGAGGTTGGCTGGTTAATTGAGTGCATATACGGATAGGGATACATAGGTACCTTTGTGCTTACCAATCCTGTTGCTTGCCATCGTTATCAGCCATCTTATCAGTTCTCATCTCTGATGCATCGTGCAAGGAACCACGCCGTTTGCTCCAACCTCCCAACTTCCCCAATCCCTTAGTAGCTTGAAAACATCATCTTAGTATGCTACGGCTTCTCTGAAACCACCGCCCGTTCCAGTATCTTGTGAACATCGCAAGCGAGTATCCCGCCCCCCTCCGCTGCCTTCACCCAATCGACCGTAGCCACCCCCTAACGGGGCGCTTCTCACTTTAGAAGCCCGTCGATCAAAACATCTTACGGACTCGTCCACGTGCTACTCTACCTTACAAGATGCTGTTGGAAATGTCTTGGCTGGGGTAATTTTACCGGCCAACCTGGGGCCACTCAAGGCCTCCATGACTGCACCTCAGCATTTTGCCACTGTTTCTTGGTCTGCTGGTGGTGCAGCTATTGAAGCCAAGTGGTCGTCAGTAACAATCATCAATTGGAGCAAATGAGCCTTGTTCTGGTTTTTAATAGACCTCTAGTTTCGGTCAATACTGTCCTCAAACACCAACGTTGTTTAGCCGCGGGCCTGCCAGCCAACATTCAAGCATTCATCAGGAAGTATCATAGTCAATATTGATGGCTGCAGAGCCAGGTACAAGATCAAGGCCGCTCTCCCCAGTTGCAAAGCCATGACGAAATTTACGGCGAGAGGGATGCACACAAAACCCGGCGACAAGCACAGTCTGCCTCACCCAAGAGCTGGCCCCCGACCGAGCCTTCATAGCAGCGCGAACCACGTGGCTGAATTCGCTGCAGCTTCTGCCTCTTCTTTCCCACTGCTAGACCGAAGGACACCAGCTCGTCTTGGCATGACCGCCTGTCAAGCTTCTTACTGCGTTGGCGCCCAGCTTCCTATGTTTCCACAGCGCCCCAGCTTACCCGCCGCCATCATCCACACACACCAAACCGACCGGCACCATCCCTACAGTTGGAACGGACGCTCCTATTGCGTTTCTGCTCATGCCAGTAGGATGTATTGGTTGCAATAGCAGGCACAGGTCCGCGTCTTGGCGAGTAAAGCTGTGCGCCGGTCGGAAGAGAAAGACTTGACCATGTTCGGCGCCCTTGGCTCTTGGCCCATCTCAGCTAAATAGTCTACTCATCCTCGCCTGGCTGGCGCGTTTACTCCTTCTCTGGCAGGTCATTCCTCGATAGTAGTGTTCTCTTTTACACCGGCCTTTGCCGACGAGTTCCTGGTGCTCCTTTTCACTCTCCTCCTTGATCTTCTGGAAAGATTCTAAAAGAACCGACAACCACCGCACTCACCTGCCACCTCCTGTGAAGCAACCGCCAACATGGTTCTGCACCAGTACGACTACCTTCTGGCGGTCGGCACCATCTTCGCCTTCCTAGATGCCTGGAACATTGGTGCCAACGATGTCGCCAACTCGTGGGCCAGTTCCGTCTCGTCCCGCTCCATCAGCTACCTACAGGCCATGTGCGGCGCGTCGCTCATGGAGTTTTCCGGAGCCCTCGGTGTAGGTGGCCGTGTCGCCGATACCATCCGAACCAAGGTCGTCGACGTCAAGGCCTTTTCCGCCCAGCCGGCTCTTCTCATGCTCGGCATGGTCTGCGCCGTCACCGCCTCCTCCCTCTACCTCACCATGGCGACCAAGTTTGGTATGCCTGTCTCGACTACGCACTCGATCCTCGGTGGTGTTCTCGGCATGGGCATAGGTGCTCTGGGTAACAAGGGCATCACTTGGGTTGGCTACCACAAGGACGGCTCCCTTGATCTGAAGCAGGGTGTCGTCCAGGTCTTCCTTGCCTGGATCATTGCCCCTATCCTGTCTGGTAGTTTCGGTGCCATGATCTTCCTCCTCACCAAGTACGGCGTTTTGCTTCGCGCCAACCCTGCCGCCAAGGGTCTCTTCCTCGTGCCCATCTACTTCTGGCTTACCTCGTCCCTCATTGTCATGCTGTTGATCTGGAAGGGTGGTGACTACAACGTCGCCCTGACGGAGGCTCAGATTCCCGGTGTCATCGTCGGTGTCGGCGCCGGCTTCGCTCTTCTCATCACCATCTTCCTCGTTCCCTGGATGTACCGCGTCGTCATCAAGGAGGACTGGCAGCTCAAGACGTGGCACATCCTCCAGGGCCCCCTCCTGCTCCGCCGCGGCGAGGTGCCCCCTCCTCCCGAGAACTTTACCGGCATCGTCCGCAACTACTACGAGGGCCACATGACGCGCGAGGAGCTCGACGCTCGCCGCAACCGCAACGCTGCCGTTGTCACCGGCGATGTGGAGGGCCAGCATGAGGCTGAAGGCCAGCAGGAAAAGACGGCCGTCTCAGACGTCTCCACGGAAGAGGTCCCCAAGTCCAGCCACAAGTCCCTCATCGGCCCCAAGCCCGACGGAGCGTGGTACACTCCCGCCGTCGCCTTCTGGTGGCTCAAGTGGGCTGTCCTCCGCGGTGTCGACCAGGACATTGTCGGCTCCCAGAGCGAAAAGTCGGTCATTGCTGGCGATGTCGAGGAGATTCACGCCCACGCCCGCCACTTTGACAACAAGGCCGAGTTCCTCTACACCTTCCTCCAGATCATGACTGCCGCCGCCGCCTCCTTCACCCACGGCGCCAACGATGTTGCCAACGCCGTGGGCCCCTACGCGTCCATCTACCAGATCTGGAAGACCGAGGTGGTTCCCCTCAAGGCCGACGTTCCCCGCTGGATCCTCGCCTTTGGCGGTGCCGGTATCTGCATCGGTCTGTGGACGTACGGCTACCACATCATGCGCAATCTGGGTAACCGCGTCACTCTCATGTCGCCGTCGCGTGGTTTCTCCATGGAGCTCGGTTCCGTCATCACCGTCATCATGGCCACCCGTCTCGAGCTGCCCGTCTCGACTACTCAGTGCATCACCGGCGCCATTGTCGGCGTCGGTCTCTGCAACGGCGACTGGCGCGCCATCAACTGGCGCATGGTTTCATGGATCTACCTTGGTTGGTTCATCACTGTGCCGGTTACCGGTGTCTTTTCTGGTGTCCTCATGGGCTTCATCACCTTTTCTCCTCACTGGTAACTGACCCGCTGGTAGCTGTCGGATCTCAACCCATGCGGGTCGTCTCAGCCGTCAGTATTTATCTCTTTCTACAAGCTTCATGTTCAAGTCTTTTGCATTACGGCATGATCGGTATGCATTTTTATTCATAACTAGAGCCGCGCGCTCAACAGATGCAGGATGATACCACAAGATGGGGTTGAAAAATGTACATACCCTAATAATACAAATGCATTACGGCAATCTCACCGCCCTTGTGAACAGGCAACTAGATCTCGTGCACAATGCTCGGCTTGTACACAAGTTTGCTGTGGCGAGGCAAACACTTGCGAGCGTCAAGCTGAAGCTTCGGCGGGTTCGTGTAGCGCCGCCGAATCTCGTTTCATCCACATTGTTCCTGTTCCTGTTCCCACTTGTTGTTCCTTTGTTCCCTAACAATAGACACATATCCCGAAGGTGGCTGTCAACAGGCGCCACTGACGACGAGCGGCCTTAATTGGAAGTCCTCCTAGTATTTATTCACCCCACGTTGTTGTCTTTATGTTCCTTACAAGCCTAAAAACAGAAACTAAAGAGGACCTCGGAGCAACAAAAGCAGCTGGCTGTGAGCCACTTCCACCTTTTTTTCCAACGTTATATCAGCAGGAGGGTATGACATCGGGCACGTTGTTGTATCATCGTAGCGAACCTACCACAGACTTGCTTCCCTTCTCGTTTCCCCCTCCCACCCTTTTTCGCGAGATCTGGTGTGGCCTTCACCCGACGGTCGCGCGGCCAGATTTCTGTGCCTCGTCGCAGGAGTTGCCATTTTTTTTTTGGCGGGATGTTGTATTGTTTGCGCTCTTTCATCTACCTCTTTTCCTTGGGGTCGATAATTTGTAGTAGTTAGCAAGTGCCGGGCCGTGTGGCGACACTCTGTGCGCCACTGCCGACGACATTGTTCCTCGGAGGCCCGTCAAAAGGTGAACGTGACAATAGTGCCGTAGCTTGCTTCAATATGTATATATATATATATATAGATATCCAAAGCTACCATGTGCTGGGCTTGCTTTGTTCTGTCCTAATATACGAATCCCACTTACACCGTTGTGTCTGTCCGTGTTGGTTCCCCACACACACGATCCTTGCTTCATACAGCCCTCTGGTTCAAATAAGCAAAGCTATGAAGGTCGCCGTTGTTGGAGGCGGTCCCGCGGGCATCGCGACGCTCAAGTTCCTGGCCACGGCGCACCTCTTCTTCCCGATCCCGCCGCTCGACGTGCGCCTCTTCGAGGCCGGCGACGAGGTCGGCGGCACCTTTGTGCAGCGCGTCTACGAAGACGCCGAGGTGAGTAGACCCTCTGACCCCGAGGCACATTTCACAACTGATGACCAACGGTAAACAGCTGGTCTCGTCCAAGTACCTGACCGCCTTCTCCGACTTTCGGCTGCCGGCCGACGCGCCCGACTTCGTCACGCCCGCCGTGTACGTGCAGTACCTGCGCGACTACCTAACGCACTTTGGCCTGTGGCCGCACGTCCGGTGCCGGTCGCGCGTCACGCGCATCGTCCGGCGCCTGCCGGCCGGCCACACCGTGGAGGTGACGACGACGGCGGCGGACGGCGGCGCGGCGGTGGTGGAGGCGTGGGACTGCGACGCCGTGGCCATCTGCACGGGCATCAACGTGTTGCCGCGCATCCCGGAGGTGCCCGGCCTCCTGAGCAGGACGACGACGACGGTGCTGCACTCGTCCGAGGTCAAGACGCGCGCGCAGCTAGGCGAGGGCACGCACGTGGTGGTGCTCGGCGCGGGCGAGACGGGCATGGACATGGCGCACCTGGCCGTGACGGCACCGACGGCGTCGGTGACGCTGTGCCACCGGGAGGGCTTCTTCTGTGCGCCAAAGGCACGAACCACCACACACCGCCAATTCTGGAGACTGGGAGACTGACATGGAGTGAACAGGTTATCCCGACGCCGACGCCGGGAGGGCGCCCGCACAAGGAGGGCACCCGCCAGAACAAGCCGGTCGACACGTCCATAGCCAGCCTGTTCGACACGGCGTACGCGCACCCGCTGCTGCAGCGCGGACCGCTGCCGTGGGCGGCGTACGACCTCTGGGTGCGCTGGATGCACTGGCTCATCAGCGGCACCGAGGAGGGTCCGGACCAATGGGTCGGACAGATGAGCAAGGACCGGAAGCATCTCGATTCTCGCAAGTCCTCCCCCATCTTCCCCGTTCTGTCCGTGTTTTGTGACTAATGATGATGCAGTCTTCATGTGCAAGTCGGACCGCGCACTCCCGTACCTCTCCGCCGGACACCGCTCCACGTCCTTGCTGCAGCGTCTCCGCGCGCGCATCCTCAACGTGCCCATCCGGCCGAACCCGGACGGCCGCACCATCACCGTCCGGCGCTGGCCCTCGCACGTCGACCCGTCCTCCGGCATCATGCACTTCTCCGACGCCGACGCCACCACCGTGACTCCGGACGTCGTCGTGCTCGCCACCGGATACGCCACCTCCTTCCACATGCTCGACCACTCCCTCGGCGCCTACCCTTCCCTCGACGACGCCACCTCCGGCGGCCGCGGCATCTACTGTCCCACCGCCGGCGTGGACGTCGCCTACGTCGGCTTCGTGCGGCCCAGCATCGGCGCCATCCCGCCCCTCGCCGAGCTCCAGGCCCAGCTGTGGGTTCTCCGCCTGCTGCAGCGCTCCCTCCCGGGGGACGTCGTCGCTCACCGGGCAGGGGACGCGGTGGAGGGGTACGAGGTGGACTACAAGCTGCGGGCGCGCGCCGGGTACGACTTGTTCCGGGACAGGCGCGGCGTGGACCACGAGAGCTACGCGTACCAGCTGGCGCTGGACATGGGCGCGGCGCCGACGCTGGGGAGCGTGCTGGCGCGCCGCGACGCGAGGTGCCTGTACGCCTGGGCGATGGGGCCCAACTTCAACACCAAGTTCCGGCTGGTCGGGCCGTGGCGCGACGAGGCCGTGGCGGCGGCGGTGATGCGTGGGGAGCTGTACGAGGTGGTGCGGCGTTCGGGGGGAGCAGTGTGTAAGTTTTTTTCCGTCTTTTTTTTTTCCTTTTTTTTGTAGATGCGTAAGAATACATGCTAACGGGAAATGACGGTGGAGTAGATTTCTTGACGTATACGGTCATTCCGTTGCTGGTCTTTGGCACCCTCAGCCTCGTCTTGTACGCGGCGGGTTGGGTCGCGGGGCTGCCGAGCAAGGCGCTTGCTGCCTGCAAGCGCGCGGTTGGTCGGCAGGGCAGGGCCAAGGAGGCAGATCACAAGTGCAAGGCATGCGATTAAAAGTAGTCTGGAAAGATGCCATGCTAGACTGTACGTTTACTACCGTTAGCCCGAGGATGCATTCATGGTCGCTTGTGTGTATTTGTTGCCAAGTGGTGGCATGGTTCCAGAGCGCTGAGTGAGCGATGCCGGTATCTTCACTTTAAATTGCAATTTATTTCTTCATCCATTTTCCTCGATGAGACAGAGTATTGGTAGAGACAGGTTATTTATATAATTATCATAGCATCTTTCTCATTCATTCGACAGGGCCACCACCAAAACACCCTCGCACGGTGCAGTGTTGTCTGCCATGGCCACTCCCGACTACTTATACTCGCAAAAAACTTCCCACTTTAATAAGCCAGGTCCTCCTATGCTGACCATTATTTTCGGTGGCTCGAGCAGAATCAAATAACTTGCCGAACACCCTCGAGTCAACAGCCGGAGCTTTGCGGACGTGAAACACTTGCGACGGGCCTGATCACCCTTGGGCCCGACGGCTGCTTGGTCGGTTTCACGGCTATTAATACAGCGCATGAACTTTGCTATAATTTATTTAACTAGTTCCCGCGGACGAGTAATGACGGCCAGCTCATGCTGTGCCACCACAACCACGGGCCAAGCCACGGCCATCAAGGGGCGGCGGGTCATACCGCCATGATCGACGGGCCAAGACGTATCACCGTGAAACTCACCCAGCATCGAGTACAGACGTTTCCCGCATCGAGTTGGGTCAGCGTTAAGCCTCAAATATAGATAAAAATAGCATCACGGGGTTCAAGAGTAGTTGCAATATGTCTGTTCGCTCTCATTGAGTAGTGTACCCTCGCGGTTCTATCTATACAAACGATATAGATGCTCAAGTAAATATATATATATAGAAAAAAACAAGCTCATGCTTGTGCCAAGCGCCAGTCCCGTTATCCCAGTAGCCCGGTTCCCCAATATGCACAGTACATGTCGTACAAATGAAACGCTCTGCTGAAGCCATGATCGCTGTAAATCTTTTGTGTTGTAAAATCAAATCCGTCGTAAACCAGTTACAACTCCCGGGTGAGGAGTTCTAATCTGGCCATCACCGACTCGGCACTAGCGGCGATGTGCTGGACACGAGCCATGGCATAGGCAGAAGAGCGCTCTACTTCCGTGACATCAACAAGTTCATAGCGGGACAGGACCTTCTCAGCCTCGATGCCGCCAAAGACATCAATGTGAGAGAGGCTTTCAGATGAAACAGACGATTCGTTGGCAGGGGTAGACGGCTGGGCATGGAAAAGAGCGTAGTCAGGGTCAGACTCGAACTCCTCGTTGACGACGGCGGCTTCAGCGGGCTCGACAGTCTCACGCTTGACGGGGCGCTCGATGACCGGGGCATCAACCTTCTCCTCCTCAGAAAAGGACTCGACAAAGTTGGAAGTCTTGCCAGCAAGGACACCAGCGTCAATGGGAGCAGGGATCTCGGGAGTATCCACGACAAAGACGGTAGGCTGGAAGTTGTACCCATCGAGGGCCAGCATCGAGTAGTCCATGCTCTGCTCAGGGATCATCGCCATGCCGATCTGCTGCTGGGACTGGTTGCCGTAGGGGTTGGTATCCTTGGGAATCTGAGCCTGCTCTTGCTCGGGCTGGGCCTCGACCTTGATGGGGGCCTGGGGAATGGCGGCAGAGTTGGTGCTAAGGTGATCGAGGAAGTTGGAGAAGCTGGGCGAAGAGAGAAGCATGCGGGTGAGGTCAGACAGACGCTTGTTCTCCTCCATCAGGGCACGGTTGCTCTGGCGGAGGCGGGTGACCTCGTCTTCCTTGTTGTCACGCTCGCTCTCGAGCTGAGTGATGTACTCCTTTCTGCGGGAGCGGAAAGCACGGGCCGAGACCTTGTTGCGCAGCTGTCGACGCTCCTTGGAGCTGAGCTTCTTTCCCTCCTCACTAGCGAGGAGACGCTCGTCCTCGTCCATGTCCTCCTCGGACTTCTTAGTGCGAGGCATGCTCGAGGAACCAGACTGCGAGTCGCCCGAGGCAGAGGCAGGCTTGGCACGCATGTTGTTGAGTAGCTGGGTAATCTTCTGCTCAACGATCGGGTCGGTAGCCTGGGGAGCCTTGCCGCGAGCCTTTTGACTCTGGGACTGTTGCATCATGTGGCGTTGGTGAGCCTGGGCCTTGGCGACGGCAGCGGCCTGGGTGTGGGCACCGGGCCAGAGACGGCCGGGCGAGCTGTTGGCGGAGGCTTGCTGCTGGGGCTGCTCAATGCTGCTAGGGTTGACGGTGAAGAACTGATTCGTGTTCGAGGCGTCAAAGTCCATGTCGAGCTCAGAGGCGGCGAGAGTGGCTTGGGAGGGCGATGTGTTGAAGTCAAAAACGTCGTTCTCGGGAGAGAAGCTGGTGAGGTAGTCGAGGCTGCCAAAGTCCTGGTAGCCAGTATTGTTGGTCTGGTTCACGGCCATGGTGTTGGCGAGGGCGCCCGGGACGAAGCCGGTCTGCTGGCGGTACATGTCGTAGTTGTGACTGGGACCGTTCATGGCCTGCGTTGTGGTCGACGGGACGGGCGGGGGGGTCATGTCGGAGATGGGGCTGGCAAAGCCAGGCTTGGTGCTCATGTTGGGCGAGAGTGAGGGAGACTGGTAGTTTGCATCATACTCGGAGAGGTCGAGCAGAGCATCGAATTCGTTCTGGGCCGAGGCCGACATTGTGATGGAATTGGCTGTCGTCAAGGCGATGTGGCGATCTGAAATGAGTCAAAGGCGGAAATAGAACCGAGTCAAAACGAAGACTCGATTGCAGATGGATAGTTGGGATTGATTTGGAAGTCCTGAGGCGGAATGTTTGTTGATGTGAGAATGATGGAGAAGGGAGGAAGGAGGAAAAGGCAAAGGGGAAGGTGACGTGAGGCAGAAGGGGGCCGTTGTGGCTATGAATGGAAACGGAAGCGGATGGGAATGGGGGGAGTGTGGCATAGCCGGGGCGTACAAGGGGGGGGGGGCTTGAGGGAGAAGAACAGGGCTCTGGTGCTCGATGAGCCAAGGAGCGAGCCAAGGAACAGCCAAACAGAGACAAGCACAGGCGTAACGGGCGAGTAGAGGCCGAGCAGAGACCCAGGCAGCCGGGAAAGGGAGCCGTTCGGAATATCCGCGGTTGAGACTTGGTTGGTCAGATTGGGTCGGCAGTGGGGTCCAAGGGGATGAGGGACGCGTCAGCTTTTTCGTTAGCTGGGACGCTGATTTCATGTTCCGTGCCAGGCTGCTTTTCAGTGCAACGGCGGGCATTTACAGGCCATTTACAGGCCATTTACAGTGCCTAAACGTGCTACAAACCCGGCTGACTGGTTGCCCAGCGGTGGCTGCTCTAGCGCTCCAACGGACCTTGTCCGGCGCTCAGAGCCTCTCCCACTTCACCGTACCAGCCTAACCGACAGTACTTCATTCTGCTCGTTTTATGCATATTGAATCAGGACACCTCTGCTAGCAGCCGAGTGAAAAGTGATGACGACGCTGCTCAACTCCTGCCCGTTTGGGCAACCATGCTGCTGCGCCTCCCGTCAGCCAATCGCTCCATTCCATCATTTACTTGCTCACAGCTGTTGTATTTATTTTGGGAGCTCTCGCTGCCGTTTCTTCCTCGCTGTCCCAACTGTTTCTGTCTAGTGTCCGAGAGAGCTGACGTACCAGGCCTCTTTCCGTCTCGGCTCTCCGTACAGGGTCCTTCGCGCACATGTACATAACACGGCTGTATATCGCATGCTCGTCTATTCCTCTGCTCCAATGGTTCCGTCTTCTGGTCCTCGGTCTACCCTCCGAACTCTCCCATATGCACTGTACTCTGGAATTCTCATCTAATAGTGCCCACGTTCCCAAGCTTTCAGCGCAAAATTACAATTAATAACAATCTCGTCGCCTTCCCCGAACATCAGTCCACCCGCCCCAGAAGATCCAGCACTGCCACCCACTTCAATCGCCACGACCCCTCTCGAAACGCTCTAGCGCTAAACTCATTCTCAGTCCAAAAGATACACGGTTCTTGGCCCAGTCGTACCACGTTTCCCGGCGTCCTCCACAGTCCGGTGCCCTGGTCTTCGTCGCACTCGGCAACTGTCAAATGCCCCAACGTCCTCCCGTTCTCCCCTTGACATCCAGACACATGTCTTGTTCGTTCATCTCAGTTCCTGCGCTTCGCCTGTTTCAGTTTTGCTTGCTTGTCAGTGTAGCCTGTCTGCTAGCAGAGTACACTCTGTCTTGTATCTCTGCACAGCCTCCCACATCTATCTCATTATCCTGCTGCCTGTCGTGGCTGTGTTGTCCTAGCGCTGGCTCCCTGTAATTGGCTATTTTCCCACAGGCCCACCCAATCAGCTCAAATCACGTGTCTTTCCTCATTCTCAAGTCACGTGACACTTCCCGGCCCGGCTATCGCTTTTGTTATCACCCACACCATTTCTACATTGGGAGTCATTGTCGAAACATCACGACACCACCAAGGCAGCATGGCGATTCAGCGCATTAATTAAAGTAGGCCACCATTCCCATCCTCGCCATCCCAGCCGTCTCGTCTGCCCAAGCCTGACAGAGTATGCTGACATTATCAGTCACCCTCACTCTTCTCACCACCAGTGTTGACCGTGACCCGATGGCGGTGCTACACCGTACCGGATTTCATGCATGCATCTCACCTTTACCACTCACCGAACGGAATTCACCAAACACTCCAGTCAGGAACAACGGTCGTCTTTATTTACTCGTAATGCCTGAAAATCCACTTGGAGTCAGGCTGGACCCTAGCATTACCGCCAATGAGCTATACTAGTGCTTGTCTCCCGACGGCCAGTGACTGCTGTCTATCGCCTGAGCACCTCGAATTCGCTTCACGCAGCCATCATTGCCTCTCTACAATGTATAGAGGCTAATCATGGCATGATCTGGTCCCAATTATCGCCTCAGCGCATTATCGCATCCAGGCCATACCATGGAGCATGAGTGTGTTCCATGCGTGATGCATTGGCACTGCAAATGCATCAACCAGAACGCTTCAGTTCTCGTAGCTTTGAGCACATATCTCGTAAGCCGTGTTTCTCGTACAATTGACTGCCATCCACACACATACACGAATTGCTTCGTTTTCCCGACGCCTGTAATACATCAACAGCCAATCTAAATGCAGTCCCCGCGACATCGTCTGTGCCGCTGCATCTGGCCGCCAATGGCCTCACGGCTCGCCCTTTGGACCAATCTGACTGGTCCTTAAAGGTCAAGCTGCATAAATCGAGACCGCCCTATTTATCCCCAATTACAGCCCAATCTCGTCTGGCCGCAATACATCACACGTGATGCCCGCGGTTACGCCTTCACATCTCAGTTGCGTGATTACCTAATCACGATCTGCCTAACCAACCTCAATCGTGGCCCAACTTCCCCAACATCCATCCAACGCGCTCCCAGTTAGCTCAAAAGCACAGCCCGCTCCGCTGATCAGGTTTCCCTTTTTCGACTTACCCTTCTCGGGTGTGGTCTTTTTAAAACAGCCACTCGCGGTACCTGTGTGGCCATAGCTCCTGCCGCTGCAGACCCGTGGAATCACCAATCGTCTCGCCCACGATCGAGTAGAGTTCTGTTCTTCTGCTCTGCCGGACTGGCCCGGCTGCTCCCACGCACCCGGCTTCGCTCATCTGGCTGCCTGCATCTCGAACGCCTCCCTTCCCTTCAAACATGACATAGCCGCCACAAATGGTGAGGGAACAGCGCGGCCTCCCTGCCGCGGTGGTTGGCGGCCCAAAGGAACGGCACATGAGGCAGAGCAGGCCCCAGTTCGACTGCTCTGCGCCTGTGCCCGAGAACTTTGCGGCGAGGCCTCTCGTGCCAAAGTCCAAGCATCACACGTATTTTGAGTTTGTCGCCAACGAGAACAAGAAGAAGAAGCTTGAATATGAGGTTTGATTGACTATTTATGCCGTGGCACGTAACCTCTTCTTCGACTCACGCGTCGTCCCTAGACCACAATCAAGAGAACGCCGCCCGCAGGATTCGAGTTTGTCCCCATAGGCAACCCCGACCTGACCACGGCCTGCAAGGAAATATCTCGAGAAAAGGATGCCATGATCTTCATCGTCTCCGTATGTGGCTAGCCGTCGGCCGCCCGTCACCTGTAGCTGTCAATATTAACACCCTATCGCGCAGAACGCCAAGGCAGCTCCCGGGACTACCATCTCCGGCCAGGTTCACCGCGTCGGTCACCATATCAGAGCAATGATTGTTGAGGAGGCCAGGGCCAAGCTGGGCCACGTTCCCCAGCTGCCCGCCGTCACCACAACCAACGGAGCACCCGAGCCCATTCCCGACTCGCAGGAAGTCTATCACGCACAGGCTGACGCTGCTCTCAGAGATTTGTTTCCTCGCATCCCCAACACTGATCGCCAAATCATTATTGATCATTCCTTTACCCGAGTTCGTTTCCCGCCTCCTCGCCTGTCCCTCGCTAATCGTCATATCCAGAGTGTTTCCAGCAAAGGCTCCGGCTCCGGGCCCGTCGGCCTTTCTAAGGACATATCCTTGGCTAGAAGAGTGCAGTTGGCCGTCCTGGCCCATATACGCCATAACCACACTCCGTATGATCAGTACCTCAAGGAGGTGTCCTGGGAGAATGCTCGCAAACTCGTGGAACAGCGTTGCCTGGATACCCTTGTCCAGTGGCGAGGTGACGAGGAAACTGGCCGTGATCAGCTGGATGAAATTCTCCGCGAAGTAGTCGTCATCTCAGACTCTGAAACTGGAGACTCGGATGATGAGTCGACGGATGCTACCTCGGCCGAGGAGCCAGACGTGGAACCCACCGCTGCCGGACCAGCAAGCCCAAGGCTCCCTCTGCCACAGCCCGGATTGGATATCACCATGGAGCAAAGTGGCCAACCCGGGCGTCCCGCTGGACATGTACAATCCCCTGACCCTAACCAACAAGGATCCAAATCTCAGAGGCGGAATCAGCGGGGATTTAAGCGATACCGTGCCTGGGAAGAAGCCATCCGGCGAAATAGAGAGCTTCGGGGCTCTTCCTCTTCCACGGCCATGGAGACCGATCCTGGTCCCTACCCAACCTACGCTCGGCAGCAACCGCTGCACTCTGCCCCAATCATGCTGCCAATTCACCGGCCACCATTTGGAGGATCAGCCGCTTCGCGGTCCCTCACGCCCCCGTCCCATGATGTACCACTTCCCTCGATAGAGCCAACATCACCCATGCAGCCATCATTTGTGCGTCGCATACCTCCTCAACGCCCCATGGATAATCAGCACCCAGAAGCCTGGAATCAGCCTCCGTTCCAAACCAGCGTACCGCCTGGAAGGAGTGCTCCGTTCATCGTCACATCCGGCCCCGCATCGCAGTACTCGGTGGCGCCTCCGCAGGCGCCTCCCTACCCGTACCAGCCACCGTACGGGACAGAAGTATATCTCCATGCAAGGCAAGTAAATGACGCGCAACCTCCCGGATCTAATGGCCATTTTCAGGCAGAGCTTTGGCAAGCACAAGCACAAGCACAGGTTCCCACCCCTGCTCACAGGATTATTATGGATGTCAACCGGCCAGGAGAGCGCTCCAACCCCATCGTTATGGAGGATAGGGGAGGATTCTACGAGCGCGTCACCCAGCCGGAAGAACCCATACATATTCGGGAAGTGCGTCGCTGGTCTCGGCCCCCAGAGCCATATGGAAACCGCTACTTTCCTCTCCGCCGCGAGAGTCCGATGGTGCAAGACCACGAGATGGATGGTGGTGTCGAATTGTATCCTGTTTCGCGGGAAACCGCCCATGCAGTGCTTCCATGGAGACCTCCGTACCAGACTCCCTTACAGCAGGCTCCCCTAGCCGCATCTGACCACCGAGACCACGGTGCGATCCATATCCGGGCCGTATCGCAGTCCCCATCCCACGCCGAGCACCAAGGGCTATTCTCATTACCTCGTAGGGACCAGTGAGTGGTTTCCTCCGCATTTGCTTCTTCATTTTTATTTCAACCTTACACTCTTATTTCAACGCTGTGCTCACACGAAGCAGAAACCAAAGCAGCTGGGGCACCGCCAGAGACAGCCAGTACGGACACGGACAGGCTCGAGGACACGGGTACCGGTCACCGCCAATCCAGGCATCGCCGCGCCGGCATGGGCCACGAGGGAACGTGATTGTTCTCGACTAAGGATCCGTGGGCATGCCTCTGCCCCTTAACTGGGCGCAATACGTTTTTTGTTGGATCGGGAGAAGAGGCTGCTGGAAAGCCGCTCACCTTTTCACGTTCTTTCTGTTGTCGGGGAACTGAATGAATGAATGCACGCTGGACCGAACCATTGACACACAAATTGTTTGTGATGACCGTTTTCGCTTTTCATTTTGTTCCATTTCTAATGCTCTCTTGAGTGCGACGTTTTCTCTTTTTTCTCACATCTGAAGTTTGCATAGCGCTGCGGGAAAGACCATGAAGACGCATGACTACGTTTTTTTCTTCTTTTTTATATAAACACACATGTTGCTATGGAGAGAGATGATACACCGAAGGGGGGCATTACAAATGACTTTGGCGGCCGATGGGGAAAGGAAAGGATGCTGCATATTCAGATAATGGAACTTGGTGACCCAAATACACACGCCACTTATTCACGTTTTTACACAATTGTTATATAATCATTTTTTTTTTCCCTTTTAGTGATTTTCCTTCTACTTGGTATATATACAGTCTCTTCTTTCCTGTAGAAAACCACAAAAATAAAAAAAAATTGTCCCTACACGTTCTCTTCTCGCTTTCATGTAAAAATGTGACGACCAGTTCACTCCTTGCCTTCATTGCGTCCCCTTCATCTTCTTTAGTTCCGACCGCCTCCCCGTCGGCCCTTGCCCACGCCGTTGGCACCCGTCGGCCCCGCGCCGCCTCGCTTCTTCTCCACGCCCAGTCCCCTCCGGCCGTTGGCGATGCCACCACGACCCGAACGCGCACCGCCGCCGCCGCCACCACCACCACGGCCACGTCCACCCCTGAAACCTCCGCGACCGCGGTCGCCGCCGGCCTTGCCGGGGCTGATCCGGTTCTTGATGATGACGGCCGCCTTCTCGTCCAGCTGCTCGCCGTCGTCGTCGTCGTCGGCGGCGTCGTCGCGGGAGCGGCGGTTGGAGAACTTGAGCTTGCCGCCGCGGCCGCGGCGCGCGGCGTCCTTGCCCTTGATGGCCGCGACGTAGGCGCCGACGCCGGAGCCGCCCTCGGGCTGGTCAATCTCCATGGCGTTGTCGTCGGCGGCGGCGGCGGCGGCGTCGTCGTCCTTGCCGAGGATGAGCTTGCCGTCGAGGTCGACCTTGGCCCTGGACTTGCCCCTTTGCGGCTGGCGCGTCCGGGAGGGCTTGGTGGAGGAGATGTTGGCGAGGGCCTTCTTGTCGAGCAGGTCCAGCGGCTCGTCGTCGTCCTCGAGGATGTACGTCTTGCCGCCCTTTTGCGTCTTCTTCTTCTGCCGGGGCGCCTCCTCGTCGTCGTCATTGTCGTCGTCGCCCTCCGACTCGCTGCTGTAGATGGCGCGGTCGTATTCGGTGTCGAACTGCTGCTTGCCACCGGCCTCCTCATCATCCTCCTCGTCGCCGCTGTCGTCGCCGCCGCCCGCGCGGGCCGCGTCCTTCTTCCTCTTGGCGCGGTCCTTGCTCTTGCGGATGTTGACAATGAGCTTGCGGGCCTCCTCGGGGCAGTTCTTATGGAGGTCGTCGTACCCGAAGCGGCGCACCATGCGCTCCAGGATGTGCTTGACCTTGGCCTTGAAGTGGCCCTTGTGCTCGCTGCTCCAGACGATCAGGTTGGGCACGAGCGTCGCGAGGCGCGGACGCATCAGCTCCGTCGGCAGGCTCACCACGCACACCTTGACGAAGCCCAGACAGCTCTTGACGATCTCGCGATTGTTGGACGTCAGGAAGAGGTCCATGGTCTGCACGAGGTCCGACAGCGTCTGCTCGCCCAGGGCAGCGCGGAACTCGTACAGCAGCCGGCTGATGGCGGTAACGCTCGCCGAGATCATGTGCGGCGTGCTCCCGGCGAGGCCCGCGCTAACCATGGTGAAGAACTCCTCGATGTTGGCGACGCCCGCTGGGGCATCGTCGGGCATATGCGGCACCAGGCGGTTGTCGATGGGTGCGTCGCCAGCCGCGGCCATGCGCGTACCCATCTGCACGAGCAGCTCGTACGCCGCTTCGCGTGCACGCTCGTTGTTTTCCTTGCAGCAGATGACGACCTCGCTGAGCACGGAGGGGATGAAGTGCAGCGCGGTGTCGGGCACGTAGGGCAGCAGCGCGGAGATGGCGGCAAGGCGGTCGCGGCGCGCCGGCGCGGACACCTTGGCGGAACTCGATACGATGAGCTGTTGCAGCTCGGAGCTGCGCTCCTGCAGCGCCGCCTGGCCAAGTTCCGAGGTTGCCAATCGCGGGATCAGCTTATACGCCTTCTTCTGCAGCTGCGGCTCGTCGTCGCGGCCGATGATGAGCGTTGCAATCTCGAAGAGCGTCGCGAAGCTCTCGCGCGGCAGGTACGCCGACATTGTGATGACGAGGTCCATAAGCGTCTGCGCCGTGGACGGCATGTGGTCCTTGCCCCCCTTGTTACCCTTCTCCTTATCACCCGCGGCGACAGGGAGGTTTTCGAGCTCTGAGGCGAGCATCTTGCTCACGCGGTCAAAGGTGTCCATGAGCTCCTGCTTCGGTGTGATACTGAGGAATGCGTTGACTGTCTGCAAAATGGGGCCGCGGCTCTGCGGCAGCGTCTGGGTGTATACGTTGAAAAGCACAGCGAGCATGTTGCCAGCGTACTGTCCGAGGTAGGCGAGGTTACTGGCCGCCGTCTCCTTGCTGACGCGAGCTTGCAGCAGGAAGTCGTCTTCCTCTTCGGTGATGGTTGATAGAGCCTGGTTCGATTCAACCACGGTCTTGAGCGCACGGCAGACGTCCAGGCGAAGCTCGGTCTGCTTGTAGAGGAGGTTGGCAATCATTTCGGCAAAAGTTTGGTCAAACGCCTCAGTGAGATCAAGAGGTAGGTCGCAGTACCCGGGCAGGATGGACCAGACTTGCTGCACGAGGGTCTCGTAGATCTTAATTTCCATCGTCTTGGGAGCTTCACCGTGCTCCAGCACGCGCTGGAACATGACCTCACTCAGCGGTACCATTTCACGCCTGAAATGGGCCAAGTCTGTGTTGCTAGTGTAGTCGCGGAGGATGGGCAGCATCCAGGCGCGGCCAGCCTGGCCTTTGACGGGCTTGATCAGGTTGAGTGGCAGCACGGAGAGGACGGCTTCGGGCCCCATAGCGCGGACGGCCTGCCCAATCACCTCGTCGGCCTCCTTCTTGTTGCGGAAGGATGAGTTTTCACGAATCTCACCAATGGTCTTGGTGACGCTCAGCAGGATCGGGTTGGCCCTCCAGCGCAGGGACAGGAACATGGCGGCGAGGACGTTAAAGGTCTGCAGCCAGGCGGCCTGGAACTGCACTGTGAGGAGGGACTCGGCCGTCTTGGCGACCTTTTCGAGAGTCTTTTCGTCGTATATTGAGGGGTCGATGATGACTTGCTGTGGAATGCAGTTGGCCATGAAGGAGATTAGGCACTCCGAGGCGGAGATGCGAATGTTTTCGGACTGTGATTCGAGGAACTGCGCAACCATGCGGAACAGATCGGGGAGTTTTTGAAAGGTCTCCTCAGGCTCCATCTGCGCCGAGACGTCGTAGCCCCGAGACAGAATGGCGAGCCAGGGCGGAACCAGCTGTGTGTCGTTTGCTGCTGGTCGCAGCTCCGAAATAATCTCCATCAGCCGGGGGAGCTTAGCCGAAGACACCTCCTCGCTCATACCCTCAAAGATGAGCTCAAAAATCTCAAACGCGGCCATGGTCATGTATTCGTTGCCCGTCTTGGCAATATTCAGAAGCAGCTCGCACAGCGACTCAATCTTTGTGCTCGGCCAGCCGCCGCTCGCCGCCGCGACCGTCTTGACGAGCTGCAGGGCGTGAATCAGTTCTGGGTCGTGCGCCGCCGCGGCCGCCGCCTTCTTGCCCTTGCGCGCCGCGAGGGCCTGGGTCGCGAGGTCCTCGAGGTTCTTGAGCGCCGTCTGGGCGCACATGTCCGCGGCCGGGTGGTCGATGGCCGGGCTCGGGGGCGGGTTGCGCAGGACGCGCTTGAGGGCGTCCTGTGCGCGGCGGCGGACCTTGGGCCGCGTCGAGGCAGCCCATGGACGCGCGCAGCAGCAGCGGCTCGGCGGCGTCGCGCAGCAGGAGCACGGGCGCCAGCAGCGTCAGGATCTGGGTGAACTTGGAGCGCAGCAGCGCCTCGGGGGCGTGCGGCGTGACGACATCCAGGAGGTAGACGACGGGCGTGGCCAGCTCCGTGTTGACGGTGCCGCTGCTGTTGGCGTTTTGGAGGAGGGCGAGGAGGGCGGCAAAGTATCCGGTCGGGGTGGGCTCAGTGTTTTGTTCTTTCAGGGTGGACTCGACGGCCTGAAGCACAACAACAGTCTGCGGGGAGAGGCCAGTCAGTCGAGCCTCGCAGGAAGAAGCGGCGGTATGGGGAAGTTGACTTACACGTTGCTGACTCTGCAGGCCGGGTGACTTGATCTTGTCAAGCTTCTCAGCCAAAGATAGCGTCGACATTACCGCCATCTTGTCCCAAGAAGGATTGTTTGATCAATACAAGTCGAACTGTTGGTAACTCTTCCAGAAAGCCAGTTCCAGCCAGGCCCGAATTTTTGATGCAGTGTCGTCCAAAAAAAATTCCTTATCGGGGACTCCCCGCCAGCGATAAGATCCGTCCGTCTTCCTTTTTCGCTTTTGTGGAGGTCGTCCAAAGCGAATACATTAGCCGAGTTATCGCTGTATCCGGATCTTCTTCACAAGCCACACACTAGCCACTGTCTTAGTGGCTGCCTATGTACGTATAGAGTAGTCAGTTCATACAGTAGGTAACTAGACTTGCCAGGCGGACTCGTCACTAGTTGCCCCTCCAGCCTCATACCGTTGAACTGCGAAGCTCCGGCGACCCGTCGTCAATTCAACCCTCTTCTGCGCTGCCAGAACACCATCGCGTCGCACGGTTGCTGCAGCTTAGCTGCATAGGGAGCACAGAACACCATGGCTTTCCTCATCCTTGTTCTAGGCGATATCCATATCCCCGATCGAGCTCTCGACTTTCCCGCCAAGGTATGCCGCCTACCTCCGAAAGCGCCAAAACGCAGCTTTGAACAAACCTCGTTGATTTGCTAACGGTTGCCCCCACCTCGTACAGTTCAAGAAGCTTCTCGCGCCCGGCAAGATTGGCCAGACGCTCTGCCTCGGCAACCTCACCGACAAGAGCACGTACGAGTACCTGCGCTCCATCGCGCCCGACCTCAAGATCGTCCGCGGGCGGTACGACGTCGCCGAACCCGGCGCGACGGCGCTGCCGCTCACGCAGGTCGTCGCCCACGGGGGTATCCGCGTCGGCCTCGTCGAGGGCTTCACGCTCGTCGGCTCCGCCGAGCCCGACCTGCTGCTCGCCGAGGCCAACCGCCTCGACGTCGACGTCCTCTGCTACGGCGGCACCCACAAGTTCGACGCCTTCGAGTACATGGACAAGTTCTTCGTCAACCCTGGCAGCGCCACCGGCGCGTTCCTCAACGGCTGGGGCGACGACGGCGAGGGCTCGACCCCGAGCTTCTGCCTGATGGACGTAAGCTGGCTGCTCCTCCTTCTTCTTCCCCCTTTTGAGCTGTTTGTGGGCACGAGTTGGGAACAATTTGGGGACTTTTCTCTTCTATTCCTTGCTCATCTTGCTAATTTACCTCTAGGTCCAAGGAATCTCGCTCACATTGTACGTCTACCAGCTCAGAAAAGACGAGCAAGGAAACGAGACGGTTGCGGTGGAAAAGGTCACATACACAAAACCCGTCTCACAAACAGGGAATGCGTCATAGCTAGCCAAAGCGAGCGCGAATACGGAAAACGGGTAGAAAAGGCTGTGTTTGCATATGCAGAACAGCAATTGCAAGATTGCAACTATAATACCATGATATGCATAGAATTACCACAAGAAAAGTCGCCTGGCGGCGAGGACCTTGTTTGTCATCGGAGACAACAGCCACACAACTACGGCACGAGCAGATTTGGAGGAGAGGGAAAATGTAATAAAGCATCAATGAAAACGACTGCGACCCTTGGTATCTCTAGCATAAAAACATAAGAGCTCTCCTCCCTTTGTGCAAGTAAGCAAACGCAAAAAGGATGGCCATCCATCACTGCAAAGCAAAAAACATTTCCAAGAAAAAAACGCGAAGCCATCCAAAAAAAAAACAGTCATCCAAAACGAAACGAAACAAAAAAACGCCTAATAATGCATATGCCTTGCTGCCTTTCCAAAATGCTTTGATACCTTTTCAAATCAAAACCCAAAACCGATGCTCGCTCTTTTTAAACCATCATGCTCCGTCGTCGCGTCGTAATGCGGTCGTGGCTCACAACACTATGATCTTCATCGTCCGTGGTGGAGAATCTTCTTGTTGCAGTTATCCTGCGTCCACTTCGCGTCGTCACTGAATGTCCGGAACTTCCGCCCGTATACGGTGACGAGCCACTGAACTCGTAAACGTCATTCTCCTCGCGTTCAGAAAGGCGTGAGCTTCTCTGCGGACTGTCAGCCTCCACTGTAGACGGCACTTCATGAGTCGGAGACTCATGGTCCGTGGGAGGACTGACAAGTGTACTCCCTGTGGTAAGTCCAGTCAGGCGGGGGTGGGCAACCGAGAACTTTGTCCAAGCGTCCAAACCGCTCAACCCCCTCTTGGTGTCGAGCGTAGAGAGTTCGGAGTGACTAAAGCGTCTGCTCTTGCCCTCGCCGGAGACCGCATCAAAAGTTTCGTTTCTTGGCCGTCGCATTTTGTCTCTCAGGTTCGGTTCGGTGTAGCTGATAGCCGCTCGACTTCTGCGGCTCGGTCTAGAAGTCTCCTCTAGATGGGTGACGTCCGCAAGCGCTGGGTTCTCTCTCACGTATTCCTCGGCGGCTGACGGTTCAGGTGAGCAAGAAGACATTTTATCTGCTTGAGGGGATAATGTCTCTGTACCTGCAGCCAGCCTAGCTTTATACCTCATGGCCGCGAGCGCCTCTGCTTCCTGAACACGCTGTCGCTCGGGCCTGACGGTTAAAAAGAATCTAGGCTTGGGCAGGTCGGCATCTGATATGTCATGGGCAGGTACTGTCCTGCGCTTCTTGGGCGACTGAATGTCATCGTTTGTGCTCTTGATTGCGAGTGGCATCCTTCCTTCTTTCGCGGCCTGGGTTTTGGCACGATTCTCCTCTCGCCTGATGGCGGTCAGCTCCTTGAGAGTCTTGCCACGTGCGTTATCAAGCACAGAAATTGTCTTCGTTTCGACTCTCGGACGATTATTCTCCTTTGCCATCAATGCCTTTCTCCTCGCTGCGTAGTCTTCCACGGTGAACTTGCGCTTCGATCCAGCCTTAGTGGGAGGCGCGATTGGCGTGTCAGGGGTCAGGTCAACATGAACTCGGCTTTCTCTAATCATCGGGGTCACAGTTTTCGTGGCTAACGTTGAGCCAATATGAAGATCATCAAGATTTGGCGATGAAACTACCAGAGGTGAAGAGTCGATGGTGCTGGAGAAGTTGCGTGCTCTGGTTTCGCGGGGTGGTGTGTCGGCCTTGGCTGGCTCTTGACGGGCGGGGCGGGAAGGAGAGGGCAGCTTGGTAGCTTCTTCTTGATCTGCCTGTAATCGGAGTGCTTGGATTTGTTCAGGGCTGAAGATGTTAGTTAGTAGCTGGATGACAGATCAAGGGGTAGTAGGGGCCACCTACTTCATGGACTCGCGCGAGTATGCCTTGTGTTCGGCAATGTGACCAAGTTGCTCGCAATCGTTTGCAATATTGCGAAGACGGCGCTGTGAGGGGCTTATCCGTGCAGGGAGGGAACTGGTTCTGGTCTTGGACGCGCTTTCGATGGGCGGCGACTGCCTCTTGGGGGGTTCCATCCCCAGACCCCCAACAATGGTGCACCAATCAGTAAGTTGGCTCTCGAGTGCCTTCCTGATCTTCAGCGTGTGTTCTTGGCGTTCTTCGTGTTCTCTAGCTTCTTGCTCCAGTTCATTTATGCGACTCCGGAGCTCCAGATTATCATTCTGGGCGCGTGAAACTTCTTCTTCGAGCTCGCGTATCCGAAGGGCTCGTGTGTTGTTTAGCTTTGCCAGCTCTCTATTCTGGCGTAGCATCTTCTTTCGAACTAGAGGTAATACTCAAGTTAGCATCATGATGGCCACGATCGTTCAAGGGAGTGGTCGTACGCATTTCGATGCTTTCGGCTGTTGAAATCGCAGGTTCGTTTAGTCTGGCCATCTTGCGTGACGCGGCGACTCCGGGGTTGTGAAAAGTAGATTTGGATGTCGTAATCGGGTATTTAAAGCAACTGATGGGGGTTTCAAAGTTCTCAAGGCGAGTAGTAAAGCAGAAGCAACGTTGGATAGAATGTCAATCAACTTTTGTGAGCAATGCAAGGTTCAGGTAGCAGTCGCGTGTGGACGATTGGCTAAAGTAGTGTGGGTCCAACCAAGCTCGCGCGGGTTGACGGGGCAACGATGTATGAGGCTGGTGTTTCTCCTGTCAAGCAGCTGTGGCGCTGGGATATGTGTGGCGCGGGCACCCCGCTGAACACTGGCTGGGGGCACGAACATGAACATCAATTAAATAACTAAAGCTCTACACCACGACAAATTTTGAGAAAACTAAGTAATCAGTTACGCGCCTTTTGCACTTTACCACGGCCACCATCCACAATGTCGTTTCCTACGCGTTCGCTGTCGACCCATATGCGTGCCCAAGGCGGCATCGGCGCGTCGAGCCAGCAATCCGCGCTCTCTGCTCGAATTGAGGAGAAACGCGCCGAGCTGGAGCATTTGAAGGAGCTCAAGGAGCTTAGCGGTGCGGTAGCAACGCAGATGGAAGCCTTGGAGCAAAAGTTGTCTACGCTGACGGATGGAACGGAAGGCGAGTGGCGTTCTACCGTACGTATCTGGCATTACTGACATTGTACAGCTATCGCAGCCGTGATTGGCAACTGGCACAACGTTTTGGGTGCTATCAACATGGCATCAAGTAAGTTGGGTGCCGGGTTTAGATTCCCAATCATGCTAATCAATGCAGCAAAATTGGCAAAGCCAACACCAGCGACTGCAAACGAGGGCGGGGAGCGTGAAGAAGCTGGGCCGCCACTCCCAGAGACACTCGTCCGGATTCCTACAGAACACGCGCCGACATTACAAGCCCAGACGGAAAGTATAGAGGCCGCAGCCGCCGAAGACGCGTCCATGGCGAGCCCTTGATACATTGTCAGTCGAGACCGCACCAGGGAAGCACTATCGGCGATTCAGCACCCTGTTACATCTTGACGGCCATGGCTGACATGAGCTACAAACGAGCAATAATGACAGCACCTATCTTTGTGTGCATAGGCACGGCGAGGCCGAGAGTTGTGCGTCATAGACATACCGAAATACTGGTAATGTTTCTTTGGCGCATAACCTCAATCTGACAGGGCGGGGCTATTTGCCAGCCAAAGAACGCGTCCTGCCGCGGCACGCGTTGCCTCAATTGAGAGCCCAGTTATTCCCTAGAATTCATAAATAGCCAGCAGCTGCAAATAAGGGGATTTTACCGATGATCAACGCCATGGTCCTGCGGGGCGTTGACAGGAGGCAGGGCTGTTTATTGCAGAACAAGCAGCCCAGCCTAGCAGCATGCAGTACCACGGCGCTATCCCTGTGCGTCTCTTGGCTGCGAATATCGACCCTGGACCAGGGTTCTTCGGCTTTCTCTTGTTGGGCTGTCCATTATCACAAGCGAGGCCGCCTGCGTGCAACCAGTCTGCAGTTGGCTTGTGTGACTCTCGCTGCAGTGTGCTGGCAGAATGGGGAAGGAGCTGTTGACTAGCTGCAGCTGTAGTTATGGCGCCGTTGCTCCATGTAAATAGCGGCCTGGCTGGCCAAAACAAACAGAAAATCACAACACTTCTTCCCTGCATTCACTCTTGAACCCTCTGCAAAACATACGCCTGCATTTTCATCGTTGTCTCTTGGGTTCCATTCTACTATCCAGTTTATTCTTGCTTCCTCGCTTTCATTTTTCTTCTACTCTTGGCTTCAGGCTCAACCGCCCTGTCCACCGACCGGTCCCAGCATAAACTGCGCTACCCTCCCTTGCCGATCCCGCGAAATTGCAACAGGACCACCCGTGGACTCCCTCGAAAGCCACATCGAACCCCTGACTGTTACACCTTTTTGCAGGGTTTTCTTCTGAGTCCCCGGAGCAGAATGGCCCCGGCTCGTCCAGAATCCATCCGCCCCGGCCTTATCCACCAGACAGCCTTTGACGTTCTCGAAGACGCTACTGCCAGGATGCACTTATACCCTCCTGCTAACAAGGACGGCAACTCCTTCTCTCGCGCCCTCGGCGAACTCGTCATCAACAATAGCCAAAACATCTCCCCCGCCAGGAACGATCCGGATCCCAAGCTTCTCAAACCTCAGATTGAGCAGCACGTTGCGCGACTCCAGCGCCCTGCCTTGAGCGCCCACACGTTTGAGCCACTTGCTGTGCTTGACGAAAACAGTGACACGACTTTTGTGCAGCAGAGAGTAGAGAGTAGGTGTTCACGGACCCTCGCCCCTCAACCGTAGCATTCACTGACTTGTCCCAGCAAAACACTGCACCAGCGGCCAGACCCTTACTGCTATATACACTGCATCTGAGCCCACACTGCGAGACCAAGTTCAGAAGCATCTTGCAGGTCAGTTTAAATGGCTGATTTCATGTCCAGCAGAGCCGAGCGCAGGCGACCCGCATCAGCCACGGTTTCATGGCTGCAGTCGTGAATCGAATCCGGCTATGCTCTTTGGCTGCAACTTGCTGCACTCTGTCCCGAAATCAGGATCTACCCAGCAGCCATCAGCCCAACAGCAACAAACTAACAGAGTTACGCTTTTAGCAACACCAATCAGTGCTATCCAGTCAAATTTCAGCACCATGTCTTGGGATCAACAGAACCCGCCACCACCTTATGATGGCCCTGCATTAAAGGTGCCCGAGGTGGTCAACATGGTTGAGCATGCCCTTTCGCCAGCCCTCTCAGGCATCTCGGACCGTAGTGAAAGTTTTGCCGGGAGCTCTAGAACTGGTTCTTTTTCCGTCCCGCGCATTGAAGACTCGCTCGAGGAGCTTGATAGGCTCGAGGAGCAGCTCGAGGCAGTCGGTGCCCTAGCCAAGATCAAGACAGCAGCGCCCAACGACAATGTGGTCAGGTCGCCTGCGGCCAAGTCTGCTGTCAGGTCGCCTTCCGTCCAATCACTGACGCAGCGCACCGCGATGATGAGCCTAAACAGCAAGACAAGTGAGCAGTCCCTGCGCCGATCTGCTTCCATGACGCTGCGTCAGAAGAATCACCAACCAGCGACACCTCCTACCAAACTGGCTGATAGTCCAGTCAGTGGCAGCACTAGGCGTTCGGTACGCTCAACACCATCTAGATCGCCAACAAGCAAGTCGACAAAGCAGCCAACGGTTCCCAAGTTCGAGTTGCCCGGCGAGGCTGTCGCTCGTCGATTGAAGGAGCAGCGCGAGGCTCGCCAGGCTCTTCTCGAAAAGAGTCAAAAGGTCAACGCTGCACCTGCCAAGCCGCGCGGCGTGACGAAACCTTCTTTTGAGTTGCCTGGTGAAGCTATTTCTCGCAGAAAGAGGGAGCAACACGAAGCGAAGCTGCGGGCTGAGGAAGAAGAAATGCGAAGGAAGCGAGAATTCAAAGCCCGTCCGTTTCGCAATAGCAGTGCACCGGGTGTCACACCTCGCGAGACCATTGCAAGCCGTGCAAGACAGGTGAAGCTACAAGAGGATGAAGCCAAGGCCAGGGCAGCGGCAGCAGCTGCCACAGTCCGGGGCAAGAGACTGTCAGTCATTCCCAACGGACAAGCATCTGTGGCACCCGGTACCGTCAGGAAGACTAGCGCCCCGACTGCCGGCCAGAGACCTACCTCGTCCTTGAGCACGGCCCAGAAGACGGCGCGACGCCAGAGTACCATTAGTGATATCAGCGCGCCAAGACTGAGACCCCAACCTGCTCAAGATATCGGAGTCAAGACTGCCAGGGAGCAAGCTGCTGAACGCTCTAGAGCCGCGAGTCGCGAATGGGCAGAGAAGAAACGACGCCAGGAGCTGGCACAGAAGGAGGCACAGCGGCGCAGCGTGGTCGGCAGCCAAGTGCGGGCCGAAATGTAGACGTCATCAGCACATTCGCCCATTGGCACATTCTACTTGTTTGGACAGTGTCGGCAGAGGGGGACTTTGGTGATTGGCGTTTTTACGTGCATCGGATATCTTGCTTAGTCGGAGGCAATTAGCCCACAATGTTACATTAGCATGTTTAGTCATTGGTTAAATCGCAATACAGATTGATTAGAATACCAGGTTGTATGTGACAGCTAATCGTAGATGGGAGCTTTCAAAGTGAAACACGATTTGTTGACAGTGAGACTTGCCTAAAGACGTCATAACTCCACCAATAACATCCCGGCTCTCGTCTACCACGCTCATGACATGACCGGCGTTGCTTTCAGCAGCATGTTTCTTTTATTCCAGATACGAGGACCTGCGAATCTAGTAAACTAACCCATAATCAGTCGTGCTCCGTGGTTGCTGCTGGAACGGCGGGGGAGGGATGCTCGTGTTGGCGTTTGCGAATGGGGGCCCATCTCCTCACCGGAGATGCCAATCCAACAAACAAGGGAACGAGAAAAAAAAGGGTTGTTTAGAATTATTGACGCGTCTGTCCCACGGAGGCTGAAAGGGAAAATACGACCCCGTCAATACAGGATTCGAATTTCTAATTACGAAAACTGATGTAGTGTCGCGTTTGCAAATGAATGCCTGTGCCGGGTAGCAACACACTAAAAAGCTAGATCGATTCCGTGCCCGTGCGACGACGGTACGGTAACGACATCTCCTCCCCTGCCTCCCGCGTCACACCACGGGATCGACATAGAATGTCGTCATAGTTTCCGTTGCACAAGGTCATCAACCAAAATCCTTTGTAAATGTTCATTCTTTGTTTTTTTATTCATCTTTGTTTTCAGCTACCAACATTACTGTACTGATTGATTTCCGCCGTCGCCATCTCCTCCACCTCTCGCTCCACCCCATCATTTTGGCCAGGTCCAACAAACACTCCAACTGATATATAAAAAAGAACCGGCAAGCTCAATCAAAAAGTCCAATCAGAAAACAAAACGCGCAAAAAAAAAGAGATATAGTAGTAGAAAAGAGAAGATTGCAAGAGGGAATATTCCTAGATTAAATCAAGGTATATTCAAGAACAAAGTTGGTATTGTCTCCATTGTTTTGGTTGTCGTGCCCAGCTGAGGTAGGTAGGCTGGATAGGGAGTGATGTTGTTGGCCGGGACTGTATTCACTGGCTTAGGCGTAAAGAGGAATAAAATAATAAACGCATTTTCGCAACACAAACAGGAATTAAAATCGAGACAGGCCCTATGTAGGGACAGGGGTGCTGACATCTCAACACCGTATATACAGTCCGCAGAATGGCCCGTCCCTGATTCGAGGAGAGCAACTGCCGTGCCGAGGAGAATAGTCAAAGTATGTCGAAAAGAGCCGCTGCGATTGCCGTCTAGTAACTGCGTTGCTGGGGGCATGTGGAAGGCCCCCGTCGTCTGTGGCATTTTTGGTAAATGCAAAAATAAATATGGTGAGTCGGGGCACACATATCAATATAGTTGGGTGAAAGTATACAGAGGGGTAAAGGAAAAGATCATGGCAACTCGAAAAGGCACGCTGTCGTTTAGAAATTTTGGGCAATGCCCGCGCTCTGCTGAGGATAGTGGGACGTGTTCTCGATCTGGGTGTTGCGTCGGGCGGGGTTATCGCGAATGACGGCGGCACCGTCGCCGTAGGCGCCCTGGCTGTACTGGTCATAGTAGGCACCGGCACCGGCACCGCCAGCGCCTGGACCGCCGGGGTACATGCCGCCGCCGTCAGAGCCCTCGGAGCGTCCGGTGGCACTGTATGAGGACGAGGCATTAGAGGGTCCGCGGCGGACGTCGCCAGTCGCAGTGCGGTTGTGCGCGGCGGACGGACCCATGGCGCCGAGAATCTCGCCCTCCTGGGACGAGGAGCCGTCGTGGGCGTCATGCGGGCCGCCACGGGCAGTAGTCGCCTCGGAGAAGGCGCCGGGGTTGGAGAGCGTGGTGGAGGCCTTGCGGCCCACGGAGCCACCGGCCGTGGTCGAGCCCCAGCCGCGATAGCCAGCAGAGGCGTCCTCGCGCATCTCGTAGCCGTCACCGCCAGCACCGGCGGCACCACCGACGAGGCCAACGGCGGGAATGGTGGGGTCGGCATTGGGGTTGTACGAGTAGTCCTCGACCTCCTTGCGGCGCTCCTCCTCGGACTCGAGGCGGGCCTTGCGCTTACGCCACCAGAACAGGCCAATGACAGCAAGGAGGGCAATGGCGGCAATAGGGACGACGACGCCGACGGCGACCTTGCCGGAGGAGCTCAGGCCACCACTCCCACTACCGCCACCGGAGACGGGGGTCGGGCTGTGCGTAGAGGAGGTAGTAGAGGAGGGCGGGAGCGGCGTGCCGATAGTGGTGGAGGTGACAACGACTACGGACGTCTCGGCGGGGGGCACGCTGGTCCCGGAGGGAGAAGAAGTTGGGGCCGGGGCTGCTGACGTGTGCTGGGTGGTAGTGGTGGTGGTGGTTACAGTCGGCACAGACTGGGACGGGGTTTGGCTCGGGGTCGGGCTAGGCGACGACGAAGGGGCCGACGAGGGAGGAGGCGCGGATGGCGACGAGGCGGGAGGTGGTGCGGAGCTCGATGACGGAGGGGGGGCGGCGCTGCTTGACGAATGTGAAGGCTCGGGCGTGCTGCTGGGCTCGGGAGACGACGTCGGCGTAGACTGGCCAGCACTGCTCGGCTCGCTGCCGGTACTGGCCGATGGGCGGGAGCTGGCGTCGCCGGTGGCCTGTCTCACGGCGATGCCTTTGCGGACATCCAGGACGTGATCGGCGGGAGGCATCTTGGCAAGTAGTGGCGGCGTTGTACGAGCCTAGGGGCGAGGGGATGCAGTGTTAGCGGGACGAGGAATTCGAACAGAAACGGGTAATCACGCGGCAGGGAAGAAAAAGGAGTGTTTCCGAGGGGGGATCAAGAGTGGCAGCGGTTGCAATGACGGGGGCCTGGGACGCGGACAGCCGCAGTGGTGGAGCAGCGCACAAAGATGTCGGTCGGGTGAGGCAACAGTTAACGGGTCGGCGGCAGCGAGCCAAGCACGTCAGAGGACGGAGGAGATGGGAGTGTCAGGGAGTCGAGGGTGCGACAGGAGTATTTGTCGTCAATGACATTCCACCGGGATTGCAAGTCGAGGGGTCGTCATGATGTGGCTTTTTCGTGACGCAACGGAGATCAAGCCATGGATTCAAAGCAAAAGAGAGCACGAGTCAAACAGCGTCGCAGCGTTCCTTACCTGTGCAGGCTGCGGTGTCGTCGGGGAGGTGCAGGGCCAGTATGGGTTGACGATTTGGCAGAGGACGATGCCTCGCAGGCAATGGAAGCGGTTCGCGTTCGATCGATCGTTGTAGGACCAGAGTTGTCGAGGGAGATTGGGGGGAGGCGAGATGGTCGGGGGAAAGGATGAGGATGGTGTTGAGAAAAAGGACGGACGACGGACGGACAGGGCTTTTCTCTGCTGGTTGTGGTTGTGCTTACAATGGGCGTCCAGTGGGTGCAGTGGGTGGGTTGGTGGATTGGCAGCGGGCGCTAGGCGGGCTCAATGGAGGTGGGCACCCACTGCAGGAAGCAGCAAGGAATTGAAGGCGGCCGCAAAGCGATGCAGGATTGCCCTGCGAGAGTTGGAAAACTGGTACGTGGAGTGGGGTAAGAGCGATTGCAAGGACATGGGCTTGCATTCGGTCCATTTACGTGCAGTTGGATGCAGTTGGCTGCATTCAACCACTCTCATTTGTTTTGGACATGAGCGGACACCTTGCAGTGATCAGGGCTGACTGGATGGATGCGTCGCCAAAAGGGTACCTAGGTACTTGCATTAGTTAGGCAGGCACAAGTGACCAAATAAAAGGCACAAGAGGAACGTACCATAAAACAGGCTGAGTGGGCGGGTCTCGGCTGTGGAGGATTCACACGCTACGATATTTGTCTCGGTGCATTATTATTACCTGTACTCAATGCGATCCCCGATTTAATCTTCTTTCTGCTTGATTTTACGGTCAACCTGCACCCAAAGGGGACGGCGCCGCGGGGAAATTTGTACAACGCTGCACAGCTCTTTCCTCATTTTCAGTTTGCTGCCAGTGCTGTGGCTTGGCCACCCCTCGATCCTGGTTGGTCGACGCCACAAACACGAGGTTGAGAGTCCAGCCACACCAACTGCATTGGTACTAGTGTGGGCACGAAGAGCCCGACCGCGAGGCCGACCTGAGACCAGGGACCCAAGACAACCTCGCTGTCTGGTATTGTTCGTTAAGACATAGTTATTGGTATATTATCCAAGGATGATGAATAACAACAGAATCAATATGACGACTTTGTCGATTCCATACCTTCATCTTTGGGTGGAATGTATGTGCGAAATGTCTGCGTATACGGACGGTTTCCTCTATCTGGCTACCTACTAGAGTACCTATCGAGGTACCTCGATAAGCCCTCTGAGCCTCTGCACAGCCGCATTCGGACGGATACTTGGCTCCAAATGTACGGACACACCACCACACTTATCCGTACGTTACGAAAATAAAATAATTATCAAGGGAGCACTAATAACGTGGTGTTAAAAATAGTCTTTCCCGATTAGGCGACAACTAAGAAGTCATTTCAACTACATCCTTGTTCTGCTTTCATCTGTCAACTTGCCAAGGCCGAGTTAGCACCTTCAACTCGCCGTTCCCTCCGTTCCCTCCGTTCCCTCTGTTCCCTCGACCGTGCAGATGCCAACCCCCCCCTGGCCACCGCAACAATAGACCAGCCAAAATGAGCGGAACGTGCCGCCCGCCCTGCACAGACGGCGCCGCCAGGGGAAAAAGACCACTGACAGCCAGGGGAAAAAGAGCACCGACGGCCAGGGGAAAAAGACCACCGACGGCCAGGGGAAAAAGACCACCGACAGCCAGGGACCATCCTGTAATTGTTTTCTTTTTTGCAGGTTTGTTGCCCCGTGTCCAAGCGTCAATCAGTGGTCACAGGAAGACGAGACCCTGTCGATGCAATTGCCGTGCCCGCTTCTGTACTGTAAGCTCAGGGCAAAGATGCGGTCTGATCTCCAAGTAGGCTCCGGGTATAAAAAAGAAAAAAGGTGTTCCGCTAGAGTAGGAAAAAGAAAGAAGAAGAAAAAAGAGCTCCATTGATCGTAATAATCACTAAATATTAGGTAAATGGTATTCGTTGGCAGCGAGCCGCGGTGCTCTGCGCGGCTGTCACTTCCGCCACTGGAATGTCGATGCCCTCTGGTCGTACGACGTTCCGTGATCCCAGACTGTCGGTCCGAAAGTAAGACTCGATAGGGTCTCTCCCCTCTGTGCGAGTTTTTGTGGGAGAAGCCATTTTCTTTCCTCACTTGGCAACGGCCTCTTTCCAAGCGGGAATAGCCCTAGTTACCTTGAAAGTTCAGCGGATCACTTCAGGATCACGGCGTTGTCCTGTGAAGAATAGGAGGCAAGTTTTTAGAATATTTAAAGTAGCCAGCGGACTTGATTAAGCTTTTCTGCACTGATTCTCAGCCACTGATCTGGTTCTTTGCTGCTGGTTTGATAATTTGCTGCTGATCCAGCCGGTTCTTTTCTTCGCTACGCAGGTCTCCTTCAAAAATTGTGTCTGGCGTTGTACTTTCCTTTACATTTTTTATATTTCCTGTTCTTCTTATCTTCCTGATCCTCCTTATTTTCTTTGTCTTCCGTATCCTCCTTATTCTCAGTCTATTTCTTATGTCTCATATATTTTGTACATCTTCCATTTCTACTGCAAGTATACCACTTTGCTTACTCGATGCCTGCTGCTGGAATAGTAGTAGATATGAATTTTAAAAAGGACATCTGCGCTTCATCATTATTAATGATTTGCGTCTTCTTCACTAGTTCTTCATGACTGATCGTGAAAATTGCCACCTGGTCCATTTTTTCCAAGGTTTGCTGGCCCTACACAGACGCCGGCCGCAACGGGCGCCCGCACGGAAACTGTCACCGCAGCGAATAGAAATCATGGTTATTGATGCGAATAATTCCTCGCATCATATCTTCCAAGTACTTCTTTTTTTCCCTGGGTTTTTGATGGACAAAGTTGTTTCGCGAAACAGCCGCGTTCGAGACAGCTCAGCCTTTGCCAACCAACACCCTGTATCTCAGGTCGTGATGCCCTCACCCCACGCCAACAGGCAGCCGGCCCTTCCAGTCCAAACTTTCCAATGAATAGAGTTCATGAAGCCAAATCGTAGCGTTGCGCGAAACAATTCTAATCTTCATCGTCTGGTACATAATTCTCTCGTGTCCCTTGAAGCAAGGCATTCACACATTCATCTCCCCAGCCATACGACCAACAGACGAACGAGACCATCAGGTCTCCCGAGCAATTGGCCAGAAAATCTCCATATAAGTACAGTCAAAAATACCCACGCACGAAAACGACGTCAAAAAAACACAAAAATGTCCAACCAAAACTCCAACCAAAACGCGAGCCAACAGCCGCAGCCGGCCACGAGCGCCGTTACATTTCACTTTTTGCACTACGTTCACAACGTTGGGTTCGTGGACGAGTCACAGCTGGCTAGATACTCTCCCCAGTACGCCGCTTTGATCTTCTTGACGCCGCCATCGTCGCCAGGGCCGCAGCCCGCGCCCGCTACGGAGGTAACCTTTGTCTACGAGTCACCCAGCACGGGTGATAATGACGTGATGGAGATAATGATTCGGCCAGCCGAGTCGAAAATGGAGCCGGAAACTGGGTCGGAAACGGCGCGGAAGAAGTCCGAGGAGAAGGAGGAGACGGTGCCAGAAATGCAGGAGCCGTCGCAAGTGGCTACTCCTCGATCTGAGTAGGCCTCTCCTAGCTACGGGTTGCAAGGTGAGTCTTGATGATCTACAGGAAAGTTTACTTCAGAGCCCACGCTAAAACTACGAAAACGACAACAAGAAATCTAGATAGAGCGCTATCGAGGCTCAGTTCCTTGTCCCAAGCCCCTGGAGTGCAAATCGAAGGCCACCAATTCTTGGCCTTGGACGAGCGACCCGTGTTGCTTCTTTCTCAGCGGCACCTTTTCGCAGAGGTTCGCCTAGGAGGGGCGTGTGTGCGTGACCGGCGGCGGGATGTATGTAGATGTCGGCTACAATGCCCTCGTCTGCGAAGAGAGGAGAATAGCCCCCTCTGCAGCGGTCATTGTTGCGGGTGTTGACCATGTTTCATGGGTGGTGGTGGGAAGTTGGAAGTTTGCAGTGTGCAGGGGTCCTGGGTCGGCGACTGAACTTGGGGGTTGTGAACTCAAGTAAAGGCAGGTGAATTTTTTCTTGATATTTTTATTTTGGAATGAATTTTCTGTGCGCATGATCTGCTTGTATTTTTCAATAACCTATATTTCTCTCTCGCGTTTCTAATACTTCAAAAATTTGGTACAAGTCCCCGGTCTTCCTTTCCAATGTCTAGTTGCGCGTCAAGATCGCTTTCTTTTTTGATTCCCTCAGCCAGCCGTTCAATATTCTGAAATTCGATATTTCACAATGCTAATTGGGTTGTGGAAAAAGGGTTGGTGCATGGGGAGGCTGGGCCTCTCTGGCAGCAGCCTATCTCTGCCACATTGACCTATGATCAATTCACTTTTCTTTGTTGTCGCGGCAGGCAGGCAGGCAGACAGGCAGGCAGCAGACTGGTACGTACCCGGATTGTGAAAGCAAAGTGACTTTGTTGTGGTTTTACATGGACTCACCGATAATCTGGGTTGATCGCAAGATATGTCAAGCAGATGACATGCCACGACGAACGCCTTCCTTATCAGAAACTCTTACTTACTTTGTATTTGATAATGTAGCTGTTACATGGGGAGAGGGGTAAAAGAAACGGCAGGAGAGGAGAGGGAGATCCCGTGAAGAAGCCACCCGCAAGATGAGGTCTGACGTCTGGAGATCTTGGTGGCCAGTCATTTACTGTTGCACTCTATTCACTTTATCAAACATGTTTGTTCTTACTCTATTCACCTATCATAACACGTTCATTCTTTTCTCAACTGACTGATCAGGTTCCGGTGACTGGTTTCACTGTAGTCCGACCACTTGCAAACGGCAACCTGTATCAATCAACTACTATGTAGTTACTGCTTCACTGCTCTGACCTGATTTGTAAATCTCTTCAAGTCGTCAAGTCTGCCTTTTGCTTCTGATTTGACCTAACCACCATCTCTTTCTCCGTCCCTCTCATCAACTTCTTCAGCTCCTCTCTGTTACGCTGAGGCTATCATCGTCAAGTATCGTTGACACCATTCCTTCCCCCTCTCCCGTCTTCTCTTCCTTTCCGCACAAAATGTCGGAAGGCGGAAAGAATCCTTCAGGATTCCCATTCAGGGCCTATATAGTCCCGGGAATCGAGAATCTCGATCAGGACGCTATTCGCAGAAATGCGCCAAAGATCCGGCAGATTGCGGAACGGTACATCTCAACTAGCGATGAAAAGGGTGACCCGAAAAAGTTCAGTTCGACCATGTATGCAGCACTGTTCTTAATGCCTGATGAGAGCATTGCTGCGCTTCTGGAGAACCCCGAACTTGGTGATATTGCTTGCGACAATATCCCCTCCTTTGCCAACCACTATATGTTCCCAATGCAGTTCCGTCTCCTTTGCTACGTTGCTGCTGACACTTAATCCGCCATAGCTGTCGCTCCGAAGAGAGCCGCAGAAGCGAATCAATACGCCCCTCGCCCTTCTGTCGGCTCCGGTAGGAAGAAGGCGAGACAGCCGAGCTCCGCCCAGCCGCCTGTCGCTGGTCCTTCGGAAGCGGCCCGCGCAAAGATGAGGGCTTTTTGGGGACAGCCTCAAGAAGCCGTTCCAGCCGAGGCCATCTGTTCAGAGCACCTTCGCCCAGGGCCAGGCCGCTGCCGCCGCCGCCCCGGGTTGGTATATTGGTGGAAGCACTCGGACGAACACGAAGCTGGTACGCAAACGGCGAAACGTGAAAGATTCCTAATCAAGTCGGGCGGAAATATCTTCACACGGGAAGCTGCAGCAAAAGGAGGAATAAAGCGAAAGCGACTTGATGACTGTCTAGTGCCCCGTGTAGCAGTCCTTGGAAGGGGGAATAATTACCACGCAATTACATAGCATCAGGCAACCCAGTATCACCTATTCCGAGGGCGTACTCGGCCAGTTTCCGCGGTTCAGTCTGCATGGCACGCCACTCACATGACGGCCACTCGAATACCATTGCGTCGGTGCAACCTGGCGGACAGTATCAGGATACGGAATTTTGAACCAAACATAGCTTGTTTGCTTCTGTACTCCCGACAGCACGATGCGTTGCCAGTCTCCTTCCCACTTCCCTCGCGTTGCACCACCCGCCACACTGCCGTGGTCCCTGCCCTCACGACGTGCCTAGCTCAACTTGCGGTAGATGGGGATATTGCTGCTGATGTACATGGGAAAATGATACGACGGGTTTACCTGAGCAATAGCAAGGATTACGCGCTGTGGCGTTGGCCCAAGCAAGCTGAGTTGGGCTCTTGGCGCTTGCCAGAGGCGAGCGGCAAGTCCGACTACCACAGATTGTAATGTTTGCTCTTTCATTCAATCACTCTTTGGACTCGGGAAAAGGTAACATTGGCCCGTTGCGTCCTCTGTCCACCTCCGCGCAAGAGGGCCGGCGGTTAGCCGGTAGCCATGTTGGTCGTACTGCTGGTGTCCGGCTTACAATGTGACCGTGACTGTCTTTTTTTTCACCATGCACAGAAATGCAGGGAAAGCAGTATAAGGCAGGAGGATACAAGGGTGTATACGGAGTACTATTGCTAATAAGAATCTGTTCTTTTTTCTTTTGAAAAAAGGAGAAAACCAAGTTACAGAGTACTGTAGTCCCCAGAACATATTATAAGAGGGTAGGGTAGTCCCTCGGGGTATCATGAATTATGACCCTAGACAGAAACTTTAGGCCAGCCCAAGATATTTCTGTAGCTCCCAGTTGACGTCGGCTAGGAACCCGCGACTATTTGAATGCGTTACGTAGCCATCAAAGCCAAAGTCGTCTTGTTGTTGTTGTTGTTGTTGTTGTTGTTGTTGTTGTTGTCTCTTCCTTCCCCTCAGCACATCTTGCTCCCCATCCTCCTCCGACCAATACTCATCGTCGTTTACGTGGCTGTGCGTTTCATTCCCATCACGGGTTGGTCGCCGTCTCTTGGATGGGTCACCCGCGGGCGGCGCAGTCTGTAGCGAATCTCCGGTAGAGGGCGTCATGGGGAAGCCTGACCGTATACTAAGCGGAGTGCTGCCTCCGCTCGACGGACTCGCAAGGCTCATGGCCGAGCTGCTTCTGTTGGCGGCGTTTAGCGACGATATAATAAGATTTGGGCGCTCGGCGGCCATGTTCTCGATGCAGCACATGGCGTAGTGGTGAGCGAGCGCACTGCGGTCAACTCGGGGTGGGATTTGCGCCTTTCGTCCGTGATAGACTTCGAGGTCCCCAAAAGGGACAAAGACGCGGATACGAAGCGTAGTTGGGTGGATGGATAAAAGGCGCGCATCAAAAAAGTCGTGTATATGCTTCATGAGGAGGATGCCGTTGCCGGGACTCCACGTCTTCTCCCATGCCTGGCATAATCGTCGCGCGCTGTCCCGAGTGGTATCGCCCCGGTCCCCTAAAGGGTACAGATGGTAGTGCTGCTGCGGGACAATGTGGCAGGCATGAACGCCAGGGCCGATGAGCTGCAGCGTGCTCCAGGGATGTCCGCCGCCCGATATGGCACAGCAGCTAGCCTGGGCGATGCAGGCCATGCGAAAATCACTAATGGTCTTGCGAGCCGCCTCAATGTCAATGTCCATGTCTGCGGGGGCGACCATGTCGTAATCTTGGTCATCAGGGCCACCGGCTGCGTCGTCTGGTTTATTGGGAGAGTTTGAGCCGGACCGCTTGAGCGGAGACTGGGAGCGCGCTTTTGCTTTGCGTCGAAGGGGCATAATGTTGAGACGAGGGTCGGTCGAGGATTTATTGTAGGGGAGGAAGGCGGGGTGGTGGCGACGGCGGGGGTCAGAAAGGTTGTAGACGCATTTGGCTGAGATTTTGTAAGCAGAGGTGGATATACCAACCCGAGTTACAAATAACAAACCTCGTATATGGTCTTTAAAGGAACCAGAAATATTGCAGGTCTTGTGATAAACAATGTGGTAGGTGACAGTTCGCCGCCTCGTGGCGCTTTCCGAAGCTAGACCAGGGACCAGCTCGTTAAACCTCTCGCGCATGATGAAGGATGGATAATTAGCTGCCTCGTCCGGCGTTTCCGTGAGCGCAAAGGCAATATCGATCCATGGATTTGTGTTGATTTCCTCTTGGTCTTGGCCGCTGTCGGCGTCGTCGGCGTTGTAGGCGTTGTCGGCGTCGTCAGCGTTGTCCAACTTGTCAGCGTTGTCCAACTTGTCAGTGTTGTCAGCGTTGTCGGTGTTGCTAGTGTTGTCGACATTGTCAAGCAACTTTCCGCCGCCCGGATAGTCAAAGCAGAGGGCCAGCTCGGCGCACACGTCGCCAAACGTCAAAGTCGGCTCGCGTGGGTTCTGGTAGACGCCCCCTAGATACTGCTTGTTAGCAATGGTGAAGATGACGTTCCATCCGCCAGCGCGCATCGGAGCCGTAACCGCGCTCGTCATCTTGGCGTTGTTGTGCTTGCGTTGAATGCCAAGGGACGGATGCTATTTCGATGAACAAGGCAATGCGAGGGGTGTACTTTTGGTGACTAAGCCAGTCGCGCTGGTTGGCCCAACAACGCCGACATACCCAACAGTGCGCAAGGCGAAAGAAGACGAAGAAAAAGGGAGAGATTTGGTAAAGAAAAATATGGGGGTTTTTTTCTTTCTGAGATTTTGCCCTAACTAATGTGCTCTCCTATTATTGATTTTTGGACGCTCTGGGGCTTGCTGTTGAGACAATGTCACTCTGGTTTGTGCAATAAGCACCATGCCCACGCTGTCAGCACAGCCCGCCGAGCCTACGACAACTTCACTTGCACGCAACTGTTATTCCCCTCATTCAATCAAACCATTCACATTGCAATAAACCCCTACTTTTAATAACCCGCATCATGCCATTAATTAGTGGTGGCAGAGTTCCGCCCCATGGGGCCCCCGGGCGCCTTGTCCCAATTCGGGAACTGCGCCGTCGCCGAGCCCCGTCCGGGAGCCACTCCGAGGACGTTCGACGCCGAACCAGCGGACGGCCCTTGTCTTTGTCTGCCAGTAGCCCACATGTGATGATGGTGTGAATGACATGTGAAACACGGTCATGGCATGATGATGGATGAGCTATAAAGACTCGGGAGTATCTGGGGTGCAAGGTAAGACCAGCACTTCTAGTACTCTCAACTATTCTGCCTTGTACATTCCATCTATTCTCTCCCACCATTTTCCTCATACACCATCACAATGCAAGACGTCATCACTGGCAGGTATCGTCTCTCCAAGACGGAAAACTTTGACGCCTTCCTCGCCGAGATTGGTACGTCTCCCTCCTGCCCAACCATCACCAACCCAGGCGAGACCTCACTAACACATTACCTTCGCCCCCTCCAGGCCTCGGATATATCAAGCGCAAGCTCGCCCAGTCGACCTCGCCCGAGATCAACATCACCCGCGCCGGCGAGCGCTGGACCATGGTCACCTCCTCCGCGCTCAGCACCTCCGAGGTGACCTTTGCGCTCGACGAGGAGTTCCCCGAGGATCGCCAGGACGGCGTATCGGTGACGAGCTGCGTCAGCGCCGACGGCAACGTCTGGACGCAGACGCAGAAGCCCGGCAACGGCAAGGACGTGACCATTGTGAGGGAGTTTGGCGAGACGGAGCTCCGGGTCATGTCCACGGTGAATGGCGTGACGGCGAACCGCGTGTACGAGCGCATCTAGACGCAGAGGGCGAAAGGAAGGAAGGAAGGGATATATGAATGATGAATTGTACATTATTGCACCACATGGAAATTGAGCTGATATTATGTAATGATCCCGTGTTATGGTGTGGCGGCAACGTGCAAACGGCGACCGTCTCCCAGTTTGCTCAACACAAACACTCCATCACTCTTCTCCCGTGCCCTTGCCGAGTTTCCCTCTTCAATTGTCTCTGTATGATGCAAGTATGCACCAAAATCCAACAATTTGCGGAATTTCTTCACATGCCGTCACATAGTAAGCAATCTGCCTTCTCTGGCAAGTCATATGACCTTCAACTGACAATCATAGTCCCAGCAGTCCTCGGCATCCCCAACTCTCCTCCCAGAACCCCATGAAGACCGAGCCTGGCGACACCCCGATGGTCACTTTCTCCGAGCAGTGCCCCGTCACCAAGAACCACCACGCCTTTACGTTCACTCGCTACAGGTTGTTCTCCGCGCGGCGTCTGGAGAGCTTCGCGGCGAGCATTTGGTACTCGACGACAGCGGAGCCCGGGTTGCCCTCATGGAGGTCATATTCAAGGTGATTATTGCCTGGGAATTCTCTAAATTGGAAAATATGCAATTTTGAGGTCAAGTTTGTCTTTTAATTAATTCACAAGTAAATTCGGTAGAATCCGTTGTCGAAATGGAGAACCCCTTCGCTCTGATGTCATGGTGATGGGACGGCTGGTGCCACCGTGGGTAGTTAGAACGCATTATTGCTAAATTGAGGAAATGCATCTTCCAGGTCGGGTATAATCCTTTAATAGCTCTTTCCAATTGGATATGAGCTCTTCTCCAGAAGTAAGCTGTGCGGTCGGCTGCGCAGCCGATGGATCGCGTAACCATTGCATCATACATACATACATGTAGTGCAGCTACCATATATAGGGCCACCACCATCTCGACACGACCTATCCAGGCCGTGAATCAACACAACCTCTTTCAATCTCCCGATTATTTAATATCACTAATTCCAGAAAAATGAACGCACCCACAGCGGCACGCAGTCTCCTCCGCCGCGGCATCCCCCGCCTGGCACCGCGCACCCTGACCGCGCGCCTGCAGACGAGACCGGTCAGCAGCCAGGACGACCTCGGCGGTCCGGGCGGGCAGATGCCGCCGCCGCCGAAGCCTGGCGGCCCCGAGGCCATCAAGCGCAACGGGTAAGCTGCCGAAACCCCCCCGGACGGGATGAACGACTGACCCATGGCAGGCTTCTCTACGCTGGCATCGGCCTCTTCGCGCTCGCCGCGTACGCGTACCTGTCGCAGCCGCGGGAGACGGAGCGCGCGGCGGGCAAGGCCATGGCCGCGGGCGAGAGGGCCAAGGAGGCGGGCAAGCAGGAGCTGCGGAACACAAAGGAGGAGGTTGTGGGCGGCGTGCAGAAGATGAGCGGCCGGGACACGGATGGCCAGAAGGGGTTCCGGTCAGAGTAGGGAGGAAGGAAGGGATGGATTACTCGGTGATGGGATAGTGTGTTGGAGAATGACATGGGAGGTTGCTCAAGGCCGTGAGATGGTGTAGTCCGAAGCTCACGACAAAAGCTGTACTTGTCATCATCATGTCTTCTTGTCATTGTCCTTAAAACTCTACGAATTTTCACTAATGCACGATTTACTGGCATCGCACACCAATCCCGTGTCTCGTGCAGACCGACAGACTCCCCGAAATGGCCCCGAGCCTGTCGCCAGTTCTCTTGTCTGATTTTTCCGAGTATAAAGTCGTGCGAGTGCCAACTTGACTGCGCAACGTCGCATCGGGATGGAGACGGCTTACACGCCGGGCAGCGCCCGATTCGGACGGGCAGAGTAAGCCGTGCAGCTGGCTCCCCAGGCTAGCTTCTATGTCAACTACATAAGATGGCATAATATCCGCGCGAAAAGACCATCCAGCCTTTGAATGAAGTATCCGCATATTTCCCGTCAGAGCATCCATCCGCCAACCATGAAGATCTCTAACTTGCTCGGCCTCGCCGCCGTGACGATCCCGGCCGCGTCGGCCTTCTTCCTGCAGATCAAAGACCAGTCTCTGGCCAGCGTCGGCGCCGTGCGCGTCGTCTACAGCTACCGCGGCGCCACGGCCGGCCACCACGACGACGCGCCGTACATGGGCGCCGTCGTCGGGCCCTCGGGCGCGCTGACCTCGACCGCCGACCTGGGCAGGATCTTCTTCAAGGTCGACGAGTACCGCAGTGAAAAGGGCTGGTACCGGGCGGCCTTTTCCAACCTGGAAGCTCCAACGGTGGGTGAAGGCAAAAAGAAAAGAAAAATTAAAAATTAAAAAAAAGAAAAGGCCGGGGTTGTACTGACAGAGGGACAGAACGCAGACATCAAGGGCCCGTTCGCGGTAGAGGCAGGAAAGCTCGTGTACAAGGGCGCGGAGAGGGTGTCGTGGACCATGTGCCCGGATAGCGGTGATGGGGGTGAAAAGGGCTTGTACTTGCAGCTTTTCTTGACGACGGACGCGGTAAAGCCCGAGTTTGGCTGCGAGACCAAGTTTGACCTCGTGGTTCCGCAGATGTAACGGGGTGAAGCCGGTTCCTTGGGGATTATTGACTGACCGACGTAAGTTGGAAGAGGGAAGCAAGTTTATGATGATTCTATAATAAAGATCCGGGCGGGCGAACAGCGCGTACTGGTAGTGTGGAGAATGAATATGAATTATGATTTGTGACGGGCGATTACTAGGACGAGACCATTCAGGCAGCCAATCGGCTTCGGTCCCCAGGTTATCTTAACAGATCAGGCGTTTTGGTGTGGAGTTTCACAAGTCAGTCAAAAACATGTCCGTCTCTTCCGCCGCGGCGGAGTTTGTAATGCCAAAACCACAGCCACGCAGCCTTGATCAAGTCGTCATAAAGCCGATCCTCTTATAGATTTCACCTCCGCCCGCGGCGTTCTTTTTTTATTTTTTATTTTTTTTCCCTTCTCAATCTAGATTGATACCGAAATCATTTGCCTTTTTTTTTTCTCTAACATTGATGGCGGACGCAAACCCGACCGGCTCCGGTAGCTCCACCTCCACTTCGCCCGGGGCCGCAACCACGCGGCCCGTGAGGCGGCGCAAGGTCCGCAAGGGCACGCAGAGCTGCTGGGAGTGCAAGCGCCGCAAGATCCGCTGCACCTTTGCCTCGCCGGGGGTGCACGCCGTGTGCGACGGCTGCAAAAGCCGGGGGACGCGGTGCGTCGGCCAGGAATACGAGGACGAGCCGGCGCCTGTGACCGTGGCCGCGGACCGAAGGGCCGATCGCCCGCGGCTGAGCCGACACGAAAGCGTCCAGCAGGACGAATCTCAACACACGTCTGACCTGAACAGTACTGTCACTGTAGGGCACGCCCCGTTTAGTCTCGACTCCTTTGTGGGATGCCGACCTTGCTAATGGCTAGGTATATACATAGAAACACCCGGTGCCGGACCCCTCCTCCTCCTCCTCCGTCGCCCTCGGCCTCGACGCCAGGTCGTCTGCCGAGCTCTCCCGACACCTCCTCTCCCTGTGGCCCTCTGAGCCGGACGTCGACCGCATCCTCGCCGCGCAGGCGAACACCTCCTTCCTGCTGCACGGCATCGTGTGCCAGCCGTACGAGGGCTACTTTGCGCGCCACCACGGCTCCTGGCTACGCCGCAGCTGTCTGCAGCGGCCCGCGGACGGCACGCATCCGGTGCTCGTCGCGCGCAGCATGCTGATGCTCGTGACGCTGCTCGACGGCCTGCCGGCGGCCGGCGGCGGCGGCGGCGATGATACCGCGGGGGAAGCGCTGAAGGAGCGCCTGTACAGCGCAGCGGCAAAGCTGGTCACGGCCAACCACGAGCTCCCGCCGAGCCTGGAGGGCATCGAGAGCCACCTGATGGAGGTGATGCACCTGGCCAACAGGGGCAACCTGCGGCGCGCGTGGCTGGTCAACCGCCGCGCCGTCAGCCTCGCGCAGATGATGGGTCTTCACGCGGCAACGACAAGCGGCAGCAGTTCGCGGTCATCGTCGTCGGTGGCGGCGCTGCACCCCAGCACGCGCGCCCGCGTCCGCCCAGACTACGCCTGGTTCCGGCTCGTCTTCACCGACCGGCACCTGTCGCTGCTCCTCGGCCTGCCGCAGGCCACCACGGACAACGAGGCCTTCGCCGCGCGCGGCGTCCTCGAGGCGCACCCTCCTCTCGAGCGCTTCGAGCGCGTCATGGGCGTCGCCTGCAGCCTGATCCTGCAGCGCAACGCCGTCTCCGCCTCCTCCTCCTCCGGCGACCTGGACACGACGTACGAGATTGACCGGACGCTGCAGCGCGCCGCCGCGCCCCCCCCGCCGATCGGCTCGCCGGCCACGACGAGGCCGCCTTCGCCGAGACCACCCGGCTGATGAACCAGTTCATCTACCACCACCTGCTCGTCCAACTGCACCTGCCCTACGTCCTCGCCTGCCCGTCCTCCTCCGGGTCGGACCCGCGGGTGGACTGCAGCAAGATGACCGTCGCGGGCGCCAGCCGCGCCATCCTCGCGCGCTTCGTCGCCTTCCACGCCTCGCCGGCCAGCGTCTCGTACTGCCGCGCCATCGACTTCTTCGCCTTCATCGCGAGCACCACGCTGTGCCTGGTGCACATCGAGGCCGCGCGCCGCTGCCACCACCACCACCAGCACGGCGGCGGCGGCGGTGGCGGTGGCGGCGGCGACTTGCTGCGGCCGCTGCTGCACGAGCGCCACGCGGACCGCGCCGTCATGCAGGGCCTGCTGGACGTCGTGGGGAGGATGAGCAGCACGGGGCCGGACCCGATCGCGCGGCGCATCGAGAGGATCCTGGGCCCGCTGCTGGAGATTGAGGCCAACGCGTCCCGGGGCGGGTGCTACAGCGTGTCGGCCGTGGAGGGGGAGGCCGGGGCGGAGGGTGGTGGTGGCAAGCAGGAGGAGGCGGCGGCGGGAGCGGCGGCGGACTTTGGCGACTCGAGCGATGCGCCGCGCGTGCTGCGCATCAAGATTCCCTTCTTCGGCACGATTCGCATCGAGCACCACCCGGAATGGTCGGCCTCGGCCTCGCCGGGGTACGCGAGGGGCGAGGATCAACAAGTCGGGGCGGCACCGGCCGCACGGAATGGCTGCGACGGAGACGTCTCAAGTGGCGGCTCTGTTGCCAACGATGCGCAATTGGCGCAGCAAAATGCAAGCTCCGCCATGAGCTCAAATACCTTGGAGACAGACTGGACAGGTGCCGGCGCCATGTCCGAGCATGTTTCGTCGCTCATGCCAAAGAATGACGACTGGACTCACAACGCCACGGGTCTGTACCCCGGAGACGGCTCAGAGCCGTATCTATTTGTCCCGGACCTGTCTTCTGACGAGCACTGGGCGCTGCAGGGTGTCGACATTGCTCTGTTTAGCAACTTGACGCAGGGATCTTGAACCGAATCGCCATGTCATGTACCGGGCTCATAGCGGTGGTGTACATTAGCTTTTCTTGATTAATTAATGAAATAGTTACTTTCATTCTTATGGCCATGACGAAGGCCTGGTTGAGATGCAGTAAAGTCCGACATGGAGGTGACATGGCACTCGATGGGCTCTTTGCATGGGTCGTCATCGCTGCCAAGGACAATGAATGGCACAATTGCGGTGCATTGGACGAGCCGGACAGTGAACATTAGAAAAATCAGTCAACGTAGCTGTTACAAAGAAGAAAAATCACTTGAATGATGAAGAATCCGTGAATGAAGCTACGTCTAGGCTTTGTTGATGAATTTACTCTGCCTCGTACCGATCGGACGGTCCAATTCACAGACACTTTGGTGCTGCTGCCTATTATCGCGTCATCACATATTATCGCAAAGGCAGAGTTGAAGAGTCTTTTCTTTTTTTTTTCACAGCCCCCAAAAGTCGTAGCACGTGCCAAGGTAAGTGTATATAAGATCTCCCCTTCCTGCTTCCCGCTGTTCATCCTCCTGCCACCTTCATCATACTCTTCGCTGCCATGTTCTTGACTTGGCAAGTCAACAATTTCTCCATCAATCTCGCCTGTTCCCACAACTCACGCCTTGGATCGATTCCACTCCAAGATTGGCCACAAGTGCCCCCAGCTTCACCGTGCAGCCAGGGACAATGCCCCGAAGATCCGGCAGATTGCCGAGCGGTACATGCCAAAGCTTAACGAAAAGGGAGGGAAATTCTAAAGATTTCATTTCGACCATGTATGCAGCAATGTTCTTAATGCCTTGATGAAAGTAGTGATGCTATGCTCGAGAACTTTAATCATGCAGACCATTGAGCTTCTCAATCGAGACGACTACCCAAACAGCCTCGCTTTGCGTCCCAACTAACCGCTTGCAGTCGGAGGAGCTCGGGGTGTTTACTAACTGCAGCATCAACTCTTCTCCAGTAGCACGGCGGTGTATCGCAACGGCCATACACCACCGCGTTACTGCTGGCTATGATGTTGTAGGAGGGGACAGTGCGAGCATCTCCACGGCATGTGGTTTCTTGGATGCGAAGCCAATTTCACTTCCTGCCCAGTTTCTTGGCTCATCCGAGCCCTCTTACAAGCCCTGCGACTCTGTGCTTATTGGAGGACTTGTCAGCTGCCCGTTTACCGAATGTTTTCTTTCTTCTTTTTTTCTTCTTTCCCTCCCAAATTGTATAGAGCTTCTTTCAAAATCCCCCCCCCCCGAATTTATATTTTGTTTCTTGTTGGCTGTTGCTCTTGTATGTGCGACTGGTAGGCGCAGCTTGCAGTGTAGTTGGACCCCACCTATGTACATACATACATACATACATACATAAGCCAAACACACACCTGGAGCTCTGCGCATCACCGCCCAACTTCATCCTTCATCAACCACCTTCCTCCCTCCCTTTGTCCACCCTTCTCTCAATCCAACCCACCGAGCCATGGCCACGAGAAGCAGCGCCGCCCGTCTCCGGCGCACCTTTCGCTACCCCAGCGACGCCCCCGACTCCGACTCCCCCCCTCCTCTCCCACCCTCCACTAACAAACCCAGAACAAGAATCTTACATCCGGCAACTCGCCGACCGCAACCGCACGCAAAACACCCAAACCAGCCGCATCCTCCTCGCCATCCCCCTCCTCGCTACCATCCCCTACCTCACCACTGCCACCACCGCCGCCGCCGCGGCGCTGCCGACCTGCCTCGCCCTGTCCTCGCTCGCCGCCACCGCCTACCTGCTGCATAGGCTCCCGCCCGCCGTCACCGGTCTGCGCCCGCTCGACGACTGGGCCGGCACGGGGGGTGCCGCCGGCGCGCGAGGGCCGCTGGACCGCGCGCTGCCGTACCTCAACGGCCTGCTCGCGGGGGTGCTCGCGTTCTGGGGCGCCGCCGTCGCCTACAAGGCGAGTCGCTTCGACGGCGGCGGCGGCGGCGGCGGCGGCGGCGGCGGCGAGACGAGCGGAGCGCTGGCCTGGCCCGTCATGTGCAGCTTGCCCGCTGGCGTCTACGCGGTTGTTCTGCTGGCCAAGGTCGTCATGGCTGGCGTTGACCCGGAAAAGGAGCTCTCCGCGCTGAGATACGATTACAAAGGCGCCTAAATTGCCACAAATGCAAATCGAATATGTCTAATGCGCATAAAATTAATGTATTTCTAACACCAAGGTATATTTTTTTATACGTTTTCCCATTCACTCGCGTAAAACGCCTGGGGGGTATGCGTCGCCTTTCTATACTTCATTTCGTTGCTAGTGCTATCTTTTTGGTTCACGCATGGCAATTACCGTCATAAAAAAATTGGGCAAAAAACAGAATCCCACCCCTCCAGCCTGCATACAAAAGAGACGTTGAGAAAAAGAAAAGGATGCCCCAGCGCGAGGAAACGGTTACATGTCGATCGAATCTGTAAACCGTAACAAGCCGTGGTTTTTCAAGACGCCATCTACACCCTTGGGTGGTCGTGGGAAAGGATCCGTCAGTGGGCTCGTGTCGGGCGAGTCAGTCGATTTGTCCATGACAAGCGCAAGACCATGCGACTTGACAGCATCCACGAGCGCGGGTACCGAGTCCTACTCTTTGTTAGCAAAAGCGCTTCCAAATGTTGAAAGAGAAACATACCAAAAGGCGCGAGTAGCATATTAGACCCATAAAGTTGTTACTCTGGGCAATTCTGACCGCTTCCTTGACCGATGTGCTGCGTCGTCCCTGCACATTCGCCGCTGGTGACAGCGACCCGACCTCTTCTCGGCCGAGGTCATTGCACAGGAAAACAGGAAAGTTGGGCTGCTTCCAGTTCAAGGTCGTGCAGAGGCTTGCATTGTAGCTGCTGAAGACAATGGAGCGCACGACCTGCGACGAGTGCGACTGCGCACGCTGGGCTCTTGCGTGGTCAAACACCACAGTCAGAATGGCGTCCACGTACTCGTTGACTTCCAGGACAGGACCCAGAGCAAGGGCTCTTTCCTCCTCAGCCGTCGGGTAGAGAATCTGAAGGTTGGCGTGTACACTCTGTGGCAGGATGACGAGCGCCTCCTTGAGTGTGACACCAGCCGTTGCCAGCACGTGGTAAATCTCGGCAATGTTCTCAACCTTCTTGTCGGGCAAGCTAGAAAGATCAGATCGGCTAGCACTCCGCGCTGTTGTGGTCTTGAATTGGGCAAGAGTCAGGCGACAGACGGGAATGTCAAGACAACCACAGTCGATAGTCCACTGCGGCCAAATCACAGGAATTCCATCGCTCGTATATTGCACAAATAGTCGAACATAATCGCCAGAGAGACTTGACCCGGTTACAACAGCATTGGTGGGCTGGTTGAACTGGCTAGTGGCCTTCCAGTAGGTTTCAAAGTCAGTGATTTCCAGAGGCTGGCCTTTGAACGGCTTGATGACCTGCGTGTTGAAGCTAATTTGGCCGATCGCCCGAAGACGGGGGTCAAACAGCGGCAGACAGCAAGCCGTGCTTCCCTGGGGGTTCTTGAACGTGCTCGACAACGCAACAGTCTTGGCGATGATTTTGGCCCCGTACGTAGGAAACACGTCAAAATCGAGAGAGAAGGTATCGAGGTTGTCCACTTGGAAAGAAACTATGCGGGTATCTTCTTGGATGGGCAGGATAATGTTCTTGGGGATGAGTTCGGAGTTTTTGGACGAAATAGTAAGTCGAGCAGCCGGGTACTTTCCATCTTGGAAGAAGACGAGAGGCTGTTCACTAGCATCCTCGAAACTGATTTGAACCACAGTCTTGGTATCAAGGAAGTTATGTCCGTATCGTCGCAGTGGAATGATCGGTGGCGGCAGTTCCAGAATAGGAATGGCATCAGGATCCAGAGCCATTGGTTGAGGAGCACTGCTACTGCCCATGGGTCCCAGTGACGGCTGTGCGACCAAGGGGCTGGCCCGAGGCCGGTTGTTGAACGGGGTGAGGAGCTTCATGCAAGCCAAATGGCCCTCCCAAGCCGCGTAGTACATAGCGGGGAGATCCTTCTCATCCACAATGCTGGCATCTGCGCCAATCTTGAGGAGTGCTTGAAGACATTCCACGCTACCTTCGCTGGCAGCATGCACCAGAGGAGTCCATCCGTAGAGCTTGTCAATCTGATCCAGGTCCGCCCCAAATTGCTTGAGTAGCAACAAGAGGTCAGGCGATTGGCCTGAGCGAGCAACCAGATGTTGAGGGTAGAGTCCTTCTGCGTCGGGGAGAATATTCGCCCCGTGCTGGAGTAGCAACTCAACGACAGGTCCGGAGCCGTGCTCACAGGCCAGGTTCAGCGGCACGTGGTCAGCGTCAGAAACGGGGTCGATGCGAGCAGACTTGGCGAGTAAAAGCTTGACGCACTCGAGGTGTCCGTGAATAATGGCGTGTATGAGGGGGGTAAAGTTGTCGTGGTCAATGAGGTCAATTGTTTTGATGTTCGCTGCATCTTGTTAGCTTCATTTGGACACAGGTTAACGAGGCACCAACCATCGAGAAGAGCTTCCAACATGCGGAGCCGACCGTGCAAACTAGCATAGTGCGCGGGAACACGGCCGTATACATCGGTTCGGTCAACGGGGACACCGGCCTTCAACCCCCATTCAAGCACGTATTCCTTGCCGTAAATTGTGGCTTGATGCAGGCAATTCCGCTCGTTGATGTCGTCATATGAATGTAGGTCGACAAGACCAGTATCCAGCAGCGTTTGAAGCGAATCACGAGGAGCCTCATGAACAGCACCAAGGAATGTGCGAGTTACCCTGTCCACCAGCAGGTTATGGCCCTCCTCGGCGCTGGATGCTGACTGCATCTTGGTCAGGAGCTCCTTTAGGTTGTCCACATTGCCAGTAATGACAGTCTCGAGAAGGAGGGTGTCGGCGTCGCCCTCGTCAGTGCCCATAAAATGCTGGCTTGTGACGACATGGCCAGAGGTCTGAAAGTTGACTTGGATGCCATCTGACCAGGCGCCAAGCTCTTGTAAACTTGTCGTGGCTTGATCCGACAGCTCGCTTATTACGGTGGCATTGAAGAATGGCTGTACCTCGACAGCTCTTGACAAGTACAACTCCTTCGTTTTCGATTTTGACGTCTTGTCCCATTTCTTGAGGATTTTGGAGAAGGCGGTGCCGTTGATTTCGACAAACTGCTGCAGTTTGCTCAGGTCGGTGGCGAATTGTTGGAAACCCTCTTCCAAGGTTGTGAACTTGGACGAACGTCTTGAAATGCCTTGGCGGGATTGGATGACTTTTTTCTTGTCGAGAAGGGTTTTGAGTCGAATTTTGAGCTGCAAAACGTTAGAACAAGGCGTGCGGCCTGCGACGTTGAGCTTACCTCTGCCTCTTTTTGCAGGTAAAAGGCGTTGACCTTGTCCAGCTCTCGTTCCTACTCTCGGTTAGAACTGTTCAGATCAGTAGTGGCAGATACATACTAATTGGAAGAAGAATGTGGCTTTGTTGGCCTGGAGGGCGGCCTGCGAGTCGGCGAGGGCACCTGTCCGTTGGCCATCGTGTTGGGCACTTAAGGTAGGGGTCGCTGAGAGCTTTTTTATGAGCTGCGTACATGTTAGCAAATTCTCAGATGGGTAGATTGAGCATTTGACGCAACATCCGCACGCCAGTGCGAACTGAGAGGTGGCCAGGGCATCATTTCCTTGGCCTCCTCTGCAACACCGCCAAAAGCGGACTACCTGCGCACCTTTTTTAGAGCTTTGTAATTTACAAAGCTTGCCGCATATTCTGGGACCTCGAGCTGACGCTTCTGAATTTGCTTTCCAAACTTCCTGCATCGCACCGGTGTAAGCAGTTGAACTTGGGGTGGTTTTGCGCCAATGGCTCACGCAAAGGCTGATCTGCGTCGCGGTTTCCAACGGTCAGAGGGCGGGTGAGCTTACATGATGGATGTAGGAGCCTATGCTCTCGCGCGCGGGCAAAGTTAAGCGTCTGTTGATACCTCTTGCGCAGAAGACGTCGAGGGTTAACGGGAAAGGTGCGCGGGTGCAAGAGGTGGCGTGTCCAGTAGGTCGGTGGACGGCGAAGAAAACAAGTCTCAGTAGCGTGAGAGAGAGCTCCTCATGACAGTAGGAGGGGTCGTTAACAGGGTTCTTGGTGGGGTGTGTGTGCCGGTAAGAGGGCAAAGTGAAAAAAGAACTCGTCACCAGAGAGTAGCGTCCACGGGAAGCAGCATGCAACTCCGTGAAGCTGAAGCTGAGTGGCGAAAGACCTGGCCTCGTTGACTCCGGAGCTTACGGCGGGTGGCACAGGTGCGAGGCCGGGATAACGAGAGCTGACGCAAGGTGAGTGTCAGTGGCGGCACTCGGGCAGAACGCGAGGCAGGGACTGCAGAGTCGCAAGGCGCGGGGCCTAAGGACCCAGAGTAGCGCGGGAAGGACGAAAAGCACTGTGTGAGCGCCTGGCCTGCGAGAGGAAGCGTTGCGTTCGGGCACCGTTGCGCCGGGGGAGCCTGAAGCTGCCGGTGCAAGCGGTGATGTGGCCGTGAGGTGGGCTAGCGAGGCAAATATCGAGCCAGTAACACCAGTGCAGCAGCCTCGATTGTCAGGTCAGGTGGCGTGTGCTGTAGCCTGCGAGCCTCGTGCTTCTCTGCGAGGTTCGGTTGCAGCAAGCTTCGACACACGGCTGGCTGGAGGCGTTCGAAGCTGGCGCCTTAGTGGGCGGGCTTCTCAGCGGCAGGACCAGGGTTCTGCGAGGATGTGCAGCTGTGGCCGGGAAGCTGTAGCAGGGAGCCCGGTAACGATGGGCGATGGTACATGTAGATGCCAGGAGTGTTGTTCCTGCAGGGCTTGAGTTCTCTGATATGTCAAACAGGGCGGCGGCCAAGTCAAGGCGGGGCCAAGTTTCTGTCTATTTCTCTGCAGAAAGAGAGGGAAAAACCGACAAATCTTGAGGGGACAGGCTTCGGTTTTGACGGGGCCGTTGAATTTCTAGCTAGGGCACCATTCGCATGAGACCGTTTGTGAAGAGACGGAACCAGCGAGTGAAGCGGCAGGAGTTGGCTTGGAGGCACGGCAGGTTGGGGTGGTGCCAATTGGGTAGCCGACGGTTTACTCAGGCGGACGTTTCCCTGGCTATCGTGGAATCGGGTTGCAGGCTTGTTGCTCTTGGCCAAAGTTGAGCGTTTCGTCGTGACCGGTTTGCTGTTGCCTACCGTCCGTGGGACGAGGGTGGTGGGTTGTGCACTGGGCGTAATAGTATGTGTTCGTTGCGGATCTCATCCCACTTTCCTAGGTGGGTGGACTTGGAGGGGAGCTTTGAGAGGTGAAGGTGCGTTACCCCCCCCGAAAAAAGTCTTCCCGGAATTTAGCCGTCTATCAGCAACTCACCACATATTGCGTATTCCTGTGTTAGAGCACCATGTCACTGTCTTCCTCGGCTGGTAGCCTTCCTTCTGTTGCTGCCCCAATGCGGCCAATAGACGCGCACGTTGAGGCCTCGTGGTCGTGCGACAGGCGACAAGAGGCGTGAGAAGGTCCCTGGCCAGGTTCCAAAGGCGCCACTCTAATTCTCTAGTCGCGGACTGCTCCGTGCAGCTTTATTTCATCCAGGAACCACATGGTGGTAATATGATTTTTATGCGACCCCTCACTGGTGACTACCAAGCTCCATATTGGCAGCTGGTAGTCGCTCGAGAAACTGTCTGACTGCTCATCGCATAACCAGCTTTCGATCCTCCCCGATGATAAATGTGCCTGTCACTGTGACACTAATTCGACTGTGCGACGTCACGCGAAGCCATTCCCCTCCAACTACCCCGCGTCCCACCGGTTTACCGTTACCAACTACTGACTATGTACATAGGTCAGCAATGAAGGAGGCTCAATGACTTCGTATCACACACTGCAACATGTAAACTGAAAGTAGAAGTAAGAAAATTATTAAGAGATAACTACTCGGTTCAGTTTAAGCATGTCTTTGCGGTTGAGGGGAAGAAAAGGCTCGTCGTTCACTCTGTCGACAGCGCACACGGCTATAACATATGCAAAACATACCTCCCACCATGCGTGCCTGCTTCCACGCCGTACTGCTCCTAGGTACTTAGTTCTTCTTATCCCCAGTCTCTTCGGCCTTGATCGACTCGCCGAGGCTGTCCGCCATGGCCTCGGCGGTCGCCTTCTTGACGCGCTCCGCCGCGTCGTCCACTTTAGTTGCGCTGCCAGCTTTGTCCTCTTTGATATCCTTCGGCTTTGTCTCCTTGGCTTCCTTCTCATCTTCGCTATCGCCTAGGCTAAACGGATCATTGTCCGTGATGGGCTCAGGCTCGACAGTGGACAGCGGCTGCCACTTGCTGGCCTTGCCCGGAGCGGCAGCCGGGTTGTCTTTTGGGGGCACCTTCGGTGACGAGTCGTACATGTTAATCTCCTCGTGGCCTTCCTTGAAACCGACTCTACGACCATCGGGTCTCGGTGACTTCGATGGGGGAGGAGGTCGATGCAGGCCCTGGTTCGATAGCGGGTGATTGGTGGGATCTGCGACGTGTTAATTTACTGCTGCGCCGCATAATGTAGATGTACTCACGGCCATCCGATGAAAATCGCATGCCAGCAAAATCATCACTGAGAACTTGCGGGTCGGCATCGTATCGGTCGTAGTCACCGCTACGGCGACTGGCCTCGCCTTGGCGTCGAAAGGGCTGGCCCTCACTCTGCGTGCGCTCTTCTGTCTCATCGAAGCTATCTTCCAGCTTCTTTCTTATCCCCGCAATCCAACCATTGACCTTTGTTTGCGTGTCGAGGAATCCCTTACGCAGGTTCTCCCGGATGACAGGGAGGTCGTCGTCGAGAAAGCTGTGCTCGCGGTCGTCATCTTCGGGGTGCCCCGACCGGCCGCCGCGGTTGAGGCTCGAGGTGCGAGCCTCGTATGCTCCGACATTGTCGTAGTGCTCAGCAAGTTGTCGCGCGTAAAGCTCGTCGGCCTCGACCTGCGAGATCGGCGCTTGTCCCTGAGGACGAGGAGGGCGAGCTGGCGGCTGCTCCTCGGGTTCGTTCTTTGCGGCGTCTGGGTCGGTCATTTCTGCAGTGGAGGGTCAGTCAAATGGCAGTTCGAGCTATTAATATAGCTTGGTACCAACCTAGTAGCGCGTTGAATGCTGGTTCAACGTTTCCGCCGCTAGCTCTCAGGACAGCCTTGATAACACCCTGATCAACTGACGGGAAGGCTTCCTTGAGGATGATTTCGTTTTTCTGAGCTTCCGACATGGGACGAGGAGGCTTGGCAGGCGGAGCTTCGGGCTCAGTAGGAGCTGCATTATGAGCTTCGCCGGCGGGGGGTTGGTCTTCGGGGGCTGTTGGTCTCGCCACAGCGGCAGTCTTTGTAGGTGTAGCGGTCGCGTCGTTGGCGACGATGCTCGTGTCCTGCACGTCGTCGTCGTCCATCTCGAGGGGGCGAGCTGTGGTAGGTGACTCGGGGATGTTTTCTGCGGTCGGCTTGGACGGCTTGCCCTGCAAGAGTTGTTAGCCTGGCAGGTTTGAAAGTATGGGGTACTGCTGACTCTCACCGTCTCTGTTGCGGAAGACGCCATCTTGAGCCCTGGTCAGTGGTTCCCGGTTGTGGCGCAGCTTGACTGTTGTGAGGCTACTGGGTCGTCGATGGGGATGTTAAACAGAAGTGATCGCTGTGCAACAGTAGCTGCGAGCAATTTGTTGAACAAGCAAATATCGGATGATTTTTTGTCATCCGGACTTGGTCAGGGTGTCATAAAGAGGCGAGGGGTCAAGTAGTTGGCCGCGACAACGATGACGTGCCCCACTGACGAAGATGCCCCAGCCACACTTGATTCGCCACAGATGAGACAAGCACAGCTTCAGCCTCTTCAACCTAGGTTAGCTCTACGCGATGGTTTGACATTATAAGCGATGATAATAAAAACCGCGTAGTTGTCCATAGTCAGTTGTCAGTTGTGGGTAGAGTGTCAAGTCGTGGAACACTATCGTCTACTCTCCACTGGGTATGGCCGCGATCGAAAGCGCTGCAGACGTCTACATGGAACGCTGGGGGGTTGCCGACATCACGATGGGAACCTACTTGTGGGCTCTGCGCTTTACAGTCAGCCCAGACATGACCTACAAATTGTCCCCTCCATTTTCCGTTACACACTATACAAATACCCCATCGGCGCCTTAATATTTCTCTTTTGAAAGGTTGGATTTGTCCCGTCCTTGCAATTTAGGGGCATTAGGTCAAGTGGTTCCGCCAGAGGCTTAACCCGGCTCGTCCAGCTAGGAGGTGCTTCGAGAAAGAGCTGGTAATCATCGTTGTCGCCCATTTCTAAGGCATACGTGCCCTTTCGTCGCAGTCCTTGCTCAATCTTCCAGTTAAACGCGACAACGAGGGCTTCAACAAAACTAGCCAGCACAGTGTATCGACCAATATCCGGATCCTTAGGGTCTGCAATCTGGGACAGTCGCCACGACGGCTCGTTGTGGAAGAAGAAGTAGGAGGACTCGTAATCTAGAAAGACGAGTTCACCGCTGCATAACTCTTCGTAGAGCCGGTAGAGCGAGCAGAGTGGCGTGTCCCGGAGGCAGAAGAGAGGAATGGCACGGAGTTGCAGGAAGTTGCGTTGTAGTAGGGACGCGCTGGGTACGGGTTCTGTTGCCCTGGCGTTGGCCGTGAGCACATCGTGGGTTGATGGAAGCGGTTTCGGCTGGAAGTGCCATGGGAGCGGGTACAGAAGCTTCCAGAGCAGTTTCCGGCGGTCTGAGCAATTCCGTCGGATCCGTCTCCAGGATGAGCGCAGTTGTAAAGGAGTAATATAGGGCCGGCGCGTCATGGTCTGTCTTGGCTGATGTGTGCGGCTTCGGAATGTCCTGGGACTGCGGCCAGGCATGAGAGTCCCATTGAATCTGAAGAATAAAAGATTATGTAATCTAATCTGTGGACAGGTCAAGTTCTACAGGGTAGTTAACAGCCCCTGGTCTAGATTGGGAGAATTCCATGGAAGTCACCTTTTTTTTTCTACGTGGACGTTATGAGCGATTCACTGAAGAAAAAAATAGAACACCATTGACTGACTATATCCCTTGCTCAGGGCCTAACTTAATCTCATCTCTATCACGGCTCTAATATTACCTGCAACCACAAGCCCAGGCATTCCAGTTCTCCGCCACTGACCTCCTGTTCCCCGTTACCCACCGACGACCTCAACGAAGAAAAGGAAGAGAAATAACGAATTGGTTCAGCAATCGGCAACAATCAACTCAAAAGGTGTAACAAAGAAATTGGTTCAGCAAGCGGTCTGGTGCGCCGTAGCGGTCTTCTTGCAAAAGCACAGGCAGACACCTTTGGTTCTGCGACTTGACACTGGTAGCAATCATCTGGACGAAATGGAAAACAAAGTCAACGGCACCACTGGCGCCAAGTTAACCAAGGCCACAACTCATTCTTGAAGTCCCAAGTTGTCTCTAATGGAAGCCAAATCTTGCTCCGTTTCCGGGCTGTCCTCCGACGACCCTTGCCGGACTCTGCGCTTCGAGGGTGCGCCGCTGTCAGCGGATGAACTGCCTTGTATCCTCAAAGAAGCATGAGGCCAGGGTTTTTTCGTATTTCAGCGCATCGAGACCTTCCTCGGTCATGACAGTCAGGAGGGCCTGACTGTAGGTAATCAGCCCTTTCAGTGGCGTAGCAGAAATCTTGGCTTGTTTCTTTTGCTCGCCCTCGATGTGGGCGAGCTTGCCAAGTCTCTCTCGGAAGTCGAGTGTTTCTACCATTATGACACTGGCGGGAACATGTGTAGCTGAAGAACTGGATCGTTCTTTCGATCTGGAGGGGCACTGCTTGAGGACATGTCGTCTTTCAACAGGTTGAGAAAGATGAGTGACGTGGATCAAAAGAGGTCTTTAACAAGCTAGGAAGGATGGGAGATGGGTTGAGAAGGATGACCTAGTAAGTCTGGGGGGGCACGTCTTGTTAAATATTCGCCAACGGGAGGGATTATTGTGAATAAGTTAACACCCGTGGAGGGGGTTCGTCCTAACGAAATGGCGACTGAGACAAAGATCTGGCCCCATGAACTGCCTCCCATCTTTTTTCAAGATGACATAGTGCCAGACATGCACGTTCCACCACCACTTACGAGCGCCTCCATTGCTGGTTTTGGCGACAATACACCGCTTGTGCGTAAAATACTCCAAGTGTATCAGCACATTCCAGTGCCTCCAGATCTGAAGATGCCATGCTCCTGGAGTCCCACCGGCGAAGGAAGCATGTGCGCAACATTGTGGATGCACAGCTTGTTGTACACCATGAGCGCCGAGGCATTGGAGTTCCTGATTGAGAATCCCAATATGATTGAGCGCGTGTGCGACAATGCAAAGCCCTTCCTATTTCTAGGTTCCAACCACGAGAGCGTAATGCACTACAGCCCGCATCAGAATGTCTCTTGGCAGACAGTATACAGCCCGTGGAAAACAGGCGTCTGTCTACCCCCTTCTATGCATGTCCGAGACGTCGGCTAATCATTTCGAGTTCTTGCAGGTTGGGCTAGGCTGTATATGCGCCATATCCAAGAAGAGGGGTTGCACGAGGCTGACCTCCATCATCCCACCGTTCACCATGTGCAGCCCTGGCGCGCAGAAGCTGCTCGACGAGCTCAGCTTCATACCCGGGGCCATGTTCTGCAGCGACATTGCTGAACGCCTCAGAGCCCTGCTCCGCTACGCAATGCCCCGAGCGGCTGAGAACCAGATCATGCTCAGCCCCTACCTACGCGCGATATTCGACGACGGGTACCTAGGTCTACCTACACCCTCAACATAACGAGGTCTAAACCCAGAGACAGCCAGTTCGGCACGTACACCAAGTGTTCCGTGCATTTCTCCGTGCACTGGATGCCAATGTTCCGCATGCACCCTAACACACTCGTCGGAGGCGACACGAACCGTAGTCATCTCGAGTACATACTCGAGCTAGACCAAGGGTACCTGAAACTCAGAGATATGGTGCTCGAGACGGATGCCGTCACGAAGGAAACCATTCCCAACGGGTACCAGTGCTCCGTAACACATCATAATTACCAAAACGCGGAGAACATGTTTGTCCTGCTTGCCTTTCGCTGGTTGATAACCATGGCTTCGTGCCTGGCGGGATCGATGGGAATAGGAACGGATCGGGAGGATATCTCAACAGAATGGGAGGAGATTATACGATACGAAAGTGAAAGCGAAAGCGAAGAGCAGACCAGTCCAGTGCAGCCAAACACTATCCTCACTATCACCACTCTCGTCGCTCTCGTCGCTCTCGTCGCTATCATCACTAGGTAGAGGACCGCGGCGATAACGCGGAATCGCACATTTGATCTTCATAGGGAAGATACTTTTAGCCAGCACGATAGAACAAGACGTATCTCGGAGACGTAGAATTGATTCGATTGTTTAGGAAGCTTGCCTATTCACAGAGCGCTGTGTGTAGCACACGAAACTTGGCAGTTTTCTCAACCCACCAGTGCACAAATCCTGTACATCACACGTCACGTCATGTTCGAATACTTTTCTGCTAGCATTACACATTGACTGGATCCATTGACGCTTATTTGACTCTCAAACTATATACAGACGCCACCTTCCTCGCAGGCACGAAAAAACGAAAACAAAAAACACCTTCCCTTGAAATTTCGGCCTCAACGCCCAGTGGAAACCTCAGACATAGCTTGATTGCGCGGGACTGCTGTCAAGTTGTCGAGGGGAAAGAAAACGAGAGAAAAAAAAGGTCAAAAAGTGTACAGGTTGTGGATGTGTCGAATGTGCGCGTATGCTTTGTCTTTTGTCCCTGTTGTGACAAGATGCCTTGGTTGTGAATTATTCCGTCTATATGCATGGTGCTTCAAAGGGAAAGGGGGGACAGGAAAGGAGGAAACGAAATGCAAGTAGATGCTATTGCTGCTGCTTGGTGGTCCAAATCGACTCCGAAAAGTGTATGCCGAGAGATGTATATAAAAGAAAGAAACGTTGCCCTGGCTGAAACACAAAACTCCGAAAATGCCACGGTCCTGATCGTGCACAGGTCTCGCTCATGGACGCATACCCCACTGAGGCTTGAGCTGGTCGCCGAAATTGCTCGTGGTGAAGACAGTATCGCCAGGCAGACGGCTGACACGGCCGGCACCACTTCTGATGGCGTCAAGCTGCACAGCCGAGATGCCACTGCGGTTGCTTCTGATGCTGCCTGCATCGCTCATGTCACTGTCGCCCTTAAACTTCTTGGGCGGCGCAAAGTCGAGGCCGGTAAACGTCGACGACTTGCGGAGCAAGTGCGGACTAGGGAGGGCAGCGAGTTCGTCAAAGGCCGTGACGAGAGGAGAAGCACCGGCCTGACCTGGCTTGTATGGACGCCGCTCACCCAAAGGACTCTGGCTACGCCCAGCAGCTTGGTCTTTGAACAGTTCCGGTGGTGCAAAGTCCATGGCGTTCAGGAGGGCCGTGTCGTCCCTGAGCTTGGAGGGGGTGGGTAGCGTATTGAGAGCGGCTGGTGGCGGGAGCCTCTTCTTCGGTGGCTGGCTGAACTGACCATGCGAGCCAGCGCGCATGCGGCCACGTCCCCCGGGCAGGCTCATGCCACCTACAGAACCCGGGCCACGTGGTCGTCCAGGACCAGTAGGACCCCGACGGGCACCTCCAGGAGGCGGTGTCATGGCGCGGCGAGTAACCGGCTGGGCGTACGGCATGACAAAGGCATTGCTGTCGGCATCGTAATAAGCAGCGTCGCCGAGGTAGCCAGCGTTGTAGTCGTCGTGAGGCTCTGCCTGGCCAGGCAGAGGCGGGGCATCGGCATAATCCTCAAAGTACTCCTTGTAGAAAGATCGAATACGGTTGGCGCGGTACTCTGGGTCCTCAGACTGCGTGACTTCCGCGGGCGGTAGGGGCACGACACCAACGGACAGTCTCTTGGTCATCGTCTGTGGAACTCCTAAGCCTTCATCCATGTGGCCTTGCTGCATATCATTAACCACATAGTTCGTGTCTTCATAGTATTCTGTTGTCTGGATTTGAGGGTAGGGATCGTTGTGGTCATCGTGGACTACATGGCTGTTGTCAATGGCGTGGCCATGCATCTCTTGCGTGGGCAGTTCGACGTCGAGGCCCAGACCCCGGCTTTGGGGGTTCTGATGACTAGCATCATCACTAAGCTGGGCGACTCCAATACTGGGCTCTTGATCGACGGTCCCAGGAAGCTCAAAACGGAAGTTATTGTCGACGGGAAGACCGGTTTTGGGATCTTTGGCAAGAGCAGCGGGAGGAGAAGGAACATCGGGCATTTCATATATGCTCTGATCATCCACGTGAGCCTCGTGAACAGTGCCAATCTCGGGGACGATTGGCTGAACAGGTAGATTCTTGTTGGGAAAGGAGGTTGGCGCGTCGACATGTGCCATATGCGCAGGCTGCGGCTGTGTTGGAGTAGCAAATGGGTCTGTCGCAAGAGGGGACTGCGGCTTGGAGTGCGAGCGAGGAGGAATGTTGCTGCCAAAAGACTGGCGTTTGCTGCTGATGGGAGAGTACGGGTCTCCGGGAAACGATCGAATAGAGGAGCCATCGCCACCGGAGTAGAGAGGCACGGTGTGGTACGGATCCTGGCGGTTGTGGTACGACTTGGCCAAGGAATGAATCGACTCCTTCGACTGGTTGAGATCCGGCGGCAACAGATAGGGCGAAGAAAGGTTCATATCCATGGATAACTGACCAGGACGGTGCTGCTGCTTTTCGCCGCCGGCACCAAACATGGCGGTCATTCGCTTTCCCTTGGACGGGGGTTCGTCCAGACCGTAGTCGAGGTCAGTCTCTCGGTATTTGGCGTCTTCCATGTGCATGCGTTTAACACTTCGTCGGTGGAGAATGAAGAACGTGATGGCGGCAGCAACAACAGGAATGCTATGTTCCATCAGCAACGAAGGACAGAGATGTGAATTTTGTCAGATCTTACACAACTCCGAGGGCAATAGCCAAGTTAGTAGCATTGGGACTAATACCACGGCCGCACGTCTCGTTCTTAGAGCAAATTCGGTCATCATCCGATCGGCGGACGATCCGGGACAAGAGACTGGGCATTTCCGAAGCGACTTGGCGAGCCAAGTTGCTGTGTGGATGGCTGGGCGGTGAAGCAGCGCTGGGGCTGCGTTGTTGATTATCCATGGCGAATAGAGCTCAACAAAGTAAGCTATGAGTGGTAGGATAACGAAGGGTAAATTAGACCAAGACTCGAGCATACATTCCGGGCGATTGGGGTGAGATTGAAGACGGAGACGGAAGACGGAGAAAAAGAGTGTCGTATGCTCCTCGTCAGTTGCTGAGAGCTGAGTGTACCACCAGGAACGACGTTTGTGGAAAGGGATCGGTGAAACGAGGGCGGATATCAACGGCGAAGATTCGATAAAAAAAAACAATGTGCCGTAATTATGGAAAGAGCAGACTCGTCCAAAAGTCGGGCGGCGGGTTTCGAGAATCGAACGGCTTTGCCGTTTGGTGAGAAAAGAGTGCACGATGTATTGGGCTGGACCGAAGCGTGGGTGGGCTGTTGCAATAGGTAAGGAATGACTGGAGTCTGAGTAAACAAGCTACCGGAGACAAAGGGTTTGAACGATCTAAAGAGTGACTGAAAAGAGCGTGAGGGACAAAGACGAGAAACCACAGGACCACGAGCCCGACCTGGAACGAGATTGCTAGAGAAGAGGAAAAGAAGGGAAGGAAAGGGAAAGAGAAGTCTGCTGAATGAGGCTCACCAGTGGAGAGGGGGAGGGCGATGTGAGGAGAGCCGGGGTGAGGAGGGATTGGATTGGGTGGGAAAGGAACCTGGAAGAGAATGGGCGAATTTGCCAGGGGCGGGCTCTGCCTCTGCCTAGTCAGGTACCAGCAGCGGGCCGACAAGGGGAAAATACAGGGCACTGAGCGCTATACCTGACAGCTAATTTAGCGTCGTGGAGCGCCGGAATTGCCAGCATTACAGGGCGCAGGTCGCCGGGTGGCCCACTGGATGTTGGACAAAAAAGGTACCGCCGTCACCTCACTTGTTGGTAAAGCTAGAGCGGGTGGGTGCCTGAGGCTAGATCCAAAGCGGAAAGGCACCAAACGGCCTGGCGCTGGGAACCACAAACTTGACCTACGAATGAGGCCTCGAGGACCAGTACCAGCCTGGTCGTGCGTGTGTTCCAAACAATGAGGACAAAACAGAATAAAAGAAAGAAAAAAAAATAATGGTAAGCGGGGGGGGGGGAGAAGACAAGACAGGGCAGGCCGACAAGCGACGGCGACAAAGGGCCGCACTATTAACTAGTACCAACCTAGGGGCGACGGCCGGTGTACATGGCCATACATACCGTACCTTGACCGTCGACATGACCAGGCCATCGCTTTTTTTGCAGCATGTTTAATTGGCGATGGGCCCTCTTTGTTCCTGGAAGCCTGCCAGGGGGCGGTTACTGGCATCACGACACGGCAGGGATGTGGACGGTTCCCTGATAGGAGAGTCTAGTCGACCGCCAGATCGAACAAAGGCCACGCGAGCCCGGCATTTCCATCAACTTCACAAGTCGGGCATGCAAAGAACCCAGCTACTTCGTATTCTATTCATACAAAAAGACTCCAAGACGAAGCGTGTGGCGTGACTGGCGACACCGCCAGACGACATTGTCCACGGTGTTCCCGGCCGAGTCGAAGGGGGGGGGCATTTGCCGATAAACAATGCAGTCTGCCGTGGCGGCTGTACCTACAAGCTCAGTCAGACTGCCATGCTTTCCAAATCGGAGTTATCCGTATTGCGCCTATCATGCTCGGCATGCCTTTCTTATCGCGGTGCTGCTGATTACCCAGGCAGAGAGGGAGCCCGGCGCAGAAGCTGGCAAGAATGAAGTAATTCTAACTAGTTTATCCCCCAGACTCGATTTTATGCAACAAAGAGGTAAGCTGGTGGGTATCACGGCGGAGGCCATCCCCTTCTTTCCTTCACCGATGCATGAGAAACTAACTGATAAAGCAGCCAATATAAGGGAAACCAGGCTGATGGCCACGGGTTCCTAGGCTCTTGGCGACTGCGATCCAGGCCCTACGACAAAAGTATCGCCGAGATTCCCTCATCCTCTTCCTCCTGCCCCGACTTTTATTTATCCATTTCCCTGAGCATATTTTTATTTTTGGGACCGTTGCGCTCTGCTCCCGTCCCTGATGTAACATCGCCAGGACCATATCTACATCTGCTACACTACGCTAAAGCAGAACCTAGGCACCACCACCGTTCCATCCCATCCAAGGAAGAGCAAAAGACAAAAAAGTCAGGGAAACTAGAAAAGGGGGCGCGCCAACTTCGGCATATTGATTGGCTCCAGGGGGGCAGCAAAGCCCACTGGCTCATGCAGGTACCAACGCCTGGAAAAACGCCAGGGCGCCCATCATCATCAAAGAAATGAGGTGCGTGTGGGGATTGGATGGGGGAAACGAATCACTGGTCATTTCTTTTTTTTTTAACCCTCCAGCTGAGAAGACATGGTTGCTTCTTCGTCTTCTTCGGCTAGCCGGGCCTTGAAGACGACAGCCTCGCCCCGACCGAACCACTGGGCTGGTTGAAAGAAAGGCTGCATTCCAATCTTTAGCTACCAAAAACAAAACGAAACAGGTTACAAAGTTACAAAGTGCAAAAAAGGTGGTTCAGAGTTCTTCGGAATCCAAGCCCCGTATTGTCTTCTCCCCAGCGCGTTGCATGGGCAGCGGTCATATTATTATCCTGTGTCAGTTATACATGGCGACAGGGCCTCATTTCTCTACATTTTTCTTTCTTTTTATTTGATTCAATTGGCATCGGACCATAACTAAAATACTGTACGGGTTAAAATACTGGTGAACATTGCCTTGAAACTGTATACCTACAAGGCCTGCCCTGCAGGATACGAAATAGTTGCGTCGCTCATCAAACATTCCTCCCTTTGACCACTTTTTTTTGTTCATGTTCCTGCCCTGCCCTCCGTCTTTTTTGCTTATTTTGAACCATCAAAATCTCACCAAACCCATGTCTTTGATCTTTTCTCTCTCAAAGTCTTCCGACTGGTTCGCAGGTTACATCCATTCCCACTACCCCAAACTCTACCCGCGCCTCACCCGTCCCGCCCCTACCCAAACGATATCCCAGGTACATTGACCCTCATACGAGCGAGGTATTTTTACTCGTCTTGTCTTCTTTGTTTTCAATTGATTTGATTCTATCAATTCGATACTCAAGCATGCTGGCAACAAACCGCCACAGCCTCGCGTGAGCCCTACCTGGCGCCGGCAGATTCCAGCCGTTCTGGACCCTCCCCACCAAGTTGGCCTCCGAAACCACTCACTTGGTGAAAAAGAGAATCCGCTGCCGGCGTCGCTAACTTGCTCACGTACATACCATTCTCCTCCCCGGCCCTATCGCTAGGTTTGGAAGGAGCGCTGGTCAGGTGCGTTGCATGGCACCGCCAAGCACACAAGTATGGCCTGCAGCTCGCACAGCCTTGCCATCGGCCAGGGACGAAAGACCAGGCTGGTACAGCACGGCCACGTAAATAGAATCCTCATATTGCGTATGGCGCGCGATGACCTTGCACCGTATGCGAAAATAGCAATTGTCCTCCAGGGCAATTCCGCCACTAGCCTACTACTCCCTCCGTGCACTCGTCACCTGGTAGAATTCCGGTGCATACTCCAGCAGCCAGCTCTTCTCTGTCTTGCTCACGTCCCGGATGTACGTCTTGTCGCTGGTCTCCATGACCTCGTGGAAGACGACCCAGTCCACCTTGCGCCCAAAAAGCAGCGAGCTCGGATGCGCGTGGAGCACCGTGCCGCCGTTGACGTTGCGAAAAGTGCCGTCGGCCTGCATCCGCGCCGCGTGCGCAAAGTAGCCCGCCGTCAGGCACTTCAATATCGCCTCCGCCTTGCCAGCCCGGTCGCCGTCATCCTGCTTCTGCTGCTGCTGCTGCTGCGACAGGCTCTCGTCGACGACGATGTTAAACCGCTCCAGGTATCGCTTCAGCTGCGCGCGAATGCTCACGGCGCGCGTCATGGTTCGGAAGTTGAGGTGGTTCTCGTGACAAAACTTGGCCTCCTTCTTGCCGCGCGTGACAAACGCCTGGTACGCGTTGAGGAGGGTGAGGTGGTCGCCCTCCTCGGCGGCAAACTTGCGCCGTGCGCTCTCCATCTGCTTGCGCTCACCCTCGTGGTGAAACCAGACGCTGCTGCCGAGGCTCGTCATGGCCGCAATCGTGAGCAGCTCGCTCAGGCAGCCAAACGACGGCGCCGACAGGAGCGTCTTGGCCATCATCGGCTCGACTGCCAGCTCGGCCATGCGCATGCCCAGTGGTCGCGTGAGCTTGGCGTATTCGTCCAGCGCGCCGAGCGAATACAGGAGCTCGAGTGCCTTGCCGACAAGCTGGGATGGCGGCGGAGACAGAAAGTCAAAGCGCACAATGTTGTCGATACCCAGGGCCTTGAGCTGCAGTATGGTTGGGGCAAGATTCGATCGCTGAATTTCGGGGGGGTTGCTCTGCGCCAGCCCGTTGAAGTCTTGCTCCGTATACAGGCGGAAGCATTTTCCGGGTTTCGTTCGCCCAGCACGACCCGCGCGTTGAGCGGCAGACGCCTTGGATATGGGTGTAGTAGTCAGGGACTCAATGCCGGTCTTGGGGTTGTATGCGCGTAGCTTGACGTAGCCTGGGTCGACGACAAAGACGATGCCGTCGATGGTCACTGATGCTTCCGCGATGTTTGTAGAAAACACCACTTTTCTTGTACCTTCGGGTGGCTTGTCAAATACGTACATTTGCTCCTCTGTCGTCAGACCAGCATAGAGTGGCATGGGCTGAAGAGGACCGTACTTGGCTTCGAGTTCTGGGGCGCGTTCCGAGATAGCCTGGGCTGCGAAATCAATTTCCTCTCGCCCAGTCAGAAACACAAGAATATCGCCTTCGCCTTCCTCTCTGTGTATGTCGACGACCGTCGATATGGCCTTTTCGACATAATCTTCAGCCGGTGCCTCAATATGCATGAGGTCTATCGGGAAAGTGCGACCCTCTAAGCTAACCACTGTTGCTACTTTGCTCGCGTCGTTTTCGTCGGTATTAGTTGGTAACGTTTCGCTGCTGCTGGAGGTGAAAAATTTGAGAAACATCTCCGCCTCTAGTGTCGCACTGCTGATAATGACGCGCAGCTCTGGGCGCTTTTTGCGAATCTTCTTGAGGAGCCCCAGTAAGATGTCTGTACTGATTGACCGCTCGTGTGCTTCGTCGACCATGATCACAGAGTATCTGCTTAGCAGCGGATCAACCAGCGCTTCGCGAATGAGGAGGCCGTCAGTGAGGAATTTGATACGCGTCGATTCGGACGTGACATCCTCAAAGCGTATCGAGTATCCGACCTCTTTGCCGACCTCGCACCCGACTTCATCTGCGACGCGCAAGGCAACTGTCGTAGCTGCGACGCGTCTCGGCTATTGCTCAGCGGGTCAGCAATGTCCTGCTGCGATCGCGATGGTCAACGTACCTGCGTCACACCAATAGCCTTGCCATCGTTGCACCATCCTGCCTGTTCCAGAAACTGGGGAATCTGCGTTGTCTTTCCGGATCCAGTTCGGCCAATGACTATGGTCACTGGATACGTCTCTATCGTGTATAGTAGGCTTTGTCGATGCTTGGCAATAGGCAGCAACGCGGGAGGTTTATGCAATGCGGGTATGAAATTTGCGTCCAGGTCATTTTCCGCCATGATGGTACCAGGTAAGCAGCCGACAATCACAGCTGCACCCGGGTTACCAGATTCAATGAGCCCTTCAATACCGGTAATCCGCTATTGAGCAGCTTGAGGATGAGTCGCATCACGTTGCGCGCATGATAAATTTCTAAAGCCAGAAAAGAAAGCAAATAAAATCCTCATCAACGAGATGCAAACCACACGGGCCCCTAGGGTAGGACGACGTCGTGACCAGTGCCGCGCCTCAGGCAGAAAAAGGACCCACCATCTTGCAACTCTTTCAGCACAAGAGCCCCCTGGGAAGTTGGGATAGCTCTGCCGCTGTTCACAGCTCCATTTCCGTCACTCGTCCAACTACATCTCATAGCCCGAGAATCCCCTCTATTTTGAAGATTCCTCATCTTCCTCATACTCCTCATATTCCGAAGATTCCTCGTATTCCGTCAGAGCATCACATTCAGGTATTCCCGATCCACCTGCGAGGGTCGCGGCCAGCACTGTAGTCCACCTAAGCGCCAGGAGGATAAACATGTCTTCCGCAGACTGGTGGGAGTTGCACACTAGAAAGCGTTCTTGACCCTCGGTGATGGGCTGTTTCGTCTGTGCATCGATCTCACATAGCTTGAAGCTGAACCCCGCGTATTCAGTCAATGTCTCGAGCATGTTATCGATCCACCATTCATCGAGCCCATATCCTTTCATGCGGTGGTTGGGAGTGCCATGGTTCTGCATCCAGTGGACCGAGAAATGTACAAGGTGCTCCTCCTTCTCATCGTCATCGGCGCTGTAGCCCGGCTTGATGCGCTTTGTATGGCGCAGCGGGCGCAAGCCGAGAAAGCCCTCGTCAAAAAGCTCGCCGAGGTAGGGAGTCAGAGTGATGCAGTGTGTGTGGTAGCCGGAGCCCCCCTCTTTCGACTTGAGAAGAGACAGAATGCGTTGAGCAACAGGCTCGGGGAAGAGGACGGAGATCATGTAAGACAGCTCGGTAAGCAGCTGCTGGGCGCCGGGGCTGCCGGTTGCGGTTCGAGGAATGACCTGGGTATGTTGCATTGCGCCTCTCCTTCTTCGAGATTGCGCATGGCAAAGCACTCCGGTAACGATCCTAGACACAATATTAGCCATGTATTATAGGGCCCGAGACTGCGATATCCCATACCGGCGTACTGTGTGCTAGAGGAGCCAGCCGCCACGACTCACGATCGATATGGAATCGGTAGTACCATCCAACGTTCACTCCTGAAACTTTTTTATAGAAGGTTAGCGCTTTCAAGAACATCACGCCAGATACCGCAGCTTGACTTACGGAAGAGAAGAAAGTACTTGGCGTGATCGCACACCTTCTCCGCTAAGCTAGGATTCTCAATTAAGTAGGCCAGCGACTCTTGGCGCAAAGTGAAGAGAAATCCATGAGTCCACAAGGTCATTGTCTTGAAGCCACGGCCCGTGTGACTCCAAGAACACGGTTCTGTGCCGGGAGGCACGGGAGTGTCATTGTAGCGGTTGGCAATGTATTCCACGAAGGGCAGCTTCTCCATGAACAGCGCCTTGGACTGCTTTGTGGGCGGCGGCAGGATGTAGATGCCTGGGACGAGGTCCTCTTCCGGAGAAAGCGGGGTGCACTCGACTTCGCCAGACATAATGTCCATAGCAGCTTGTTGGGAGTGTCGGGTTTCGATGGGTTTGCTGTGGCAGGTGGGATAAGTTATGGTCCCCAAGGCCATCTAAGTAGTCGCGTGGCAGGGCAGAGGTTATCCGGTAGAAGTGACTTTATGCTGTGCAGAATAAATTTTGTTCGTTTGTTCATGGCTGAAGCTATGACAAAGCTTGTTTTGTTGTGTCTTGCTGTTGTATTTACATTAGTACCTATGTATGTATGTATGTATGTATGTATGTATGTATGTAGACATCTATGTAATAAGTTACTTTACCGAGTAACTTATATGGCTGTTGTAAAAAATGGCCGCTCACAGTCATAGCCCCCAGCAGACTTCGCTGCCTGTGCAAGTGCTATATAGGCATCAGCCAACAAACACAGCAGCAATCTTTGGACGATGCTAAACTCCAAAGTCAAAATACTGGGCGCGTCAAAAACATCAAACTTTGAGAATCCTGGGCTTTCAAGGTTAATTAAAATACGAGCTAAAGCTAATGCGCAGCCACACAGATACAAATACAAAGGGAAGAGCCTCCCCGCCTCGACCAACCTTCTCGGCATTCTGGACCTACCTCCTCAAACAACCAACCCAACTACCTACAGACATACAACGGACGTCATGACGGCAACCCATGTTCCCCTCTGCCCTCAAGACGACCTTGTTCCCGATATATATGTGGAGCCACCACTAACTGACTTCTCAAAGGCCGACTTTCTTGAATAGCTTCCCCTCGTGCAGAGGATACTGGGCGTGTACTCGGGGACCAGCTCTAGCAACGGAAAGTGCATCAAGAAGGCTACCTCGTGGATGCACGGCTTGTTGTACTCCTTGAGCAACAAGGTGCTAGAATTTTTGGCCGAGAATTCCGATGCAGCAGAGGTGGTATGCGACGGCGCAGAGTATCTTCTCCTCCATTTTGGCAAGTCATGGTTGATTTTGCATATCTCCTGTAGCAATGCTAACATCTGCTTACCTCAAAACAAGGCTCCAGCATCGATCCTATACAACGCGATTCCCCAGGCGATGAACCCTATTGGAAGCGACATGGCAACTTGCTTAAAGCGGCAGTCAGTCTGCCTGCCCTCGGATTTGTCTGTCCCCCAAATCACTAATAAACCGTGCATTGCAGATGGGGAAAAGATTTCCCAAACAATGTGTCATTTCTAGAAAAAACGGCCCCGTGTGGCCGACCATTTTCTTTCTTGAGCACATGGACTGCTCTGAGGAGACTTGTGAGCAACTGAACGGGTTCGAATGTATACTGGACGTTGTCTTATACCCCCATGTCGCCGAGCGTATTAAACTAAGATTCCCAACCACCAGGCTTTACCTCAGCCCATACCTCGGCCATCTGTTCAACGATGGGTTTCTCGGCCTACGCCCACTCGCCATAAGAAAGGGCCGCGAAGTGGGCAACCAATCCCTATCAACCCAATACGAATACCTCGTGTACTTTTCTGTGCATTGGATGCCCCGGAACACGCTTGATCCGAACTCGTCCGTGGGATGCCCACCGGGTCGCTCTGAAATCGAGCGCATGCTCGAGCGAGGCGGGTACGAAAACGAGGACAGTCTAATGTGTGAAATAGACGCCCTCACTAATCAGCCTATTGTCGACGGCGATGAACGCTTTGTGGAATGTCACAATTATAAACACGCCGACACCAACACCGACGCCGCTGTTGATAGAAGCACTCAGCAGCAGCAGCAGCAGCAGCAAAAATTCCGTCAATAGCAGCCGTCGGCAGCATCGGCAGCAACAGCGCCGCCAACTGCGCTATCAGCTGCGCTATCAACAGCGTCAACAGCGTCAACAGCGTCAACAGCGTCAACAGCGCCGTCAAGTTCTGTATCAACCGCGATACCAGTTGCGATGCAAATTGCGATTTCAAAAGCGTCAACTGCACCGGCAGCAGTGCCGTCCACCACGACACCAAGTGACATAGTGGCAGCAGATCAGCGGCCTGACAGTTGGTGCTGGGAGCCGAGTCGGAACTAGGGTTGAAGGTGCGAAGCACCTAAATGTACTCCATGGGGAGCACTTGTTCAGACTGATGGACGTTCAGAGAAGGCGCCCACATTGTTGATGCTAGTCCGATTTCAGCCCGGCGTTGCAGGCGTAGCCTGTTGCGCTGCAGCTTCAAGAAGCCGTCCATGCGTCCGAACTCTTTGGCATCGACACTGAAGGAGAATGCTTGTTGGAGACAAGCCCGTGGCAGGCATTGTCCTTGATACAAGAGCAAGGGAAAAAAGGTAATATGCCCAACAAAATAAGTCTCATAGAGTCTAAATTAGCTGGAACGTATTCTGGTCGGGAAAGATAGCCGCTGTAGTCACTGCGACAAGTAGTTGAAGCATGCCTGCAATTAGGACTCCTGGGATACAACGACTGACACAGACATGACCTCGTCAACACTTGCTAATATACATATGCCATATCGGTGCATTACACAGAAATCAAGGGTTGCTTTCTACTTGAATACTGAGCACGAGCGCATGGGGTTATTTTCGACCAATAAAAGCGCCAATTTCAAACATCCTGCTGTCAATTTCAACTTCTTTTGCGTCATGTCTCAACTCCCAGGTGAATTACACAGCTTGACTCAAGGGGACAGGAAACGGCGCCTACATCATTGGTTTTAGTCTAATAAAATGGTGTCATTCCCCTCCAAAAAGCAAATACTGCCCTTCAGCCACCTACGTCTATTCGCCAACAAGCATGAGAAACACCAGTGTGCATGCCGCGACACACACGCGCGCACGTCAGCTATCTCACATCGACAGTCAAGGGCGCTGGCAGGGTGCGAGGAGGTCGACCCTTGCCGCAGTTCACAATATCCAATATATACGCCCTCGGGGAGATAAACCGGGCATCAGGAGACTAACGCCAACTAGTCCCCTTCCCGCAACGAGCACATTGGGTTGGATCGGAAATAGGGGTCGCTAGCGGCGGCCTCCTTCCAACGACGGTTGGCCTATTTTCCTTTTGCCTGTCTCATACGGGAGCTTCCTAGCTTCCTTGGTGAGGTCTCAGGGTATACTTTCGTGATAGTCACGTAGCAGAGTAATTTGCCGCCATGAGGGCGAGAGCTCCTATAACGACCGCACCCCGTGCTGGTTGCTGGGTTGTCAATGTTGGGTTCGTCTCTTGAATGCAAAGATTGTCGTCGTCTTCCAAAAAGAGCACATTCACAAGAAACTTATTGATCAAAGGCGATATCAAGATGCTCAATTTAAGCTTCTTGAAACAAGGCATCCGCTTGCCGTTCGGCGGGGGGGGAAACGGCCAAACAGCTCCGACGGCAACGAGGAGCAGCTCGACAACAGACGTGAGTTCACAAGCAGAATGTGCTGATCCAGAAAAGGCCCGGGCCTCAGATTTCCGAGCCGTCGCCGTCCTGCCCGACGGCACAGACAAGGACGCAAAACAGCAGACAACCACCAAGAAGCGATGGCCGCTGTGGATGAAGCTGGCCATGGCCGGATGCCTCTTTTCCATTGTCGCCGGTCTGGCCATCGGACTCGGCGTCGGCCTTACCCGACACAAGCACAGCAATATCAGTAGCCAGGAGAGCAGTGCCGAACCCCCCAGTGGCGGCAACGGCACCGATCCCTCACAGAAACCCGGCCAGCTGGCCGTCTACTGGGGCGCCATGGGCAGCAGCGCCGCGTCCCTCGACAACGTCTGCGGCGACGCCTCGTACGACACGGTCAACCTTGCCTTCCTCAGCCACTTCTTCGCCAACGGGCAGTACCCGCGGCTGGCCATTGCGTCGCTCGGCCCCGCCTCGGAGGCGCAGCGGCTCGCCGGCGCCGTGGACCTGCAGGACGGCGCGCCGCTGGCGCCGGCCATCCGCAAGTGCCAGGCGGCCGGAAAGCGCGTGCTGCTGAGCATGGGCGGCGCGGCGGGCTACGCCGAGGTCCGGCTGGCGAGCGACGCGCAGGGCCGGCAGGTCGCGGACACCATCTGGGAGCTGTTCCTCGGCGGCGGGGGTGGGAAGAAGGCTGAGATCCGGCCGTTTGGGGACGTGGTCCTCGACGGCGTCGACTTTGGTACGTTTGTATTCCTCGAAAGAAAAACAAAAAAAAGGGGGAGGGGGGGGGTGGTTGGGCTGACAGGACGAAAACAGACAACGAGTCGGGGGATTCGACCGGGTACGAGGCCATGGCGGCGCAGTTCCGGACGCACTTCGCGTCGGACCCCGGCCGGCGGTACTACATGACGGCGGCGCCGCAGTGCCCGCCGACGACGGACGAGGCGGAGCTGCGGCTGCTGCGGCGGGTGGACGCCGTGTCGGTGCAGTTCTACAACAACAACGTGTGCAACGTGGGGGCGTCGGGGTTCGAGGCGTCGGTGCGGCGCTGGAGCGCGGCCATCGCCGGCGGGGGCGGGAGCAACGCGACGCTGCTGGTGGGCGCGCTGGCGGGCGGCACGGACAAGGACGAGGGCTACGTGGAGGCCGGCGCGCTGGCGGAGGCGCTGGCAAAGGTCAGGGCGATGAAGCTGGCGAACTACGGCGGGGTGATGCTGTGGGAGGCGGAGCTGGCGGCGGCGAACGGGGGTTTCCAGAAGAAGATTCGGTCTGCGGTCTGAGGAGGAGGAGATGGGTAGATAACCCCAGGATGAGATGGATGATGACGGAAGTGCGGAAGTTGCAATGTCAAGTGAGTCGGGATGAGATGAGGGGTGGTGGAGGGGACGGCCGAAATGTTCATTCGCCGAGAATTACTGGATTGGGGGTTTTGGAGGGGGCTTTTGCCGGCGGCATAATTCTTTGTTTACTAGTGCCGGGGGGGGGGTTCTGTTGCGATGTACGAGCATGTTAGCTATACATTAATGTGAGGAGCTTTCGTCAACGCTCATTCGAACTGTTGACGTTACTTCGAATACGATGAAGTTACAAAATGGTTTTTAAAAGCCAAAAGAGTTGCATTCAACTGCTGTATCCGGCTGCCAACCACTTTCCTTGTCCCACGGCGAACTGCGGCTATTCAAGGGGAAATAGAGCTGCCACCGACGCCCCCACGCAATAGCCCTGTCAGTCAGTGGGGAACTCACCAACCAACAGGATGACGTTTGCCGAGCCACAGGTACCTTTTAGGTGCTCAAGTACCTGAGGTCTAATAACCAAGTGACTCCAATGGCCTGTGGACGGGCATTTTCTCTGGTACTCCGACGCTACCATGCACCAAAACACCCGCCGCCCAAATCGCCATCTGCCCCGCCATTCCATCACCCCTCATCGACGTATTTACCCGCATCAATTGCCGACGCAAACGCAACCCCCGATACCGTTTGGTCCATGCATTCAACATCATCCCCTCGTTTGCTCCCCATTTGCCATTTAACACCTCAACCGCCGCGTCTCTCCCTCCTTTCACCCCTTCTGCTTCCCCTCCGTCTAATTTATCCATCAACCAACCTCTCTCCCCAACCAACAACTTCCGCCGCCATCATGAAGCTCCTCTACCCCACGTCCATCAAGCTCGACCTCGAGTCCCACCTGCGCGCCCAGCACCCGGACATCGTCCTCGTCGCCTACGACCCCGCGGCGCTCATCCCCGCCGAGCACCTCGACGCCACCGTCCTCGTCGCCTGGACCAACTCCGCCGCCAACCTCGCCCACGCCGCCGCGCACATGCCCGCCCTGCGGTGGGTGCAGTCGCTCGCCGCCGGCCCCAACGACGTGCTCGCCGCCGGCTTCGACCGGTCCCGCGTGGCCGTCACCTCGGGCTCCGGCCTGCACAACGCGCCCGTCGCCGAGCACGCGCTCGGCCTGCTGCTCAACGCCGCGCGCCGCTTCTACGAGATGCGCGACCACCAGGCGCGCCGCTCCTGGGCGGGCCACCTCCGCGGCGACCCCACCCTCCCCGGCTACATGTTCTCGACGCTGCGCGGCGCCAACGTGGTCATCTGGGGGTACGGCAACATCGCCAAGACGCTGGCGCCGCACCTGACGGCGCTCGGCGCCACGGTGCGCGGCGTGGCCCGCTCACCGGGTGTGCGCGACGGCGTCGAGGTCTTCGCGGAGGAGAAGCTGCCGGAGCTGCTGCGCGCCGCGGACGCGCTGGTCATGATCCTGCCGGGGTCGGAGGCCACGCGCCACGCGCTCAACGCCGAGCGCATCGCACACTTGAGCGAGAACGCCTGGGTGGTCAACGTCGGCCGCGGCACGTCGGTCGACGAGGCTGCGCTGGTGGACGCGCTCGAGAAGCGGAAGATTGGCGGCGCGGCGCTCGACGTCTTCGAGGAGGAGCCCCTGCCGGCGTCGAGCAAGCTCTGGGACGCCCCCAACCTGATCCTCTCGCCGCACGCGGCCGGCAACCGCCCGCTGGGCTCCGAGGTCCTCATCGCGGAGAACCTCGAGCTCTTCCTGGAGGGCAAGACCATGACGAACACGATGCCGTGACTCGGTCGGGGACGAAGCCAATTGTGAAAATACCGGAGTGGAATTTAATGCGAGGAATAGATTGGAGGGTTTGGACTAAAGTTTGTCGTATATACTAGAAATGAAACCATGAATTGATACGTCTTGAACGCGGTGCGTGTTTTGCCCAATGATAAATTTTCAGCAATACTAGTAGAAATGACAGAAGACAGTAAATTCTAGAAGCTTCAATTTTCAAGATTGAGTTCGTTCTTTTTGTAAAGCCCTCGTACGCGTGTGCCGACCGGGTCGACGTTGGCTCAAGATCCCACTTACACACGGACAGCTGCATACATACATAGACCATGTGTCTACCAAGCCAGCAGCCTCGCTGGCTTCGGAACATCAGATGCATTTAAATAGATGATTCCCTTCACAGAAGATATACCTTGGAATAAGTCTACTATCTCTGTTTATGAACCACTACCTTTGTTGCTGTTATGCTAAGCTAAGCTGCTCGACAGGGGATGTTTTCTTGCAGATGCGCACATGGCCACGAACTGGACCAGAAGGCTGAATGGCTAGTACTTTCAATGCAGTCACCGTAAATAATGTTTCGAAAAAAAGAATGAAAACCTTTAAAAAAAAATTAGAAATTAGCGCCTGTAGTTTGCAGGTCGGATTCCAGAGCTTTCTCTCAAGAAGAAGTTTTGGCCTTTGCTAGAGCGTCTCATTGTCGCCTTTGACGCACCTTTCGATACCCAAGAAGAATTTCAAGGAAACTTCTCCAAAAATAGAACCTTTTTCTTGTATCTTATGCAGAGCTTCTTTTTTTTCTCCTACCTTGACATATCAACAGCGCATCCATTACTTCCGCTCATCCCATCATGAAAAGTGGAGCCGCCAGGTTGCCCAAACCGCAAAGCTCAACCTCCGTGCTCCGTCCACCTGGTCTCCCATCTCATCCAACCTCCCAACCTCATCCCATCCATCCCGCCCGTCCACGATGCGTCTCCTCCCATCCGCCGCGGGGCTCCTCGCCCTTCTCGACCTCTCCGCCGCCTCCACCATCACCCTCTACCTGCCCTCCACGCCCGCGCCCGCCTCCCTCTCCCCTCGCGCCCACGCCACGCTCAGCGCGCCCGGCCTGCGCCTCTCCGCACCCCTCTCCGACGCGCACGCCTTCGTCTTCCGCAACGTGACCGCCGGCTCGTACCTGGTCGATGTGCACTGCCCCAGCGATGGCTTCGCGCCCCTGCGCGTGGACGTGTCCGACGAGGCGGCGGTGCAGGCGTGGGAGACGTTTCGCGGCAACGACTGGGATAACAAGGGCGAGGCGCTGACGCTGCAGAGCAGGGAGGACGGGTCGTCGGGCTTCGAGGTGCGCGCGCTCGGTCGCAAGACGTACTTTATGGAGCGTCCCAAGTGTAGGGTTCCCCTCTCCATGGTCGAGTGACGAAGGCTGACGGTGTGTAGTCTCGGTGATGAGCATCCTGATGAACCCGATGATCCTGATGGGTCTGGTGTCCATGGTCATATTCATCGGCCTGCCCAAGCTTGTCGAGAACAGTACGTGCCCCCCTCCTGATGTTTGGCGTGGTAAGAGACGAACTGACAATCTCTACCAGTGGACCCCGAAACGCGCGCCGAGTGGGAGGCATCGCAAAAAGAGAACCCGATGAACTCGATCCTCGGCGGTGCCGGGCAGCAGCAGGCCAACCCGCTCGGGAACTTTGACATGGCCGCGTTCATGGCGGGCTCGAAGAAGAAGGAGGGCGGCGGCGGACAAGGCGCTGCGACGGCGGCGAGCGGTGCCGAGAGCAAGGCCAACAAGCCCCAGGGCGTGAGGCGATGAAAGAAAAGAAAGGGAAGCGAATCTGCGAATGCGTAGATGAAGGGGAGATTCTGGGTTAGGTAGAAGAGAGCTCAATGGCATTACAAGAATAGACGGCATGCATTTTTAAATCCCGGTGATCCTACGTGCAATGCAGGTTTTATCTTGTGGTCTGCAGCAAGTATGCAACACCCAACGGTAGAAACCGTCAAGTGATGAGGTGTGAAACGTAATACAAGGCTCATATTTCGTTACAAGGGATGCTAGAAGCCCAGGATGATTCCATATCCCACTTTCCCGCCGCCCTACCTCCCCGCGCCCCCCTGAACGTATTCTCACTTCATTCCTTCCTTTAACCAAGAAAGAAAGTCCATTACCAGTCACCGCCGCCGCCATCGTCAAAGTCAGCCTGATCATCACGGCCGTCCTCTATGTTAAAAAAAAAAAAAAAAAAAAAAAGAAACCACTTCCAAAACGATGACGGGCCATTCGATCACGTACCGTATCCGTCCCTGTACTCCTCCTGGTCGTGGTGCGAGATGGCCTGCGTCAGGAGCACGCCACCCAGCAGACCCGCGCCCGCGCCGAGCGCCATGCCGCCCATGCCACCCATGCCGCCGCCCGTGCGTCTCGGCGGCTGCTGCTGCTGCTGCTGCTGCTGGTACCCGCCGCCGTAGCCGCCGCCACCGCCGTACTGCGGACCGCCGCCATAGCCCGGGCCGCCCTGGTTGTAGCCGCCGCCGTACTGGCCCTGCTGGGGGTAACCGCCGCCATACTGTCCCTGCTGGGGGTAGCCGCCGCCGCCGCCGCCGCCGCCGTATTGGCCTTGCTGGGGGTAGCCGCCGCCGCCGCCGTATTGCTGCTGGGGGTAGCCACCGCCCTGCTGGGGATAGCCACCGCCGTACTGGTTATTGTTGTTGTTGTAGCCGCCGCCGTAGCCACCGGGAGGAGTGCTGTTGCTGCTATTGTTGTTGCTGTTGTTGTTGTTCTTGCGACCCATCAGCCTGCCCAGCAGGCCGCGCTCGCCGGAGGCGCCCTCCCGCGGAGGCAGGTCCGACGGGAACGACGAGCCGCCGGCGGGCCGACCGTTGCGGGCGTCTTCCTCGGCCTGCAGACGGCGGGCCATCGCCTCGTCGTCCTCGTGGCCATTGTTGTTTCCGGAGCCGCCGTACGGCGCGGGTGGGTTGCTGCGGTCGTCGCGCTTAGAGTCCGGGTTGTGCTTGGCGTCCTGGAGGCCGCCGCTGTTACCCGCGGCCTCGTACGGCGGCGGGCCGTCCTCGTTGCCAACACCTCCAGTGGCAGGGGCGGTTGGGCGCTCCCACTGGGATTGCTTTGTGTTGAGGTTGACGTAGAACCTGGGTCATGCGGGGTCAGCCCATGCATCCTATGGAGTTGGGGGCAAGGCAATTCTCAATTCGCTTACCATTCCTTGTATTCAGCGTTCCAGCGAGCGGTCCAGCCGGGAGGCACTTCGGGCGCCTTGGGCGGCGGAGGGCCGGCGGGAGCGGCAAAGTCTGACATGTTTTTTTTTTTTTTTTTTTGAATCCTGGTGATTTGAACCGTGTAAGAGGTTGATGAATCGGTTCGGGGGAGTTCGTAGGATAGGGTCGAGGGTCAGCAGGGGAGGCAACGATGCCAAGACAAGTCGTAATTAACGCCCCTCTTGCGTGGTGGTGGGGAGCTTGCGATGCGAGTGGGGTAGCGATTGTCGATAGGAACAAGCAGACAATGAATGATGCAGGAGGAGAGAGATATCTAGGTGATGAGATTCTGGGACGTGATGGATAAAAAGTAGAGGATGATGATATTTTTCATCTCTCGCGCATGGCCTTGTCAGGGTTATATGGCTTTCAGGATGGACATGAAAAAGGACGCATACGTAGGCGGGCGGCCGGGGTGGCGGTCGCGGAGGGAACCTGTGGCTGTACCTCAATAGCTGCTGTACATACATACATAGGTACTTCAGCGTGTTAACTAACTACCTGTACTTGTTTAGTACAAGTAGTGGCACAGCCACAGGGCAAAAGGTCAAGTTTTAATCCTCTCGAGTCTTTACCCAGCTCGGAAAGCATTACGCTGGGCCGGGGTTGGTCATGTTGCCAGGGTTCAGGAAGACGGCCCGGACCATTTTCAGCAGGCTGCTGCAGGTCGCGTCTCGTGCGTGAGCTTCATTGGGCTGGTGACTGCTGCACAGCCTCACAGCTTTCGTGGTGCAGTCTGTATCCGGGTCCCGCGCATCCGATTAGGAGCTTCTTCGACATTCTCCGTAGGGCTTGACGTCTGCACTGCCGCGCGGGTTGGTGATAATTTATTAATTAGTTAGTCACTAAAAACCATGACGTTGCGTAGGTTGTGCAGTTGTAGGTGGCGACTTTGGCTGGCACTTGCTTGCGCTGCATGTCAAATCAGAATAATAGTAGAATATTAGTTACATTATGGTAATGCAAATACTATTCCACATCGCCGCACTGCAGCGATTTCGGACAAGTCACTCGCCTTCATTTCATCCGAATGGTGGTAGCCTGATGTCATCTCAATCCCGGGTTTCCGTCCACTGCTTCAGTAGACACACCACTCGTCTCGGTACAACACCCCACCCACAAGCATTCGTCGTTGTCTGCCTGCAGTATAAAAAAGTCACCCCATGGTTATATTCCACTGCGCGGCCATTCTTGTTAAACTGTAGTGCATTATCAAAAGCGAACTCTGAAATCGAAATTATGTTTGATTAGTATTACATTACGGATGGATACATGTCTATCGTACATTTCATTCCCCTTGTTACAAGTCCGTCGTGGTCTCCTCCTCCGCCCTCGACGACCTCACTTTCCCCATGTCCGTCCAGATCCCCGTGCTCCCGTCCACGGCCGCGCTGATCTGCACAGGCTCGTAAAACTGCACCGCCGCGTAAAAGTGCGGCATCAGCGCCCGCACCGACACCTTGAACCAGCCCTCGTAGTGCAGCATCTCCCTGTTCGTCGCCAGCCTCGCATCCACGGCCTTGACAAACGGCAGCGCCGCGCCGTCGTCCAGCGACCGCAGACACTCCTCGTCGACCATCAGACACATGGGCATGCGCAGACCCGGGTCCAAGCTCGCCAGATGGCCCCCCTCATCCCTTTCCTCCCCTACCTCTTCTTCTTGCTCGTCGTCGCTGTCATCTTCTAGGTTGCTCACGCTGTCGCGGTAAATGTGCGCCACGCCGCCCGGGCCCAGGTCGACGAGCGCGTAGTCGGAGACGAGCGGTAGCTTGACGCGACCGCGGACGCGCGCGAGTCCCGGGACGGCGGGCAGCGCGGCGAGGATGCCGGCGTCGACGAGCTCGCCGAAGCGCCGCTGGAAGCGCTCCCACAGCGGCTCGTCGGCGTAGTAGGTGCGGAAGACGAGGAAACCCATCTCGGCCCAGCGCGGCGGCGGCGACGACGACGACGACGACGACGACGACGACGGGGAGGAGGCCGCCTCGACGCGGCGCACGAGGCGCTGTGCATTTTCCAGTGAGACATCGTCGTGGTCGGCTGCTGGTGTGGTGGTGGTGGTGGCGGCGGCGGCGGCGGCGGGCGGCCCGGTCTTCCCGCTGTCGTGGACGGCCAGGGTCGCGATGCCGTGGGTTGCGGCTCGCCACGCCCTAGCCTCTTGTAGGATCTGATCGGCCTGCTGCCGCGCCTCCTCGACTTTGCGCTCCATGAGTTTTTGCAGCAGCTGTGCGTTGTCGCCGAGAATTTGTCAGTGGCCATGCAAACGCCCAGAGAAGGGGGGTCGACGTATGTATCTATGTATGTATGTATGTACCTCCTCTGGCAGAGCATTGTACTCGGCGCTGGTCGCGTTTTGGTAGGTAGTTTCGGTCCAGCCAGGCGGCAAGTAGGGCAGTAAAGGTAGGCCGGCCATGATGTTGATTCTGGGGGTTAAGGGTTCAAAGAGTGATGATGAAATGTCGAGGTGTTGTAAGACTGGCGGCCAGACAGCTTGCATCTACTCCTTCGAGGGGGGGGGTTGCAGTCGCCCAGTGCAACAACCCTGCCTGGTTGGGGAGATTAAAAAGCAGCGACGTCGGGCAATTTTGTTTATACAAGTCCACCAAACTATCGATTTAGCACGCAGACTAGATGAGCCAAGTCGGATTCTGCATGCGACGCTGAAAATAGATTTTCGGCGCATTTAGTAAGTTTTTTTTTATTTTTTTATTTCCATGTTGAAGTGCTGCACCAAGTGAAATGGAACACAGCCAGCATAATGGAGCAGTGGATGGAGTGCTGAGTAGGCAAATTAATCAAGGGAAAGTGGTGTCAGTTTATTTTAAGAAAAAATGAGATTAATTTGGCATGATCAAAGATTAAATCATTCAACATTCGAAATTGCACTACCCATCACGTACTAGGTAGTACTCTACATCTCTCATTGATAAGAGCAGAACAATCGGGCCGCTGCAGCCGTAAGCAACTGCTTTGTCTTTTGCATCGAGAGCATCTTCCTTAACTTGGAGGTTGCACCCCGGAAAGCGAAAATTTCCTCGATAGCCATTGCTGCTTTACCGTAGCTATCCCCTCAGCATCATCCTACCCGCCAACCGATGTCCTGCCACGAGAGCTTTCGAGAGACGGCGACTTCGGCGTGACGAGACTCACCTCTTTATCACACTCGTTGTGCAATGTACTGGGCAAATGGTAGACAGCACAAATGTTTGCAAGTATAGCAGCGTCACTTCAAAACACCCGCAGTGCAACATCTTGGTTGTGCCCTCTCCCTACAATGTTGCCTGATACCACACTTACCGACGTCGACTTCCACTCAGAAATCCTGAAAAATACCTGTTTACACATGTTTCACCATGTCGGACCAACCGTGAATCTATTCTTGCCTCTGTTCTAGGCGCGTCATTACGTGGCAACGTTGAGGAAACACAAGGCGGCCATCAAGACAGCAGAAAAGTCACCAGCGCCCAGCCCACACTCTCTTCGTCGCTATTGTCTCTTCAAGCTATTTGATCTAGTATTAAAGTAAGAAAAACAATATGGGCATTGAAAAATCATAAACTCGCCTGCAGTTTACCGACGCTGATGACACCGGCTGCGAAGACGGCGCCAAACATGACGCTGCCAAAGACGGGACCGCCAGATGTCAATGCCGGGACATTTTTTCCCGAAATTTCCTTACGACATATGAAATATCTTCTACAAAATCCTTTCAAGTCGCGAGATCAAAAACCTCCGTCGCACCTGTCATGGAATACATGACAGGGCATGTTTACGGCTAGAGCGTGTGTTTCTCTCCAAACACCCCTCTCGACATCCAAGTCTTTCTCTCCATCGCCGACCACCCTGTTCTCCGGCATCCGGTCAAGGAGGTCATGTATCACAGTGTAATATTCTCCGGGTCTGCCTTCGAAGTGCGCAATACTAACTTTGAGTTTTATCTCACGCAAGAACATGACGTGCGCAGCCAGGACTGTTCGGAAAACAGAGCCTGGTCGGAAAACAAAGCCTGGTCGGAAAACAGAGCCTATTTTCGCAGAAGGCGACTCACAAACTGAGGCTGGTCGTGAGCGGTACAGTCTCCTTCCCCTGTAGACGCGACACTCCCGAGCTCCGAGACTGCCATCGTGGCTTCTAGAATTTGTCACTACCGGGTGTGGTGAGGACTGGACAAGGAATAATTGCCCAGACTCGTTGATAGTGACGGAGGAGAGCGCGTGCCGGCTTGCCAGGCCCGAAAATGCAGGGCTCTCGACTTCACCTTCCCAAGACGGCCCAGATTGTTCGGTGCACTCAATGACGAACCTTTGACGCGATCGCAGCCATGACGTTGACGTTCCAGCGGGTAAAAATTACGTTGCATCTGAAAGGAGAGAGCCTAATTTATGGAATCAGTCAACAACAGAGTGAGTGATCGTTGCCCTGCGCAATTCATACCATGCTTTACTCCTGGTTACCGTTACCATTACGGCTGGTATACAGTACCCCGTCGGTTGACTACTATTTCTAGCTTCTTAGGCAAAGCGACATGATGTAACTGCGTACTTTTTGAATGCGCCTCCTGTTGACGTGGGGTTGACCAGCTGTTGGTTAGCAGCGCAACATGTAACAGTAAAAGTGCACCGACGGTCTGAGAAGTAGATCCATCCTGTTCCGGCAACAGCTTTAGCACTGGGTAGTCTTATCCGGTAGTTATCAGCCATTTACCTGCTGCGCTAGGGTTTGCCGTTTGGGTAGTAGCTGAGAAGTTGCTTGAATCGGCGGCTGACCTGTAATTGATGTCGTCATACTTCGGTCAAAGTACTCCTCGCTTCAAATTATATATCTATAAATATTTGCAACCATCAAGGTTGCTGCTGAAGTCCTTCACGTATCCTCGAACGCTACTCTTGTCCCAATCCCGTTTACAAACTGTGTATACCACAAGACCTTTTTAGCAAATATTACAAACACCATGGCCTGCTCGTGCGGAACCACCTGCAACTGCTCGGGTCCCAACTCGTGCAATTGCGGCAATGCTTGCACTTGCAAGAACTGCGGCGTACGTGCTTGAATCCTACAAGGGGTCGGTCAATTACATATGCATCCGTTACTGACCGCATGCTTAGAAATAAAGTCGGTTCGGCCCTTGGGCCACACTGAGAGAAAGGCCATAGCTTGGCCAGCCGGTAGTGCAGTAAATAGTGTCCTAGAAGACCAACTATGTAGCTATGGACCAGATATCAGTTCAACAGCTGGCAGAACCCTTTTTATGCCATTAAAAGAACAAGTCGAACATGCAAAAGGGAAGAAATCTATCGCCGTGCATTTTCTAATGTCTAGAGTTATTGACCTCGTGGTAAAACTAGCTACAGTGCATTCCGAGGAAGTCAATTTAGTGACATCACAATGAGGCATACGTACACTCACAGCAATTAGAACGGGAGTTGCAGTGGTCTGACCATGCAAACTGCAAAAAAATTGTCAATTTTAGCATTCAACCTATTTCAATTATAATTTTTTTCAACGGGTTACTAGCAAGCAGTTAACCATGTCCCCCGTGCGAACCAGAGCTGCAGCATCTGATCGCGGCACTGCTCAAGCCCCAAAACATGATCTAGGCTCCAGCCACGGCAGCTCGCAGAAGGCCGCGAAAACCGACAGCCGCGGTGATGGAAAGGCTGAGAGCGCTGCCTCACTTTCCAAATCAGCTTCCAAGGCAGACACAAAAGACAAGCAGCCGTCGCAGAAAGCGGAGGACAACACCGCTCCAGAGGTAGTCGAGACGGGCATCTTGAACTACTTCATTCGAGGACGAGTCGAGATTGAGGAGCCCAAGTCGTTGGACGAGATTGCTCGCGGGTACTTGGTCATGCGCCCGCTCCCCGACGACATCGATCTCTCTCAGCGCCCGCTCCCCAAGTCCCTCGCTGCGCGGCTGCTTGCCTTGCCCAAGAAGCAACTGCCACGGTCTACCAGCGACCGCTTCATGGCGTTTGTGGATGAGACGGGCATGCCCTATCCTGAGCTTGCAGAGGGCTTCCTCGCGCCCCGGGAATACGCGACCAAGACAAAGGGGATGCGCCATGTGCCCAGCGCCACACCGGTCGGAGAGGGCGTATATGCCATCGTTCGGGCGCAAAAGGAGACGCACTTTGCCTATGCTGCTACGCTTCCCGAAGAGAAGCGAGAGTTTCAGCGTGATCTCGGCTTTCGCGATCGTGGCAGCTTCATCATGAGCAGCAAGAATCCCAAGTTTTCGGGGCCTGCCTCCGCACGACTACCCTCGCCACCCGAATATCCCAAAGAGTAAGTGTGGTGAAGTATACATGTCCGACTTCAGGTGACTAACAAAGGGGGGAAAAGTATTTTAGAAGAATTTGGCTCACACCGTTGGGTTCCTACGAAGCCGGAGCATTTGGACTACAAGAATACGCAGCTTCTTCTCATTGGGCAGGGCGAGAAGCCTCAATTGACCACTGGCGATGTGGAAGGTCAGGCCAAGGTCGAAGATGAAATGGAAGTATTGATGGAAGAGGATCTCAAGGGCATGCAACATTTGTCGAGCAACGAGTCAGAAGCGATTTTTGCAGACTTGCATGCCAAGTCCGAGTGGTTTCACAACATTCCGGAATCATTCGGCAAATCATCATGCGTCTAGGTCTCGAAGAACTAATTTCTTTTGCTGAAAATGATCAAAAATATGACACAGAGCCACTTGAGATGCTCAAGTAAATATCGCAATGGTGCGAAGGCTGAGGCTGGATTTCCAAAGTTATTATGTTGTCAGCTTACAAACGTGTTGGGCGATGATGGATCGGGCTATTGACCTCGATTTGTCGATGGACTAGAGAAGCTTTTGTTGGTTTATTCAACAAAGCAGAAGAAATGGAAGATTGGGACACACGATATCTGCGTGGGATCCAGACGCAGAGCTGAACGCAGGTAGCGTAAGAGAAAACCAGGTCCAAACTGTCAATCGTTTATGAGCTCCATTCCTAAGGCTATCAACTGTGTGAATTAGAAAGGAAATGCATTTAATGAACGTGGCCAACTGTCGTCCTCCCAAGTACGCCAAAATGAAACTCTTTCTTGCAGAAAGGCGGCGAGCAAGCGGTCAAAAATACACACCCAAACGAGTTTGGGGTACAGTATCGGCAGCTCATCATAGGCTCGAGCTAGGGAGTAATGCACAATGTGCAGAATATATAGCCATGACTCCGTAAACGTTAGTTTACCGTGTTGCACCCGAATTATCTCTCTATTTGCCGCCGGGTGCCGCAGCCTACGCGACTTTTGGCATTGGAGACTCCAAAAATTGACCCTATCCCTAATACTTTAACTGGTTGGTAGCTCGCTTTGATTTACTTGATTTACTTGATTTACTTGATTTACTTGATTAGAAGGACAGAAGGACTTACTTTCAGCGGTTCATGATTAGGTACCAGTTTGGCTGGGACAAATGCTCTCAACACAAAGGTCGATCCTCCTCGTCTCGAACGTTCTGATCTGCAACGGCAGCATGAATAGGCTCTTAAGCTGATCAAGCATCGAAGCCTGGACGGCCGACGTGTGGATCAACACTGATGCCACGGTTGGCTTCGGCCACCGCCGTCTTGCCGTCAACGACAACTCGTCGTCCGACAACTCGTCGTCCGCGGTGCCGACTGCAGTGCAGTTACGCAGTCGGGCATGACACCGCTGATGTACGCTGCTAAGCAACGGGATCCAAGCGCGACGGGGGAACTCTAGCAATCCCGTGAGCAGAACTCCCATGAGAGTGAGAACGAGGTTTAAAAGAAAAGAAAATGACGCTAGGGTATTCATGAATCTAATCTACTCCCCTTGCTTAATAATCTCTGGTATTTCCTCGCTGCATAACAGCAGAAGCGCTATATTCTTCTCCCTCTTCTCTTTGGCATACATTTACATGAACACTAGTAGTCACCCACCACATTTACACGCGGTCGTCATCGCCCAGACCCCCCGCGCGACGCTCCCCAAAGAGGTACGCCGCCTCGAGGCAGAAGCGGCCGTGGCCCATCTCCATGCGGCGCTCGCTGCCGTAGCAGACGAGCACCGCGTCGACGATGCCGCTGAGGACGCCCTCCATGGCGCCCATGACCGAGTAGCCGATGAAGCCGGCCATGAGGCCGACCACGTAGGCGTACGCGGAGCCGCGGACGCCGACGCCGTCGGGCAGTGTCAGCCGCAGCTGCTTGGCCGTGACCACCCAGCCGCCGAAGCCGAGCGCCGTGGCCATCAGCAGTCGCGTGGCGACGAGAAGCAGTTTGGCGAGGCGGTACGGCAGGAGCCCGGCGCCACCGCGGGGCAGAGCGCGGGGGGTGAGCGTCGTCGTGGGCATGGCCGGGGTGACGAGCTCCATCTGATCGAGACCGCGAGCAGCCGTCGCCAGGCCCTGTGAGTGGATGGCGGCGTAGGTGACGGTGAGAGGATTGGTGAGGGCGACGACGGGCGTGGGGATCCAAAAGGCGGCGACGTTGGCGACGACGGCGCCGATGCGGCGCGGCAGGAAGAGCAGGGGCGCGCGGACGAGCAGTGATAGGAGGGTGGATTGGCACACGCTGCCGAAGATGGTGGTCACGGCGTGGCCGAGAGCGGCCAGCACCACGTCCCGGGATGAAGGCGCCGCGGCGCCGCCGGCGGCCGCATTGCGGTGAAAGTACCATTGCGAGACGGTGGCGGCCGTGGTGGCGCGGTGCACGGCGTTAATGACAGCCATGGTCCACATGTACATGAAGACAAAGGCGGCGCCGAGCCACCAGCTGGACAGCTGGATGACGAAGCGGACCAGCGACTTGGAAAAGTAGCCGCCCATGAAGACGCGCGTGAACATGACGAGCCAGGCCCAGGTCCAGACGACAATGAGCGCGAGGCACGCGAAGCCCATGACGAGCAGCGCCGGGTTCTGCGCGAGGATGCGCGAGGAGAACTGCAGAATCTCGACGGCCTGGCGGATTGCCCGCCGACTCTTGCCGACGACCCAGAGCCAGAGCAGGCAGGCGGCGCCGGGGATGAGCGCGAGCCAGCGCATCACGGCGTCCTGCACGCTGGCGCCGCGCGTGCGGCCCTTGAAGGAGGAGATGAAGGCGTAGAGCGAGAAGGAGAACATGATGACGGGCACGGCGACGAGGATGACGCTGACGAGCGGTCGTGCAAATGAGCGTAGCGCGGCGAGCCACACCAGGGAGACGAAGACGGCGACGATGGTGTCGACGGCGAGCATGTGGAACGAGCGCTGCAGCGTCGCGTAGATGGTGTCGCCGACAGGGCCGCTCCGTGGGGACGTGTGCAGCCACACGAGCACAAAGGTGGAAAGCATGGCGGCGAAGCTGATGAGGAATATCCAAGCGAAGAAGGGGTCGTGACGGAAGGTTTCGCCGTCAATGAAGCCGGTTCCAACTTCCATGGGCTGCCCCTGCATAGGATCGTCTCGTTGTAGGCTGTTCAGCTCAGATCGGTCTGTGGAGGAGCGTCGTAAAAATGGTGTCTGTTCAGCGGACGGCTGTTTGAAACGTTGAAAGGGCGGAGGGCTTGAGTCGGTGTGGGTGTCGCCTAGGAGCGACTCCGGTGGTTCATCGTCGCCGTCATCGTCGTCTTGGGATTCTAGGCCTACATCTACCATGGCGGATTTGCCTCCACGACCCTGTGACGTCGCGTCCGCGGTGACCTCTTCGGCCTCTTCGTGGAGCGTATCGTGCGCTACGTTGTGTCGGAAGCCACTCCGCGTGCCGTTCCAGCTGCTCTTGATGCCCCGGCCGCCTCGTCCCGCCGTGCGGCCGCGATACGGGTCATCATCATCGTCGAGGCCGGCACTCTCGTCGAGCGACCCCCTGCTGTGGCCTTCGGACTCGGTGCTCTCGGCGAGCTTGCTGGCAGCAGCGACACGGCGAGAACGCTGGAGAGCGAAGAGATCAGCGGCTTCACGGTCGCGCTCGGCCTCATCATCCTCTTCACGGAACTCGTCGAGGGTGCCGTGGAAGAGCGGTGCGTCGTGGGCGGCGGATATGCGGGAGGCGGCAAAGGCGATATTGCCGAAGCGTGAGCCGGTGCCGTTTTGTTGATACGGGTTACCAGTGCCGCCACCGTAGCCACGGGAGAGGAAAGATCGCGTGCCCGCAGCGCTGGTGCGATGTCGACCAGGCCTTGATGAGGGCCAGTCGGAGGCGTTGTGTTGGTTCGCGTCGTCGTGGTCAGTTTGGCCGGCAAAGTTGGATATGCGAGACTGGGACTGGGCGAGGAATCTGGAAGCGTCTGCATCATCGAGGTTAGATGGGGGATGTCATCGAGATAAGCTCCACGCTAGGCAACAGACGTACATTCGGAAAACATGGTGATGGAGATTCGAGGCACCAGACCGCCACCTCGCCGAGAGAATGGGGTTGGATTATGGGTATGGCAGAATGATGGCGAGGATGGACGGAAGGATGAGACAAGAGGTAAGAGTTGGAGATGCCGGTTCTGGGGGTCGTCGCCGATTACGTGAATCGGGGTTCCGATTACGCACTAGGTAAGAGGATGAAGGATGCCTGGGGGGGATGCAGTCTGGTCGCAGGGATGATTATTGAGCTTTGTCGTGGGAGGTAATGCGGTGAGACGTGAAATCGGAACAAGGGGAAATGCAGCTGGTGCTGATGGAGGGTGTGTTGAAGATGCAGTGTGATTTTGAAGATGAATAATTATGGTTGCGGACGGATCAAGTCGGAAACGGCATGGAGGCGGTCTTGGTCATGGGACATTGATTGGGATCCTGTGAGCGTGGGGTTTCAGGGTAGGAGATGACTCTGCTAGCAGCTGACTGGGGTAGATAAGGCGGTGATGATGGCACCTGCAGCTGCTGCAGCAGCAGCAGTACCTGTTACAACTCACCTAGATAAGTTACTATATGTTTACTGGATATTTGTGGATGAATTCTTTTGGTGGATTTAATAGTATTTGGTACATTCTTGTGGTTGTTGTGCAGTTACTGGCTGGCTGCTTATTATTACACCGTACCAGGTACCTATGTACATACATACCTACAGTACCTGGCTGTGCTCTACCGGATGAAGCAGGTGGTCACGCCGCATCACCAAACACCTCGTCACCAACCACGACCCAGTATGCCTTTCAAACCTGTTAAAATTTTCTCTCTCTCTTTTGTCAATAAAAAAGAAGAAATACCCGACAGAGATAGGGACCGACCGCCTTTGGAACTATTACTAAAGACAATGCAGCGGTTCACGCCCGAGACACAACACGGCATGCTAGTAGAAGGAATGAAAAAGAAAGAAAAAAAGAAAGCGAAACAATACATAGATTTTTTTTTCAAAATATATCAAAATATATCAAAATATATCAAAATGTCTCAATTGAATATCATCCTGTCAGACTATCGTGCCAGTAGAACTCGCCATCCTTCATCTGCACTCTCTACCCAACCAGCCACCAAGACGATTAATAACTACACTCAACCACAAACATCATACAAAGTCCATATTCGTCTCTTCAAAAAACCGAAATCCCTCCGTCAACTAGGATATCCGCCCCCGTCATATAACTCCCCGCCCGACTCGCCAGCAGCACCACCGCGCCCGTCACCTCCTCCGACACGCCCATCCTCCCCCACGGCGTCCGCCTCGCCCACTCCCTCCTGTGCGCCTCCAGCCCCTCGCCCTCGTTCAGCACCGTGTCCACGTACCCCGGACTCACGCTGTTCACCCGGATCCCGTGCCGCGCCCACTCCGCCGCCAGCGAGCTCTTGAGCGCCAGCACCGCCGCCTTGGCCGCGTTGTAGTGCGCCTGCGGCTGCGGGAAGTTGACCAGGTGCGCCCCCGAGATGCTCGCCGTCAGCACCACGCTGCCCGTCACGCCCCGCGCCACCATCGCGCGCGCCGCCGCCTGCGCGACGAGAAAGGTGCCGGTCGCGTTGACGTCGAGCATGGTGCGGAACTGTGGAGGCTCCAAGTTCAGGGCGTGGGCGGAGCCGACGATGCCGGCGAAGATGCAGCAGGTGGTGATGGCGCCGCCGAGCCGGTCCTCGGCGGCGGAGATGGCGGCGGCGACCTCGGAGGCGGAGGTGACGTCGACGCGGTGAAAGGTGATGGTGGCGGAGGGGAAGCCGGCGCGCAGGGAAGCAACAGCAGCGTCGCCGGCAGAAGAGGAGAGGTCAAGGATGGCGAGGCCCGAGAGGCCGTGCTCGAGGAGCGCGCGGCACGCGGCGAGGCCGATGTCGCCGGCGCCGCCAGCGACGAGCGCGTTGCCGGTCACAGCGAAGCGGGCGAGGGCGCGGTCAGTGGGCGACAGGCTGGCAGGGACGGGCGAGGGGACGGCGGTCTTGGAGGTGCCGGAGCCGGAGCTGAGCTCCATCGACGGGATGCTCCGATGAATCAGCTCGGATCGAGGCACTGACATGTCGGGCGGTCTGTGTATGTTAAGTCGGCAAGAGATTGGGCGGGCAAACAGCAAAGTCAATGGAATTGGTTCGAGATGGAGGTCTTCGTCTTGAGAGAGACAGGGAGTGCCTTTTTTAAGCCCAAATTTGCAAACATGGTGAACGAGCCTGCTCAAGCTATATTCGCGTAGCTTCTACCACCAAAGCTTTGAGGATCATCCAGAGACGATCACCTGCCAGATACAGCAAAAGGCCTAGGTGGTGTACTGTACAGTACACTTCAATCAACAGGAGCCAACTGCACAGTCACGGCATCAGAACGGTGGAGATTTCCGTACAGCCGTCCATATGATTGGCAGATGCAAACAAGGCTTACTCGGAGTTGGACGATTTATTATTAGACCCCTCCGGTCGCCGGACGGCAGGCTTGATGACTTGCAACCCCCACGACGGAGCCGGTTTGGCGCCGTGGGGAACCCAGGCCCTTGGACAGTGAGCCTGCCAGGCTGCGGTGATCAGCTACGGAGGATTACGCAACGCCATTTTTGTCTTTATCATCCAAGAAGAGCAAAACAAAGACCCCAAACTTGAGCTCTTGTCCACGCGGGCTTGAAACAAGGACGCCATGGCACCACCGCCGACTTCACCGACTCCCCGGCGTCGGAAACGGCCGCGCCCTCTCCCGCACGTCATGGCCCGCAACCTCGCCATCGAAAAGCGTCGTCGCGAGGAGATGAACGGGAACTTTCTGGTACGTAGTTTACCTTCTTCTCCCTCTCTCCCTCGTACGCGAGGAATCCAAACAAGCATGCTCACCGCTTGCAGGACCTGGCCCATCTCGTGCCCTCGCTGGCCCACGCCCAGCGCCTCACCAAGGTGCGCATCGTCGGCGAGACCATTGCGCACCTGCGCGAGCAGCGGGCTCTGTGCGCCGCCGCGGCGCGAGACATGCTGGCGCTGCTCGCGGACAACCGCCGCGGAGACGGTAGCGGCGGGACGGCGACGCTTCGAGACGCGCACGAGGGGCCGGAGCCGAGGAAAAAGACGGCGCTGGCCGCGGTGGGAGATGGCGGGAGTCAGCAGGACGCAACGCTCTCATCTACGGGGACGGGGCAGGGTTCCGGCACCGGCACATGGCAGTACGATCTGGGCTTGTGGGAAACAGAATTCGAATTCACGGCCATTCCGGCATCGCAGGAGGAACGACTTCCATGGTCTTGCTCTACTCTACCCTTGCCACCGGAGAGTTCGTCCCTGCCAGCTCCTACGGGCGTGCCCACGCCGCCTCGCGAGGGCTTCGACGCAATCGCCCATCTCACGTTTCCCGCCAGTCTCCTCCCGGACGACACTTTATTCAACACGACACTCGACGATTCTGCAGCGACAGACGACATCTGGTCCGGGCTTGGCCTATGAACAGCTATCCTAAGCCTCTACTACACCGAATGCAACTCTGCTTCAAATCCGCTTCAGCGCCTCCTCAATCGCAGCACGGCTCTGCCGCTCACACGCCCCGAACATGGCCAGCGCCTCCTCCAAGCCCCTCGTCGTCATCGGATCCGCCTCGATCGCCACCTGCAGCGCTGCACCTCCATCCGCCAGGTAGTCCACCTCGACAACCTCCTCCGCCGACACCGGCACCTTGTCAGCCACCAGCGGATCTGTCGCCGCCAGGTGCATCAGACGCTCCGCCGGCACGCCCTCTGCTGCGCTTTGAGACGGCGGCGGCTGGTTCGTCTCGACGTCGAGCGCCGCGAGCTCCGCGAGCACGTTGGCCGGGATCGTGGCGTGCGCGCAGCCGAGCTCCGCCATGGCCATGGCCTCTCGCGCCGACAGGAAGCTCGCCATCTTGACCAGCGGCTGCGGCGGCGCGCCGGGGCCGCTCCTCGCGGAGAGAGTCCGGTAGGCGTTGAGGATCTGGACGATGCGCGGCGACATGGGGTGCTGCAGGGCCGGGTCGGGCAGGTCCGGCCACTGCGCGCGGTCGGTGTGGTACCAGGAGACTTTTTTTTTTTTTCGAAATCTACATTAGCCTTCATCACTTCTGCGACTCCCAAATCCCCCGTCTTGTTGAATACTCACAATTGTAGTAAGGGCTGATGGACAGGCAGCCGGCCTGGCTGGCGGCGACGGCCTGCGGCACGCTGAACAGCGAGGTGCCGAGCGTGCGGATGCCCTCCTTGAGGAGCTCGCGGCCGGCGTTGAGCGCCGGTCCCGTGGCGGGGATCTTGATGCAGAACTGGTCCTTGGCGATGCCTTCCTTTTCGAACTCGCGGGCGTAGGCGCGCGCGTGGGCAAGCGTCTTGGCCTCGTCGTAGGCGTCGGCCGGCGACGTCTGGAGGAGGAAGCGCCCGCGGATCTTGTCCTTGTTGAGGGCGCACAAACGGACGCTCTACACGGCACTTTGGCTTAGCATTATATTCTCCTTTGGTGAGAGGTTGTAGGCTGTGTATACGCACCATGCAGTCGAGAATGGCGCGCCAGCCGTCGTCTTTGCGCTCGCGGACAGTCTTTAGGAAGAGCTCGCGGTTCTCGGGGGCGACCATCCGCAGGAGGACGAGGTTCTGGTTGCTCGTCTGGTCAAAGGGGACGAAGGGGAGGAGGGCCGCGGTGTCTGCCGGGTCCAAGCCGTCGATGTCGATTTTGACTATGTGAATCTCGGTCAGCTTTGTGACCGTGTCTAGGTCATGTCCGGTGTAAGTGAGAGAACATACTGTGGTGCTGGAGCACGTCGAACCAGGTGGTCTTTGCCATTTCGTAGATTTCTCAAAATATTTTTCTTTGTTTGGTGGCTTACTGCAACTATAATAAATTTTAATATTCAAAACTCGGAAGAATTTGAAGGGTTTATATAATGATATTCTGCGGTACGCCCACCGTTGAACACCTCCGCACTCGGTCTGGAACGGACGCTAAGCATGCAGGTACTGTACAGCAACCACTGTCACGATGGAGCGAAGAGCGGATAAAAGGGTTATTTTTTTTTTTTTTTTTTTTTGAAAAAAAGAAAAAAAAAAGCTTTATGACTAATGTAATATATTTCTTGACTTTATTTTAGAGTTTCTAATTGTCCTCGTATTGCGCTGCAGTACTCTCTCACTGTACAGTGACACCCGTCTCCGCGTCGCCGATCCTGCAGCTTCCAGCTCCCAGCTCCCCCACAGAGCCTGACCTTGTGACAAGAAGCTGCGGCTGCCCAACAAGCAACAAGCAAGTCCACGAATCGCACCATCTCCCATCGCTTGGCCCCCAAACCTCGTCGGATTTTCGAGCTTGCACTATCCCCTTCCGCATCCGAACCCTCAAGACTTCGCGCTCCGAATCTGCCTCGAGCCTCCAGCATCCCACTCATCCGAGCCAGAAGCTTCAGCGCCTTTGCCGTCTTGTCCACTTCCCCCGGGGGTTGTCCGGCCTCGCAATCATTCCACATCAACCTACACGCACGTGCCGACTCCTCTAGGAAGGGCTTCTCGGTACCACATCTGACGACACACAAAACTTCTCGACAACGTCCTCCTCCTCCTCCTCCTCCTCCCTCACCGCACTCGATTCTGCTCCACCGCCGTCAGCCCCGTCATCCCTCCCTCTCTCCTCACCACCACCACCACCACCGCCATGTCGGCGCCGTGGGACTACATCGCCAAGCTCGTCTGCATCGGCGACTCGGGCTGCGGCAAGTCCAGCCTCACCATCCGCCTCTGCGAGGGCCGCTTCTCGCCGCACCACGACGTCACCATCGGCGTCGAGTTCGGCTCTCGCATCGTCCCCGTCGGCCCCCCTCACAGCAAGCCAGCCCTGGCACCTCCCGCCAGCAGCACCCCCTCGACACAACAACAACCCTCCTCCTCCGATGCCGTCGCCGCCGCCGGCCTGCCCGACCCGCCCCGCGACACCAGCAAGACCCCCCAGAAACACATGAAGCTCTCCCTCTGGGACACGGCCGGCCAGGAGACGTACAAGTCGGTCACGCGCTCCTACTTCCGCGGCGCCTCGGGCGCCCTCCTCGTCTTCGACCTCTCGCGCCGCGCCACCTTTGAGCACGTCACCGACTGGCTCAACGACCTCCGCCAGATCGCCGAGCCGGACATTGTCGTCGTCCTCGTCGGCAATAAGGCCGACCTCGTCGGCGGCGCCGCCGCCGAGGCCCGCCAGGTGTCCCGCAACGAGGCCGAGGCCTGGGCTCGCGCCAACGGCGTCCTCGAGTACGTCGAGACCAGCGCCAAGAGCGGCGACAACGTAGAGGCCGCCTTCATGCGCGTCGCGGAGCGCATATACCACAACGTCCAGGCGGGGAGGTACGACTTGAATGATCGGAGGTCCGGCGTCAAGGGGCCCAATGCGGGAGGTGGCGCGGGCCGCCAGGTCAAGCTGGGTCCCAACGGCGGCAAGTCCATCGCCGGTGGATGCTGCTGATTCTGGTGACGAAAGGCTGAACAAAGAACACAAGAAAGAATAAATCAAATAAACACAACTAGCATAAGCCTATAATAATTGAACCGGGGACAGCGATTCTTCCTAGGTGGAAGGGGATGGCCTGGTTTGCTACACAAGATGCCAAAATACTCTTTCTGAATTTTGTATAACACCGTCTGTTTGCGCACAGGTCTCGACTTCAAATTGTGTCAACTAATACATCATATTGCATTAGACACAGAAGCATGCCATACAGCTTCTACCATTTGGAAAAGCAGAGCATGACGACTTGACTTGAAATTTGCATCCAACGAAAAAAATCATAACAGAAAGATCCTTTTTAGACTAGCTGCACATTTTTTAAAAGAAGCAGAAATACCAGTAATTTTGCACCTGTTATACATTGCATTGCAGCTTTTCATGAATGGTCTTCATCGTCCTCCTCCCAACGTCTCCGTTTTCTCCCTCTACTAGTGTGTATTACTGCACATGGCGTACACAAAATTCCAGCATATTACAGGCTATATGCATTTCTCTGTAAATCCAGACACGCCACGGGACGCCTGCGGTCCATGGCCTGCTTAGTCGCTCATGCGCCACGTCTCGAACCACTTCATGTACGAGTACTGCTGGTTGTTGCCAGTCATGCCCCAGCAAATTGGGATAAAGGTAATGTAGAGACCGACAATGACCGAGTACAACACACCGTAGACGCCCCCCTGCACAGCCTGGCTGCGGTTTCGTACCAACCAGTCGACGAAGAAACCGAGGGCGAGAATGGCAAAATACAGAGCCGGGTAGTAGTGGTGAACGTACGTGACACGGGCCATGATGACGAAAGGCAGGTAGTGGAGGAACCAGCCAAGCACGGGGTAGATGCCGGCGTAGTGGATCTGATCAATCTCCTCGCTGTTCAGGTCCTTGAAGCCACGCTGCCAGCGCAAGACATACCAAACGACAACAAGGCCAACAAAGCCAAGCGACACCGTCGACGCCCAGTAAACAAAAGGGTTGCCAAGGAGGAAGTACTTGACAATGTTATCGTCCCAGCCGCACATGCGGAGACCGACGTGCAGAATGGGCCACTGCCACCACTGAGAAGCGAGGTCATCCTGCTTGTCGGGATCGGGAACAAGGGCATTGTTGGACGTCATCATAGCGACGTTCAGGTGGATAAAGTCATGGAAGAAGGGAGACTTGTACGAGCCAGGGTCGCCGGCAGGGAGCTTATCGTTCCAGTGAGATTCGACGTTCCAGTGGGTGTACGCGTCTCTCGGGTTGTTCTTTTGGGTGCATGTCACTTCGATCTGCTTGAAACCCCACTGAGGAAGGTTGGTGTTGCCAGCGCGGAGGTAGCAGCCGAGGACGGGGTGCTTAAGACGAAACGAGGTAGCCAGGGTACGGATCCGGCTGCGGTCGCGAGAGGCAGCATCGCGGACGACCTCGACCTGCCAGTGGTCCTTGTCGTCGCCAACAGTCAGGTTGCCGTACGAGGAAACTTCGCGGTCAGATTTGGTCATGGGGGCGGAAATCTCATGCGAGTGCAAGTTGCGGCCGGTAGAAGCGTGGATAAGACGAATCACGGAGCCATCAGAGATGTAGCGGATGTCGGTGGAGTTGGCGTCGTAGTCGGGCTCGCTGCGGTTGGGGTAGATAAACCAATCGTTGTTCGAGTCCTTGTGGTGGTAGCAAGTGACCTGCTGCTGCTGGGAACCCTCGGGGTAGGTCTGGACGTGGGAGTGGAGAAGACCGCCACCGTAGCCCATGTTCTTGAGAGTGGCGCGAGAACCAATGGCGATTTCGAGAGGGCTATCCTTGCCGACATCGGTGCCCTGGAGGTTTGCCTGGAAGAGGGAGCTCATCTGGGCATCGCCAGGTCCACTCTTGCTGAGGATAGCAAAGTGCAGGGCAAAGGACAGCATGTAGATGAGGAAGGGCACAATGATGAGGCCAACAACACGGGTGACGACGTGGGCGCCGAGAGTGGTAACAGGCATCTTGGTGTTGCCGAACTTGTTCCAGAGATCTTCGGCAGTGTAGATGCCAACGAGAGCAGTGACGAAAAGACCGACCAGCTTAACACTGCACACACAGCCAATGCTGACACCAGTCAGGAAGAGCCAGAGGAACCACTCCGGTTCAAAGCTGTTGTGGCGTTGGTTGTGGAACTTGGCCCAGCAAAAGACGGTGGCAACAGTTCCGCAGAGCAGCATGGAATCGAGAAGGATGAATCGGCTAATGGTGGTGTACGAGTTCTCGCAGAGGACCATGAGAGTGACGAACCAGACGGCAGGGCGGCGAAGGTTGAGCTCTTTGGCAGTGTAGTAGGCCATAGGGATGCAGACAATGCCGAAGAAGGCATTGAAGGCACGCATGAAGGTGTAGTTGACCTCCTCAGGGTACTTGTCGCCAGACTTGAATTCGAAGGAGCCGTTGTAACCTGCCATGACGCCGGAGAGGCCAACAAGCATCTTGCCGAGCGGGGGGTGGACATCGAAGTAGTACTCGTGCTTGATGTAGTAGGAGCCGAATTTGCCAAAGCTGCGGGTGTTAGTCAAGGTGGCGTGCCTTTTCGAATGGAGCAGCTTACTGAGCTTCATCCCAAGTAACAATATCGCTGATGCCAATCTTCCAGAGACGGGTGAAGAAGGCCAGGGCCGTGAAAATCAGCGGGGCAAAGATGGGCTCCCACTGGTTGAAGATGTCCAGGGCGGTAGGGGCCTGGATGGTTGTTAGGCATAGCAATTGAAGGGTGCGATCAAGGCTAACCAACCTTCTTGACGAGCTTCTTGTCATCGACGGGCTGCGGCACAGCAAGGGCGGGCTGCAAGGGTCCGGCAGCGCGCTTGCGAAGGCCTTCTCCGGCATCAATGCCGGAGGCGGCGGCGCGATCGGCAGCCATTGTGTGTGTTTCTCGTAGCCTGGATCAAGGCTTTGTATTAAAAGAGTCGATACGTATCGAAGGTAGAAAAGGAGAACCACACGACGACGTGTGGGCTCGGCGTAAGAAAAGGAGGAGAGGCGCAGCTGGACCAGGCAGAAGACCTCGCGATAGGTGTAACGAAGGGACGAGCTGTCAGGACTCAAAGGAGCAAAAGGACTAAAAATGGGAAGAAAGAAGAAAGAAGAAGTAAGCCCCCAGCATCAGACAGCGACCATAGCAGTCGCGATGAAAGAAGACGATGAGGAGGAAATAGAGGGGAGGATGGAGAGGGCGACGAGAAGAAGCAAGGCTGGCATGGAGATGGGAATCGAAAGGGGATTGTCAAGGTGTTGTGCGGGTACAAACTATTGCCAGCTACCCCCTAGCATTGCAGGAGACGAGGAGCGCTGAGCCTTGGAATTGGCTGCTTTTCGCCCGAGCACTGTCTAGCTGGAAGCCATTTTGGCCAGATTGCAGAGAACTGGCCGCTATAATTAGTGCTTTTAGTGGGACGCGACGCGCTGGCCGGTGCTCCGTCAATTCGTACAGCCCGCACAGATGCGGTTCGCAAACCTACGAATACAGGTCATGTTCAGCTTTTCTGAAAATGGGATGGATAATCTCAACTCTCCCCCCTGCCACTGATTTGCCATCAAGTTAATTCAATGCCGCCCAGTCCGCCCCAGCTGCGCAAAACGCCGCCGCTTCAGACGACTGTGCGCTACGGAGCAATACGTGGCACCCAAACAATGTGCTGTAACAAACCCTGCGCTTCACATCCAGGGACCACCAAACCATTCACCAGCCACAGTTAGTCGACTCGCCGCCACTTGTCGCCACACTTCACCATCCCCTCCAGCACCTTTGCCTCTTCTTTATTCCGCCTCCTTCGGACTGTCCGTCACATGCCAAGGTGCTCTGCGTTTCTAGGTAGTTACAGTCCGCCTTACCTCAGCGAACATCAAACCCTGGACATTCTTAACCTACTTGTGGCATGACATTTCTCGCTCGCTTTCTCAACACCACATGTGATAACATGTAGCATATCAAACCATTTATACTCAGCCCATCTCCGAGGACAACGTATATATAGAGCCCGCCCATTACGTGGCAACCCATCTATGCGCCCTCCCCCATCCACCACCATCTGCAACAGCAGCTGCGAACGCACCAACCAATGTCATGTCGTCCCTCGTCTCTGATTTCATCATCAACCCTGTTCTGCGCCAAGCCCGCCGATTCTCTGAAATCTCCCGTTCGACATTTGCCGGCGAGGAAAACGCCGCCGCCACCGCGCCGCCCGAGGCCATAAGCGACGCCTCCGAACCAGAGCACGACGCCCACGACAATGTCGCCGTCATACCCTCTAGTCCCATCGCCGAGCCCTCGAGTCCCGTAACCCGGCCGCTCTCCGAATCTGCGGCGACGCCAGTCACACCTCGCTCTTCGACGAGCTCCCCGCCGCGCGACCACCTCGGCTTCCCGGCATCACCTCGTAAGGCTGGCGGGCCTATCCCCGAGGACGATGGCATGAGCGCGCTACGGGCGCGGATACACCAGATCAATGTGCTAGAAATTGGGCAAGCCGAGAAGGCCAAATTGATACACGAAATATTGTTGGAAGGTTACCGCGCCTCGCGGCCGCACCTGGCTCCCATAAGCCCCGGTCGAGAACCAACAGCAGCCGAGATATCACGCGAGTACCGCGTACCGGTGCCCATGACGCTTGAATCACTGAAATTCTGGCAGAACCAAGTCGGCGAGACTGCTGCCGCAGAAAAGTTCCTGCTCACCGATGCCGACCTGGCCCCGACCTACGCCCCCATCCGGCTGCCTAAGAACGCCGATGGCACCAGAGACCCCATCACGCCGCCAGATATGCAACCACCCCTGGGATGTGCTCATTACGAACGTAACGTCAAGCTCCAGTGTTCTACCTGCAACAAGTGGTACACCTGCCGCTTCTGTCACGATTCGCAAGAAGACCACAATCTCGTTCGCCACGAGACGAAACACATGCTGTGTATGCTCTGCGGTACACCACAAAAGGCGTCTGAAGCCTGCGTCAACTGCGGTGAAACCACGGCACATTATTACTGCAATATTTGCAAACTCTGGGAAAACCGCAAGAGCAAGCCCATCTATCACTGTGACGATTGTGGCATCTGCCGCCGCGGCCACGGCCTTGGCAAGGACTTTTTCCACTGCAAGACGTGCCGTGCTTGTATTACCACTTCGATTGAAAGCTCTCACAAATGCATCGAGCGCTCCACCGACTGCGACTGCCCCATCTGCGGCGAGTACATGTTCACTTCACCAAAGCCTGTTGTCTTCATGCCATGTGGCCACAGCATTCATAAGAAGTGCTACGACCAGCACATGAAGGTGTCATATAAGTGCCCCATCTGCAACAAGAGTCTTGCCAATATGGAAACGCAGTTCCGCAACCTGGACCTCTTGATTCAGGCACAGCCTATGCCTGCTGAATTCCGAGACACCAAGGCTGTCGTGCTGTGCAACGATTGCTCTGGGAGGTGTACGGTGCCCTATCACTGGCTTGGACTCAAGTGTCTCATCTGTCTTTCGTATAATACCGTGGAACTGCAGATCCTCGGCCGCAACAGTGAGATCCTACAGGCGGCTAATGAACGACAAGAGGATCCTCCGGTGGCTTCCGAAGCAATGACGGCTGCACAGCCAGTGAGCATCCCTACGGAACGTCCGGCGGGCGCTATTAACCGCCGCCGACACTCTTCTAGCCTGCAAGTCGACTCGCAGCATCCCGTGCCAGATCGGACTGCCAGGTCACTCTCACCACAACCCGTTTTCCCCGAGCACCATATCCTGCCGACCATTATGGCTGCGGAGGAGGACTCAGATAACGACATTCTCGGCATTTGGGGTCGCTCGGGAGGAGAGTCCAGCAGCGATGAAGAGGAGGTGGAAGAGTACGATAGCGACAGCGATGGTCTTCCAGAAATGGACGACGAGGACGACGAGGAAGAAGACGACCCAAACGAGATTGTCCTGATCGGTCATCGATGAAACAGGAACTTTTTTTTTTAACCCAGCTCTTATGATTATAATTTTTGCATACATTCACGGCATTACAAAGATATAGCGGCGGACAACGGGAGAGGTGCCTCGGGGACTGCATCTATCGGCGTTTACTTTTGTTTTGGAGTTTGGGGCTTGCATGGTTTCGGGAAAGCGATGTTGGAGTTCGAGTATATTACAAAATGCATACAAACATTGTCCTTCACGGCGCGGCAGTACAAAGGATGAAGTTAAATGTATTGTGGTATTGTGTTTATGCGTAGCGCTCTAATCACCAAGCGGACAGGGTGGTATTGAGAAGACAAGACGTCCATACAAAGCCACTTTCTTGGGAAGGGGGAAGAAATTCAGTATGAATATTATACAGTCATTATTCGTATGTTTCGTGTGTGGAGAGCGGCATGGGCCGTTCGCCTCCTCGTGTCATTGACGCTCCATGTCCTGCTCAACGAGCTGTGCCTCCTGGCGGAGTTCCCTGATGACTTGCTGCAGCGTAGTCTGTTAGCAATTCACCCCCCAACAAGAACCTCCTCGAGGTAAATGACGTACCGCCAGTGCTTCCGGGTTCACGCCCTGCTCGATCAGCGCGACGCAAATGGACACCGTTTTGCGATCGAGGTGGCAGTTCTGGGTGCGCGTCGTCAGTGGGTGATGAAGATTGGAGGGTTATGGACCAGCGGAGGGAGGCAGGGACGTACGAGAATGGTAGAAATCTCGTGTAGAATGTCGACGGCCTGCTGCGCGGCGGCGCGCTTGTCAATCTCGGGCATGGCTGTGTTGGGATGCTCTTGTTTGATGCTGAACGGGGTTGATGGTTTGGCGCGAGACGCGACTTGTGCAAGTGCAACACCCCGCCAGGGTCGGCCCGGTTTAAATGGCAGAGGCGATTGTAGAAGATGTTGAGACCAATAAATCAGGACGGTTTTGTTTGATTAATTTCGCTCTGTTTATTTGATATCGACCAAGGTACTCATTTTAATTGGACTCGAGTATATTGCCGTTCAACAAGGTTTATTTTATCTCCCGCTTGAGAGCTGGCAGTTCCACCTTGCACCTCGACTTTAGAAGTTGTTAATCACCCAGGTGTGCCCAGACATTGCCACCCCAGGCAATACGATTCAGTTTGAGTTCAAATATGCAAGTCGAAAAATCGCTTGGAATTATTCGCTGTCAAAAGTGTAACCGAGACTCAGCAATCAACGCGCCCCAACACCATCAAATGCCCCATGACCACCTCCCAAGGTCAAGATACGCCCAAATACACACAGGATATATACAAAACCATCCACCCTCCCCCCAGCCATCACGATCGCATAGCCTCCACAAAGAGCTCCCTCATGCCCTTGAGCAGCACCACGAGCTCCCTGGACTCGTTGACCCTCTCCAGGACCCTCTCGACCGCCTCGCGCTCCAGCTTCGGCCGGCAGTGCCGGACGTCGTAGTCGCGCGCGCTCGTGATCAGCTCGAACCAGGCCTCGCGCTCCCAGTTGCGCTCGTCGATGTGCGTGTAGACGAAGCGCAGGCGGTCGTCGCGGCCCGCGCCGTCGATGCGTAGGCATAGGTTGGTGATCCAGAAGTCGAGCTCCGGCACGTTGAACCGCGACTGCGCCTCCTGCCGCCGCGCGTGCGCCCGCTGCGCCGCCAGCCGCGCGTCGATGTCCCGCTGCGTCTGCGCGATCTGCGCCTGCAGGCCGTCGCGCGTCGCGAGGTGCGCGTCGCGCTCGGCGGAGAGGGCGGCGATGGCGGCCTCCATCTCCTGCTTCTCCGATTCCTCCTTCTCGACGCTCTGCTGGTACGTGGTCGTCTTGACCTGTGCGATTTCAATGTCCTTCTTCTTCATGCGTTGGTCCTCTGGCGGGCAAAAAGTAGGTTAGCTGACTGAGTTGCGAGCTACGAGACCAGGAGGAAAAAGAAAAAGGAAGAGTCTGTCCATACCTTGTAGCTCAGCGACGTCCATGCGAAATTGATTGCGCTCTTCCAATACTCGCTTGCGGCCTCGCTCGATGTATGCGTCGAATTTGTTGGTAAATTTGGCCATGCGATCGCGTAGCTCGTCGAAGCCAAAGTTGATGTTTGGTAGCTGGTCTACCATGGATGGCCCGACTGGCGCCAATGTTTGTCGGCTTACGCTGCCAGAAAATGTCAATGTGTGCTCGTGCGCCGTCGCCATTTTGTGATTTCGATTTCTCGTCAGCGTTTAGTGTTGTTGAACCTTGAAGAACAAAAAAAGACCCAGACACAGATTGATACCTGACGCGATAGCGTTAACTTGGTGGAGGTGTTTACTTAGAGTGACCGCGTTGCTCGGCCGACGCCTCCAGCGACTGCCGCACGTGATTCAAAACCGATGTTCACTTTAACCTTTTTTTCTTCTCAGTTATGAACATTAACTACATGAATGGTTTACTGCAGCTCAGGATTTTGCATTCGTATTTTCGAATAACACCTCTTAATTACTTCATCCATTGCTTTTCTTTGCTTTTTTTTCGCTCAGGATGCATGCAACGACAACAAAGCCAATCACATCGGACAGAAAATATTTACTAGTCCCAAATGGCTGAAGCATACAACTTCGCAGGCCATGCATATGGCGATGCCGGTATACTATCATATCGACTGGCAGACCATCATCTGGGAGACCAAATAGGCAGTCTTATTTCAACTCGGCACATCGACAGAGGTCAGCCACACAGTTCTTCCCTCACGTCTATCTTCTATCTAACCTTTCTCACAGAGCCTCGATTCTCCATTGTTGGCGCAACCACTGAGCTCTACCCGCCATCCAAGCCGGCGCAGCCCAACGTGGGCTCTGAGGTATGGCGCGCTCGTCGCGAGCAGCGGCGATGGCTCATCAAGGCTCATCCCGAAGCGGTCATGGGCAACTTCGCATTTCAGGAGCCGCTTCGTCAGGACATGGCCAAGTTCAAGGCCACTGACGCGCTTAATAATGACGGCCTGTTGCTCGCAGTCGGATCAATGCCAACGGTGTCTAGCCGTCACAGCGAAAATAAGCCCGTTCCATTTCTGGCTTCTGCGACAGGCGTATCAGGCGAAATTCTGCGCTTAGCAGTCGCCGAAAAGACCGAGTGGGAATGGGAGGACAACGCAGATGCTTCTTTGCAGGTCTCTGTAATTGATCCTCTACAGAGCGAAAGGGAAGTTACCTGGGCTTCTGATGGCCTCCCTATCACTCAGATTAAATATGCGCAAGGCCGTTCGAAGCGAGGCCATGTTCGATGGCTACTCGTCCAGAAGGGCACCTCAACGACGATATTGCAGCCTGAATACCACACAGTCCCAACCCCTAATGCCCATCACAGCTCTTTCACAGGCAATTTCCAAGTCCAGGTCAAGCCAAATCCAATTTTGAAGCTACGCCATACCGACACAGGCGGTAATGCCCATTCGGATGTAGTGTTTTGCTCTACAGGCTTTAGAAAAGAACCCATTCTCGCTTTGATTGACGAGTGCGGCTTCTGGAGCATATGGGATCTAAAGGGTACACCACGAATTGGCTGCAATAGTGTCAGAGTGGCGATGCAAGCGCGTGGGCATATCATTACTGGCCCGCTCGCAGACTTCCCGTTGCAGCACAAACATCGAGCTGAAAAACATGGTCTTGTCATTGTCTCCGCACCGAGGGATGCTAAGCTAGATCCGTTCGAAGCAGACACACGCACCCGTAGCTCGATCTTATCGACGCCAATTCTTCTCATGTGGAAAGCTACTCTGCTGCAGGCCGTAGCCATGCGTTCGGATAGCATGGTCCCGATTTCGAACAAGTTCTGGGCTCCAGAAGGCAAGAATAATCATATTCTGGCTGTTCACAACTGCCCTGCTACAGAGAGTCGCATCTTCATATTGACAGAGAAGACCCTCGTCTGGGCCGATATAGTCCAGGACCAGGGCCAACCCATAATTCTGATCACCGTACCTCACATAGGAGAGGGGTCCGCGACTGCCAAGATGACGACATGCTCGTTGGAAGATGGCACAGCAATGGTTTTTATCGTTTCGATAAAGACAAACCAACTCTTCGTGTATTGGTTCAAGACTGAAGATGCGGGCCCTGTGCGCTGGCATCGACACGTTACTTCTCTCCCAGGCGGCATCGCTCCTTCTCGTCCCTCGAATATCTCTCACATGACTGTCACCCCGCTACCTCTCACGGTCTCTGACGACGAAAACCCATCTAGCTTGGGGACCAAGTACATGCAGGCAGGAGTGGAATTCTTCCAGGTCAATGCTCTGTTTGATAATTTGAGTCTCCAATCCGGCATCTACACTACGACGCACGCTCCACATCAGGATATTCTGCTGCCCAAGAATCGACTAGCTTGGTCGATGACTGAACAGGAACAGCAGCGAAAGAAGCAGCGAGATAATGTCTTGCAGCGCGTCGAAAGCACGTTTGTGCTTCCCGATAGCATGACGGAAAGGGATTTAACCTCGGCACTTCAGCATGGTGACGCTGACGAAAATGGATTAATTGGCGAGAAAGCACCGGAGGCCAAACTTCCGCAGCCAGTCCGGCTGAACATGGAGAGGCTTTGTTGGGCCATCAGTAGAAGCTTGACAGACGCTCAGCGGGCAGGGCCTAGAGGCCTTCCCAAAGATTTGTTCGAGGCGATGCAGCACATTTTCAATGTGGCCGAGCCAAGAAGCAGGACTCCCTTAACTACTTGGTACGAAACACTCCAGTATCACTCCAAACATCAACTAACAAGATATAGGGTTCAGCTTGCAGAGGCACTAGAGGATGGGACGGGACTCGACGACGTCAACAATGATATGGAAACAGAAATAGAAAGGCTGTTTGACGCTTGCGATGAAGTGAAAATCGTCCCACAACTTCGACGCTCCAACGACGAAGAACCAGCAGATTCATTGATCGGCTTTCGGTACTTATTTCAGGCTTATTGTGGCTTCTGGCTCGACGTCTCAGAATCACGCATCACAGATGATGTCCAGGGGCAACGAAAAGTGTGGATAGCAGAAGTGGCACGAAACATGCTCTTGTCCAGCTACGGCGTTCTAGTTCAGGATGTTCCACTGTTTGGTCCGCAGAGACTTCAGGCAGAACATGGGCGAAGCAAACAAACACCCAGCTCAACTATAATCACGTCCTCACCACCGGTGCAGTGGTCGAGCAGAGAACCACCCAGCTCAGCTTCATTCCCGTCCTCACTACCTAGCTCCCAGGTCACTCAAAGCGCCTCAACCGACGGAAGTGACGACGCCTGGGCGAGACTGTGCCTTTTGGCGCCCTCGCTGTCGACCACGCAGCCAGCGTCATCGAGACCACACAACCTGCTCTCATACTGGCCTTCCGAGCGTGGTCACGACCCGGAGGAATATGTGTCGACGGTAGCCGTCGCCTCGGATGAAAAGTTCAGAGGGGCGCGAGAGAGGCGCGAGAAGCGGGCCAAACGAAGGTCGCGTTTGGATGAATTCAGGCGACAGTCAATGATGGGGCAGAGTCCCGGGCAGGGTCGCAGGGAGGAGATTCCGGGCTCTTCGCCAGGGCCTGCTGTACGCATGTCGATCCTTTCGAGCCAGGTCCTACCCAACTCGTCACAGACGCAAGCACCCTCGTTGCCAGTGACCATGAGCCAGCCCGTTTCGGGGACCCATGGCGCTCGAAAGAAGAAGGCCAAGACAAAAAAGAAGGCAGGTTTCAGATAGATGCTCTAAAACTCCATATATATGTACCATACTGCTAAATATTACCCAAGCCCTGCTGAATTACTTGTTTGCGTGGTCCGTCGTGTGAGGATTGCCCTGTTTGTCAAAGGTTAGCTGCAGTGGGGCAGGCACTTGGTAACCGCTCCATCCATCTCGTGGGAAGTTGGCAACCTTGATCGTACATGTATGTCATCAGTTGAAAAGAAAATACCGATTCAACCTAATAAGTAGAAAGCAGGCGAACAATACGCATTTGAGAAACAGGTGAACCCAGACACAAGCCTGCGCCGACCATGTCGCACTCGCACTCACACTCACATTGCCACGACGAGTCCGGCGGCCACGACCATGACCACTCAGACGACATCACGCCGGCGCTACAGTCATCGCTGTACGAGCAAATTAACTTTGACGAGATCGTAACACTCAACGAATCGCGGCGCGACGCCGGCAAGGCCATCGTCAAGAAGACGTGGGCGGAGCGGCTAGACCTGAACCCAGAGCTGGAGAGCGATGCCGATGAGCAACTTCTGATGACCGTCCCGTAAGGCCTGTCCCGCGGTCATTGCTTTTCCACCTTACTACATGGAACTCATCACTTGAGAAGCATGATTTTTTTGCCTCCGTTGCTAACGCTTGTTCCTCCTCCTCCCAGGTTCACGGCCCAGGTCAAGCTGCACGCCATCCTCATCCGCACCTCGCCCGCCGCGTGCGCGCCCCGGACGCTCAAGCTCTTCGTCAACCAGGAGCACCTCGACTTCCAGGCGGCCGAGGAGACCAAGCCGACGCAGGTGCTGGAGCTGGCGCAGACGTCCGAGGTGCAGGAGATCCCGGTGCGGCGGGCGCTGTTCGGCAAGGTGCAGCGGCTGGGGCTCTTCTTCGAGGACAACTTTGGCGACGGCGAGGAGGAGCAGACGCGGGTCAGCTACGTGGGGTTCAAGGGCGAGTGGACGCGGCTGGGCAAGGCGCCGGCGAACATCATCTACGAGGCGGCGGCGCAGCCGGGGGACCACAAGGTCAAGGGCACGAACGTGAACGCGATGGGGAGCGGCATCGGTGGACGGGGACAGGGGATGTAGGGCGAGCGGTGCGACATTGGCATGAGATATGAACGGCAGAACCAAAGGAACAAAATTACTAAGATTTCACGGCTTAATTCTTGAGAAGAAGATTCGGCTGGTGTTCCGAGCTTGACACTTCAGACTAGCGAATCCCGATCACCAAAAGTTGCAGCCGCCCTCTCCCAAGGCCACGGGAACCACCGTTTCGCTCTGTATGCTGAATCGAATTGTAGATAAATAAAGTTCGATTTTTTTGACATCAAAGAGGCGACTATCTCTCTTTGTCGAATTTTTCCTCAACAAAAATGCCCTACAAGTGATAGGCGGCAGATCCCAGAGGTCCAAGTAAGTTACAGCGCTGCAGTGGGTCTGCAAGCCAGGGGTGCACGTGACAAAAAATTGATGGATTCCTTAAGCCAATCTTTCAACACCTCCAAAGAAAGGCTGCATTCAACCACCGTCCATTGACTACCTGCCACAACCTCACAGACGATGCAGCTTCGTCTACCGATACGGGTGGCCCTCCCGCGGGTCACCCCCACCCGACCAGACACCGGCCGCCGTCTCCTCCTCCCCCTGATCCCAACCCGCGGCATCAAGTACGGGTGGTCGACCGCGCCGCCGCGCTCCAAACCCCGACGCTTCAACCAGCCCAACTCGGGCCTCCCCGCGCCGACCACCGGTCCCGCCGCGGCTCTCAAGCGGCGCGAGAACACGACGCCACACCGCGCGGGCGTGCTGGCGATCAAGAAGGGCATGACCAGCATGTTCGTCGGCAAGGTGCGCACGCCGTGCACGGTGCTGCAGCTGGACCAGGTGCAGGTGGTGGCCAACAAGACGCGGGCGCGGCACGGCTACTGGGCGGTGCAGGTCGGGCAGGGCTCGGCGAACCCGCGCAGCGTCGCGGCGCCGCAGCTCGGCTACTACGAGGCCAAGGGCGTGGCGCCCAAGGCGGACCTGCACGAGTTCAAGGTGCGCGGCGCCGAGGGCCTGCTGCCCGTGGGCGCGCCGCTGCTGCCGGACTGGTTCCGCGTTGGGCAGCACGTGGACGCGCGGGCGCGGTCGCGCGGCATGGGCTTCGCGGGCGGCATGAAGCGCCACGGGTTCGCGGGCCAGGAGGCGTCGCACGGCAACTCGCTCAACCACCGCACGATCGGCACGACGGGCCCCTCGCAGGGCAGCGGCAGCAGGGTGCTGCCGGGCAAGAAGATGCCGGGCCGCATGGGCTTCCAGCACGTCACGGTGCAGAACCTCAAGGTGCTCAAGGTCGACAACGAGCTCGGCGTGGTGCTGGTCAGCGGGCCGGTGCCGGGGCCCAAGGGCCGCGTCATACAGCTGCAGGACGCGAAGAAGCGCAAGGCCCCGGGGAAGCCGTTCCGGAAGAGCACGCTCAAGCTCCTGGAGAAGCGGCACCCGGACGCCGAGGCCAAGCTGCAGCAGGCACGGGAGACGCATTTGGAGCGCAAGGAGGAGCGCCAAGCACACAATGCCCAGTTCTAAAGAGAGGGTATGGGAAGGAAAATTGGGGTTGGCAGGGAAGAATGAGGGTGCGGGCTAGCATGTTTGTAAAACAAAGCTCCTCATTTTGTGAAGCGGATATCTTGTTGCCGGTTTTTCACTTGTATTTATAGATGTACACATGAATTGATATTATTGTACAGTTACGTCCACCGCGGTGGACTTTCCGACGCTAAGCAGAGATTGTGTTTGTGTATGAATGCACTCTCCCCTTCCCCTTTACTTGTTCAGCGCGCCCTGCTGCCTGAACCCTCTCTGGACCGGCTCCTCCACCAACGGTTCCGCCGCCGCCGCCGCCGCCGCCGCCGCCTCCATGCCTTCATCCGCCAGCAGCGTCCCGAACGGGTCGCCGTCCTCCAGCAAATCAATCCACGTGCCGTCCTCCGTCCGCAGACTCCACTCGGACGTCTCGAACAGCGCGCGGCTTCCCGGCCTGCGACTCGCGAAGCGCATCACCGCCGTGCCGCGCGACCCGCGCACCGAGAAGCGCACGTCGATGCGGCCCTGCACCTGGTTGATCTCCCCCGAGATCCAGGGGATCGAGTGCTTGAAGTAGACCTCGTCGCCGAGGGCCGCGCGGGCGCGAGGCGAGGTGCGCAGCGCGTAGAGGGTCGAGGAGATGACGGGTGAGGACGACTTTTGGTAGTTGAAGATGGCGAGCGAGGAGGCGGCGACGAGAACGGCGAAGAGCGGGAGGGTGCGGCCCCAGCGGAAGCCGACCTGCGAGACGTCTGAGGCGGTGGGTTAGCTGGGAAGAGGGGGTGAGGGGGAAGGGCGAGGGGAAGGGGGGGAGGGCATACCGGGGAGTTGGCGGTCGGCGCGGCGGGACATGAGAGGGCCGTCGCCGGCTTTGGGCGCGGGCGTGTTCCAGCGCTTCTGCTGCTGGGCGTGGCGGCTGCGCAGGCACGAGTGGCGGCCGGCGGTGGTGGCGGCCTGCTCGGCGCGGAGCAGGTTGCCGGCGGTCCGTTGCCGCAGCATTGAGGCGGCGGTTCGTGGGTTCATGATGTGCGGCGGCGGCGGTGGTGGTGGTGGTTGTGGTGATGAATGGATGGCGTGAGTAAGAGTGACGCTTGGCGTTGTCGAATTTCGAAGGGGGCAGACCCACCGCCATCGCCAGCGAAAAAAACAGCCGCGACTCAGGTGAATCGGCGGCTGTTTGGCGCCGACAATCTTCCTTCCAACTTACGATGGAGACAGCTCCTTGGCCGGAGGGAGAAATACAAGAGGGTGTGGTGTTTTTGGTTTTGATTTATGAGCACGTAATTTCGGTTATTCTTGCCCATTACCAACATGACCAGCAAGGTTACAGTGGACTCCCTGTGTTGGGGCTAGCGAGTTCAACTTGGACAATCAAATATAGAAAAAAAAAGAGGTATATAAAATTCTTTCATAAATAAATTAAAGAGTTCGATATCATGTAACTAGTCTTAGCTGCCGTAATTCAACGTACAATGGGATACCAAACTCCACCATATCGTCTTTGGTTGAAGCGAAGCTGTGTAAACGCCGAAAGTGGGTGGTTGAGGGCGTCGAGTTTTAACGAAAACGCATAATATTTGTTCTAAATGCTATGTTTGAAAATCATCGCTATGCAGTAGTATAAACCTCCCAAAGCCACAACTCTATCTCACCCTCCGCACTTCACCACTATGAGGTAATGCAGGAAGATGAAGAAGCAGTACAACGTCCGCATAAAGCAGCCGTGAAAAGCTACATGCGTAGCTCTTTCACCATGTCACAAGAACCGCTCGGCCTGGCCAATTCTCGCTCGTATCAGTCACGCTGCGCAGCTGCATCTTCCCCAGCCCGTTCTCCAGCACCTCAAGCCCACCATCAATCGCATCCGGGACCGTCGCGAGAGCCTCGGCAAAGGCAGCCATGATGACGCTGGACCAGACGCCTTCCGCACGAGGCCATCTTCGTAGGATCGAAATCGCGCGGCGGCGCAAGCCGTAGTCGACGCAGTCAATCGCGACGATGAAGAGAGGCTCGAGCACGACCGGTCCGAAACAATACGGGAGCACCTTGGTGATGCGTGGCTGTTCGGGCAGAGGCGGCGAGGTTGACGTCGGCATGGTCGACCACTCAGACATGGGATCGGGCGAGGTTGGTGAGGAAGCCCCTGGACTTCCGCTAGCGATATGAGGATCGAACGCCGCCGTGGGAGTCAAAGCCATTAGGATTCTCTCCGCAGTGTCAACCATGCGGTGATGCAGCGGTAGCAACGCCCTGTAGTCGTCTGATAGATACAGAGCGTGCTCAACTGTGGCCTTGAGCAAGCCCAAGATCATTGATTCCAGCCCATCTTCCGCCATGGGCGGCTGGGAGTCGCAAAAGTGGTCATACTTGGCCCTCCACGCGGTAAATGCGTAGCGAAAGGTGAGACAGGCGTCGGGAGCGGGGAGCATGAAATCGGTGTATGGTCTGAGCTGGCGCTCCTTGGCAACCAGGGTCAACCCGGCAAGCATAGGCTGCAGCTCTCGGTACGCCTCCGTTTGCGACACGAACGGGGTCGCGGACGGGAGCCTCGTGAACTGGTCAAATTCGGACAGCAGCCAAGCGGGCCGCTCGAGGCGATCAGCAACCTCTTGGCTTTGCAGGCGATACATGAGCGCCGTCAGCGGCGCGACCGAGAGCATGGCGCCCTGCGAGGACGTCTTCCAGTCGTCCTGCCGCTGCCAAAACCGCCAGGCGTTGAAGAGACTGAGGCTGTGCCGCGCAAACATGGCCGCATCGCGCTGGTTGCCCTGCATGCTGGCAAGGCCGAGGAGGAGGACGTTCGTCATGAGGAGGACCTGCTGGTTCCCAAAGGTCGGCGCATCGCCGCTCGGGTTGCTCAACGGGATGAGCTCGCGGATGGCGGCATGGTAATGGCGCATGACAAACGCCGTGAGGCCGTCGACCCCGACCGGCGTCGTCGTGTCGGAGAACGCAGACACGGCAGCGGTGGCGGCGGCGGCGGTGTCGTTGAAGGCGTGGTGGCTGGACGACGTGGCCAGGGCGGCGAGAGCGACGGCGGCGTGCCAGAGCGGGCGGTGGGCCTGGGCGGCCTGCGGGACGTCGACAAGCCAGAAGGGCATGTCGAGGACGCAGCCGACCTGCAGGACGGTCTGCGTGCGGAACAGGTAAAACATTTGCTGCTCGAGGGCGCTGGCGTCGTGGTGGATGGGGCCGAGGCCGGGTCCGGGCGGCTGCTGCGGGGGAGCGACGCAAACACTTGAGGACGACGCGGGCGAGGAGCAGCACGAGTTGGCGGTGGAGGCGTACTGAGGCGGCGGCTGGTCCATGTAGCCGCCGCATTGGCGCTTGGAGAAGACGCATCGACGGCAGACGGGCTTTCCTTCGTCACACTTGATCCGACGGGCACTGTGTGTCGAGGGAAGAACGACGGCGTTAGTAAAACATTTGCGGACGTTATGAATGAACCGCGTGGGAACATACCGGCATGTAGCGCAGCCCGTCTTTACCTTTGTCGTCCATCGCTTCTTCCGATCAGGGCGCTCTTCGGCCTTGACCCTTCGTTTGCTTCGAGGTTCTTCGGGGAGGGGATCTGGACTGAAAGGATCTCGGGGTGAGTAGATGCTCATCATGATGGCTGCAGGAAGCACGTGTCAAGCGCCGGGGGGGCTCGAGGGAGCAAAAGCAGATGCCAGCCAACAACAGTTTGCTCTTGGCATGCGTTTGTAGGAGGGATGGTGCAGAAGAGACAGCTGAGAAGGGCGAGGCGTCTCAATTGGGGGCGGACAGGAAGATGGGATATAAAGGTAGTATAGGGTTGGGACGGGCGACGTACCGGTGGCGTCCTTATGTATGTCTAGGTCGGCTTGGAAGATATCTAGGACCCCCCCCCCTTTGGTGTCGGAGGGTGCCAGCGCCGTGGTGGATATGTGGGACACAGGGAAGGCAGAAGCCCGGCATGGATGGATTTAGTAGACGCACGTATGGTATTAATAGGTTAATTGGTACCTAATGGTTTAAAAAGTATTATGTAGAGGAGGGGCGCGGCATTTCTGCTTCATTGAAGCAAATAAGCTGTAATGGCGGCTTTACCTTTGTTAGCCGACGCTGTAATGCAGCCGATGAACTCGGCGGTTGCACCCGGGGTGCATCTTGGGAGGTTGAGTAACTTGCAGAGAGGTCACTAACTACAACATCATCCACGTAAACAATTTTAGTATGTTACATTTATGTGGTAAACTACCCATGCCGTTTGTTGCTGCATCTGTATTTACATGTTTACAATGTATATGATTGGTCACCACTATACGCATGCTCATACCTTGCTGCCTCAACGCATCTCGCACTTGGCAGCGTCCAGCCCTGCCAGCGTCTCTAGCTCATTAAAAATAACCCTCACCCCAACCCCCAAAACAACATATCCTGTTCCTCGTTCACAGCCCAACGACACGCCCTCTCCCGCGCCCCCCCTCCCCCGCCTTGGCTCGCGGTGGCCATCAATCAGCACATCCACGCGCCTTGGTCTCGCAACATGCCACTCCCCCTAGAATCGGCATCCATCCGGTCCGCCTTACAGAGAATCTCTAGTTTACAGATTCGCTGCCTCCTTTTTAAGGCCCTTTTTCACCTTTACTTCACCTGCTGGGGTGGGGGCATCGGTTGACATGAACGAGAGGACCCGCCGCAGCCGAGTATCGCGCTAAGCCTCTTCTGTCTCGGACATTGCAGAACAACTGCCGCCAGAGGCTGGATGGCGAATCGACACGACCTGGAAATCTCGCTCAATGTCAGAGCCGCTTTGTTGCTGCCTCGTTCCGCTATCCTAATTGAGCTATGAACCAAGGTCGATGCCGCTAATCATTCTTGGCCCTTGCACCCATAACAGCCCCATCCCTCCCTCTAGTCCGCCTTGTCAAGTCTCTCTCACCTGCTCACCCGACAGCTGGCTGGCTGCCCAGTCTCGTCCCCATGAATCCCACCTTTCTATCCTATTTTTTTTTATTCCTTCATTTTTCGATTTCAACGACTTTTCCATGCATCGCCCTAGGCCGAAATCGATGCATCGCCCCACATTGAACGAGTTTTAGCGCTGCATGGCCTTTTTTGCTGGGCCCTGCCAGGGTGCGCTTGCAGCCTGAGCCCTGTCCTGTCTATTCACTGACTTGGACCCTTCAATGCTGAGTATATCCATGGACAATTTTCTTATTTCCGCGTGGACTGTAGACGAATTACCAGTAATTATTAGTTGATCATCCAGTACCGGGCACTAATCGGCCCCCTTATCCCCATCCTTTGGCACAGCTGACGCAATGCTCGTATGGCGTCGACCTAGCTGGCTCGACATCGGCCAGAGCCCGTAAGCTACACATACATACATTACATGATGATGTTGCCGGCAAAGTACCAAAAGCTCCCATGTCGGTTCTTATTTCTTTCTAACCTTTTCTTCGGTTTACAATAAAAGTCATTTTGAATTTTTGGCATTTTTTCCATATTTCTCTGCACTGCTCGCCCTGGATATCGCACCCGGTCATGTCGCTTGGTTCATCGCCTCTCCTCACTAATCTTGAGCCGTATCGGGAAAGCGCCGCATTTCTCGCGCAAGATCGCAATGTGGAGGCCTTACAACACTCTTCCTTTGCCGACGACCTAGCTTCCTCACCAACGGTCATGCACAGGCCCTGATCGGCCAGCCCAAGGGGATGAATTCACGCAGCCTTCTTCAACGTATGCTTATACTGCCATGTGCGACGTCCGACAAGGCGAGAAACAATAATAATCACCATGTCACACCGCGCCAGCAAGCCACATCCACCATAATCAGGCTTTGATGCGATTGTGTGGGTAAGTCCCCTCGTCAGTGACCTTCATTTGTCCACCAGCTGAAGCCTGGTGAGGCTGACCTGGCACCAATCCTGCCGTCAAGTGGACAATGGGCTGCGTGGTGAAATAAAAAGTCCCTGGCAGGTGGCGTTGCCATTTGTCTTGGATCATCTCAACAAGTAGAAACCCCAGTTCAGCCGTCTTGGTGGTGGGCTATTCCTGGAACTTGCTGTCCTAGAGCACACCGCCACTGGCAGGGAACGATGTATTCCAATATCTGAGTACCGAGGCTAATGCTCATAAGAAAAATGCACGCATACGCCCATACAACAGACATGTACTCAGGGTGTCTTGAATGTTGTCTACATGATAACTTGGCTTGTGCCAAGTCCCGAATAGTCGCCCATCGGCTCTACTTGGGAAGACGCGTGATCTCAGAGCGATGCACACAATGAACTGATCAACGATCCATACCACCAAGATGGCAGGGTACTCACGTTCGAAATGTACAGGGGTCAGCCCACGGCTTCTGCAGACAGGCTCGCCTATTTCGTAGGGTATAGCGTCCTCGTCCCCATGCCACTGTGTTAACTTGTCGGCGCCATCTGCCAGCTAGGCAAGGCTGCTTCGGGTATCCAGATCTCCGTCGAATCTTGCTTCCTCTACAGGGCAGGATAAGTCCCGGTCAACAAACCTGCCTAATCTGGTCGCTCATTGTGAATGAAGCAGCTGCGTATTTAAAACAAGGATAGGCGCTTCTTTTCTCAGCTCCTCGTTTAAAAATCCGCCATTTCCAGCCGGCTTTCCATGCCACTCTGGCCCAGATTTTCGCGGGGGGGGAGGGGATTTGTCCTGGATTTCTAGAGTACAAAAACAGCTTTACAAGTGCTCGAAGCTGCCTTGATGTTGAAGATTGGCTTCTAGAAGCTTTAACAACAGGCACGCACCGAATCCCGAAATCCGGCGCAGGAACAGCACGTTTCTCCCCTGCAAGCTGCACGGGATTGACTGAATCCCTTCGTCTATCCAACCCACGCTAAGACGAAAACTGCATGGCACGAAATTTCAGATGCGCCACACCCACCACATCTCATCCAGCCACTCCCGATCTTTTAAACACACACCATTGTCGCCTTTGAGAGCTCGCGATGGCCGGCCAGCACGGCTCTCGTTGTCGAAGAGGCGGCCTCCGTAACTACACTTGGACTTCCCTTCTGTCTACATAGCTAGTGGGGTCGGCCGTCCGGCACTTGGTGAGGGGCCCAACTTGCATTGGTCAGCCTCGCCCGTGAGTAAGCTCCCAGTGCCAAGTTCTGCTCCTCCAATGGAAATCCGTTGAGCGGTGGACGGGTTCTAGGCAACTTTGCTGGATATTTGGCGAGAATGAGGAGACAATGACGCATACATTATCCTCAAAGCCAGGGAAACTAATCACTACAGGGCTCTTACAGTGGTATGTATGCAGCTACCAGCTACAAAAGACGTTGCCTGACGAGCAGGCGTACGCTGATGAGACCTACGTCTCCCACCACATTGCCACAGGAACTCTTTTTTTTTCTTTTTTTCATATTATCTATGTGATTTTATTACATTTATTCTATTACTGTGCTTTGATGAAGGCTTGTATGAAATTGCTCTATGTGCACAAAGCCGTTCGCTGTACGGCCACTTGTGGAATGGCCTCTGAAATCATGTGAACCAAACTCTCTCCGTCTATGATCAAGTAAATGGATATTGTAGATGTATCATGAAACAAAATGCAAAAAGACCAAAACATGCTGACCCCAGTACAAGTATGAAATGTATTTAATGCGTAAAGGAAAGATTATGGGCTGGCTTTATGTATGCAGCCGTCAGACTCAGCGATTCCGCTGGTTGAATCGCGATGTGAGCGGATGCCGCGCCTTCCTGGGCCCGCTCGTAGTTGTCGTTGTTGACGTCGTCATGGTCAATATAGACGCGCCGTCGTCCGGCAGCGGCGGCAGCGGCGGCGGCGACTGCGCCTGGTCGCTGTGGAACAGCCGGCTCCGACTACGACTGCTCCTGTGGCTTTTGTGACTCTTGTGGCTCTTGTGGCTCTTGACGCTGCCTACGACGCTCCTGCTCGGCGACACTGTCGGCGCCGACGACGAGCTTTCGTTCTTGTCCGAGGACACGACCGTCGTCGTCACCGTCTTGATGATGCTCGCCTCCGGCACCGACTCCGGCACCGGGCTGAGGTGGTAGGCCTCGTCGCCGGGTGCCTCGTGGCGGCCCTCGACGTCGGCGGCGTGCGATGACAGTGCGGCGCTGCTGCGGATAGACATGGTATCGAATTTTGACGTGGTCGGCGCATCGCCAAAGACGCTCTTGTCGCCGAATATACTTTTGGTGCTGCCATACTTGTCGCCATACCGATCGTGTCCCATCGGCAGCGGTGGCTGGAACGACGGCGCGTAATTCAAGGAGCCGCCGGTCTGGCCCGGAGCCACGCTCTCGCTGCTGACTACCCTGGCGATGAGGGATGTCATGACGAGTTCGATGTAGAGCTTGATTGTGTAACCTAGCGGTGCAAACTGCACGTATCTGTCAAGAGGGTATTAGCAAGTGTTTGGGACGGGTGTGAATCATATAAACAAGAATTGATGGCTTACACGTAGGGATCTGATAGGCTCAGCATGCCCAGCAAGGCGGCATCCATGGCTGTGGAGACGACAATGAGCACTGTGTTCATCTTGAACAGCGCCCAGTACTTGGGTAGACCGCCAGCAATGAGCCGAAACCTGACCAGATACAAGAAGAAGCCATTCAGGGCCAGGTCCACCACAAGGAAGAAGGTCTTTTCAAACTTTTCAAAAATGTCGTTGAGGCGCTTCCGCTCCGGCGACGCGCCCGGCATGTAGGCCGGGATCCAGATTATGTAGACGGTAATATTAACGGCGAGGATTATGCCGAAGAGGCCCCAACGCATCCAGGTGGCGCGTTGGCGGCTGACCATGATGAGCGACACGCGGTTGGCGATGATTTGCGAGAGCAGCTGCGTTTGCAGAGCCCAGAGGGTAACGGTGGCGAAGTAGAGGGCGAGCGAGCCGGGGACGCCACCGTCGAGGTGCAGGATTGTGACGACGGCGAAGACGAGGTTGACAAGGACCTCGCTCCATATCATGTAGAGGTAGCCGTTCTGGCGGCTCCAGGCGCGTCCGCGGCGGACGATGCGGCGGGTCTGTCTGCATATCTCGATGAGGGTGAAGGCGAAGACGCCGAGGAAGGCGCCAAAGTAGAGCGAGGGTAGGTCGAGCATGGTTTCTCTCTTTGCCTCTCTCCTTCTTGGGCAGGACTATCTTGGGTGGCTTATCTGTTGCATTCCATGTCTGAACGGGGTTCGGTCTGGTCTGTTGTTGTCGTGTTTTGCTGGTTAGGCCGTGAAAGTGAGTTGAGTAGGTGAGTGAGTAAGAGAGAGAGAGAGAGAGAGAGAGTCAATTGGGTGGATGAAAGAAAGAGAGTGAGAGAGAGAGAGAGAGGTAGAGCCGGGACGGGATCAAAAGGGTAGCTGAAGTGCGGGAGGTGTGGTTCCTAGCGAAGTTCGACAGCGGCAAAATGGAAGGAAAGCGAGACAGAAGGGAAGGAAAGAAAAGACAGAAAGAAAAGAAGAAAGCGACAGCGGCAATGACTTGACCACAAGAGGGCCAACAAAGGCGGGGGATATGCAGGGCAACGACGGGCAAGTAAGTAAATCAAGTCAAGTACGACATGCAGAAAAGACGGTTACACAAACGGCAGTGAATGAGTTGTTGAAGGATGGAGGAAGGATCAGAGGCACACCTCTGCATACGAGTTTGAGCTACCGAGTAAATTAATTATCGGGAGGGTGGGCAAAGCTCCCGAGCGCTTGGAGAGAAGAGGAGAGGAGAGAGGGAGAAGGAGAGATTCTGTGCGGGCAAGCCGAGGCTGCTGGTTTCTTGATTGGATCGCTGCTCATCACAATCACAGCACAGATCAACGCGGGCGAATCTACAGGCAGGGGGGGCCTGGTTCACGATTGTTATTAACTAACTTATTTATGGATATTGCAGAGGATTATTCGGCGGCCGGGGAGGAGAGTAATTATAGTTGGCTAGTTAGTGTGTCCGTATCCGTATGGACACCGCTGACATTGTACATAGACATGAACTGTTATGCTGCTGTTGCTGTTGCTTTTGGTTTGGATCCTGTATTTTTGTTTTTGTTTTTTTGCATTTATTCCTGTTTCTGCTCTAAGAATACGCCATGTCTTTCTATTTCCGTCCCCGCATTATGATTCTGCGCAAGCAAACGTTTTGGCGATTGTTTGAGTTGGCTGAGCGGAGGCCGCAGCCAGTTCCAATCCGGACTCTGCCCCCCCCCCCAAAGTTTGGGCCCTAATAACCATGCTAGCCGGGCAGAAAAGGAAGCGGCCGATAAATAGAAGCCGAGATGGCAGGGTCTCATGAACCCCCCTGGCTGCGTTTGTTTGCCATCACGGGGAGGAAAAGCCCACCACCACAACTTGTGGGGAGGGCCAGCTCACATGCCAGCCCATGCCAATGCGCCTTGGACCAAAAAAAAAGAATTCTTGGAAAGTTCAAAAATTGACAAGTAGATCTCAAGCAAGCTTTCGGGATGTTCGGTTCGGAAGAAATAAGGTGCAGCAGAGGGCCTGGTAGAGCAGAGTACATAACTAGAAGCGGGTCAAGAGGGGGATCATCGTTGGCCATTATTTAGCGATCAGACCGCCGACAAGCAAGGCAACCCACGTTGTCTTTCGTTTCAGCATTGGCGGCGGGTCTTTTTTGGCCAAATCTCATTTAAACAGAGTTTTGACCTTTTTTTTTTTTTTTCCCTCCCTTCTGGTCGTCTTCTCTTCTTTGTCTCGTCTCTTCCTGCCATGTGCAACTTCGGACTCAGCCGCCATCCCAACCGGTACTCTGAGCATTGGCTGATTTGTTTCAGGCACACACAGAAGAGAGACAGGAAGCGAGGTGGAAGCATGCAGGCGGGAATCAACAGCGCAGAATCGAGCCACGACGACCAAACTATGTGCCTACCTATTATGCACCAGTGACATCCGTACCTTCATGCAATGGATCGGGGGGGGGGGGGGACAGTTAACCAGCAGTTGCCAGCTGAATTAAAGTCTCCGAGTCATATGTAAGAGACGATCAGCTCCCTTTGATTCCGCAGAGCTTATATTCCGCGCTCTTTTTTTCCAACAATCACATTGTCTTGCTGTCGTCACAACATCCTGGCCATCCCATTGCTGTATCCACCAACTCATGTGACAATACATACTCCCCTTCAGTACGGTTATACTTGCCACTTACCACGGAGGTATCTACAATCTACACTCTGTTGATAATTGCCTTTTTTTTCTTGTTTATTCTCTTTTTTTTTTCTTTTTTCCTTTTCCTTCTTTTTTAAATCGTCCATCGTGCAACTTGAATTCTTCATCTTTCTTCAGCATCCCAGCCAACCTCGCGGTCAGACATCCCTCCACCCACATTCATCCCTGCTTGCCATGCGGCATTACCTTCGTCGTTTTTTTTTCTCCCCTTTCCTTTCCTTTTCTCGCTGAAAGTACAAGTACCAAAAATGAGCCATTGATGATTGTCGGCGTAACTTCCCCGCCCATCACTGTTGTTGGTTGCTCCGTTGTTGATCCGTCTGTCCTCTCTTTGTTCCCGTTGTTGTTACATTGGCCCCCAAAATGTCCGTGGCCAAGGAACCGCCTACTTATTAGCAGCAAATCTCGTCCAGTTTGTTGCCGTAGCGATCAACATGCACTCTTTTGTTGTGCGCGACCCCGAATTCCTAGGATAGGCGCCGGTGACATAATTGTGCAATCGACTCGCATCTACCTCCCTCTGTCCATACGACTCCCAAATTTAAAAAAACAGCCCACGCACGTATAAGAATGATCCGAACTCACAGTCTGATCGTCAGTATTTACCAGTAGAGCGTCGCAGGTTAACCGAGCAAGGCCTGTTCCTCAAGGTCCCTGCGTCACCGGTGCGTGCTTCTGCTGCGGGCAGCCGCCCATTTTCAGCATCCCTGCCCAGGCAATGGACCGTGGACTCTCTTCCCCCATTGTGGAAAAATTTTGGCTACGGGCGAAAGCTTTGTTCGAAAAACGCGTCGGGCTGCCGGAACAGCGCGCCTACTCCTGTCATGTGCGCAGTCGCCTCTCCGGGTACCTGCGTCGCGTTTCATCCAGGTTGGGGCAAACTAAACTTAAATAAACATGGTTTCCACGATCCTTAAAAACTATTAAACATGCGAGCACTGGACCAGTTCTATCTGCAAAGCTCGGCCACCTTGTTTACTTGCCGTTTATTGATTTCGCAAAACCCAAAACCCTACACCAAACTAAATGCCCGCCGCAGTGAAGGACTGCTCAAAGTCGGCGATGATATCATCAATGTGCTCGATACCGACCGAGATACGGATGAGATCCTGTCGCAAAATTAGTCGTGCGAATCGTCATTAACGGCCAGGAGCACTAACCTCGGTGACGCCAGAGTTGGCCTTTTCCTCGTCCGAGAGCTGTTCGTGAGTCGTGGACCACGGGCTGCCACACGTTAGCAAAGCTTCTGCCTTTTTTTCCCCTTTCAAGGTAACGTACTGAATGGCCAGCGTCTTCGCATCACCAACATTGGCCAGGTTGGAGATGAGCTTGAAGCTGTCCACCACCTTGGCGCCCTCCTCCACGCCTCCATTGACGCCGAAGCTCAGCACACCACCAAACCCCCTCTTCAGGTACTTCTTGGCCGTCTCGTGCGACGGGTGGCTCGGCAGGCCCGGGTACTTCACCCAACTGACCTTGGGGCTTTTCTCGAGATACTGCGCCAGCGCCAGCGCGTTCTGCGCGTGGCGCTCGGCGCGCAGCGACAGCGTCTCGGCGCCGAGCAGCAGCTGCTGGGCGGCAAAGGCGTTGAGGTAGGCGCCGAGGTCGCGCACGATCTCGACGCGCGCGCGGATGATGAAGGAGATGGCGCCAAAGGTCTCCCAGAACTTGAGCCCATGGTAGCCCTCGGAGGGCTCGTTGAACTGCGGGAAGCGCGCGGCGTTGGCGCCCCAGTCGAACTTGCCGCTGTCGACGATGACGCCGCCGATGGTGGTGCCGTGGCCGCCGATCCACTTGGTCGCCGAGTGCACGACGATGTCGGCGCCGTGGTCGATCGGCCGGATGAAGTAGCCGCCGGCGCCAAAGGTGTTGTCGACCTGTAGGGGACCTTGTCAGCTGCTGTCGTTGCCTTGTCCTCTTCTCTCCCTCTGTCTCTCCGCTCCAACTTACAACAAGAGGTACGCCCTTAGCATGCGCAACCTTGGCAATGGCCTCGAGGTCCGGCACGTTGTACCGCGGGTTGCCGATGCTCTCGACGTAGACGGCCTTGGTCTTATCGTCGATCAGGGCCGCAATCTCTTCCGGGTCGTCGCCGTTGACAAACTTGGTCTGGATGCCCAGGCGCGGCAGGAAGACCTTGAACTGGTTGTACGTGCCGCCGTAGAGGTTCGACGTCGAGATGATGTTGTCGCCGGCGTGGGCGAGCGTGTTGATGGTGATGAACTGCGCACTCTGGCCGGACGAGGCGGCGAGGCCGGCGACACCACCTTCCAGGGCGGCAATTCGCTTCTCGAAGACGTCGACAGTAGGCTGTTCAAGTTAGACTCCTTTTTCCTTTTTTTTTCTTTTTCTTTTTTCTTTTTTTTTTTTTTTTTTTTTTTTTTTTTTGGTTTTCAAGACGGCACGTACGTTCATGATTCTCGAGTAAATATTGCCAAACTCCTTGAGGCCAAACAGCCTCGCGCCGTGGGCAGAGTCATTGAATGTGAAGCTCTATCATCACGTCAATTACTGCAGTCAAGAATACTGTATGGAAATGCTCACAGTTGTAGCGTAGATGGGCACGGCGCGTGCGTTCGTGGTGGGATCAGGCTCCTGGCTGTGAATTTTGGTGTAAGCGAGTGCCTTCAGCTATGCACTTGCAAGCGAATCAACCAACGTACCCAGCATGGAGCTGAAGCGTCTCAAAGTTCTTGCTGATTTGTTCCGCCATGGTTCGAGATGCCGTGCTTTGCGAGAGGGGGCTGTACTGTAGATGCGCGATGTGAGGAGTAGAATGTGCAATGAATTGACGGTATAGTCGCTAGCAATTCTACCAGTATGATGATGCTAGTGCTACCCCAGGTATACGGGAAGAAGGAAAGAGAAGTTGTGCAGCACGGGAGAGAGAGAGAAGGCGCACACAACATTATAAGCAAAACGGCGATGCGACCTCAGCTGTCCGCTGCTACCCCTCATCTGCCACCCTCAGTTGCAAATCCCCCTCCCCGATTTTCGTCCGCATTTGCTGCTTCACCACTCCAGCTGCATCGAGGCTTGCATAAAAGGGTTCCGGTGTGGGGTCCGGCGCGGTCTTTGGCACCAAAAGCACGTCATCGCCGTAATGGACGACTGCGTAACCGGACACTCTGGTCGCGTCATTTCTGTACCTGAAGATGGTTTGTTGAGGGTATTGCAGCTAGTTATCATGTCATTGTGTCTAGTAGTGACGTCGGCAGTCTGGAGTGAGGCAGTTGGGCTGACGGGTCTTGGCTATCTATGTTCGTTGGCCCAAGGAAATACCGCAGAGCTGAGATGCACTGCATCGAAATTTACGGAGCTTCAAGATGCAAATGTATCTAACCGTTGTAAAGGATCCAGCAGCGAAACCTGTGTACTGGCTAACTGATGTTGTCCTCCCATAACGTGGCGTCTTCCTTTGGACCCTGGCTTAAAGCCAGCCTCGATTAATACATAAAACTTGAACGTCCGCGGTGATGCTGAACTTTAAAAAGCTGCGGCGACTACCATTACTATACTGGGCTCAACTATGCCGCGATCGCATGCAACACAGCCCGCAGCCCCGATAGGCTTGTAGATAAAGGTGTGATTGATAAGAAAAAAAAGGGCAATTAACATGAAGACGCAAATATCGCGGCTATTGCACTCTGCATTGCCATCGTGGGTAACATATACATGAAGTCATCGTCGACCTGTCAGTCCATCGAACCTCGCCGCCACCTCACTTCCCTCGGACATTCCTCTAGCATCTCCCACTCTCCGCCGCCTCCGCCATCTCGCGACGCGCCTCCGTCACTCTGTTCATCTGCGCCTCGCTCCTGAACCACTCGTGCGCCGCCAGCACCGCCGACGCGATCCACGCGCTGAACTCGGCCGCCGCCAGCACCGCGACCGCCTTGCCCGGCGCGCCCCCGGCCGACGCCGCATCCTCGTCGCTCAGCGTCAGCGCCAGCGCCACGAACCCGCCCAGGTACAGGATCGCGTTGAGGCCCTCGACGCCCATCGCGGTGAGTCGGTGCGCCATGACCATGCGCCGCTGCCGCGCGGCGATCTCGAGGTAGGCGATGGAGGCGAGCGACACGCACGGCGCGAAGACGAGGAATTGGAGCGCGCCAGGGCTCGGTCGGTGCGCGACGGTCGAGTACCAGTTGTAGACTGTCGTCGGGGCCATGGGCAGTCAGCGGAAACGTTCCCGACGAGTGCGGAGTGGAGAGAAGAGTTTCGTTGCTTCTTTGGGAGTTGTTTGACATACCGTACGCCGCCAGTGCTAAATTGGCCAAGGCCAGGAGGCCTTGCACAACGCGGAGGATGATGACAACGGTGCGACCCATGATGCCGACTCAACAAGACGGGGGGGAAGGCTAGGAAGCAAAAATAGAACCAGACCAGGACCAGGTCTGACGCTCGCCTTTTAGCTGAGGAGTCATTTGTTTTCTTACTCGTCGTATCCGGGCCGTCTTTCCGTTTGCTGGTTTTCTGTTGACAGTGTAAGTCGTCTGGTATGTGGACCGAACGCTATCCGCCCAATGAGGCCGACCTACGCTCAAGATGTACCGGATCGAGACGATGAAAGTAGGTACCAGAATTTTGAAAAGTAAAGAAAATGTCAGAGATCAACTATTCTAGTCTTGAAGTGTTTTCCGTTCTCCGAATTAGAGATTCTGGAGCCGGCCCGTTGAGCAGTGGCGGGCGAGCCATCTCGCGCGTTTGATACGGAGGCTTGCTCAGGCATGTAAACTGATGAGGGGCACAAGAGAAGCAGAGATGCGGCTCCGATAGGCATGGTATTTGGGACAAGGGATACTATTGCGTGATTGAGAAAAAAGCCTGTTGCAGACGCGAGGATCGGGATATAAAGCTGAAGCTGTAATGTAAAAAGAAAATCACCAAAAAAGAATGCGTGATCTGGGAATCGAACCCAGGGCTCCCCGACGTTGCTGATGGCAACGGAGAATTTTACCACTAAACCAATCACGCTGGTTTTCCTTGTGAAACGTTGGAAACGGTCCAGCTTATCAGTCTATAATATCTTCTCAACTCGGCGCTGAAACCCATCACACGGCCTTTTGCCTCCAGGGTACGAATACTAACCAGCTGCTCTTCGCCGTTTGCGAGTGCTTTGTTTCCGCTATCTGCGTGTACAATTTATAATGGCTTCCTATGACTTGCTTCATTGTGTTATGTAATTATCGGGTGTGCAAGTAGTTTAAGTACGAAAGTTAAGTTGTTCAACTTAGGTAGCATGTAGCGTGTGAAGGACTTGAGTATTGGCAGCTGGCAGGGTTGCCAGCTGACAGACGCTGTTTGACAGGGAAATAAATGGTCATGCCAAGGCAAACAGCACAGAAATCCCACAACCGACATTACTCGACGGCAAGTTCACCAATATCATTATAAACGTCATTGTCATCTCACGGGATTCAGGGTAACAAAATTCATGTTTCCTTGTTGCTCGGTCTGCCGTGTCTCGGGTAGGGGTCATCGGCTCCGAAGTCAAGTGCGTACGCCACGACACCATCAATTTTAGCCCGCCTGCAAAGCTTCTCCCCCAGAAAGAAACGCGCGGGGAAGGAGGATAGTCGGGCGACCATCCATCCTACTTCTTTTCTAGTCAGGGCCGCCTCTATTCACATATAGGTAACCCGACGATAACGGACTTTCGGGCCGTGCTATTGACCCGGGTCAGCCAAGCCAATCGGGACAGCCCAGCAGCAACATTCGTCCGCGCTGCCCCAGAACACTGGCTCAAGGAAGACATGTGGGTTGGACTTGGCGCAAGGCTCCAACACGGTTCGACATCGAAACTTGCCCAGTGCCCCCCCCCATCCCACCTATCCAGCCTCGCTCCAGCCCGAGACGCCGGCCTTCCGAAACGGCTGTGAGGCAGCGCAGCACACAGACGAATACAAGGCGGCACGGCATCACGCCCTCGCTTCCGGGCCCCCCCTTGGGCCTTGCACAGCACACTGCCCCAAAAACGAACTAATTAGTCCAGAAAGGCCATTTTCACGCCGTCGTCTTGCCCGAACAAGTTTGACGTCTCTAGCCGCCCCAGTCAGTCCGCTGCTGCTGCCTCGGCACCCCCATAGAGTCCCCATAGACCTCGGCCAGAGCTAGTGTGGGTTTGCGAGGTTTGCGGGTTGCGCCCCGGACTTCATGACCAATTTGGGCGCAGCACACTGGCCCGTGTCAACCTCTTGGCTTGCTTGCGTCTCTGTCAAAAGAGCCAATCGCGGGTCCCCTACTTTCTTTCCCTCTTGCCTCTCCTTCGTTGTCCAAAGACGACGACCGAGTTTGTCATCCCCCTTTTGAGTTTGTCCTCCCTCACTCTTCCTGGTCCGGCTCGATTGAAGAAACCTGCGTCACTCTTCTTCTTCTGTACCGCCCGTAAGTCTGCATCGTCCATCCACTGTCCTGCTCACCTCACTGGTTGTCGCCTCCACGAAATCTCGCGCATGGCTAACTCGGCGCCTCTGCGCTTAAGCTTCTCCCCCAGTCTCCTCGACACAACACCGCAGCCATGGCTCCCCAAACCGCAGAGCAAATCATCGCCGAGCTCAGCGCGCCGCCGCCCGTGGGTGCCCCTCACGCCGTACCGATCCCCGGCTCCGAGCGCCCCAACCGCACCGCCGTCTACCGCCACTGGCGTTTCCGCGATCAGCCTCTCCTGACCAAGCTCGAGCCCGAGGTCGAGTCCGTTCACGATCTCCTCGAGCTCGCCATCAAGAAATATGGCCCTAGAAAGGCGCTTGGTGTGCGCAAGTGGAATCCCGCCACGCAGGAGCACGAGAACAAGTTCGACTGGATGACATATGCTGAGATGGGCGAGCGTCGCAAAAACCTTGGCGCTGGTATTGTCGACGTTGTTCAGCAGGCCGGCTACACTAACAGCAAATACGGTGTTGGTATCTGGTCTCCCAACAGCCCGGAGTGGCACCTTGTTGGTATGTATTCACCTCTGATTCCTGCCCTAAGGCCGCGCTAATCTAATCGCCCGTCTCGCAGATATGGCCTGTACCTCGCAGAGCCTCTTCAGTGTGTCGCTCTACGAGACGCTCGGCCCCGACACCACCGAGTACATTATCAACCATGCCGAGCTCCCGGCTGTTGCTTGCACGGCCAACCACATCCCCGTTCTCATCAAGCTCGCCTCCCGTGTGCCTACTCTGAAGATCATCATCTCCATGGATCCCTTGGACAAGGGCGAGCACAAGGACAAGAACCCTGGTAACATCCTGAGAGACATCGCCGCTCAGAGTGGCCTGAAGCTCTATGAACTCCAGCAACTTGAGGAGATTGGCCTCAAGAGCGGCCGTGGCTTCCGGCCCCCCACATGGAACGACATTACCACAATCAACTATACCTCGGGTACCACTGGTCCTCCCAAGGGTGTTGTCATGCACCAGGGAAATGCTGTCTCGGCTATCAACGGTGCTCGCTCCATGGGCAACGTCCAGGCTAACGACATTCACATGTCGTATCTGCCCCTCGCTCATATCTATGGCCGCATGATCGACCAGCTTGCCATCGTCTCCGGTGCCGCCGTTGGTTTCTTCCGTGGCGATGTGCTCGGACTCGTGGACGACATGAAGCTCCTGAAGCCGACGTCCTTCCCCTCTGTGCCCCGTCTCTTCAACCGCTTCAACTCGGCCATCAAGGCAGCCACTGTTGAGTCACCCGGCTTCAAGGGTGCCCTCTCCCGACACGTCATCGAGGTCAAGAAGGGCTACATGCGCCAGCCGCCCGGAAGCACCACCAACACACACTTCTTCTACGATAGACTCTGGACCAAGAAGGTCCGTGCTGCCGTCGGTCTCGACAACGCCCGTTCCATGATCAGCGGCAGTGCCCAGCTTGACCCCGATGTGCAGGAGTTCCTCGGTGCTGCGTTCGGCAACGAGTTCCGCCAGGGTTACGGCATGACGGAGACGTATGCCGGCGCTACCGTGCAGCTGAGCCGCGATTACTCCGCTGGCAACCTGGGACCTCCTCTCCCCTGTCTCGAGCTTTGCCTCGAGTCGGTCCCCGACTACAACTACAGCGTCGACGACAAGCCTAACCCCCGTGGTGAAGTGCTCATGCGTGGTCCTACCATGTTCCAGGGATACCACAAGAACGAGGAGGAGAACAAGAAAGCCCTCGAGGCTGACGGCTGGTTCCACTCGGGCGATATCGGCGAAATTGACAGCCTTGGCCGTCTCCGTATCATCGACCGTAAGAAGAACGTCCTCAAGCTCGCACACGGTGAGTATATCTCGCCGGAGCGCATCGAGAACGTCTACCTGGGCAACACCAACATTGTCGCCACCGCGTACGTGCATGGTGATTCCAAGGAGGCTACTCTCGTGGCCATCTTTGGCGTCGATCTGGAGAACTTCCCCCCGTTTGCCAGCAAGGTCCTGGGCAAGCCCGTTCCCGCCGGCGACCACGCTGCCATCAACGCCGCCGCCGGCGACCCCAAGGTCAAGGTGGCCGTCCTCAAGGTGCTGGACAAGATTGGCCGCAGCCACAAGTTCAACAACTGGGAGCGCGTCCGCAACGTGCACCTCGTCATCGATCCCTTTACCCCCGACAATGGCCTGCTGACTCCCACGTAAGTTTTGGTTAACTCTTGGACATAACCCGACCCAGCTGTACTGACGTGATTGCTTCTTCCTAGTCTCAAGCTCAAGCGCCCGCAAGCCGCCAAGGCTTTCCGCGGTGATATCGACCGCATGTACGCCGAGGTCAAGGCCACGGAGGAGCCTAGCAAGTTTAAGCTGTAGACATGATTCACGGCCGGCAAAGAATCAAAGACGGAACGAGGGATGAGTAGAGAATGCCAGTCGCACCGTTTTTGGGTTGGTGACTGCATTCATTGTATGCTTAGAAACCAAAATGGCGGGGGAATTTTTCTATGTTTTCTGATTTATTAGAAAGGCTTTTACAGTTTGAGAGTATAAATACACCATATGATGACAGCATCTGTAGATCTTGTGGAGTTTGGTGGTGTTCTCCCTCGCGTTACATCACTAAGACTAAGACTCGACTTATGCTTTAATTAACTTCGGGGGCGCTGCACTAAGCAGCGACGGCCGGCCATCCCACGGGTTGGAAGTAGATGACGAGAAGCCGTGGTCACAGTCTTCACGTGGGGCAGTTCCGGTGCGATTGACAAGCCATCCATCCAATCCATTCGAGGGGAGGCCGGCAATACTCCCAAGCGCCTTATCAGCTGCCTATTCATGCACCTAATTCCGTCGCTTCCCATCATATGCTATAATGCCACTATAACAACATGGACGTAACTCTGGTGGCACTTTTGGATGAAGCAGCCCGTCCTCCCGCAGAGTGCCCAGTACCGTAAATGGGAGCGTGATGCCGATCACTTCTTTCTTCATTCTAAGCCGCTTTCAACCCACACTGACGACGCAGCTAACACCATAGTAAAGCCGCATGAATGAGCACGATTCGCCCTAGCTCTCCCTTCTGTAATAAAGTATGGTAGGTGCCCGCCAGCTTGACTGTCCGGCCTTGCTTGGTTCCGTTTGTCATGGTTGTATAATACTAGCACCATGCGGGCTTATGCTCCTGCTACTCTGCTCCATACCGAAGGCGAATCTGCCTACAATAGATGAAACGTCGTCCTCTAGTGTCGCAACAGCACGAGCGCCAAGCCTTGCCGAGGGGCACTCTACTGGTCGTCGTCATGGCCCATCCCCGCCTTTCAGACAAAGGCGCCACAATGCCTGTCGATGAGTTAGCTAGCGGTCCGGTCCTGGGGTACAGAAGAGGTAGGTGGCAAGGCGGAAGCGGAGGGGGCAGCGGCGAGTAAAAGGAAGAAATGAAGCTTAAACCCGCCCATGCCGATTAAAAAGACCAGGGCATCTCCGCTCAACTTTCTGTTCCATATTTGATCTCTCCCTCCCTACTCATCTACCCATTGGCCTTCCCCTACCGCTAGATTTGGCCATCGGTAAAGACAACAGACTTTGTCAGGGCTTGAGCAAAAGACAATGACATTTTTGCGGAGTCTCATCGTCGCCGCCGCCGCTTGTGCGACCGCGGCGGGGGCGGCGGCTGCATGTCCCGGGCCGGCGCCGGCGTCGAGCCCGCAGACGGCGGACGGCGTCGCGTTCAAGGTGCTGCTCAACGGGCTCGCGCGGCCGCGTGGCGTCGTCATGGACGGCGAGGGCAACCTGCTGGTCGTCGAGGCCAAGGGCAAGGGCGTGACGCGCGTCGTGCTCGACGACGGCGCGGGCCTGGACGTGTGCGTGTCGTCCAGCGCGCAGTTGATCAGCGACGGCACGGTGAGTGAAGCTTTCGTCGTCATCTCCTGTTTTCTCCCTTTCCTTGCACTCTCTACCACCTTTTTGTCCTGCTTTGCTTCTTTGATCAAGTGCAGGCTAGCTAACACCACACCCCCGCCCGCAAGCTCAACCACGGCATCGCCCTCTCCGGCGACGGCAAGACGCTCTTCGTCTCGTCCGGCTCCGACGCCTACGCCTACCCGTACGATGCGGCGTCCGGCACCGTCGGCGAGCCCCGGCACGTCCTCGGCGGCATGCAGCAGGGCGGCCACGTGTCGCGCACGCTGCTGGTGCCGCGGCACAACCCGGAGCTGCTGCTGGTGTCGCGCGGCTCCGACGGCAACATCGACGAGGAGACGGCCGAGATCGGCTCCGGACGCAGCCAGCTGCGCGCCTTCACCATCGCCGACCTGGTCAAGGACGGCGCCGGGGCGGTCGAGTACACCTCGGGCGCGGTGTTGGGCTGGGGGCTGCGGAACAGCGTGGGAGTGGCGGACGACCCGAGCAACGGGCACATTGTACGTTTGCGCATCTCCTTACTCAAAGTGAAAGGGCGACAGAGAAGGGTAGACTGACTGTTTGGTGCAAAAAAAAAAAAACAGTGGACGGTGGAAAACTCCATCGATAATATGAAGCGTGGCAGCGACGACATTCACAACTCCAACCCGGGCGAGGAGCTCAACTACCACGGCGCGCCCAACGACACGGCGAGCGCGCAGTACGGCCGCAACTACGGGTATCCCGGGTGTGTCGCCATCTACGACCCGAGCAACGTCAAGGACTTCTCCGCCTCCTCCGGCGGGCCAAAGGTCGGCTTGCAGATGACGGGCGACCACATCGCCGGCTACACCGACGACTGGTGCCGCGACAACGCGACCGCGCCGCGCCTCACCTTTGGCTCGCACCTCGCGCCGCTGGACATCAAGTTCCTCCCCGACGGCAGCGCCGCGCTGATTGCCTTTCACGGGAGCTGGTACGTTTCCCATTCCCAAAGAACGACGTGACGCTGACAAGGAGGCTAGGAACCGCCAGCCGCCGAACGGGTACCGCCTGAGCCGCGTGACGTTTGGCGCGGACGGGCAGCCGGTGGCGCGCGCGGACAGCGCGGACGCGGAGGAGAAGCTCCTGTGGAACGCGGACAACGCGGAGTGTCCGGGCGGGTGCTTCCGGCCGGTCGGGCTGTGGACCGACGAAGGCAAGGGAGCGGCGGGCCGTGTGTTCATGACGAGTGATAGCTCGGGTGAGCTGTTTGTCGTCACGGGCGTGGGGAGCAAGGCGAAGGGTACAGGTGGCGGCGGAGAGGACGTGACGTCGGGGGCGGAGCGGATGCGGAAGCAGTTTGGGGGCTTCTTTTGGTGAGGTCAAGCTGTTGGTTTGACTTGAGATACTATGACATGAAATGGATTGATGTAAATGGATTGACACGACTTCTAGCTATTTTTTTCTTTTTTTTTCTTTCCTTTGTGGTTCTGATTGTCTAGTGACTCGATGCTTAGGCCATCACTTTATAAACTCACGGGCACCACTGCTGGCTAAAGTTTCTTTCATTTATTGGACAATTACAGAAGATATTCTACCTTAGGATGCTTGGTAGTAGTAGGCTTGTGCCCTTTTTAACAACCGTAGTTTCTACTCTTAACACTGGCGATTGATTGTTAAAGGTAGTAGCCAGGCTACTCACACCTCTGCCCACTGCCCGAATTAGCTACTGTAGGTGGGTGCGACGATAGTGTAACAGCCATAAAAAACGGCTTATAGCCTCCTAGTAACACAGGCACCAAGTCTTGTGGTTTTCTCCAAAAATGTGTGCCACTTGCCGCACAGCGCGTTAGGTCTCACACCTACACTATGTACGGATACAGTACATACATACTGTACATAGCCTAGCCGCTCTGCGAACATGATCAAGCGACCCTCTAAAAGCGACGGCTACAGTGGTAAGTCCCCTTGATATCAGCCATACTGAGCTGCAATCCGAGAACAATCGCTTTAAGCACCTAATTATCATCGGGGTTACGCCCCGATTTTAAGCTACACTGGTTCTAAGCTACATTCTAAGCTGCCTTGCTCTAAGCTACACTGGTTTGCCTTCTAGGACTCGGGCCGCCTACGCCCCAACATCCTCCGCATTGGACAATGTGCGCGATGCGCAAACACGCAGTGCACACTCGCGCATCTTTTGCCATTTTTTGCTCGGATTTGATTGCAACGCTTTTAATTGAGCTCAATCATGCGCCTCCTCGAATTTTTAACCTAGATTAGACAATCCACGATACATCGCGATACTACGGATATAACCACACATATAAGGTCGTGATACTCGCTAGAGAGCAAATGGCTCTACTAGTTAAGCTTAGGAGCTTTCCTTTATAACACCTTTATTTCTTAATTTCGGTCTAATTAAGGAGTATTCTATTATTATTACCTTTATATATTCTATAGCACTAAATATTATCCTTAGGAGTGGGTCTATATCTTTAGAATTAGCCCCGCTCTAATGACTAAGCCACTACGCGGCGTTTGCTTTAGTTAATGGCTATGAAGACCCTCCTCCCCTTTAATGCTCTAAGAAACCACAAGATACCCATCACCGACCACAAGAAAGACGCGTTTCAAGCTTGAGGAACACGCAATCTCGCTCAATCTCGCGTGTCAATCATCTCTGAACATTTTTTATCGCCGCCGCAGCCAGGTTTCCGATGCAGTACGCGCGAGGCGTGACGCGCACCTGACACGTTGATTAAGCCGCGCCTAGCGATGAACGCGAGTCCGAGAAGCCACAGCCAAACACTCGAGTATGGTTGCGTTAAGACGGGGGTTTTATGTTTGATGGGATCTCAAGACGCTGGCGCCGTTTACAGCGGTGCGGTCCCTGGAGTCGGTGGTAGAGGTGGTGGTGGTGATGGTGGTGATAGAGGCGGCCGTGGTGGCAGCGGCAGGAGAAGCAGCAACACCAGCCAGACCAATGGCGGCGGCTACGCACGCCGCGAGCCTGAGATGGATGGATCTGACGAGGAACCACCATCCAAGAGACTGCGGTTCGGCGCTTCACCCCTAATAAGAAGCAGCGAGGAAACACCACATCCCCGGAAGGAACGCTCCCTAGCCAACCTGTACTCCGTTTTGCACCCGCACATCATCATTGCTATTGCACCACTGTCATTCGATAAGTTTAACCGGGCCGAAATTGCAGTTCAAGTACGTATCACAAACCATTTCACTAGTAGCGTTTTCTGGCCTCTAACTCTCTACCTCCACCAATTACTAGGCTGGTCATATACTGGCTAAGGATGCTCAGTTTCTCTCTTTACTTAATGGCGGTGAGGTGGCGCGGCAAAGGCGAACACAAGAAGTGGTTGGTCAACTCTGCTTGTTGCCTGTAAGTATCGATCGCCTCTTGATCTACGGCGGCAGCATCAGGTACTGACCGTTTTACACAGCAATATCACAGAAATGGTGGGCCTCGGCCTAAGGCGCCTAAGCTCATCAAACAAGAACCAACAGCATTGCCAAGTACTAGCATGCACGGAATCCCGGCCGCCCCAACAACAGTCACTGGAGCTTCTAGAGCGCCTAAACACCAAACACTCCCCTTTGCTGCTCCGGCAAGCCTTCCAAATCGTTTCAACCGCCCTCTGAGAAACCCCTACCGGCCCCGCGCCAAGAGGGAAACTTCACCACGCCCTCCTCCTCAATGGGCCCAATCAGGACAGCGTCCATATCTCAGCTGGTCAGAACGCGATGCCATTCAGCGAGGAAAACGGCTTGAGTTTTTCAAGGCAAAATCGTTAAGTGGTGAACCGGCCGTCTATCATGTTGATTTTTCGACCGCCGAAATTGCCACCATGATTGACGAGATGAAACTTTATCTTCAGATGGCCATCCCACACACTGCCATCGCATTACGACAATTGTGTGACGAGTACCCCGTTGCCCTGCTTATGGAGGGCAAACTGCCTGGTCGCACGGAGCAAGATATTCGCAAATTTTGCTCTGATCTTTTCGCTGATCAAGCTACCGACAGCAGAGGCGCTAGAACTCTGCTACTTCAAGGAGAATCTACACCACAGCGCCAGGAACAGCAGCGGGACGCGCTGGTGTCATCGCTGCTGTTTGCTCGCGAACTGGAGGGCAATGCCGGCATGGGTCGGACAAGGCGCTTTGTCAACTTTCAGGCGTCTTTCAAGCAGATATACGAGGATGGTCTCAGCCTCGCTGCCGAGTTCACAAACTGTGCTGGTGACATTTCAACTATGACTTGGGTCCCAAATCAGAACATTATCTGCGGCACAACGGCGCACTCTGATGCTCATAATCAGCAATACAATAAGCCGGGCAACCTGCTTCTATGCTCGATATCAAAGGGTGTTTTGCGTGCCTTTCCAGACCACAGAATTCCCCGGCCGCTTGTCCCGAAAGGTGAGAATTCCACCATAGCCATGCGCCAGAGCCAAGATCCGTGGATCTACTCGTCGGTGGTGTCGTCAGATTATGACAACATACACGGCTTGGCTTATACCTCAAGTTTTGACTGGACGATCAAGGCATGGAAGGTGGACCAGGATGGCAGCTCCATGGAAGCCGTTGCGACGTTTAAACAAAACGGAAACGTGAACTTCGTCGCTGTGGCTCGTGATGGCTCTGGGCGCGTTGCTGTGGCAGCGGATGCGAACACCGAAGCTGTCCGTATCTATACCATGGACCCTACCAACATGACTGAGAGCCCGTATTATACCATTTCTTGCTCTCGAACCGACGCGAACGGTTCCGACAAATGGGCATACTTCCCGGCGACAGTTCAATGGGGCATAGCCCCCGGAACACAGCATCTTCTCCTTGTCGGGTATTCCCCTCGCAGCTTGACCGACGATGAGCAAGACATCCCGGACGATAAGCAGCAAACAGGCGAGATTCTGCTCTGGGATGCACGAGATCGCCGTCTGTTACCTGTGCTGACGGCAACTGCGGCAAACGTTTTCGAAGTGGCGTGGCATCCGACCGTCTGCGGCTTCGTTGTTGGTACATCTCCTGTCGGCCTCCACATCGACCAAGGCGTGCGTACACAGGTCCACGTCTTCGGGCAAGACAGGATACAGCACCCCGACGGCGCGTACAGCGAGCTCAACAAGCTCGACTGCTTCGCCTCTGACATCAACGAGCTTACCATTGTTTCCAACTCGAGGCAGAGCGCCTACGTCACCGCCGCCTGCACTGACGGCAACGTGTACGTGTGGGACATGGCGCAGGGCGACAAGCCGATCCACGTCCTGCGGCACGGCGGCCCGCTGGAGGGTCTCCTGCGCGCCGAGGACCGGGAGCGCGAGGACACGGGCGTCAAGTTCACGGCGTGGGGCAGAGATCTCACCCGGCTGTACACGGGCTCCAGCGACGGCGTTGTCAAGGTGTGGAACGTCCGCAAAAAAAGCAAGCCGTTTGTGCGCGACCTGCTGCGCGCCCCCGCGCCCATCTCCTGCGGCAGCTTCTCGCCCGACCGCAGCAAGCTGGCCGTCGGCGACGCCACCGGTCGCCTCTTCCTCTTCACAGTGACTAAGGACGAGAAGCTTGAGGAACAGTTCACCATGACCCTGCCCGGCACGGGTCGAGTCGTCCGCCGCCCGAAGCCATTCACGCCACACCCCGAGCCGCCGCCGCCGTCCGCACCCGCGCTCGACCCTGACGTCATGGCGCTCGACAACGTCGACGACGAGGACGAAGACGTGGACGAGGCGACGTACGCGCGCCGCAAGTACCTCGACACGCAGCAAGTGACCATCCACGCCAATCCCGTCGTCGGCGCCGTGCAGGGGCCGCGATACGCCGCCTCGGGGCTCTTCCTGCGCGAAGCCCACCTCGACGACGACCCCGCCGCGCCGCTCCTCGCAAAGTACGATCACCTGCAGCAGGAGAGCCGCCACAGCGTGCTCGGCGCCGGCGGGGCCAACTGCCGACGGCGCTCCATGCGGCGGCTCGTGGCGCCGACGACCGAGGAGCAGCGGCTGCACGCCGACAACCTGGCGCGCGACTTTGACCCCGCCGCGCTGGACCGGGACGACCTGGAGGATCTGGTGCGCGCGGGCGCGCTGCTGCACCTCGCCGACGAGGCTGAGGATTGGGGCTTTGAGTATGAGGGCTCGCTGCTGCCCGACGATGACGACTGTCCGTCGGAATCCGAATCGGATATTGAATAATACACATATACATACCTTTTTTCGTCTTTTAGATAAAGGCATATCATGGATTTGGGCGTTTTTTGAACTTTTTTGAAACCTTGCAGGGCCAGTGGGAGGATCAGGCATTGGTGTGGACGGGGCCGACAACTATGTAGGTAGAGGAGACTTGACGGGTGGGTTGGGTCGATGTGTACATGATGTGTAGAGATATACAAAAGTCACTAGAAATTGGGGACATGAATCCATACAATTTACCGAAACTACCTCAATACGGACTTGTTGTTGGCTTGGGCGATGCGTATTCACAGGTCATGCTAGCCAACTCGTGCCAACATTCACAGTCGAGGGACCAAATGAGCAACAAGTCCTCAACACACCAAGATTCTTTCGAATTCTTTCTATTCTGTCGTTATTAATAATCGGTACATGGCTCTATAGTTTTGAAAATTTCTCCAGATTTAAAAAGACATGTAGTCGTCGGTCCAACGCGAGCTGTAATGATTCGGAGTAGCAATGCAAGGTCTGCCGAGCTCCTATAACATCCAATACTCGAGCAAGAAGAAAAGAGAAAAAAAAGTGTTCAACGCCGATTAATGCTTAGCGGTAGCCTGCTCGCCGGTGAGCTTCTCGACATACGTCTTGGCACTGGGATGGAGTTAGCAGATGTGGGGGATGATGCTGTGTGTGGGGATGACGCTCACATATCACCAAAGGCAACCATGCAGACAGTCTGCCAGATGGAAAGACCAATGCGGGGAGTGACACCACGGTAGAGACCAGCAATACCGTTGGAGTTGTAAATGTAGCGGAAGGTGTTGCCGACCGTCATCTTCTTGGGGCGGTTGGGATCGTCCGTCTTGGACTGCATCTCGACGCGGATGACCTCGATGGGCTGGTTCCAGGCGGAGAGACCACCACCGATGGCGGAGGCGACAATCTTCTCGCCGGCGCTCAGCTTCTCCTTCTCGCCCTTGCCCGTGGCGCTGCGGATGCCACCCTCAGCGAGGCGGCTGAGACCGAAGCGGGAGCCCCAGTTGGTCATCTGGCGGATGGCGACGGCGTTGACGCCCTTGTTGATGCCCTTGATGCCGTCCTTGCGGTAAATGTCCATGAAGGTGGCAAAGGTGGACTGGGGCTTGACGCCGGCGGCGGCCTGCTTGTGCTTGGTGATTTCAACCGTCTTCATGCAGGTGCAGAAGCCCATGGTGGCGTAGGCCTGGGCGACGCCGCCCGTCATGCCGCCGACGATGCCGCCGCCAAACTCGGAGGCGCCAAAGGAGCGGGCATAGTACTCGGCCTCGGAGGCGACGAAGAGGAGGACGGCGCCCTTGGTGGAGGCTTCGATCCAGGCCCAGGGGATGAGGCCCTGGTAGACTGTGAAGAGCGGGTGACAAGTCAGCATGCGACGATGACGCGACAGAGAGCAATAAATGGGGCGAGGGGGGAGGAGCGCGCAGTTAAGACGTACAGCCGAGAACACCACCTCGAGACCAGATGCGTCCCAAGGCCGCAGCAAAGCCGTCGCCACGGTTGGCGGCCATGGTGGTCTTGGTGACCTCGAGGGGTTGGCCGAGGGTGGTGACTTCAAACATGTTGAGACCGGCGCCGAGGAGCAGATTGGAGAACTTGACGGGCTTCTTCTCCAACTTCTCGCCTCCAGAGGCGGACGGAGCGGCGGCGGCGACCATGATCGAATGCGAGTTTTGCTGCGAAAGGCAATTGTCCCTGACCAAGGGGAAGAGGGTGCTTCTTTGCGGGGGGGAGTAAGGATGAGGAGTGCGTTAGCTTTGCTGTGGTTGCAAGAGGATGAAATCGGAGAAGGGGAGAGGGAGGGAAGATGAGGGAAAGGAGGAATGGGGCCTGAAGAGGTAGGAGCTGCGCCGAGCCACAACGCTTGGTCGTTTTCCAGTGGTGTTGCGCCAGCCAGGAGGACAACAGTTGGGAAGGGAAGCTCCAGCCACTGGCGCTGTGGCTGCGCAGCCCCGAGCGAGAATTGCTGAGTCAGAGGCGTCAGAGGCCTGCAGTGGCTCTCAACAGGCTGCTAGGCCAGTTGACCCCAAAGGGTAATGCCGGATAAACATACCAAAAATATCGGACACGAATGCGAATTTTACGTATCCGATTGCAAAGGGTGCCAGATGTGTGCAGCAGGACGGGATTGAGGTGTAGGTGAATGGATGCAAGATGACAGAGAGCAGCTACGCGAGTAGGCTACAGCACATGTCAGATAGTCGCGCACTTTCTGGGCAACATTTCCCGCGACTAGTCAGCTAATATATTTACTCTACTGGCCGGTGGTGGCCTTGCAGCACACGGCGTCTGACACGGTGCAGCTGGGTAGCCTGGCCCGAGGCTATTCGGCGGTGCTGGCCGTGATTGTCCGGGGCAGTGGAGGCTTTCCAGGCACCAGAATCACGTGTGAAACAGACCGCAATGCAGCGGCTCTTCAGTGGTTCCAGGGGTTCTCGGGAGCTAAAAATACAGTGGCTGCAGTACGCAACAAACAACGCGGGAAAAGAAAAGGGCAAAGACGAAATATCAGCAAATTCTCAGAAATGGAATAGACATTCAATAAGCTGTAGCCAGAGACGTTCTTCACCTCGGCGGGTTTTCCTCGTCAATTGATGCTGCGTGCTGGAATGCGCCGCGGCTCTATTTGTTCTGCTCGTATCTACGCCGTATCTCCAGTTACAGGCGACATCGGCGCGGCGCAAAGCTTGCCTGGCTTATTAGATCTGCATCGTCCGGGGATAGCCTAAACAGGATATTCTGCACCGAGATGGACGATACAGTATATCCTCACTTGTATTCAGTGCTTTCCAGAGGCAAAGTTGTCACCGTTTAGAACATTGCTGGGTTGAGACGGGGAGACTATGCCAGTGCGAAAACGAAAAAGAAAGAGACCCCAGAAAGAGGAGCACAAACCGGCATAATACAAGAGATACAACCATCTTCATCAATTCATTGGGGCTGAGAATCTCACTATCTGGCTCAACAGGGCCAACTGTTGAGTTTCCACTTCCAATTTGCACCCCAGTCTCCGGTTACCGGCGGGCAACACCCGCTAGCCTACTTTGGCTTGGGAGTTGCTCTTGCCCCTGCAAGTTGGCGACGCCCCAGTGAAGATCAAGATTGGACCACGTTCTTGCTCTTGACTTTCGCCATCAACTCCGGGAAGATACCGCCGACCGCGAAGAAGACGAGACGAACAAAAACCGAAACGGGGGCTTAACCTAAAGCCCTCAGTGGCCAGTTCTTTACCGCCATGCCTTCTACAGAAATCTCGACTTCTCTTACTCTTCATTGGGCGTCGTCTCGTAGCTCAGTTCCAGAATGGTTCTCAGAACCTCCTCGCGATGACGGCCCCCGAACGGCCACCACCGGACGCCCACGACCCAGCTGGGCGACTCCGGGACGGGCTTCTCCCCGCCGCCCACCGCCGGACAGCAGCCTCGTCCACGTCGAGGCCGTTGACGCCGCGGCAGAGCACTTCCTGAAGCGCGGGGTTTCGCTTCGCGCAAGACCACTATGTAGGTGAGGAGTATCTACACGGGCGCCCCATCGTCAGCTGCGTGGTCGCAAACAAGGGTCGAGGGGAGAACAAACCTTGGCAGGATATTTCACACTCTGCTTCAAAGGCTATCAGGGCTTAGACGATGACGTCGTGAACCTTGTCCATGGTTGAATAGCCTCGCCGGTAGGCGGGCAACTCTTCCCCATTCCCGAGGCAGCGGTCAAACTCGGCGCGGATGCCGTTACTGAGTCGGCAAAAGTACGCATATTGGTATGCACGCTTGTATCGCTCACTCGGCTGCGGTACCCTCATCTTGGCTTGGTGTAGATCGTTTCTCTGAAGATCTGTTCGTGACGTGAGCATCCTTTATCGAAGTATAGCGAAGAAGACGACGCACGCTGGGCTGGACACTGGAGGGTTTCAAAATGTGTTCGTGATAAAGTTGATCAGCGTTTTCCACGTGCCGTCTGCGGTGGTTGCTCGAGAGGGCCTGCGAGTGAATCGCCGCGCTCTATTTCACATCGCCCACGTCAAATGGCGGCATATCACGATGAATGGGCGGACGCCGTCGCTCGAGCCAACATGACCAACAACCCCCCCTACAGCCCGATGAGTGTCGCATAACTGTTTGAGAACGCGCCTTGTGTAAACATCAAGGCAAAGCATGGAGTCGCTATATCTCCAATACGTCACTAATTTAGAAACTTCAACAGCCAGCGCAGCAACTCAATTCGAGCTGTAGCACAAGGCGACGTGTCATGATACCGTTATACGGCTTTCAATAAGGCGACACAGAAAGTCACTAAATGACTAGTATCTTACTTTATTTATAGAGCCTCATAGACAGCCTGGCAGTCCGAGCCGTAGCACAAGGCAAACTGCCACCGCCTCTGCCTCGCTTCCTCGTGTCTCGCATAGCAGCCTGACAGCTTAACGTCTGCTCGGTACAAAAGCAGGACCAATGTGCTAGCCTGCCAGTATCATTACACACCCTGAGTTTTATGTTCACCAGGTGGCGTAAGGTGTGCAGTATTGGGCCACCACGCTTCCTGGCGCAGGGCATGCAGAAGATAACGGTCTTCTCTGTTGCATTGCACGTCATGTTTCAATACATTGCTCGCAGCAAGGCCAGACAGACGTCATCTCGCTCACGTCTATATAAGTCGAAGCTGCTGCTGCGTCCATATGTCTCAACCAGCACGATCAGCAGTCCTTTTCGCCCCCCCTTCATCTTGCTTGACCTTTTCGACGTTCGCTGCAGCACCATGTCGCAACTTATCACCCGGCTCCGCAACTGGGGGCGCTCGCGGCGCGAATTTCGTCGGAATTTTCGTGAAGAATTGGACCGCGAGTCGAATGCGGAGTGCAAACATCCGTGGTTTCAATCATGCCTACGGGCTCAGGTCGAATCAAACTACGTCTGCCTGCCCCGACCCCACGACGCAAACGACCTGAAAATTGGCAGCATCATCGAAAACCTCGACAACATGAGGGTTCTCAACACGGACGCGGGCGAAGAATACACGTTCAAGCAGCAACCGGAAATCATACCAAAAGACAATCTCAGGGTATCCTTTGCAAAATTTGAAATGGAACTGTTTATGCATGTGCGCGAGATGCAATACGACGTCGAACGCCTCGAATGGACCCAGACCCCCAGCCCACCCAAGAAGAAGGAACACCGTGCCGCCGTCGAGAGCTCTCACCGCGTCAAGGACTGGCTCCAGTCAGAGCCCACCGGCCGCTCCGCGCTCGTCATCACAGGCCTGATGGTGGTGATGGGGGCCGAGGCGAGCTCCGATCCCAACGCGGTGGCTGGGCCGACCAGCACGCTAAGGTCGTTCGTGGATGGCAGGCTGCTGACTCAATCGAACATAGGCGGCAAGGTTATTGGTCTGAGGGTGACCAAGATTCGGTACAAGCCAAAGCTCTTCAGTGGCGACCTCAAGCTTTGTGTTGAGCGTATGGACATGAACGTGAATAGGGAATGGCGCATTCATGATTACCCAGGCTTGTATTACCATAGTCCTGAGTACAAGGACCGTTTTGTTTACGAGCTCCGTTGTCTTTTGTTGGCCATGAGTCTCTGAAGAGGAGCTATGCCACAGACTAAAGATGATACAATCGTTTAGATTATACCATCGTTTGAGCTTTAATACCATGCAATCTTGGACTTGAAAACTGAATGAGACTACTGTGCTAGTCTATTGTACCCCTCTCTACCAAAAGCTTTGTTTTAACCGACTGGTGTAAGGTGTGTGGTCTTGTACCACGTATTGCAGCACAGGACAAGGGGAATAATATGTATGGCCAGGGAGTCTGTCCATCGCCACGTCGAGCTTCCGGGCCCAAAGCTCAAGGGAGCACAAGGCGAGACGCCCTCAAACTTCATGTCCTGGTATACTCGTCGTAGCAAAGGCCACCCATCATCTTGCTCGCATTATAGTTAAACCTCCAGAATCCTTCATCCATGTCGCAACCAGCAACGATCAACAGTCACCTTGCAGTTTCCCCATCAACTCATCTCTATTCATCTTTGTTCAGCCGCGTTGCGTCGTAGCATCATGGCGAGTCTTGCCTTCTATTGCGCCCGCGACAAGCCGCCTCCCCCTGACAGGCCCGAGCCGCACCCCAAAGATTGGGACCTCGAGCACTTCTGCATCCTGCGCCACCCCGTCGAAGGATCCGACCTGCAAATCGGCAAGGTCGTCGGCGACCCCGAAGACGACCTGGCGCCGCTCAGCAAGGTCAGGGGCAACATATTCAGCCATGTCCCTTCCCCGGACCGCACCGTGGAGCACCGCCGCACCGTTCACCTCGGGCCGGCCCCGGCCACAAGCGCGCGCACCAACTGCGCCTTGCCTCGTACGGCATCGAGATGATCAACCGCAGGGACGCCCATCAACTCGCCCGCGACGGCCGTCGAGGACTCGATTGCCCTCAAGAAGCACCTCGCGAACGGCGACCACGCATTCCTCGTCACCGGGGTGGTGCGGGCGGCGGCGCGGAACGAGGTCTCGGGCTCGGAGGGGCCGCTCAACACGGACAAGGTGACGACGGCGACGCCGGGCCAGGCGGTGGCGGAGTCGCTGGAGCTGAGGTCGCTGGACGGCAAGCTCTTTGCTGTGCGACTTGTCCAGATGTGGTACGGGAAGGGAGTTCTGGGGGGATTCAAGGTCAGAAGTGACAGGTATATCGTCGGAGAGTAGAAAGTGGCCGAGCACTTGGGTACTGGGTGGGATCAATTTTGTGTGGCTGTGGACTTGACGGAGTTTACTGTGCTAGAATGTGTCTTTTTACATCCTGGTTGACGGAATACCGTCTTTTGAATGACGCTAGGAGCTATGACATAAGACTGAAGACAGCTTCGAAAACATGTGATCTTGTTTGATTTTATCCTAATGGACTGACATGTTTCTTGAATGACGCTATGAGCTATGACATAGACTGAAGACAGCTTCGAAAACATGTGATCTTATTTCTTTTTATCCTGATTGACTGACATGTTTCTTGAATGAAGCGATAAGATAGACTGAAGAAGACGCTACAAACATCATGGCTTCGAAAGCATATGGTCTTGACGTTGCAAACGTGAGATGAGAGATGCAGGCCAGCCGCTCACTGGCGCTTCGCTCTCATCAGTGGACGGTGCGGTACTTGTCAAACTGGCTGTACATGCGGGCGTACTGGCCTTGGGTGAACTGATTGACGCAGGAGCTACGAGGGAAGGCGATGTTAGCAATCCATTGCAAAACCGAGGGAATAACGAGATGGTTGAGAGGGTAGGAGTCACGTACTTGTCGCTGTAGCCCATGATGTTGTGGACGGGGTCGTAGTACGGCGACGACGAGCAGGTATGCGACTGCTCGTTGCAGCCGTAGACGGCGTAGTCCTGAGGGGCCGTGTCATCGACCAAGTCGTTGCCGTTGGTGCAGCCGCCCGTGTTGTTGTTGCCCCAGGGATGGATGAGGCCGAACCAGTGGCCGACCTCGTGGGAGGTGATCTTGCCGAGGTTGTAGGGCTTGAAGGAGCCGCCGGGGGTGGTCTCGACGTCGAGGCAGCAGCCGTCGTTGTAGAAGTCGTCCCAGGTGCTGATGACGCCGGGGTACGTGCAGAACCCGGTCAGGTGGTTGCGGTTGGGCGCGGTGATGCGGCGGAAGTAGTAGATGTTGAGGTCGGCGTAGTCGCCGTTGCGGAGGGAGCGCTTCAGGCTGCGTAGGTCCGCGTTGGACCAGATGTCGGACCAGGAGCTGTCGATGGTGCGCGAGATGTTCTGCAGGGTGAACTGGTAGCCGGAGTATTGGAAGTCGCTGTTCAGGACCTTGATCTGCGAGGCGACGGTGTCGTCCTGTTTGTGTCGGGGTCAGCGACGACGGTTCTCGGACTTGTCCCGTGCTCGCGAGACTGAGGACGTCTTCTTTCAGGTCAACGACTTACGTTAATGTTGCCGCCAGAGCGCGAACTGTCCGAGGCTATGATGTGGACGTAGGTCTTGATGTACCGGACGTCTCTCTTCACGTTGGCATTGGCCACGGCCGCAGCCTCTTCGGCGGCGGATTCTCGAATGGCCTGGAGATAGGCTTCACTCGGAGGCGGGGTGCCGCAGATCTCGTGGTTGACAACCGCGGCCGCCTGGCATGTGGCAGCGGCCGCGAGCGAGAGGAGGATGCTCTTGAGCTGCATCCTGAGACAAGATGCAATGTCTTGGTGGTGAAGGAGAATGGTAGTGGATGGGTGTCTGAGACAAGGTATTCATCTTCATTCCATCGAGGATCAGCAGTATTTATAGTTATCTGAAACCGTCTGATGTCCTATCTAACTAATCAACTAACCCCCCCATGGGGAGCTGTGATCAACCTTCCGCTCCCGTGGGGAAGCTCCCATGGGAAGCTGATCATGATCTATCGATCCTGTTACATAACTAACGGCTCTTAGCGTCGGAAGAGGAGGTAGGGTGTGGCTGTTTACAGCCGCTCTGATTGCTCGCATACACGTCTTCGACTATGTTTAGCATGTACCTTATCACTTTATCTGGGCGATCTCAACCAGCTTCCCGTTTGAGGTTATCACCACCCCCGACTAGCTCCATGGGTCCCTCTTCCCCGCACCTTACTATTGCGGAAGCTGGTCTTTTAAAGTAGCTACCGCTAGCAGGTGGGCTGGCGGGCTTGTCGAGTTTCCAACTGTCACGGGAAGCAACACGCCTGCCGAAAACGATTTCCATTCCGTCAAGTTTTGGCGTCGCTACGACGGACCGAGGCAAGGGGGGGAGCGCCAAGGCTGTCTTGGGCGCAGGAATGAAGTCGGCTAGCTTGAAACTTGCTCTTGAAGACTGCCGATGATGAGATCCGATGATATGGCTGGAATTTGGGATCCTCTTCCAGTGAACGAGTTTTAGTACGAGCTGAATCTGGACCATGCCTTTTCGACGTCGGAGGTGCATCGTCGTGACTAATGAGAAACTGCTCTGCAAGCGAATGCTAAGAGAAGATAAAAGTCCATTGACGAGATAGTTTTATCAATGAGAGGATTCTTTTTGCATTTTTGCATTTTTGCATTTTTGCGTTTTTTTTTTGTAAATATTTTGATACGGCGTTATTCCAAAACCCATCAGTCAGTTGGTCACCACCTTCAAACAAGACATGTCCTACTCTTCAGACCAAGACCTGAAGCTAGCCCGACTCTTCTAATCAAGATTATAAAAGCCTAATTTTTAAGACTTGAGCACGTCGACGCCTTATCCAGGGACCTGCCTATCTGGGCAGGTGATCCCCAAATAGTGGCCGACTAGCGGAGATGACGTGTGTAAGTGCTCACTCAGCCAAGAAACAACTAACAGCACGGGAGCTGTCAAGCCAACCATCCAGTTTTCTGTAGGGGCAGAGCAGGAAAGATGATACTAACAGCCTGCACCGTCGGAGAGCTGCAGGAGGGAGGATGACCTCACGTCCGGCGACATCGTAGCACAAAGGGGGGGGAGGGCTTAGACAGCTACAGTCGACGCACGGGTGTGCCGTCGACACGGTGCTCTTTGCTGAGGGAGCTTTGTGCGTGTGCGACTTTACAATTTCTTTTCTAACATAGGGATCCTTTTCTTCTCGTTTCAGTAGCAAGCGTGGCTGGAGCTGTCCCATGGTAGCATTTACTGTTTCCAACGATGGCTCGACAGTGAGGTGAGTGTGGCTGGGCTACCATGAATACAAAACAGTACGACTCCCATCGGGCACCGCGTACAGTAAGTTGCTATTCTTGAAAGCAATAGCTATTTATGTTGAATATTCTCTGTTCTATAGTTTCAGGTTGGCCATTATTCGCTTGTTCTGCTACTAGATGCCCGTCACGGGCAGCCTCGCGGGCCACCTGGTACTACGAGACCAACACGATCACCAAGGTCTGTACAATTGTAAAGATGCCGAAATTTCTTGTCTTCCCTACTTCCTGGAGCCCAATTATTTATTTTTGTCCCTTTTCAACTTGCCTTTAGAATGTTACACAGCGATGTGGCCAGGTTTTACAGCGACGTGGCCTTCACTGCTTCGCCTGCTTGGCCAGGCAGACGAGACGCGAGTGGTGATGTGGCAAAGTGACGCGGCACCCTTGGACAATCTCTTGGGCTTTTTTGTATTCAAACCACACTTCTTTCCTTTCCATCTCCCTCTCTCCTCCTTACCCTCTCCAAGCTTGCTCAGGGCAGGAAGTGCCTTGAGCAGAGCGGCAAGAAGACGCCGCTGTAACATGGGTGACCGCCGTTCAGGTGGCTACTGGTTTGTACGCCGAGCTGCCCGTTGATCCCCTGCCGTGGTGGAAGATCTCGACGCCAACAGAACAGAAGGACCTCCCCCAAGAGCCGCTGTACTTTCCAGGGAGAATATGTCTTCTTCGCCTGGGTCGTCAAGATGCCGAAGAAGAGGTACCCCGGTCTCGCAGGGGAGCGCCAGTGTGTGCTTGAGCACGTCGAGGAGGGACGAGCCAATTCCCGCTACGGAGTGAAATGGGCAACTCGACCAACAGCCGCGCGCCAACTCTCTCTTGGAAGAACAACTTGTCTCGCACCCTCGAACTTGCCGTGTAGTCTTTGTTTTTGTCATGTTACTCTTAACTTGATAGTTGACAAAAGAAAAAGAAATGAATTTTTCAACTTGATATTCTGACCATGCTGCTTCTCCGAGTTTCACCATTCCATCGTCTCATACTCTTTCGCAGTTCTACCACCTTACTTGGGCCTAGGAGGCCAGGTACTGCACTAGTTCTAGAGAAAGAAGGGTTTTATGAAAAACATTAGAATACTCGGAAGCAAAGAAAAGAGAACCCATTTCCCCGTTAGCTTGAGCTTGCTAGCAGCTCCAGAACTTTTGAAATGTTACGCTGATCGTTCTTGTTCAGCATCCTGTCCTGGAACTGAAAATTACCGCGGATAGTCTTGCGCCAGAACGTCCACGGCTCGACAAAGCAGCATCCTTCTTTCGGCCGGTTGAGTTCCCGAAAGAGCCTCTCCATGTAGTTGGTTGTGTAGTAACGCCGTCGCAGGGCCTGGCCGTTTCTGGAGATCGCCACCGTGTGGCGCACGATCTCGAGCATATTGGCGGCGATGCCGGCGGCGATTGGTGTCGCGTACGAGGCGCCCGACGCGTATCCGTAGGCAAGCCGTGCTGGGGAGCCGAAATTCTCCCGGATGGGAATGTCGCATCCCAGCGTGCCAAAGTACACCCCTTCGGCCTTGGGATTCATGCCCTGCGCGTGTCCGTTCCCGTCGGTGCAATAGATCGGGATGACACCCGCTCGGGTACCTGGCCATGTAGGCTCGTCGTTTACACCCGTGTTTCTGTGCGCCGCGGCGAAGACAATCTTGTTCCCCTGGTCGAAGGCAGCGCATAGGGCCTCGTCAATTTCCTCTGACAACTCGTCCAGGGCAAGGGACAGGTTGATAATGTCCACGTCCCAAACCTCTACTGCCCAGATGATCGCCTGCAATTCCAACACGGGAAACCGTCAGCTGCTTCGCTTCGATAATAATACGGACAGACAGACAGACAGACAGACAGACGGGCCGAGTCCTGATTCTGCACCGCCGAAGCCAACTCACCTCAAATATGTTTGTCAATTCTCCCGCTGAGATGTTCTCCGAGTTTGTCACCTTGGCAATGTATATATCCGCTTTTGGGGCCACTTCCAAAGCTATCTTGGCAACCGCGGTACCATGACCGTGAAAGTCTTCGACATCCTTGGAATGAGCGCCCTGGTAGCCGTCGGAAGCTGGGGCACGGGGCGAGCAAAAGTTTCGCTGGTCTGCGATTCTCCCCAGGCGGATGTATTCTCGAACATCCCAGTCCCGACGAGATACTCCACTGTCGATAATGGCGATCCGGACCCTCTTGTTCCGACCCTCGGGTAGCGACTTGGTGCCCAGGTTCTTCACATATGAACCCGTGAACTCGTTCATGCGTTTCATGAAGTTTCTAGCCTCGGTCCTGTGGATAAGTATTAGTTTTTTCTTTTCGACCCCCGGCATGCCTCCCTCCAAAAACCATGCAAGGGAGACAGGACATACCCGCCGGGTCCCGGGCTTCTTTCGAGTGGTAGCTGCCTGAGTGGCTCGCATAGTCTCTCGTCGACAGTCGTGGCCATCTCTCTTGATGGCTTCACGATGGATTCTACTAGGACGTTTTGGGCAATTGGTTGTATAATCTCTTCAAAAAAGAATTCGGCAACTTCTTGAAAAGGAAGCTTGCTGTCGGGGTTGGCAAGCTCGCTGCTAATATACTCCCACTCGTCACTAAAACAAGCGCGGACGGCGTCCTTGATAGCCTCACCAGGAAGCAGATCTGGATGGTGGTCTATGATTTGCGTCAACTCTTCCTGGATTCTGTCATAATTTGATAGAGGCAATTGTAGGTTCTCCCATAATCTCACTTCAATGAGGAGTTTCGCCAATTCAAATAGACTCGTCTCACTCATCAGGTGCGAATGCGACGAAGTAGAACCAATGGGGCAGCGAAGATGCGGTTCTGTGACATTTTCTATGCGCTTGGTTTCTGAGTCGTAAAGAAAAAAGCAGTTCGTGTCAGACATGTCCTCGTTGCACCAGCGAACCTGCCTCCATGGCGGGCTGGTGAGAAACAACTTGGAAGTGGCCATGTTTAAGCATAACTGATACTTGGTGGTCATGTTCAACATCAGCGGCTCTTTATCATCTTGCGTTCGACTGGTTCGAAGTTCTATCAGCCGAGTCAATGATATCTTGCGCAGTGCCATCCTCGCGGCCATATGGCCCTCAACCTCCATACGGAGGCTCTCCGGTCGTCGAGCGGCATCTTGGCTCGTCTTATTGTTTCGATCTTGAGTTTCTATGGACATGCGTAGAGATGTGCGCTCTTTCTCTGCTTCGGCTAGACAGCGGCAGAGCGCTCTGCGCATTATTGGGGCGTCAAGGTTTCTGCCAACTGATTAATCTCCAGAGCTGCACCGGATCATTACCACGTCGTAGCTTCTCATTCTGCAGTATCGCCAACTTGCGCGAATAGTTTCGAAAATCCTTACTCCCGGGGGCCGAGTCAACATTAGAAACGAGACATACCGCTTGAAGTCTGCGGTGAGGGGCACCCATGCCATGGGGTCATGCTCACTATGACGCGGGTTGATGTAGAGGTGAACGCTTGTCTGTGAAGGGCTGGAGTCTTCATAACAGAAACCAGTCAGTTGCAAGAGGAGCGTATGACAAGGCTCGCATGTGACCAGCTGACTCTGTAGTTCAGAGTAAAACGTAGCCAAGTTGTCATGAATGTCGCGCAGGAGTAGATACTCGAAACCGTCACTCAAGACGTCAACTTTAGGGTGTTCAACTGACCCGGTGAAGCTGAAGACATCAGAGGTATCGGCGCGAGTCCCATCTTGTATTAGTGGCAGATCCTCAGAATTGAACACATCTGCAGAAGAAATAGGAAAGAGGTCTTCCCTTCTTCGGCGTGCTGACAGATTTCTCACCTGCACTTTCTCTCGGCTCAGTCAGTGTGAAGGGTCATCGTAGGATGTTATCGGATGGAACGAACGTACAGTGACTTTCTCGATAAAATGCGTCATACGATCTGGGCCATGTATCATATTCCACCCCGTCCCACGCGAACAGTGTGCGGCGGTCGTCTCGCCGCGACATCTTGGTTTGTTTGATGGAGCAGTAACTCGTCCCACGATGACTCCAGGCACTATCTTTTAATAGAGTAGCCGCAGCCCGCCTTTCAATCTCGGTTCATCTGGAGGGAGCCCTGTCTGCATCCTCTTCCGCACCGTAGCGGCTAGAGTGCAGTGCGAACCATTGTCGCCTTTTCTCCGTGGCGCTGTGGCGCCGTAGCTTGTGATGAGTTGCATCCATTACATGTATGTCTTATTAAATAACTCATGTCCTCTTATTATACCCCCCTTTTGTATGATTGCAGCTGTTGCGTCCCCTCGTGCAGCGACTCTGTGATATTTTGTCGCGGTTTTTGGTGCGCGATGAGGAGTGGAAGCAAGGGATGTTCCTTCAAGATTGATTAGAATGTAGGTATCCGTATCTTCCTTTAAATTGGAGAATAGGGCTTATATTCTGAGCTCTCTTTGTGGTTGGCACCAAGTTCGCAATACCACCGCAGCCTTATGTGTATATGTTGTGGTACCCCAACCTGCATGCAGTGAATTTGCCCCCGAGTCAACTGCGGAGTTTGCTTGTACGTATCTATGTATGTACAGTATGTGGCGTTCTAACTAACGTTAACATGTCAGTTCTGGTCATACTCACAGTATTGAAGACAGGTTTAAAGTAAAAAAGGATACAAAGGATAGGAAAGACATGCAAGAGAAGAAAGGTATAAAAGACACCAAGGGCCTCATCAACAGAATGAAAATGAAACAACAAGAGCATGCTGCAAGTCTTTATGCCACTTTGTAATCATCTCTAACTCTACACCTGCCCTTGCACATGTTCGCTATTTCTTAGTGAGACAACCGTCACGACTCTTCAAATGCCCCAAAGATTCAACTACCATGTTCTATCGGATTTCATCCATCGAGATGACTTGCTGATTGGCCACATTATCACTGGCACACAGGACATGTCCATCATCAATCCTGGCGAAATCCTCGATTATGATAAGAATCGCACCAGAGCCTTCAACTACGACGACGCTACCCTCGATGAGAAAGAGGCAAGCTCTTGCAATGCTTCTTTTCTTACCGACGTGGTTTCGGGTGTCATCAATGGTCGTTTCCAGATGGAAAAGAGCAAGGGCTTCTCCAAGAATTTTGCCATCCCCCAACTTTGTGGGCAGCGTGTCGAGTTTTTGAGAGAAGACTACCTGAAAGCCGTCGACTGCTCCCCAGCGGTGCAGAAGCACCTAGACACGTTTGGCGGTCGCGTTTACATGGTCACTGCCGTGCTGCTGTGCGACGAGTTCTCCGTCACCATCCGTCAAGACACAATGGCGAAGGGTAGAGGGGGTGTAGCAGTTGACTGTGGTCCAGCCAGGATCGGAGCAGGCATGCAGGGGGCAGGCGGAGGTGGTTCAGGTCAGCAAGCGACCGTGAAGGGAGACCATGTTTTTGCCGTCAAGTTGACGAAGCTGCGTTACACCAAGAAATTCAACATCCTTGGGGAGAAGCAACTCGAGGCTAAAAAATATACCCACCGAGCAGCGCTTGTGGGTAAGAGTAAGAGTAAGAGCAATGCTAGGAATGATCCAGACAAGGACTATACATTTGAGGTTGACATCGAAAGCGAGTCGGAGGAAGCGGGTGTTGGAGAGGAATATACAGGAGGCGGGCACGTTGTGAGCTGGATCGTCCCCATGACATTGCTTTAAGAATACCTATAGTACATATTACCCCATTCAAACTTTCTCATCTTATTTTTTTTTCTCATCTTATCTCATCTTATTTTTTTCTCATCTTATTTTTTTCTCATCTTATTTTTTTCTCATCTTTTATATCCTTGCATCTTTTTTGTATTCCTGTTGATCTTGCTTCACCTCGGTTCTGCCCTACATCTGGTCCGTGTTGATGATCGAACCTCGATGTAGTGAGCATGACTGGGACGGACAATTTAGCACATTACATACGGATGCATACATAGGTGCATTTCCCTGTTTTCCTGCCGCTCACTCCAAAAAAAAAAAAAAAAAAACTCCAGCGCTTGCCTTGTGTGATTGTTCCTTGTCCTTGGTTGATGAAACGTGGCTGCCACCCTTCGTTTGGACGTGTTGACCGAGAGGACTCGTTTTCAGGGAAGGGGCAAAAAACAAGCAGGCTGCACTGAATGAATAGTCGTCATGGTTGCATTCAGCTACATTATGCGTCAAGTCAGACAACTGGGTTTGTATTCACGCTCTGGGAGCAAACACCCCGAATCGCCGCATGCGTACCCGTGCCTGCTCTGGAGTAGGCATCACAATGCAGTATGTAGTTACTGTACATACTTTCTCCGTGCACCGTAATATTTGCACGGTCCGCGCATGAATGGCGACAAGTGGTGTGATGCGCTGCCTCAGAATACAAAGAGGGGTATGACCTGATGACCTGACCAAGACAGACACAGACTCAGAATAGGGTAGGACAGGCCAAGATTCGCACGCGAGGAAGGAAGGAAGGATGGAAGGGGGGGGTGGCTGATTCGATGCTCTGGTCCTTGGGCATGTATCCGCATGATCCAATAGGATTCCGTGCAGCATGCCAGGCGGCCCAGGCCGAGAAGAAGTCGTAAATATATAGGTGTGAGACTTTTGAGACGGGAAGAAGAGTGAACAAACAAAAATGTGGCTGCTCCTAGCTGGCTGAGTCTGACTGATAATTCTTGTGTGACCTTTCGTCTGTCTCCCTTGACCATATCCGACCCCCCGCCATTTTCTCTTCTTTCTCGCCTTCTTTTCTGTTTTTTTTCTCTTCTTTCCTTCTTTATCGACCCTCCGACGCAAGCTTAAACGCAACTTGCTCCCTCACCATTTTCCACTATGAAGCAACATTCGTCATCTCCGCCATCTTCCATCATGAAGCAATTTCCTCCATCTCAGCCGCCTTCCACCATGGATCAATACTCCCCATCTTCCCTACTCCCAAATCCAAATCCGCACCGCATCGCGCGCCCGATATTTTCAAGGGTCAACTTCTGCGAACACGTCTTTGATGCGATTGAGATGCTGTACCTCGAGCGCAAGGACAGACGTCGATTCGAACACGCACACATCAGGTTCCTGCAGTGGGCTAAATTGATTCGTATCTGGCGTAGCCAAGGTCAAAATCTCGACTCATTGCTAGATCCATCCAGGAGACCGCTTCGGTCCCAGATAGAAAACCATCTGGGCAATGTCCAGTCTTCCCTGGTGTATGGTATGTAACAAGCATTTCAACCTTCCACGCGAGGAGGCTAACGTGGCAATATTGCAGCTCTTAACTCAGCCAAAGACGTTTCCGTTCTTCCCGATGGTCATTTCGATCCCTCTTTTCCCAACATCGAATCGTCACTTACACAACTAGAAGAATTTACCTACCACTTACTAATTTACACCCCAGCGGGGCTCGGGTGTCGAGTGGCCGCGTACCGGAGGAGACGCGGGAACCCCAGGTTCGTCCGTGACGTGGTTGAGTTCATTCGGGCCGATTTTCCTTATCTAAAGCCGGCAATCGTTTCGAAGGAGCCTTGGTGGTGTAATCTGGGTCTCAATTGGCTCGTCTGCCCTCAAACAGTCCAGGACACGGCGTCAGACGATGAGCCTGCTGGCCTGTTCAAAGCTTTGGCGGATGCTATCATCTTCACACACTACAAAACACTCTACGAGCAGGACTATGGTGAGCAAGAGCGCAGGGATGCGCAGGACCCTGAGATTGCGTCTATGAGGCTACCCGTCGAGCAGAGCAGTGTGCCAGTAGACTGCACCCCAGAAAACCAGTCCGACTGTCCCATTTGCGGGGAGACATGTTGCAGCCCTTCTTCAGGCAATCTGAACCCGACTGAGTACGTCGCCCAGCACTTACCACTACTTTCACAATCATCACCCCGCTAACGCTCGAACAGACGCCATTTCTTGCATACAGCGAAGCCTTACGTCTGCTTAGCTGCGAACTGCGATCGAAGCAACCCACCGTCATTCGAAACCCCTCAACAGTGGAAAAGCCACATGACAAGGTACCATACGCCAAGTGGTGTCATCCGTTTGCAAAGAAACGTTCAATGGAGATGCCCAGAGTGCAAATGCATGTCTCCTGTGGAGTTTGGGTCGATCGAAGTGATGGCCCGTGACTTGGTCCACCATCAATACACGCATCACGGCAAGCAGAAGAATCAGGATGCCTTCAGCAAGGCTAAGCTGCGTTACATATCCTGTCGTCGGCCCTCTGACACTTGTCCGATTTGCGGAACGTGCTATCGAGCCAGTCTAGAGCAGCCTACCAGCTCGTCTAACGAAGAGAGGCAGGAGACTACAACACCCGCTGAGCGCGCAAAAGACGACACGCACAGCCAAGTTGACAACTGCGTCGCGAGACACATGTTTGAACTGTCTTACAAGTTCACGAACCCGAGCTTGACGGCACGGATGATGTCACGGACTACCGCTGAATCAGTTGCCTCAGGTTCATGCCCGTCGTTCGAGGGCAACGCCTGCAGCGAGAGTGTTTCCTCCAAGACCTCCAACTGGACAGACCGGAGCGACGGCTTCTCAAGGCACGCTGTGCACATATGGCCCCCGATAGACAGCGGCCAATCTCTTTCGTTTGGGAAGGAATCGGATGACACAAACGCACCCTAATATCCGGAACTCTCGAATTTCTGCGCTGGCTGACATTAGTCGCAACAAGATTGAAATCTCTTTCAAGTAAGCTTATTCGAATTATCTGCGCTCCGGTAGTACTGACATGCCCGACCTCGATTTTCCAGTCGTTTTTTCTTCTTCTCTATTCTTGCTCTTTCCCTTGTTCCTCCTCATCAGTGTGCATTATTTAGGGAATGGGTGCAATAATTTCACGGCTCATGTGTTGTGTTTACAATGTGCCACGGGTCTACCATGTATTAGTAGTTTAGGTAGTTAGTACCTGTCTCGTTCGTTGGTGGGGTGTTTTGGGGACATGGTCAAACTCAGTTAGTACATGTATTTCTGCCGTCTAGTGGGCTGCTGGCTGGTCAAGACAGTCTTACAGGTACCTAGATAACATAGTTGGTACATACCTACAAAGGCATTGGTGGTGAGAGGTACAGGCTACCTATGTACCTACTTTATAAGTATTGAGATTACCCAGAGATTTAGTACAGCCTCTCTCACAGGCTCACTAGACGTTAATAAAATGCCTTGTAAACTGATACGGTTCAAGGATGTCTAAAAGGGTGGGGGGGGGGGGGGTGTTCAGGCAGCGATTCGCCCCCCGGAAGTCCCGTTTGCTTCGATTATTACGGAGATATACCTCAACTTTCAGCTTTTTCAGCTTGCAACCATCCCAGCCAAGTTGTCGTTCAGCGAAGCCGGTTGCGTTGAGGGGCTTCACACCACCAACCTGGCCGCCACCATGCAGTGAAACAGGATGGCTGCTGTCTGAGCTGTCGTTTCTTTTCCCTTTTGCATTATTTCCATTAGTAGGCAGGCCATGTCATGTCCTTGTCTACCCGACGCGCCTTGTCTGACAACTTTCTTGTCCCAAGAAGAAGGCCCGACCCTTTTCTGCAAAACCGGCCCAACGCCCAGTCACGGTACTTTGGTTCAACTCAACCAACCCTGCCCCCTCCCCCTTTGTGTAGCGGGTCAAGGCAGCTGTCAACCCGCGACGCCTGTGGAATGCAGCAGCGAGTTTATTTATACTGTGACGAGGGATGAAATACATGGCGCAGGGCAACAGTAACTAGCGCCGGCAGCATCGTGCAACGGTAACTAGCTCCATCGACGTGCCCTTATTTTAGTGTAGATTATGCTCCATGCATGCTAGGGAGTTGCAAGTCCTTTTTTTTTTGGGGGCCATTTCTTCGTCCCTTTACTTTGCGACCAGACCCACCCGAGTCACCAAAACGGCCAGCTTTCCAAGGATCGGCGAGTCAATATTGTGCGGGGATAAGCAAACAAAGAACTGCAACTCAAAAGCCCGTCCGTGATGATTGCAACGTTCAGTCTAATAAAAACGCACAATCGATGACACTTCGGTAGCTTTGGCTCAATATGGGGGCTCGTCTGTGCATTCTCAATCTTGAGTCTAATAAGGCGTTGAAGATTCCCACTCCCATGATTATGAAAGCGCCAAGTTCATACGTCTTCATAAATTCTGCACAGACCCTCCCTGCATTAAAAGTCAGCCAGCCCCAGCGCTGGGGCTCGTTTACCTCCAGTGAAGTCACCCTTGATCAAGACGGCACTGCAAAAGTTTCATCCCAATAATCCATCCGTCTTGATAATTCTTTTCTTTCGAATTTCTACTAAATCATTGCCCTCGTTTTATTCTTGCTAACCAGTGTACCGATCCAGCATCACATACCGCGCCAAGCTCAACGCCGAGGTTCAGTGGAAGCCCCGACACGCCACCACCACTCTCAGAAGCCAACAACGGAAAAAGGCGACGGTCAGAGTCTAAGACGCCTATCCCTATCTTCCAAGGAACATGGTCCAAGGTTGCTTCGGGACAGCCAGCGCAGAGTCAGTAGCGCCCTTCCAGCGGAGCGGCCTCGCGAGGTGGTGCAGGTGCTCTGCGATGCACATCTCGACACGCACAACCCCAACGGCGACGGCCCGCCCTAGAACCAGAACGTAGAGCGTCATATAGGGCATACTCCTGGCTGACGGAGACATGCAGCTACTCCTCCCTTCCACATGGCGGTGTTGACGTCGTGGTCGACCGCCAGGTGGATGGCCGCCGACGCAATCGCCGCGCCACGGCTACTAAACTCCTCGGGCGAGACAAGCTGGCACTCTGGGCACCGCCACAACACGGTACAGGGCAGGTAATCAACCCAGTCAGAAAGGTGCACATCGTACATATACTGCTACCATTGCCTTCAGTGTATCACAGTAAAGACGGTGATACAAGACACACTCCGAAAAAGGGCAAGCGTACGGCCAGACGTCTTAATAAACATGTTCTCTAGATGAGTAGCGCAATATGAGGATTAGTTAAGAAAGAGGAAGGCCGACACGCACCAGGCCAGGAGGTTGTAAGACTTACATCCAGTTCTCCCCTTCAAAAGTTTCAGCAGAGCAGAGTTTAGCACAAATGGGGCAGATGGCCTCGTTCTAGTTCGGCGCGAAGACGCGGAAGCTCGCGGAAGTATGTACGTGGAGTCCTTCTCTCTAAACGTTTCGGAGAAGCCCTCGTACACCGAATCAGGAAAAACCGCCATTCTTTCATGTTTTGGCTCGCTGTATTTGTTCTCGTACCGAAGAGACTCGTGGGCACGTTTGACTTGTTTCGTTTCCTTGCCGAGCATCCAACAGTGCCGGACCAGGGACACGTCGCTGATGATGCCCAAGAGTTTAGCTCTATGCCTGCCGGCTTCCTGGGTCATGCGGTCCATGTAGTCGGCCGAGGGGCGGTAAAACTCGCCGGCATGCAAGTACTGCCACGCAGACGCCGGCTGGTCGACCCGGGGAGCCATCATCAAAGGGAAGCAGGACTCGATCCCCTTTGTCAATCAGAGCCTTGACGCCGTTCTTTTCTCTGAAGAGTTGTGCAAATAACTCGTCCGTCAACTTGGCCGAATGACACGGACACTGGGTAGCGGGACATGAACGTCAGCAGCCGCAGCTTGGAGATTGGAGAGAAAGAAGTAGAGAGAATTGACCATAGTCTATTTCTGAGCAACCTAGCATCTAGATTCTTTTCCGGCGAAAGATTTTCTACACCTGTACCATGATCAGTTGAGCTGTGACAAGGGGATTTCCGAGGCTGGGGGGGTTACTAGAGACGAGGGCTTTTTCGAGGTAGCCGAGACATCCTTCTGCACAGCCGACAGCATCCCATCTCTTTCTAGATCTGAGCAGCGCTCCTGGTCCGTCGTCGCTGTCGTCGGACCAGCGAGCATCCCTATCAGAACAGGCGTTGGCAGTTTTCAGCCTGTTGGCGCATTCCCTCCCTGTCCATCGAAAATCGAAAATGCTGCTGTGTGTTTGGGATGAGGAATTCGAGAGAGAAACGATAATTTCGAGGTAAGGCGCGTTGCTTAGTATGAAGGGGGAGACGGGCCTCCCATCCGAGTGGTACAAACGTCAACATGGTGTCAATGTGTCAAAGTGTCGACGTGTAACAAGCATCGCAGACCTGAGAGCGCGAAGTGCTGTCTGCTCATAGCGCCCGTCTGTTTGGAGCAGGTTGCTCCTGAAGTCCATCGCCAAAACCTTTGACGTCATGCTCGTGACTGTTGAGACGGAGCAGGCGGGCTACAAAGATGCACAGGGGTGAGACAGTGGTTGTGATGTGTGGGCAGATGCTGTATCGTGTAAGGCCCAGCGAGGCCGGCGTGGCCCTGCTGCAACACCCATTGTAGGTCTGGTGAGAAAGTACCGCCACATTACTTTCACAATTTATTGAACAACTTCAAGTAGTTATTTTATGAGTGGCTATGGCCTCTGTGAAATGTTACTTGGTGGCTACTCCTTAAAACAACTGTCAAAGAGACACTGGGCGCTTTCGTGGTACATGGTACGGAACCTGCGGCGCCAAGTTAACGTTGCAGTGCAGAGAACAAATAACATAGACACATGAGGAAAATTGTAAACAAAATAAACCTTTAGTTTACATTAGACTAGGATCAAGATCTGGCGATTGTATCCGTGTGCTTCAGTCTGGCCAACGCTGTCCAACTGCAACACACTTTAAGTTGGTTGCCGCCCACACACGCCGGCCAAATATGGCTGACAGCGTTTGCAGAAAAAAACACCAACTTACATGATAGCAATGTCAAACGACCACGAGCGACGGCACCTCGCAAAAGGCTTTCGAAGCTTCTGTACTTCATCCAGACTTTCTGACCGTTTATTGAAACAAGGGTCTACTGGCAAACACCATCCACTGACCCTAACCTCCCTCCCCCTTCCTCGTCAAGGCATCCCCGCCCTGGCACTCGCACGATGACAACTCCTGACTCGCGGTCGCCAAGGAACGGCAAGTCAGCCGATCATCAATATTATAGTAGCTCCTTGCATTGTATTAGTGGGTGTCGTTCTTTTGACCCCTAGTTACCAGATGCCCTCCCTTGCATTGTGCATCAAATACATCCGAAGCTGAAGCTGCTTTACCTGGTGGTGCTTTACCTGGTGGTGCGGATATACGGACTATCATTCCACGACATCTTCCTCCATGGGAAGTTTCTCGGCTCAGCTCCCTGACTGGCAAAACTACAGACGGCAACTCCCGAGGCCATCCGCAGTGACAAGGACGAGGAGGACAAGGGCAAGCATCAGGACCAGGACAAGACGAAGGAACAAGGAACAAGGACAAGAAGCAACCAGAGCAAGGACAGCAGCAAGGGACAGGGCACAGGCAACAAAGACACGGACAGCAAGACAAGGGAGAAGGAAGAGGTGGACGCGACAAAGACCATCGAGGAGAGGACAACGGTAGCCAGCGACCTGGAGAAGAGCGGCACCAGCACCTGCGAGACGGCCGCGGTGAAAGGATTCGCCACGACCACAGGCAGCCTCATTGCCGCCGGTGCCGGTGCTGCCGCCCCCGGTGCCGCCGCCCCCGAAGTTGGATCCGTCATCTCCGGCGAGACCACCGGCTTTGGTAGTGCAGACATCCGCAGTCGCCTCACTCAATATGCTAATCAATAGTGTAAAGCTGCTACGAACAGGCAAGAACGAGGCATAGAGTAGAGTCTGGTGTTTCATCCATTACTTAATTGTACATTTCATCTGCTGGGTAGAGCAGTTGGTTGTAACGACTGCGTTACCACCCTTTTTCTTCCTCTCGCAGAAAACAGAGCAATCAAACGCCGTCCCGGCAACTGCGAGTCGTCGCTATTGTTGCGTTTGAAGGTAGCTTTTTCCAGCATTCCGAATCCGTGGCAAAACAAACGAAAAAAAAAAAGATTCAAAAACACCCACAGGTCTAAAGTAACAACAACCCCGCCTCCTGAATTCTATTGCGTCTAGTCAAATACACAGCACCGTGTCCAGATTACAGCTTCTTGACGAGCTCGATCCACTTGGCAGTGGAGAAGGACTTAGGGCGCTCAATGGGGGAGCCGACAGCGCGGTCAATGATGAGCTGGGGAAGAACACCGATGGCGCGGGAGACACCAAAGAGGACGGTGTAGTAGTTGGACTCGGTGAGACCGTAGTGCTGGAGGAGGACACCGGAGTGGGCGTCGACGTTGGGGAAGGGGTTCTTGGTCTTGCCGTGCTCGGTCAGGACGCCGGGGGCGATCTTGTAGACCTGGCTGACAAGCTGGAACATGGGGTCGTTGGGCATCTTGGCCTGGGCGAACTCGCGCTGGGCCATGTAGCGGGGGTCGGTCTTGCGGAGCACGGCGTGGCCGTAGCCAGGGACGACACGGCCGGACTTGAGGGTGTCCCAGAGGTACTTGGTAATGTTGGCATCGGACAGATCGTTGCCAATGACCTTCTTCATCTCGGTGAGCCAGTTAAGGACCTCCTGGTTAGCAAGGCCGTGGAGGGGACCAGCCAGACCGTTGAGACCAGCGGCGAGCGAGAGGAAGGGGGAGCTGAGAGCAGAGCCGACCAGGTGGGTGGTGTGCGCAGAGACGTTGCCACCCTCGTGGTCGGTGTGGATGGTCAGGTACAGACGCATCAGCTCAACAAAGTCGGCGTTGTTGCCAAAGCCGAGCTGGTTGGCGAAGTTGAACGAGTAATCCTTGTCCTTCTGGATGGGGGCAACCTTGCCACCCTTGAAGACGTTCTGGTAGATACGCGAAGCAATGTTGGGGAGCTTGGCGATCAGGTCCATCGAGTCCTCGTAGGTGTAGGTCCAGTACTCCTTCTTGTTGATGCCCTTGGCGTAGGCCTTGGCGAAGCTCGAGGTCTGCTCGAGAGCAGTGACGGCGAGGGAGAACTGGGCCATGGGGTGGAGGTCGGTAGGGCAGTGGTCAATGAGCTCCTCGACGAACTTGGGAATGTCGGAACGGGCGGCCCATTCAGCGGAGAGGTCGCGAACCTGCTGCTCGGTAGGAACCTCGCCGGTCAGAAGAAGCCAGAAGAGACCTGCGGAGGGTTCGGGTCAGTCGCGCGCGGGTCAATTGAATTCGAAATTCTTGATTCTTACCCTCAGGAAGAGGCTCCTTGCCACCGGGGGCCTTGGGGAGAAGCTCCTGGCACTCGGGGATGGTCTTGCCACGGAAACGGATACCCTCCTCGGAGTCGAGGACGGAGCCCTCCCAGACGAGGGCCTTGATGCCACGGGCACCGCCATAGACCTGGTCGAGGGTGACCTTGTCGACAACCTTGGAACCGTGCTCACTATGTTTGAAGGTGTAAGGTTAATACTTGGTCTCGATTCGGAGAGCCCGGGTGACGGGTTACGAACGCGCGAAGGGCCTTGATCTCGTCGATCTTCTCGGGCAGCAGCTCGGCGAAGCGCTCCTTGAGGGTCTACAGCGAGCGCATGTCAGCAAGGAGTGAATTGAAATGGCGAATGGAGCGAGGAGAGGACGGACCTGAGTCTTGGCGGAGTAGCAACGGACCGAGTTGAAGGCAACAGAACGAGCTCCGAAAACGGGAGCGCGCAGCGAAGCCTTCAGGGCAGAGTTGCTGAGACGGGTGACGGAAGCCATTGTGTACCAGAAGTGAACTGGTCCGAGAAGGAACTGATTCAGGCAAATACGGAGAGTAGGGGCGAGGACCAAGAAAGGTGCAAGATGGGATGGGTGAGAAGGGGGTAAAAAAGCGCAGAGCAGGTGGGAAAAAAAAGGACAGTAAGAAGGCCCTTGTCTGAATCTGCCGGCTTAGTAGAAGGTCGACACGGGCCAGCGGCCAGCGGGAGAGACAGCCAGTTACAGTCGGCCAAGCCAGCAGGCAACCCGCTAAGCCGGGAAAAAAAATGTATGGGTTCAGCATCGGCCCGGGGGATGTGGCTTTCAATTTTTGGTGGGCTCAGCAAACCAGAAAAATAATGTTGCATGCATGGTTACGCTACCATGTTGCAATAAGTTTACTTTATTAGTCTACGTATATGATGATGACAGAAAAGAGCGTTTGAAGAGCCTGTCATCCTGCCGAACTGTTACTGCGCTCAGCCTACTCTTGTTGTTGCTGGTGGGCAAGTCTTCCGCAGTCAAAGCCTCCAGGCTATGCTATCCACTGTCCCCTGATGTTCGTCTGCAACCTCCTCCAACGCATCCAAAGTACCCCCGAACAACAATGCATGGCGGTTCAGCGGTCAGTTGCCTAAGAGTGACCTGCGGCCCACCGTGTGCGGCTCTGCCGGACGAAGCCCTTCGCGGGCACCCGCCTGTGAATCCCCCAAAGTACGTCATTCTCGATGCAAATTTTAACGCGACCAGATAAGGTGGTGATACCAGGATGTGGTATCCGTACCTACGAATTTGTTGGCACATCCAAATCTCCCAACGCAATTCTTCAGCTTCCACCCAACACTCGCTTCTTCGTTAAAAAAAGAAAAAAGAGTTAGTTACACCGTAGGCAAGGCTCCCCTGTCACTGATACCGAACCGTATTTCAGTCTATCCTCGTTCTGAGAAGTAATTCCCGCACCATCGCCACACTCAAAACGCCAAAAGTCCGATCGTTACCTGCCTCGAGTACTTCTTTGCTTGGCAGCCCCTGCTTTTTACTGTAGATATCCCCCGATTTTTTATCGCGGTCGGCACTCGACACTGCCAGGACAACAAAGGTGAGACGCGCGCGACCTTTGTGAACTTCCCTAGGTACCGAGACCTACCCTTCTTATCTCTCCCCTGGTCCCACTCCCGCGATAGCCATGGATAGGTACCTTCTCAATTATTCGTTGTATTTCGGCGTGTGCAGCCTTCCATTACACTTCCATCGTGACTTGACGATAATTTAAGAAACAAAAATCATAGCTGCGATTTTCAACAAAATTAATCGCAAGGAAGATGATCATCAAAATAAACGTTGCAGAATCTCACTCATCCCAAAATTGCTTAGCGCTCATACTCCATTTCACCATAGTTCGGCCGCCATGCAAATTTGATTTTTTTTTTGTCTTGTCAACTGTGAGCACTGTGAGCACTGTGAGTTGCCAGCGGCCACACGCAATAATAGTGCATTACATAAGCAACCCATGACACCAACCTTTTATCCTAACCAGCCCAGCCCCCGCCAGGCATTGCAAAATTCCTCCTGCATCAACCTTCCGCCACCAACGCTGGCATCATTTCCATCAACAACACTCCTCGTACATCTACCTTTCTCGTCCTTTCAAGTAGCGGCCGTGCTCTTTTGCCAGTCTGCCTCTTCGTATTGACCTGCGACACGTGTTAATCCCCTACTTTTATCGGCCATATCCTCCCTGAGGCGAGAATAAACTGCCGCGTCAGTGACTGCTCCGCCTGCGTTTGCCTTTGCGCCGCCCTAGTAAACAGGACCGTCGCGCTTCGCGCCCATCGACTGCAGCATCAGAGCTCGGATTGCATTTCGACCATCGCGTACTGCCGGAGCTTTACTTTTCTTCTCCTAGTTTCGTACTTGAAGACAGAGCGACCTCGCCTTTGCCGTACCAGTATCTGCGCCTCCTTGTAGGACATTCGCTGCTTGTTTCGGGTCAACACCTCTAGAACTACTTGGACGACTCAGCCTTGATTCGCAAGTTGCTTGCTCCTTTTTGTTCTGTTGTCTCTGGCTCTACTGCCGCATAAGCGCGCTCTCGTGCTCATCTCGATTATTTCAACCACTTGGGGGAACGTGAAGATCACAACATCATGGCTTCAGCCGTAACAGATCTGGAGACTGGTCTCCAGGCCATGCTCAACCTCAAGCCCCCCGGCGTGTCTGGTTCTCGCATCACAAGTCTCACTTGGCTCTGCGTTGCCAACATTCAGGTTAGACTCTCAGAACTAGCCGTTTTCTCGCTCCCAATCTAATCATTCATTCCCGCAGTCCGAATCCGTTTTGATACAAAAAATCTACACCCACTTCAAAAAGACTCCGGGAACCCATAAGCTTGGCGTTCTCTACGTCGTAGACTCAGTAACCCGAAAATGGCTCGAGCAGGCCAAGGCACAAGGCCAACCCATTAACAGCTCTGCCCCCGATGGCACATATGCTGCTGGTGTGCACCGAGTAACCGAACTGATGCCCGTATTGATGAATGATATTAGTCAATCCGCCCCTGAGGATCAAAAGGTACGCATATTACTTGACTGCTGACGGCTGCCTCATTCGTCGTTGCATCTCGTTGGTTGCCTTGCAACGTGAAATCAACAAGACGAGCGTGCCAGTCATCATAATCGTGCTTGTTTTTCGCAATATGAAACTCACCATCGTCTCGCCATGTAGGAAAAAATTAAGAAATTGCTGGATATTTGGGAAAAGGGGCAGACATTCCCCGCCTCCATGCTCGCATCGTTCAGACAGGGCCTCAGCTCGTCTGCCCAAGACAGTATGTTCCATTGAATCTCACGAGGCTTGTTGCCAGTACTCAGCAACATACAACGTTGGCTGTCCAGCTCCTTGCTAACTGTCTACTCTCCCTCAGAAGTTTCCACAACACCGCCTGGTAGCCCTCCACTAAACGCCATGGCTTCGCTGCAACGCAATCAGCCAGCATCTAGCGCTGCGCCTGCTCCTGCTCCTGCCGCTGCCAATGGCTCTTCCATTTTAGAGGCTCTGGCCAACATCGCCCGTCAAAATACCACACCCCATGCGGCCGCTGGCTCGGCTGCTCCTAGTAATGGCAACCTGCCTGCGCCAGCTGCATCGTATACCATGCCGGCTGCTGCCTTACCGCAACCCATCTCCTCATCGCAGGTGCCCTCGTCTTATCCTGCTGCCTCACAGCCAGTAAATACTCCCTTTAGTCTGGCTCAGATGCTGGCACAGAATGCACCGGCCCAAGGAATGCCAAGCGTTCCCCCCCAGATGCCTTCGGCTCCTGCAGCAGCTCCAGGAGGCATGGACCCCAACACTCAGCAGCAGATTATGCTTATCAAGCTTCTGCATGAGCAAGGTGTTCCATTCGACAAAATTCCTGCTCTGATTCAGAGTATGACCGTCGGGGCTGCTGCTGGTCAGCCTCCGGCTGCTCCCGCTCCCACTCCCGCTCCCATTACCCAAGGGTCTTTCCCTGCCCAGCCGGCGTGGGGCGCGCCCTCCAACGGCCCTTCGCGTGATGATCCTCGCAATCGTGCATATGGCGATGGTGGCGGATCGCCTCAGAGATTTCGCGGTCGATCTCGCTCCAGATCGCCCGATCGATGGGGTCAGCGCGGTTCTCCCCGTGGTGGACGTGACGGTCGTAACAGTCCTTCTCGCGGTCGCCACGACGACAGAGATCGCAACGGTCGTAGAGGAAATGATTTCCGCCAGCGCAGCCCTCCAGGCCGCCGTGGCAGATCTCCATCCCCGGGCAACTTCCCCCACATCGAGAGATGGATCGAATATGATTCTAGCCTTCCCCCAAACTCCATCCGCGTTCTCAGCCGTACGCTTTTCGTTGGAGGCGTGACGTGAGTTCTACCTATCAGCCATTTACAACCCAGCATACCCTAACAATGTCACAGCTGCCCTGAACCAGAACTGCGCAGTATCTTTGGTCGCTACGGCACCGTACAGACCTGCATTGTCAACAAGGATAAGAGACATGCCTTTGTCAAAATGCTGACTCGCAAGGATGCTGAGTGTGCCAAGACCAGCATGGAGGACAACAGACACCTAGAGGTTCCTCTTCGCGTAAGTGATCATGTTCGCTTTCACTCCCGCGTGCTCATTTACTAACTTGCGACAGACACGATGGGGAGTCGGCTTCGGCCCCAGAGATTGCAGTGACTATGCCACTGGCGTTAGCATCATTCCGATTTCCAAGCTGACCGAGGCTGATCGCAAGTGGATGCTCACTGCGCCCTACGGCGGCAGCGGCGGCCGACCCATCGAGACTGGACTCTGTGTTGAGGAGCCAGACATTGAAATCGGTGCGGGCGTTTCGTCCAAGGCCATCAGTCGCCGCATGCAAACCGACAAGGGCGGCCAGAACGGCCCCAAGTCCACGCGGCTGCGTGACGACGACTGGCGCCAGGACGACAGCGGCGGTCACGGCCGTGGCGGCAACGGCCGCGGGTCCAACCAGGGCCAGGGTGGCCAGATGCCCGGCTTCCCGTTCGGAGTCGGCACGCTCCCCAACGGCATGCCCAACTTTCCTCAGGGGTTCCAGCAGTACCAGCAATAAGACTTCTGTTTCCATACGAATGCGTCAACGCCGAGCTATTCCCCTCGTTCCATCTGTGGGTGAAAGTTTGGGTGGGAAAGGGGGAAGAGACGCCATTTTGTACCATTGAGATACCCCGGGAAGGGAAGAAGACTATGTTTCATGCCTATGGAGAGCGGAGAGGAAAAAAATTGTATACGCGGAGGATGGGGATTAACGCAACATCAGCGTGTATTTTAGTTTTGCCGTGGGCAGACACACAACATGCGGCGTCCGGAAAAAATGGGATTCCCTTTTTTTTCTTGGACGCGCTCTACGGAGGGGTTTCTTGTTCGTTTCTTTTCTTGTACTTAGCATCCTCTCTGCCTTTTACTCTTTTATGGCGTTTTCTTTTGGTATACGGATTATTCGTCCAACTCTGAAATGTTTTGCTTTTTGTCAATCCGCCATAATACAAGTCATGTTTCTCACCAGTTCTTGAATCCAACTTTCCCGCGTGAACAGTGTGCGCACCGTAGATGATTGAATGCAGGTGATAGGCGACGGGTAAATAAGTAATCCGTAAAGATCTCGCCACCGAGTAGGCGAACGCGCCAAGGTGGTTGGTTGCGTGGACGTCAGTGGTGCCGTCGGGACGCCTCTTCTCTCATCCTTGCCTTTTGCGATGGAGCTTCTGTACCTTTGAGTCTAGCACTGGCACTCTCTCTCTCTCTCTCTCTCTCTTTATCTCTCTCTGGGCATCCGGTTGAGGATGGTGTGGGAGAGGAGGAGACGGCGGAGGAGGAGGCTTGGCGTAGGAATGTGTCGCGCACTCGATGGGACTTACCCTATACCTTTCTGCGCGCACGCGTGCCTCTCCTCCCGGCCGAAGTAGGGTGCTAATTGCGCTTAAAATTCGTCTTGCATATTTATTTGACCGTTCACTGTTTTGGGTCGGAGCGTTAATTCAGTGTGAACCATAGAATAAGGCTTGTGGTGGGCGTGGTGGTTGAGATACTGGCATACCGATATCGCAAGGAGTTGCTGCACAGCATCACAGGTTACGCCTCAGTCATCAAGGTAGGTAGTTATCACTGGTGCGTATTCGACCCCCCTACGAACATGACAGCTGCTGCAGAACGGAGCATGCCCCAAACACGGAGGGAACATTCAACAAGTGGCGAACAGGAATGACTAACGCATCACTTCTCCCGCTACCAAGACGCCTCTGATGGAAGTGTACATATATCTACCGACAAACCTCTTTTTTTTACATGGCAAATCGGCACTCGCCTGGTGTACAAAACTACAAGCCCTCTCCTGTCAAGTCTAGTTCCATATGCCGGACAGCGCGACGAAGCCTTCAAAAGCCACGTCAGCATCATCACTTCCTTTTAGTGTGCCAGAGCTCACTTGCCTGAGTATAGTGCATCTTCTGGTAATGACGTCAAGTACATGCACGCCGTCAAAAAGCAATAGATGACGGCCAGACCATCGCGCACGCCACAAATGGTTAATTCCGTCCCGCGAAGGCCGACAGCCTGATTCTCTTGTTCGATGTACCCAGCCACAGGAAGCGTGTCTCTCTCTCGAATGAGGTCGGGCGAGCGCGTTAGCGGCCGCAGAAGCTGGGCGATTTTTGGTGGCGGAGGTAGCGCGGCGCCTTCCGACATATTCAGGGTTCGCAAAGACCCCAGGGCCCTGTAACTGTCGCATCGACCCTGTTTACCCTCCTGCTCCTGCGAGGCGTCGACAATGTCCCAATCGCCGACTGTTTGATATAGCCAGCCCTACCCACTCAATGTGTTTGATCTCCAGAGAGCGGTGGCCGTGGTAACCACCCAGGTTCTTGGTGTTGAGGTTAGATAAAATAAGGTAGATTTGTCAATGCGGCAGGTTTGCATGACTCCTGTTACACGTGCTGCGAGCCGCCTTAGTGGCCGCGCAAGGGTACGTTTCGGCTGAAGAAGCCCTTTTCGCATATCTGTGTCAAGGACAATTGTGATCGGGGGCGCGGCCCAAGCGCATAATACAAGCTTGGTCGCATCGTGGCGTGTAGAATGGACTTACTTGTATATTTATTCTCTCCGTGTTTCGAAACCGGGACTTGGACGACTAGGCCGTCGCCGTGCGGAAATTTTAACGGCAAGTGTCCACCGTTGTGCTTCACCCTTTGTCATTTCACAAAACTGCAAAGAAGGGAGGAAAGCCCCCAGAACTCATCAAAGAAACCCGTGGAGACCTGCAAGACTTGGTGTGACAAAAACGCCCACGAGGCGTATCAGAAAACGGGCTCTCTCTCTGCTATGCCTAATCTGCACTCATCGTGGAGCCCAGGCAAGGGCCGAATGGGAAAGCGATAACTCGTTTTGTTCTGATCGGAAGCGGAAAGGCGGCAGGCAAGTCGCACAAACCGCAGTGGGTACTGCAACGTTCCGGCCAAGAAAACAATAACATCAAAGTTGTCTGCTTCTTCTGCTTTCGTAGCAAAGCACATGCCTGAGATAGTCCCTTGGTGATGGGATATCTTCTCCTGTGCTATGATGTGCCCTGCGGCGCTATCAATGCATTCCATAAGCGCCAGAATCTTTTGCGGTTCGGAGATGAGTCCAAGACAATAACAACAATCGATCGGTTCGTGACCGAGACAAGCGGTCTTTGTTTTCGGCGAGAATTGACATCCCACCCCGCGGACAAGCGCACAGCCTTGTCAGACTGACAATGGCAAATGACGTCTTTGCTCAAAAGCTGTCCCTTATGAAGATAGAAATGATACAAACCTCCCTTGCTGGCCCCGGAAATGATTCGGGCTCGCGCCAATGTCGGTAGCGACGGCATCGTAAAAGCGGACCTGGCTTCTGGCAACGGGCAAAGGACAGCCAGCCTCATGAGTGTGTGTGACAAGCGTCTCCATATTTTGGATAATTTTTCCCTTGCTTTTTTTGCCGTTTCCTCGTCATCTTCTGGCGTGGAGTTTATCGTAATAATCTCAGCGGCCGGCTGGCCAAGGGCTCCAGTTATCCAGGGCCATTCTAGGGACGGACAGGCGAATAGGCGATGATGCTCTTCATAACAAACTGGCTGCTCTTCTTCAGCTTCAACTGGCCTGTTGCAAGTTACCCACCGTGCCCACAGACTTTAATTACGGCACATGTGGCGTATTTCATCTGCCCCTCGAGACTGGAGCTTCTGTTCAAACAGACAACAAGCGGCTGCAGGTCTCGTGCGCCTAGTCTCGCAAAAGCCTGCATCGCAGGAGGTTGAATCGAACTTGATCGGGCACGGCTGACCTCCCTGGGGTTGTGTATGATCCTGGCGAATGATCGAGCCTCATTTTGCAGCTTTCCGTAGAAACGACTCGGTCAGTGTGGGTTTCACCCTAGTCAGTGCCAGCGTGGTAGCATGTAGAGTAGCCAGGGTTGGGCAGAGTAGTGCTATCTCGTCCCTATTGTGGCATTGTATTCGCAGGCTATTATTATACAATCTAAAGTAATATTGTTGGCGAGTGCTCCGTAAACCCACTAGTCCCATACCCAGGTAATTTGCATCGACCAGGGTGGGATGGGGGAAGCCTGGGGTCAAGGCCCCAGCGGTCGGTCCGGCTGGTGATATTGTAGCTGGGGACAACCCGCAGGAGCTGGTGATGGTTGGCATTGAATAAATTAGAGGCTGCGTGCTTTATCCCAGGGAAAGCTGGAACATGGAGGAGGATTCGAACGGTGTAAGACGGACAATATGGATGAGATGGACGAGGCCGATGAAACCTTCTTCTGACTTTGCTGTCGATCTAGCTCCCTTTGTGTCTAGCTGCTGTCAGAATAAGGTCAGGTCGCATTGGCGGCAGACGGATATCTCATGGTAGCGCCCTTGATGTAGTAAGCATTATGGTCTTTGTCAATGGGCGGGCCATTGGTTCAAAGAAAGAAAGAGATTGGCGGAGATTTGAGGGCTGATGATAGAGATGAGCAGAAATTACGGCACTGGTGGCCTGAGTGAAGACGACGACGATGATGGCGAGACTCAATGGCAGACAGAAAAGAGTCAATTGGATTTCTGAATGTTGTGATGCTGATTGGAGGTGCGTTTGCCAGGCTACAAGTTGAATGGCTTGCTTGGCCTGGGTTAGGTACGCACATACCTTACGAGGTGGCAGTTGGCAGTTGGTTGGCAGCTGGCAGCTGGCAGCTGGCAACAGTTACGGATTTATTTTGGGCATGGGGTTTAATTCCCTCACCATCGAGCTGTTTGTCCCGAAGAATGAGACACATTAATAAACCCGGTCCACGAGTCGAACAAGACAGAGCGTCACACGAAACTCGGCTATGTTTTGCACCCTCTCCCTAGAGGTATCTAATCCGCGACTCGACACGCAGCGATCGCCGTGGCACCTGATGCCTGCCCCCATAATGCACAGGCGGTCAGTTGCCAGGACAAGACTGGTGCAGCGACATGGACAAAGCTCGTTCTCGTCTCATCGAGGGTCAATTGCCGCCTGCAAGTATGGGGAAAAGTAGCCAAGGATGCAAGAGAACCCTGGATGCATCGAGAACTGAGCCTCCCCCGGCCAATGCTAGACCAGTCGGGTGCGGAGCCAAGGATGCGAGGTTGGCCAGAAAATGCCTCGTCTTCGGCCGGGAGAAGCCAAGCCAAGGGTTCTGGAAGCCCTGACTACGGAAGCGGCGTTTTCTTACGTACACGGAGCGCTGGCTGCCGTGATGCGACATCACAAAGACGGTCAACGGCGGCGGTTCTCGGATTGGGGAAGACGAGGGCTCCAGTTTGGTTTGGTTTGTGGTGTGGGCGGTGGATACGAAAATGTGAAAAAGGCTCCGTAAAAATGCGATTCAGTCGCCAGGACGCCAGCCAGCTGGACAACGAGAGCGCCCAGGAAAAGAGACGGCCAGAACAAAAAAAAAAAAAGCTCAATGGGGTCCAACCGGAAAGCAAGAATTGGGGCGAGCGGCGAAATGCCCGATCCCCAACAGCCTCAGGCGGGTCAGTCGAGGGATATTGGTCTCGAGTCGCCGTCTTCATTCTAGCTC